GTGTCGAACCCGTTCCTCGCCAATATATACATTACTTATTGGCCGTGCATGACAGAGAACAAGCTGGACATCTGCTTGTGTCTCTGACTCATCATGCGACATCTACGACATGCCTGACATCAAAACATCTCCGGTCATTTCGGAATTTTCTACAATTCGGTTCTGTTGAAGAACAAGCTCTTACTTTTAAAACGCGTTCTCGTTTTGCACCATGTTTCCATTTTATTGTGATTGTATCTCAGGAGGTCACAACAAGTCTGTAGGTTCCTGTGACCACCAGTCATATGTTGCAGTTCTAACAGTCACAAGAGCAAATGCACCATCCTTTTTTCTGAGCTGGTGTTCGGCTTTACTATTGGATCATAGTGAATGTATGAAGCGACTGAATGGCAGCTCGTGTATTGTCAAAATTTCAATCTTATTACTTCTAGTGGTGGTTGTTTGTTTGTATTGCTTTCCGCCCAATTCTTTTCCTCCTTCATATGAGGGTGTTTGCTTGTATTGTTCTTGCGGCTCGCAATTGTTTTCTTTTTCTTGTTCTACGGTATCTATGAGGAGGACGAGGACGAGGAGAATGATTATTGTTGTTCTTGTTCCCGTTCTTGTTCTTCTTGTTCTCCTTCCACGATCATGGCATTTCGGAATGCCGAGTATCGCCAATAGGCATCTCTAAATTCTTGTTTGCTCAGACTCAAGTCTTGATCGGCATCCAGCAAGCTGAAAATCTTGATCATGGCCTCGTCTTCAAAGAATTGGTTGTTCTTATTATTGTTGAGGTGGACTAGGAGTTCGACAAAACCAATGAAACCATTTCCATCCACATCCAAGGATTGAAACAATTCATCACCCACTGCCATGGTGTTGGGATCCGTCGCAAATTGCCCCATTCCTGGCAAGGTTCGCAAGGATGGCACGGTCAGGTAAAGCGATCGGAATTCGCTGTCCGAAATGGCACCCCTTCCGTGGACATCCATTCGATCGAAGAGTTCATTGACAAATTGTTCGGAACACTTTGCCCGTAACAAGTGATTGGCAAACTTTTCTCTCGAAATGCTGCCGCTGGCATCCGAATCGATAATGGCAAAAATGACAGAAGCATCGTGCTTGAATTGATCAATGAGTTCCATGGTATTTTGACGGGCCGGAGGAGGAGCAGTTGCAGGAGTGTTCTCCTGCTTCTTGTCAAGAGGTGTGCCAAACCCAGTACTCCTATTGTGGCCAGGAAAGTAAATGGTGGATGCCAGCGAAGCCTGCAATTCAATATTCGATGATGCTGATGCTGATGCTGATGCTGATGTTGATGATGACAATGATGATGATGTCGCCAATGACGAAGCTTGGGTGAACGCCGAGGCTTCTTGGGCCATTGAGGAGACAAAGGCTGCAATGCAGAGTGCTTTGGAATAAGATGGAGTCTTCATATTACTGTGATACCGGTATAATAATATAATGTAAGGAGATGAATTGCTGCGTCACAATTTAGTAGAATTCTGAGTTCTCTTGTGTCTTATGGATAAGTACGTGTACGTGGTGTACTGTGCTGTATAGTACGTTGCTGGTACAATCTCAATCGTAGTCTTTTATGGTGACTGCAACGGCGTTTTGACCAGATGGAGGTGGATGATGATGATGGTGGTGGTGATGATTCAGCAATGAATGATGTAGATTGTAGATAATACGGCAGAAGTTTTGGCTTCCGTTGAAATGATGGATGGACGTGGCGACATTTTCAAAATCGCAAAACACGAACCAACTATATGACTCATTCACTCATCCAATGATTCATTCTGTATGTTTCCCTGTGCAGTCACACCAGTCAAATCGATTTGAATTTCGATTTCTGAACAGAACCTTCCCATGGTCACGTTGCATACATCTTAAATGGAAAATGCGTTCGTATTTAATGGAAAAAGCCCAAGAGATTCTCTCTAACGGACTTCCGTTCCTTTGAAACACATATTGCAGCGTCTAAATAGGGATACTGTTTGTCTATATCATATTATAAAATCTCATCCTGTTGCGATTGTTGCATAAAATATATTATCAGTCCATCAATATAGTATCTCCAAGTGTCCCGTCGTTGCTGATTGATCGGTTGATTGATTGATTGATTGATTGATTCATTGATTCATTCATTCATTGGCATCAGTGTGACATTACTATAATTGGAAGAAAGAGAATAAGAGTGATTGATTGATTGATTGATTGATTGATTGATTGATTGATTGATTGATTGATTGATTGATTCAGCCATTAATATTTTCCTTCATTCCACCATCCAATCATTATTGGTTTCAGAGCTCTTTATCAAGTGCAGTGCAGTGCAGTACAGTACAGCAGAGTACAGTGTACTTTCTCAGAATATAATGACCATTCGATCATCATCATCATCATCATGGAATCCCTATGCTGAACAATCGTCGGACAAGGATGATGACGAATCCGCCAAGAAGAACAAGAAAGCACCGCAACATAATCAAACTACTAGTAGTAATTACACGGGGGTACGAATTGACATGGCAGGACAATTGCTCTCTGGCATGATGATGAACAATAACAACAGCAGCAATTATGATTACAACGATATTATTGGGAGCGGTGAGGAACCAATGGACAGTGTCGAACTGGGAATGAAAGAACAGGAAGAACAACATCGTTGGCGAAACGATAACAACAACAACGCAAAAGATGATGATTTTCCTATTCCGCCGCCACCTCTGACGACCAGTCCACGGCAGCAAAATCATAAGGAAACCAATACTTCCACTACTACGACAGACGAAGAAGAAGGCAGAAATTATGCCCAAGCAATGGAATTGTCGGTCCCACCTAGGACTCTGAACGTAGAGAGAACCAACAAGGAACTCAGGTTGGAGAACTTGCGATGTTGGAAGTACCAAGGACGAATGGTCATTGTGTGTGCCGTTATCATGATCATCTTTATCTTTTTATCATTTTATACAAGGGAAGGACACAATGAACTTGCATGGGATTAAATGGAATGGGATTCCTACCACCACATTCATTCATTCATTCATTCATTCATTGAAGACTGCGGTGATCAAGTAAGTTCAGCAAATTTAGCTGACGCAATCTTAAAAAAGGGAAATGGTCTATAATTTTAATCATGGCAATAAGGTGGTCTGCGGACGATGATCTTTTGCTCATCGGAATGAATCAATCGCTCAGTATTTCTGAGAGTATATATGACCACGACATATGAATTCGAAAATCTTTCATGAAGAATGAGAAGGTCTGAACAATACGTACAGTAATTATATGGGGTATTTGGGGGGGAGGGTACCTAAGTTATTCATGGACAAAGTGCTTCCATATAATGGCAGTAGAGATTAGGAGCATGATGCATCATCAGCGTCAGTAATCGAGGATAATTATGTTGAACGGCGGCTGGACAGGGCAAGAAGTGTAGCGCATCAGACTATGGCTGATTCAACTATAGGCTGTGCAATGCCGTTTGGGAACCAATCCGTTAGAATTGTTGTGGACAGGCAGTATATAGGGTTGCTGCTATTATTATTGTTATTATTATTATTGTTATCATTATAAAGTATTATAGTGTGAAGAATAGTGGATCTGTTATAACATTGTCTGGTGTATTCATCACATGGTTCGTATAGTATAGTTTCGCTAATGGTCTAGAGTCTTTGATTTCCGACTGACTGACTCCGACTCATATCATCGGCCGTATATACTACGTTCAGAGTATATTTTGAAAGGTACAATATGTCAAAGCAGAAACTCGAGTCATGATCGAATATAGTCATCACGTGTTCCTATCCTACCTATATACTTTATGCCTAAAATACTATATCGTAATTCAGAATGGTAATTTTTTAATTAATCTTTTCTAAAGTAAAGTAAAACTCAACTCGACACCTTACAATTCTGCTTCCGATGGTACAGTGAGTGGCGGTGGCTGTTGGAATTTCTTCTCTTGATCATAATTGTCTGGTGAGGTGTATTCCCACCAAGCAATAAGGTCTTTGGCATTAAAGGCCTTGGCCATGGCTGGAGAAATATTGACTCCCAATCGTTTGTCGTCACATTGGACATGACCCAATTGTTCACCCAATGATTGCAAGTTGTCATCCAAGTGACAGTCTCCTTCCGCTTCCATGACGGGAGGGGATCGTGGAAGGGCCTCCGCATTGTGCCACCAGTCATCACCCTCTGCTTGGGGTCGGTAATGGGTAAAGAGATTGACATAATACCCATTCTTACCCTTGAGAGGACGATTGCGGCCGTGAAGGTTCTTGGCAGATTCGTAATAGACGACATCACCAGGTTCCATGACAACCTCGTGGAGTCTACCACCATGGTCGTATACTTCGACTGGCCATGGTTCGTCGAGTCCACCTTGGGCAATGTTGACAATCAAACTGACCGCGTGTGTGGTATGACGATCGACATGAGTCAGGAGACGAGCCCCTTCTTGATACTGACGAAAGCCGTACATGACGGTTTCTTCTACTTCGACCCCAGCCCACTCGCTGACCATGTCCTTCAACCGCTGTTGATGCAATTCCTTGATTCTCCATGGAATTTGCAAAAAGGCAACTTCGGTTTCCCACCAATTGACAAAGACACCCTTGCCACCCCATTCTTCCAAACAAACATTGCGCTGATTATTATAATACAAAGCTCCAAGAGAAGCAAAGACGTCATCGGGAAGTCGCCCCTTGGCAAATCCCAAGGGTGAAAAGGTCCGCTTGATGCGATCTTGGCGAAACCATTCGTGCCTCAAGGATGTCTGAATCTCCCGAGTAAAGTTTCGGGAATGGGTATGGTCCGAAGGTGGCGAGTGTCCAAAGGGAAGAATCAAGGTGAATTCCACGGGTACCTTGCCCAAACTTTGATCGTCCTTGGTGGTGACCTCAAAGGTATGACCGATGTACGAATTGATGCAAATCGTGGCTTGTTCTCCATAATTCAAGTCGAATTGATAAACACGGGTGCCATCATTCTTGAGCCAATAGACTACCAATGGATTTTCACGATCGTGGTAATTCAATAGACAGACTTCGACTCTAGAGCAATGGGTGCCAAACCAATTTTGAAATTCCCCATTGCGGAGTCTATCATCTCTCTCGGTAGGAGTGTAATAGCGATGGGGCAAGACGGCACCGGCAATATGCTGCTGGACTCCTCGTTCCATACACACGGCCGGACAGTTCTCAATGCTGCTTTCGGGTGGCAAATCAGCAAATAGGACGTCTCTGGCAGCACCAGTCACAGTGTGCGCCTCGAAGTGACTTGGAACGTAGGCTTGGGAAGGATAGTAATCACAACCTTCCGGATACAGAAGGTAATGACTGGAGACCCGATTGTTTTCATCCACTTTCAATTGGTCCAAGGAGGAAATTGTGGTGATTACAGACTCTGACGACTGTACCGATTGAATCTGAATCAGCAGCATCAGCAGTGTAACAAGGAGGAATGGAAAGATGAAGAACGATGCTGATGATGATGCTGATGCTGACATCTTCTTCTTCTTCTTTTGACATCCTCCTTCAGATTGAGATTGGCATTTTGAATCAGTCACGCTTCGGCTGGAAAATGAAACCGTCATTCTCTAGCTGTCAAGAGACTTGTCTTTGTAAAACTAAGCAGGGCAAAGGTGAAGGCTCAACAACAATGCTACAATACAGTGTTCAGTGTATAGCTCTAGGCCTGTTGAATAATGCGGTACATACAGTATATATACCGAGGATCGGGGTTCGTATCGTATCAAATAAAATTAACGTATACAGTATGATTTTGAAGTTCGTCCAATGAATGTCCCCCTTCGAAAAATATTGGCTTCTCTTTAATGGACCCCTCCGACTTAAAATTCAGAAAAATGAGATCTGACGTGTTTTTCTGGAGTGAGATTCATTGTTGACTCACCTCTTCATTCATGCTTTCGTCATCATCCACCCATCCATCAACTCTACCGTATAGTATTTGCTGAGAATTTTTTTCTGATTTGGCGACAATACAAATACAAGAATGTGGTCACCATCAAACTCTCACACGCACACGATGATAATGCTTGCGGTGGCAGTGCTGCTGCTGCTCCAGAATGACATCTCGTCATCAGCATCAGCATCGTCGTCAGCATCGGCATCAGCATCGGCATCGTCATTCGTATCATCATGGATTCCTACTGCCAACGCTTGGCAAATAAACTCTCTTCCAAGACGGCAAACATCCCTTCATCTATCATCGCGTCCTGCCGATGACTTTCTTGCTACACCACCACCACCACCACCGCCACCACCACAACGTCAAGAGCAATCACACAAATCGAGGCCATCCTTGAACGAAATGGACGATGCTGGGAGGATTCTTACATCGTCATTATCGACGAGTATGCGCACCGACAACAGTGTATTCAACAGGGACGAACTGAACAATGAATCGTCCACTACAACCGCCACCGCAATGGCAACAACGCAAACCGAATTCACTCCCTTCCAACAGGCTGTCCGAGCACTTGTCGGTCTGGGGACCATTGGATACATGATCAATCCAGAACCAGGTGACAACTTGATCGAGTCAGTCTATTCTGCCATTTACCACTGGGATTTGGCCAGTACTCCCCTCTTTGAAGCCAAAGTTGCCGTCATGGGCTTTTTGATTCCCATTGTTGGGTTCAGTTCCTTGCATTTGCTACTGGGTGAAACAACAACCAAGGCATCTCGATTTGATGGCCAAATGCCAACAAAACCCTTTGAATGGGCCGAAGTGGAGAATTGGAACTTGGCCTTCAATCCAGTAACTGCCTATCTTGGCAGCATATGGATCTATCACCAATTTGTGCATCCCCATGCGGGATTGCCCGAAATGGCACCGACCTTGGGCGTCTTTGCCATGGAAACGTTATTTGGGGTTTGGTTGTACGATTTGGTATTCTTTCCCATTCATTACTTGATGCATCATTCCAAATGGGGCAAACTACGAAAGGTTCATGGATACCATCATCGGGTCACCAGTCATTCACTAAATGCCTTGGAGACAGTCCAGCATTCGTATTTGGATGGCTTTTTGCAAGTCGCCGTCAATGTCTTGGTCCAACAAATATCACCCTTTGGTGGATTTGGACACAAGCATTTTCTTTCGAGATTGGCACACAACCTTGTGGTTACCTATCTATTGACGGAAGCGCATTCGGGATATGATTTGCCGTGGATGTCCCATCGAATCTTTCCCGAAATTCTCGGTGGATCGCCACTCCACGAGGGTCATCATCATGATGGACGGGTCTACTACCAACAATACTTTAAATATCTCGACGACTTTTTTGGTTTCACCAAGGAAGATTTGGAACGGGAAAAGGAAGAAAAGTTGTTGTTACGGGAACAACAACAACAACAACAATACCAACCACGAGTGCAAGAAGAAGAACCAATGTCATTGGTGCTGACAGCAACTACGGACAAACCAGAATCAATTTAAAACGAAGCTATACGTATACATAACACGAGGTCTCTGCTTAGAACATAAAAACACACACATACACGTAACTCTCATCTCTAATAAAGTTCCATTTTGCTACTCCATAATCACATTCACACTGACACACCACCCCTTTCATTTAGCTTGGGGTAAAAGAGTGTGTCTATTCCAATGGTGGTAATTCAGATTGTGAATCACTAAGAATCCTCGCCTTTTCTTCCTTTAAATTGGTATGGTGCTTTTTCAAAATTGCTTGGAGTCGTTGATCGGATCGATAGGCTCGTTTCGTCGCCGTTCCTGCAGCCGTTGGGGTGCTTCCTGCTGATGGTGGTCGCTTGTTTACGTCCAATGTATGCAATAGGCCGGCAAATACACTTCCAGATAGACTGCCCCGACGACTCAATTGTCGTTGCAGTTGCAATGTAGACGGTCTTGCTGCTTGTACTGATGGTCCAGTAGACGATGAAGCATCTCGACCTATTGTAGCACCTGGCTCTGTTCTTTTTTCAGCAAGCATTGCCTTTTTGGGAACACCATCACTGCTAGTAGCAGCGGCGGGTAATTTTGATAAGGACGAATCATCATGCTCCTGCTTATCTTCTTGAACCATACTTTCCGTCAGCGCTGGCAAATTTTCCACTGCATCCCTATAGGCTCGTCTCTTTTGAATTCTCCTCAATTCTCTGTCCAGTCGTCGCTTGGCCATATCGTAACTCCAATTATTACTATCTCCTGAACGTTTGACAGATTTTCGTTTGGTATTTCGTATTTGACACATGCCAGCCTCTACCAAGGTTGCTTTTAATTTCCGAATAATTTGAGATGGAGTGGGTGGAGGAGCATGGTCCACTGGGGGCGGTGCGGGTGCTTCCGGTATGTCAATCCTCAGGCCATTTGCAGACTCTGGATCCAAACGAACGTCGTCAGCACCGCCACCATCATCCTCGTCAACTGACAATAATTCTTCTTCGACCTCAATGTATTCAATCTCATCATCATCATCATAGTCATCATCAAATTCAGCCTCCTCCCCTGCAGAGGATACGCTCACAAAACTGTAGGCGTCATCCTCGACAGGCATAAAGACTTCTTGTCCCGTCAATGCGTGCACCAACTGAACATAATTGTTGATCTTGTTTTTCATAATTTTGTCTTCCTCCAGCAATTGTTGTCGACTGACAAATTCTAGCTTGGCCAACTCATCGGGACCATCCAAAAAGTAATTGGCCATTGTATTATAAAGTCTGCTTTGCGCTTATTTTGTCGTTGTTGGGTATATTATATTGTATTGTATTGTATTATTAGGAGGAATATACGTTTGACAACGCTTGAGTGACTATATAGATGACTGTTCTTATAATATATCAAATGTGATTCATTCATACTATATTTTTGAAAGGTGCGTTCATCGCATGCGACATGCTACAAGATATTGATGAGACATATACATAGTGTTCTAATTTCACGATATAAATATTTATTCTCATATTCATGGAAATACCGCATAGAATCGCATGTCGTGTGGACATGTCATAGGTATATTCAACCTCGGATACAATTCAATACAAGATATAGCCTGCCCAGCACTCGAAGCCAAATGAAAGCCGCAACTACACGTGTATAAAATAGATTTCAGATTGAGCTTCCGCAGAAAAATATATTATATTATGATCAAGAGTATTAATAGGAGATGTGATAACAACACATCTAAAAACAGAATTTGCTGCTGGTAGGTTCAGAATGAATTATTACAACACCATCTCCAGTTAAGACGAAACTTTTGAGCCAACAGTACCGGTAGTATAGTCTCAGATTCATTCAATACGGCTGAACACTTCCGAATGCCTCAGAAAATGATGCAGTCAGACTAGTCAACAATAACGATGAGATTTTTTTTTGGAAACATATATACCTATAGTCGCAGCTATACTGTTATTATATCCAAGACATTGCACCCTCCACAACTATATACAAGAAAATATGGATGACTGTGAGACGCTACGGCAGAAAAAAGAGAAATGCTTTGCCAAAAATGGAGAGAAAGCCGAGAAATGCCGGGTGTTCAAGTTGAAGGAGAAGAGATGTCTTGCGTTCCGACATTGTCCTGTAGAAGCCATACCGTACTATGGAACGCTGGATGCCGAAAAGGCAATGTGTGGAGCTTTTGAGGAGGCTTTTTGTTTTGGCAATCCACGGATCATGGGAATTGATTCCGCCAAGGAAAAGGAAAACAATGTCAAAATTTACAAATACCATCAACGAGCACTTGGCAAGATTGGAGGCAATCGTCAGAAATTTCGCCAATGTAAATCTATTTCAAGTGCACTGAGCAAGTGCTTACGTCAAGCAGCAAGCTAACAGGAAGATTGCAATGATCACCACACAGTAGGGTAGGAAGCTAATACAAATGAAGGCTACTCTAGATGTGCTGAGAATTTTTAATCAGTAAGATTATATTTACAGAGGTCTCATCATCATCATTATTTGATATGAATCATCAACCAATTTGACTTGAGTCTATATACTGTATATCGTCAGGCGACTTCGATATGTTTGGTATGGTATTCTCAATGTAATGTTTTTTTTATATTTAGTGTACCTGCTGCTCTATAAAAAAGCAGTGAGTCTACTGATCTTATGCAACAAAGCTTCTCACGACAGAAACCTTGTTGAAGGATTTCTTTCGGTTTTGGCGAATCTTCTCGTTCGCCCTTGTCGCTCTGCGGATATCGGTTTTGGTGTATCCCCACTCCGTCTCGAGAATGAATTCGCGGCACAATCTGGATACACGGAACCCATAGCGACTTTTCTGGACCATGTGAGAATCGTCAACAGACACTGGTGGGACATCGTAGAAGCCCCAACCCAATCCCAAACTTGGACCTTTTGTTGTAGCTGGGTTGCACTCGAGGCATCTTTCAAAGTGGCGCTGATAGACGTTTCCGAATGATACTCGCATGCTTCTCTTATTGTTGGGGCTTCCAGTTGTTGGCGGCGGTGGAACTGTGGTACGAGTCGATGAAGTGCGTTCGGACCCGTTGAATGATAATCTTCTTCGGCTTCGGATGGAGGACATGACGGAAGCCAATTCTGCTTCTTTGCTTTCCAAAGAAGGTCTATCCGTATTATCTTCGGATACGAAGCGATAGAGGTGGGAGGAATCTTTGAATTGGCATTGGTCGGAAACGTGTCGAAACAAGTTCAGCTCTTCCAGCAGTCGTTGGCCAATGAATACTGCATGAATTCGAGTAGACGCATATCCTTTTGCGATCATATGATCCACAGCACGATTGCCCATGAATGTCTTCTTGTAAGTCTTCATGAGGCTGATGTGCTTGGTGACTCCCATACTTTGAGAAAACTTTTCGCCTAGCGTTCGAAGCTCTTCAAGGGAGGTATATGGAAGAATGGACAAGTCTTCCTTCACGCCATTCGTAAATCTGTAAAAGTAGTTACCATCCTTGAAAGTATGATCAAAGGACACGTGGTGGAAGAGATTGTACTCTTTACAGAACCGATGTCCGAGGAAGACAGCATCCTCTCGTGTTCTTGCAAGTCCATGCTTCAGCATCAAATCAATAGCTTCACTCCCAACAAAGGTATTAGGATACTTCTTCAAACGCTTGGAGTGGGTAGAAACAGCGCAAAGACTGGAAAACGTTCTAGCTCGATTCATCAATGTGTTAGGTTCTGGAACTGATGCTGACTTCTTGCTGACATTACTTGAATAACTTGACCGTCTTGGGGACTGGGGAGGAGCGTTGCTACTAATCGAAGGATCACTCTCGCTCGCAAATTTGAGACGCGAGCATATCTTTGAGATTTCAATCTCCTCTTCTTCCAACAATCCGTCCGACCGTAGTGGTTTGCATGGTAATAAAGCTTGCAAATTTGAACTTTTCTGGGGTAAAGATGACAAAGCGCAACGATTATTTCTGCTTGACACCGTTTGTGCAGCAAGAGGCAGGTTTGACATGCTTGACCACTTGGTTCGAATAGAGCCGTCGCCACCAAGAAATGGCGTATTCAAAGTGCTGTGCTCGATTGGGAGGTGTGAAGGATTACTAGAACGGCTCGATAGCGATATCAAATCTGACGAGCTGGATCGTCTCGTTTGCGACAACCCATTTTCACCTAGCGGCCGCAAGTCCGAAGTGCTTTGCCGTCTCGGCGGTCTTGGAGGCCCACAATTGCCATCGTCACACGTACTTCCACTTGTGAACTTATCCACCAGTTGTCCTTCTTTCGAGGAAAGGTTTCTTCTCACAGGCACAGGAGGAAGATCATTGGAACGAAATTCATCATGAAGTGGCCGTGCCTCAGTTTCTCGTTCCTTATCGTTTTCAGCATCAAAGATGTACTCAACCGCATCTGTTCCGTAGATCAGGCTAACGCTGTCTTGGGACTTTGATTGATTCCAAGAGGAAGAACCGAACGATGCCCACATGGAAGGTTCTGTGATTTCAGACACTGCTACACTGCAATCATTTTCAGACATTGCAAAACTCCCGTCTTCAGACACTGATATGCTCGATTCATCATCGTAGGTGATGGCGAAATCCTCGCCAAAGAAGCCAACTTCGTCATTTGAACTAACACTTCTCCTGGGCTTCTGAGGCTTCCAATCGTTCAAACTGTGGTGGCTCCCATCCATTGTTTCAAGCTTGATATGCGAGCCAACCTTTGTAAGCTTCAAAGCGGTAGAAGTAGACGAACCGGAGTCAACGCTACCGTCGCTCGGTGATCGATTCAACATATTTTCAGTTTGGCAGTTGTGAAATGTAAAAGATTTGGTTCACTTTTATTTTAAGACGGCAATAGCCATACGGTATATGGAGGGAATGCTGTTGAAATTTTCGGAACATACGCGGGTTCATCATCATTCGAATCTCATCTCGAACATAGTTATTGTCTTTCTCCGTGGTTTTTAGTTGTTTCCGACAGTTCTGTGACATTGGATGTACGACTACTGATATATTTGCAATTCTCCGACGCGAAATGATAACCGGCAAAAATACCTGGCAGAAACGTTTACCTTAAGTATACGCTTCCTAGTTGAAATTCCCCATACACAAAGTTCGAAAAAAAATATCTGGCAAAATCAGAACAACAGGCAGGTGTGATGAAATGAAATTACGACCAGAGCCGGCCTGCGTATCTGCTCCAGGGTATGTACCGGTATCATAGGTATATAAAATATAAAAAATAACTGGTACGCGGCCTATTACAGCTGCTCGGTGTCGTTGTTCAAGGATTGTTTTCGTTTCTGCCGGATGCTCCTGTTGATTCTAGTAGCCTTGTTGATTTCTGCCTTGTTGTATCCCCATTCTTTCAAAATCCTTGTACGATCTTGGATGGAAAGTCGACCTACTCGAAACTCCAATTGTAAAGATTTTTCATTCCTCAATTGAACCGGTGAATCATCGTAGAATCTCCAACCAAGGCCCAAGCTTGGTCCCGAAGATGTAGCTGGATTACATTCGAGGCGACGTTCAAAGTAGCGACTTTGAACTACACCAAAGGTAACCCTCTGCATCTTTCGTTTTGCACCAATCGCAGATGATCGATTGCTCCAACTATCAGTATTGGCAGGTGACAATGGGCTCAGCTGCCGGTACTTCTGATGATGGTGGGCATCGTCGCTGTGCGTCATAGATCCAATAGTAGCGGAATCATCACAGGAGGAAGAATTTCCCTCCTCCGTGACGAAACGATAAAGGTAGCAAGAATCTTTAAAGCGGCTGTTATGCGAAACCGGCTCAAAGATGTCAAGCTCTTCCATCATCCGCTGACCCAGAAACACGGCATCGGGTCTATTCGTAGCCAGTTTGGCTTGTAGCACATAGCTAACGGCTTGTTCCCCTGAGAACGTGTTGCGGTATGTCTTGAATCGATGGCTCTTATGCTTTGACACAGGCATACCCTTCACAAATTTTCGACTCATCGTGACCAAGTCCTCTCTGCTGAGTGGGGTCGCACATCGCACATCTTTGGAACATTCATCGTTAAATCGGTAGAAAAATTGCCCATCTTTGAACGTATGGTCCCAGCAAACGTGATGAAATAGATTCAACTCCCTGCAGAATCGTTGTCCTAGAAATACTGCGTCTTCACGAGTAGACGCAAGATCGGCACGGAGCATGAAGTCGACAGCTTGACTTCCAACAAAGGTATTGGGGTATTTCTTCAAATGATACGAATGTGTACCAATCGAGCAACCAGAAATGAAGGCTTCCGCCAGCTTTTGGAGACCAGACGACGCTGGCATCGTCGATGCTTGTTGTTGGGAGTAGGATGGCTTTGGAAGTGTCATTGGTTTATCTTGGCCATCTGGTGCGATTCCACTAAACCTGTCGTCCATGGGATGAATCTCAAATTTCGAGTCAATAGATGAATGATACCGCACTGCAAGTTGAGGTGGAATGTCTTTCTTCGCGGATTCGAAAACGGCTGTGTCCATGGACGATGATGATGCGGGATTTCTGACAATGAGCTCGGTTAACAAGTCAAAGTCATCATTTTCTTCTTTTAGTGATTCTAGGGCTTCAATGCGAAGAGAAGTATCAATGCTATCATGTCGCCATGAGCTGTCAATGTTGTTGAAGGAAGTATCCATTGAAGCGAACGCTGAGGGGTCACTGATATCAGAAAAGACAGTGGAATGACCAACACTCTTTTCATCGAAAGCCGAGGTTGGTATCTGGGAACCAAGGGTACTTTCTGCTTCCTTGATTTCAGCTCCATCTGTTTCTGTATTCCAACTCCGCCTCAGAGGTTTAATCGGAGACTCATCCTGACGGCATTTGGGTACTTCCAGTGAGACTTCCATTCTCGTTCCAAGGTCAACTTGAAGGCCTGTTGAAACAGAGCGGCTTTCCTTGTCGCAGCTTACTGGTCGTTCTGCGGCTAGTGGTGGTATATCCGTTTTCATCGATACGCTAATGTGAGGTATGTGAGAGTAATAGCAACCTGCGTTTTTGTGCAAGAGTATAAACTGTTTTGTGCTCATTTGTCATCTACTGACGCCGCAATAGTAGCAGCCGAGGTGCAGATGGCAAATTGTGATTGGCATTACACAAGAGCACCCAGAGGGCGGTTCATAGTATCTTTCTCAGTTTTCCATATATATGGTTATATCTTTCATCTATAAGTAGAGGAGACGCCGCAGAACTTTGGTATTCATACCCTAATTATGAAAAATGCATGCAGTAAAAGTCCGACCAGAAACAGAGGTCTGAAAGTCATTTGCTAGTTTTTGAGAAACGCGAAATTTCTGAAGAGGACCACATACATAAGCCCCATTTCAAATTTGGGAAGGTTTCGCCTTTGCATCGTCCGGTGGTCTCATGTGAAAGGTTGCACATCACGCATCAGCAACGTCAGATCTTCATCAGCCATTAATTGCATGGTTGTATTGACTAACCAGAAGACCCTAGTGAGAACGGATAGGATCATCTTGCAACGCCTCTTTATTGCTTCTGCTGTCGTTGCATTATCGGTCTTCACCATACCTCTAGACTTGATCGAATCAGAAGAAGATCTGAAACACAATCCAAAATTCCTCCGCAATTCACAACCTACTTCTGGTTCACAGTGGGCTTCAAAACAAAACATAGTTCCATATGAATCCAAGTACCACGTTGTATTCTCTACGGGCTGCTCCAATTTTCAAGACTGGCAGTCATATGTGTTCTTCTATCATGTACTCCAGTCTGGACAAGAAGGCCACGTGACACGGATTGTATCTGGATGCAATGAATCTCAGAAACAAGAGTTGGAGGGAATCTTTGAGACTGAAGTCGCCAGCCTGGCTCCAGGACGCTTCCATTTACACCATACTCCCGACTACTCACGAATAAAGCAAAGAGCTTCGTATGTTTACTTCAACAAGCCGTACGGAATGAGACACTGGATGGAACATGTTTTGGGATACCCTGATCCCTCCGAGGAACAGGATGATGACATTATCATGTTACTCGATCCCGACCAAATAATAAAGAGGCCGTTCACCGCCGAGTTTAAACGGGAAGCTGAAGATTGGAAAACAGAACCCGAGAGTCTCAGAGTGGATCATGGATCACCTTTTGCGCAAGTGTATGGGTTTGGGCTTCGATGGAAAACCCAAATTGACCTTGCCTACGTCTTCCAGAACTTATCAACGCCCATTACCAGCATGACCAAGAGCGAGCTCGAGGATTATTATCATGCTATGGGACCACCGTTTATTGCCACTGCCAAAGATATGTACAGTATTGTGAAGGTGTGGAGTGATGTCGTTCCGCGTGTTCATGATCAGTTCCCTCAGCTATTGGCCGAAATGTACGGCTACAACCTAGCAGCAGCGCATCTGGGTTTGCGTCACATGCTGGCCAAGTCGTTCATGCTATCGAGTGTCATGACATATCGGATTGAAGCTTGGGAAAAGATTTTGGACCCACTTCCGACAGAACGCATATGTGATAAAAACCTGCCACAAGAGTCCTATGTAAGTCCGATTGATTCATTCAACCCTCCCACGACACAAAGGTCATTTCTACAAACGCACGCTCAATCCTCCGTCATATGCTATCCTATACTATACTCTAAAGCCACATGTATTGCACTTTTGTCAAAGGTATGGAGTGGGGAAGTGGTTCTTTAACAAAAAAATACTTCCAAAAACGTTGTTGTCTTGCGATGGACCATTGTTGCAAGAACCACCTTACAATCTCGTCGATCTGTACTCATCAGCAATCTATCCAGGTGTTCTAAATGTTATCCCCCTCCCAATGTCTCGAAGACGACACGAGTCCTTTATGCTATGCAATGTTATTCGTGACTTGAATCTTGCCCTTGTACATTACAAACAACAACACTGCGCCTCAGCGAACTATGAGTACAACTTAACATTCTTCGAAAACATGACGTGGGTGGATAATACAACACTAGTTACTACTTAGACACTTGCAACCTTCTGCGAGGGAGAGAGAAAGGGCAGATTGTTTTCATTGGAGCAAGAGCGTAGCTAGAGGCCCAATTTGGACAGGGCAACGTCAGCATCTGAGATTTCGTCTTTTGGAGTATCGCCCCAGAGCATGCTAAAGAGACCACCCTTTTCTGCTGGTGGCTCCACCTCTTGTGCTGCCTTCAATTCTTTTTTGGTTTGATCAAGTTTCAGTCTGGAGAGTTCCGCCGCATGTTTGGCGGCTAATTCCTTCTTGTCCTCCAAAGTCTGGGTCAATTCTGCTTTCTCTTCCTCTGACTTTTGCAGGATTTCTTCTTTTTGCTTCTGAAGCTCCAAGAATTCATTCTTCAACGGTTTGAGTCCACTTCGGTCCTCGGCTTCCTTGAGCTGCTTCTGCAGATTTTCTAATTCCATAACTTGCATTTCGACTACCTTCTGGCGTGCCTCCAGTTCGTCATTCATCTCTTCGAGGTTCTCTTCCATCACTTTGATGTTGGAACTACGACGACTTTTTGCAACGTAGGTGACGATGGTCGCTTCATCGTCAAATTGCACAGTACCAGTGCCCGAAGACCGAAACGTTTGTACCGTAGCACCGCTCGAGTGGGGATTATTTCCTCCATATAGTTGCTTTCGCTTTTCTCTCTTCTCCCGAATCGCTTTCTCACGATGAAGCGACCGTAGAATACTATCGTGCCTTTCGACCTGCTCCTGCAATACCTCGTTCTCGGCGCGGAGCTCCTCCAGCTCGCGTTGCAGTTTAAATTCATTCTTCTTTTCTAGCTCCTCGCCAAGTTCCTTTTTCAGGTCATGAGTCTGTTTTGTAAGCTTCTCATTCCGTCCCGATTCGAACTTGAATTGTGTTTCTAGCTCCTTCTTTTCAGCAGCGATTCGTTTACGTTCTTCCTCGACTTCTTTTCGTTCCTTTTCTAAATTTGCCTCATACTCATCCAACTGCTTCCGCAGATTCTCGACCTTGTCTTTTTCATTATCGTGTTCATTGTTAAGCATTGCCGTGGCCGCTCCCATTGGATCGTCCCCCATTTCATCGACGGCATCAAGGTCATCAAATGCATCAAAGAAATCATTGTTTTGCTTCACATTGGATTGAAAGGTTTTTACAATGGCACGTTGCGCTACATTCTGCCGCAACTTTCCCCAAAGACCCTTTGAGCGCATCTTCATCTGAATGCCATCCATATGCCCCGAATTGCTAGGCAGTTCAAGAGATTGGATAGGAGCTCCTCCTGTTACTTCCGCTTCGTTAGCGCCATCAACCCTCAGGCTTCCATCTGCATTGAATTCTCCTCTTTCACTGGCCGACAGAAAGTTATAACTCTTTCCCAAAGCTTCAAAATTTTCATCTTCCTTCATTTTTGCTGCTGCGGCCTTCGTATCTGCCTCTGCTCTCGCCAATTTACTCATGCGCTTCCTCTCCTTGCGAAGACGCTTCCTTTCTCGCTTTTCGGCCTTTTCCTTGGCCCGAATCTCAGCGTCCGTAAAATAGATATCTTCGGTTTTGTCCGATTCCACGGATGATTCCTCGTCTGATTCGTACTTATTAGCTTTGCCTCCATTATTTTCGCGTTCTTCCTTGATTTCCAGCTTTCGTTGACTCACAGTCTTGTCAACGACAACGGCAAGTGAATGTCCTCTTGGGCCTCCATCCATATGAGTCCAACTGACCTCATCCCACTCCACTTTCATGGAAGGTCTAACCTCCTTTTCTTTTTCTGGATCTTGAAACCTTTCCGGAAGCATTTGGTCAAAGTCGTTGTCGTAGCCTTCCAGTTCTTCTGGCTTTTCATGGAAAAAGGCAGAAGCGTCATCCTCTCCCATTAACAGGTTGATGCCTTCGCCGAGGAGCTCGGTTCCCATCATGGCCGTTTTCCCGAGCAGATCGGCACCACCCAACACGGCACCCCCTACAAATCCAGCTCCATCCGTAAGTGTGTCCGTCAAAGTTCCCCCCACCACCATGGCAGCGCCACCGACAAATTTACCGCCATCCAAGACCACTCCACCTAATTGTGTCTTTCCCACAATCTTGACACCCTTATTGGCTGTCTTTTCCAAGAATTTACCTCCGTCCAAAATGGTTTGACCGGCTTGGGTCTTACCCATAACCTTGACACCTTTGTTGGCGGCATGTTCGACAGTACTGGTAAAAAATTGCCTATTCTCAGCTGCCGAATTGTTCACGGTTTGCTTTGCGAGATTTTTCGCATTCTTTGCCAGACCGACAACATCTACCAAGTCCATTGTTTATTGTTCAATCAGTGATACTGGATAATGGTATAGGAACGATTTGAAAGATGTCTTCTCTGTCTATCTTCGAGTTGTATTTCAATTCTCTGCTTCACTGAAGTAATTCCGTTTGCTTCTCAGATTCAGCAGGAAACAATAAGCATCAGAACACTGATGATGTAGAGAATAAGAAGGAGCCTTGTGTCCTATGTCTTATTATCGCTCCTCTTTTTATTAAAATACACTGAAGTCTCTCGTTTCAATCAATATTAGAAGCTTCAAACACTCTTTCTGCAAAGCCACGGTGGGTAGCAGATGAGAGAGGATTGGAATGTATAAAATATACTCAATAATGCTCACCAAAAATTGGGAGAGGTTTTATTGGCGCAGATTGAAGATTGCGATGATTTTGAAGATGAGATTCGGAAGCTGGAATGACCATTTTGCGCCTCTGTCAGTACCTCACAGGACAGACATCGTTTTGTCTATTTTTGAAAATGATGTACCGGTACAGCAGTGGAGACACTACAGACCCGTCAGTACACCAGTACTACGATACCTGTTACCATTGGTTTCGATGACGATCATGATTCATTCTACAGACACTATCGAACATGTTGAATCGTCTGGAAGTACAAGCATACTTAGTCCTAGATGGTTGAATGATAGAGGAGGATACGTAACTAAATGCTGTTTGAAGAGGTTTTGAAATGGGCTCCCACGTTGAAGCGTTTGTTTATTAGTTTAGTTTACAGTGATAACACAGAGCTCCCTACTTTTGATGTTGTGTGTTTCAAAAATATAGGAAGTTCTATGTATCGTGTTAAGAGTTAGCGTCAAATCATTTAGTACTGCTGTGAAAGAAGTACAGTATCATGAAGTGATTGATGCTGTTTAAGCGGCCTTCTGCTCCAATTCAGCAAGCTTGGCGGCGGCGGCCAACATACCCTCGGGCATGACAGAAGAGTGGTGGTGGGCAATCTTCCATTCGTCATCTTCCCAGACGTAAACAAAAGAGTATCGGCCCTTGACCTTGTCTCCAGTGGCACCCATGGTGAATTCATAGATACCGACATCCTTGCACCAGTCTGGTCCAGAAGTTACAAAAGATTCCAAGATCTCTCCTTGTGGCTTCTTTTGAAGGAAGTCAACAAAGTAGGAGTGGATTCCGTCGTAGTCAGAGCGGGCCTCGTCAGAGACAGTTGGGAGAAGGACTCCGTTCTTGGAGTAACGATCAGCAACTTGCTTGGGGTCAAGAGTGGCAAGAGCGTCGTTCCAGAGGTAAAAGAGAGAACGGCATTCTTCGTCGGAGATTTCCTTGCCAACAGGGGCTTCGGGCATCTTGGAGGAGTGGTGGTGGGCAATCTTCCATTCTCCGTCTTCAAAGACGTAGACGAAGGAGTATCGGGCACGGACCTTGTCTCCAGTGGCTCCCATGGTGAAGTCATAGATACCGACATCCTTGCACCAGTTCTCGCCAGTCATGGTATAAGACTCGACGATCTCTCCTTGGGGCTTCATCTTGAGGAAGTTGGTGAAGTAATCGTGGATTCCAGCGTAATCAGTGCGTGGAGTGTCAGAGACAGTTGGGAGAAGAACTCCGTTCTTGGAATAACGCTTGGCGACAGTGTCGGGGTCAAGGGTGGCAAGAGCGTCGTTCCACAAGTGGAAGAGTTCCTTGGCCTCTGGCTCGGTGATGGTCTGTCCCTTGGAGGCTTCAGGCATGACAGAAGAGTGGTGGTGGGCAATCTTCCATTCACCGTCTTCGTAAACGTAGACGTAGGAGTAACGGGCCTTGACCTTATCTCCACTGGCACCCATGGTGAATTCGTAGATACCAGCATCCTTGCACCATCCGGGTCCGATCTTGATCTTTCCATCAATGATCTCTCCTTGGGGCTTCAATTGAAGAAAGTTGGTGAAATAGTCCTCAAGTCCGGCGTAGTCAGTGCGTGGCTCGTCAGAGACAGTGGGGAGAAGGATGGGGTCGCTGGAGTAACGATCGGCAACTTGCTTGGGGTCAAGAGTGGCAAGGGCGTCGTTCCACAAGTAAAACAACTTGCGAACTTGTTCCTCAGAGATGTCTTCAGGGAAGTCAGCCTTGATGGAAGAAGAGAAAAAGTTCATGAAACTGCGGTTTCCGACAGCGGTGGAAGCAGCAGGGGCGACGCGTCCAGCGGCGGCCTTGAAGGCCTTGGGGGCCAAAGCAGAAGAAGCACGGGAAAGCATTGTGTGTGTGTGTTGCGTTGTGCGGTTGCTAATATGAAGCTCTTTCAAAATTATGAGATGAAATGATGGATGACAAAATCACAAAGTTGATGAATGACGTTCCCTGAAAAATTCTGAAGCTTCCCAAAGTTGGATGGATGACGTCAACGTGACCGTCATGCTCTGGTAGGTTTTCTACACGAAACGAGAAAGAAAGGATTACGTATCCGTGTCTCGTGAGGGTTTTTCCCACGGTTGACGTCAGGATGTGGCTTCTCGCCACTTGGAAGACCGTACGTAGAATCTACGACGAAGGTATCCTATTAACGGTCCTTTTGTAACCGCTACCGGAAGAAAAACAAGAAGGTTGCGAATCTTTCGTAATCTTGTGAGATTTTTGTGACGTCTTGAAAGTTGGAAGTTTGATGATGACAATGAGAAGCTCACGAAACTGCAAAGTGCAACACATTCTCATGTGGAAGGGCGAGAAGATCTTTCAACAATGAATGAAGGTTAGACAAAGCAGGTTTTACTACAGCAGCATGGTGAATGAGTCGGATGGTTTGATCGTTCCGTAATTTAATGATATGTCTGAAGAGATTATCCTTTGACAGAAATTTTGTGACGAGTGACAGGAATCAATCTTTCGTCTTTTCTGAAGATCAGATGATGTCGAGAGGAGCCACGTTTTATCTATTTGATTTTCTTTGATTATACTGATCATCTAACGCTGTGAATCGTTAAATTTTGAAGAGTTATCTCAGGCTGAACTCTGATCCATCAGAGAAATTAAGATTGTTCGTCGTGACAGAGCTGACGACTGAACTGAAAATGCCATGCCATAGTTCCGAAAGGCAAGTCCTTCTTTCATTGATCACCACAATCAGCCCAAAATGCAACTAGATGATTAATGGCTGGCTCCTCTATCAGGTCAGTATGATATGTCCATTTCTATACTCTAGATCAGCGATTTTCACCTGAGACATCGCTTCATCCAGCGTATTCTTTCCGTCTTGTCGATGATGGATGGTGTAATATAGTAAGTTATTTCTCACCAGAGCATTGTCAACATGTTCATAAGGCTCAATGCGGTGAGAACCTGATTCCGAATCCTGCCGCAATTTCGACAAACTCTTTTCTCAGATTGGTCATTTCGTCAAAATGGTCGTCTCGTCGAACCAAGTGCCATCTCCCATATTTGAATGAATACATATGTGTAAGTCACCATTGATATGCATGCCATCAAGTTGCAAAAATTATTTGAAATGATGATTCTGATGCTGTTTCTTCTCATTGTTGGTATATAGTGCAGATTTGATTGATTCATTCATTTGTTATTCCATTTTATTTGGCGAAATATCGATATGATGGTCGTCAGTGCAACAACGACCACAAGAAAGGAAGTGATAGTCAAACTTTTTCAAAAATGTAAGCGTCTCGAATGAACGCGTCCATCTGTTGACAACATGCATGGAAGCCATTCGCAGAGCCCATCTAGCCAAATGTTGACGACATGACGGTCGTCAGTTCAAATGTGTGAGTCGAATGATCGTCCCATCCATTTGCATCAACAACATGTATAGTAAATAAGGATATACATTCAATCTGCATGACACAAAAAGCATGCAAACTGTCGTGAGTGTGGATCAAGGATCGCACTCGCTCGAGAAGCAGGATTCCTTCCTTTATTCGCCAAGCTCATCTGGCACATTTCTGTGGCCAAATATCGACATGATGGTCGTTGTTATCGTTCAGCAGCAACAACAAAAATGAATTGATAAGTAGAATTTCCAGCACCGTGTTTGGACAAGCTCATCTTGTTTTATGGCCAAACGTCTTCCATGGTCGTCGTCGCCAAGTCCTCTGAAGATTTGACAGTATTCGAATTGAATGAATGACCAAAGAGTAACCAACCGCATGCATGATGCATCAATAACGAAGGGGATGCAGGTATAAAAATTGAAGACGTTTGATCCTTTTTGGTGTGTTGCATGCGGCCACCATGAAAGCATCAACTATGATTGATAGAATGCTACATATATCTAGGTTTGTGTACAAATGAATGAATTCATGTGATTGTAAGTCTATCCTATTATTAAAATATCAAATGTCTTATGGTGACATTTGGGTGTGATTGGTGACACTCAATGGTTCCATTTTAATTTCTTCCAGGCGAATGGCAGCAGCAGCAGCCGTTGCTGCCAACATGGGCTCGGGCATGAAGGAGGAATGATGATGGGAGATTTTCCATTCCCCATCTTCCCAGACATAGACAAAAGAATATCTCGCCATCACGACTTCCCCCGTCAATGCCATTCGGAACTGGTAGATGCCCACATTTTTGCACCAGTTGTCGCCAGTGGTAACGTGCGATTCCAAAATTTCGCCTTCTGGATACTTGAACAAAAACTGAACAAAGTAATCACGAATGGCGTCGTAGGTATATCTTGGGCGATCCGATACAGTGGGTAACAAAACTGCATTCTTGGAGTACAGCTTGGCAACTTGGTCTGGGTCCAAGCTAATGAGAGCTTCATTCCATGTGTCAAACAAGGAACGGACTTGGTCTTCCGATGGCCGATGGACTACAGGTCCTGGAGCTTCCGGCATTTTGGACGAATGGTGATGGGATATCTTCCATTCGCCATCGTTGTCCAATACATAGACAAAGGAATACCGAGCTCGGACCTTGTCTCCAGTGGCTCCCAAGGTGAATTCGTAAATTCCCACATCCTCGCACCAGTTTTCACCGCAGGTCACGTGGGATTCGAGGATTTCACCCTTGGGTTCGAGCTTGAGAAAGTATGCAAAATAATCCTTGATTCCTTCGTAGTCCGAGCGTGGAATGTCCGAGACGGTTGGTAGCAGAACCGCGTTCTGGGTGTAACGCTTGGCGACCGTGTGAGGGTCCCTTGTTTCCAGAGCCTCGTTCCACAAGTAAAATAAACCTTTCACTTCTTCTTGGGATAATATCTTTGCTTGCGTCTTCTTTTGCGTCGACTCGGGCATGACGGACGAATGATGGTGAGAAATCTTCCATTGGCCATCTTCGAAAACATAGACGAACGAGTAGCGAGCCTGAAGTGTTTTGCTGCCATTCGCTCCCAATGTGAATTCATAGATTCCGGCATCTTGTGCCCATCCAGGACCACACTTGATCTTTCCGTCCAAGATCTTTCCACAAGGCTTGAGTGTTAGGAACTTATCAAAGTAGTTCTTGATTCCGTCAAAGTCCGTCCTCGGAGTATCGGAAACGGTGGGAAGAAGAATGGGGTCCGCACAGTAGCACTTGGCCACGATTTCCGAATCCCCAGTCAATAGGGCCTCGTTCCATGTAGTAAAGAGGTTACGAACTTGTTCTTTTGTGATGCTCTCTTGCAGAAGGTCTCTCCTAGGCGGTGGATCTTCGCGCAGTATTCTTTTCAACGTTTGAATTCCAAAAGCATTCAAAGATGATGAAGAAGAACACGTGGAGAAGGACGAAGGAGAAGAAATTAATGTTCTTTGCTGTATTCTGCTGAAGCTATTCACAGCCGGATTGGTGAATCCATCAGCATTATGAAGGCCAAGAACAGTCAGAAAGTAAGCGAGATACCGGTACGTTTCGAGCTTCATGTTTGTGTGCTTTTTGTATTGTGTGAGTAGGATCAATGAAATGATGATTGGTTCCTAACGTTATCGCGTGATGGGTTTTGGTTGATGGGTCGTGTGGCCATCACTATTTCTTCGCTCAGAAGGCAGGCGGAGAAGAAGGTTCTCATTTTCAATATGGGACCTCTCCGGGTTTCTTTCAACAGAAAAACCGAATCTTCCAGCATTTGCCGGTACTTTGCTGTACGTAAACGTAGACTACGAAACGTACTTTTGGAAATTGAAAATATGAACACTCGAGTGGTCGCTGATAATAATGACGACAAAATCCATCGTTCACCAACAGCTGGCAACGATGCAATTGCGTACGAGTATCTATTCAAATCCTATTTGACAAATTGGAGGGCAAGGACATGCAATGAAATGAAATCAAAAGTTTGTAAACGAGGCCAAATCCACGCCATCCATCACGATACGACTACCACAGAGATTGATGGCATTATATATTAAGATGATCATTCAAAGCCAGCAATGAATAATCCAATATTGTAGCATACCCAGAGTAGAGTATAAATCACTTGAGCACATGAAACGAGTGCAATGCTCCGATATTTATGATGCTATAGGAGTCATTCTTGGTTCGTGCCACCAAATGGAATTTCAGGTGATGAAATACTAGGCAGGTAGGGAAGGCCAGCACAGAGTAGTCAACCAGGAGGGGCAGTGGATGATGCAATAATAGATCAATGTATTATAATATATGCTAGAATAGAGGCAATCAAGAGATGGAGGATACAATGAAAAAAGCCAACAATCAATCAATCGATTCATGGATGCATGGATAATAAAAGATGAATACACTAAAAAACAAATGCAGTGCAATATGCAATGAATGAATGATCTATTTTCGATTATGTTCAAAATAAAATTGATTTCGTTTGTGTGACACACTCTTTCGTTTACAGGTGTACTAATATAACAGATATTAATCCTCCCTCGACAAGTAAATTGTTTTACCAGTGGACGGTTCGATTACGTCGGAGGTCTTCCGTAGACTGCGTTCGGCCGCCGCATACTTCGTCGCAGTTGCCAATGGATAAGACTGACTTTAGTTGCCCAGCTCCCCCATCAGTGTCAACTGGAACGTCGAACATAGCATTGTGCTCATCGACTGTCCCCAGCGGTTGGTGAGACATCTCGGCAAGGTCAAGGGAATCTGGATCAGCCGCCTCGTCCACTGCGGAAGAGATGACAGACACACAGTCATCGAGAAGCTTTGGGTCTTCGAGGGCAAAGGCTTCATCGGAGTCGTTCAAAGCACGTTGGATGTTATCGTGTTGATCTTGAGTCACGGTTCGACGTCTGCGGGTGGCAAGACCGGCAATAAGGACACCGGCGGCGGCACAGGAAAGTCCCCAGGTCAGAACGTTGCTGCCATCAGAATCATCTTCTTCACCTTCTTCGAATACTCGGGTAAGATCTTCGAGGTCGGCGTCATCGGCATCATCCATATCTGGGGTTTCGGTTGGCTCGGTAATGGTTCCGTAGTTGGTTCCATAGTTGCTTCCACCGTAGTTGCTACCTCTGTAGTTGCTTCCGTAGTTTGCGCCGTAGTTGGCGGCAACGTAGTTTCCGTAGTTAGCATAGTTTCCGTAATTGCCATAGTTGTCGTAGTTCAATCGACGGTCATTGCTGATGTTGGCGGGCAAGTATCTCATGTCACTCACCCCTCCAAGTCGGTCGATCAAAGTGTCCAGACAGTCGTAGAACTTTCCTGGAGTATGAAGGATCAATGGAGAAGTTCCTGTTTGGGTGTTGGTGAGGAAAAGCTCCTCGTCCATGTTGGGATCAAAGTCGTAGATGCATCCCTCTTCCAAACCCTTGGGCCAGGCGTTGTTTCCAAGAAGCTGTTGTTCGTAATCAAGAACAATGAGTTCAGGGAATTGCAAGTACATGGCGGAAAGGACTGCTTGGTCATCCTCTTCCTCTCCAAGATCCATGCGATCAATCAACTCGATGAGGTTCTTGGCAGTCCCAGCCATCAATCCAGCGTTCAAGAAAGGACTGGTCTCATGGCTTCCAGTATGTTGGTAGGCCTCGGCAACCATCAGAGATTGCCAGAACGCAACATTATCGTTGTCAACCCATCCACACCCTTCCTCTCCAGAGGGACAGGCACGGTTAGCACGTTTCTTGGTAACAGGGTCAAAGTAGTAGGCAGGAGAGTCAGCGTGACATAGAGCAGCAACGCAACATTGTTGTTCGGCGGACATCAATACGGCCTCGGGCTTTCCGAGAACCAATTCCTTAAAGTTCTCAACGAAATTGTCGATGCGGTCTTCGAAGGCACTGCGTTCAACATCACGGTTGACGTTCAACAGCACATCACGTCCATCGATGACTGCAACAAGTGCCTTGGGGTCGTGGCTCATTTCGTGCAAAGAATCCTTCAATTGGCCATACTTGGATCCGAAACCACTGAAAGTGCTTCCTTGCCCAACAACGATGGCTTCCAATCCGTACTTATCAGCGACATCCATGAAAGTCTGGAGTGATGTGCTGTATGGACCAGTCTCGTAGATGATGACCTTCAGTTTGTCAAGGTCTTGGTGTGCTTGCTCGGGTGATGGAACCGAATCAAAGAAAGATGCATTTGCGCCAATTGTAAGCTGTGCCACCAAGAGGGCGTAGAACCAAGATCGTGTGAACATTCTATATCTAGTGTTGTATTGACTGATTGATTGGTTTTCTAGAGTCGCAACCGATCGTTGTATAGCTGCTTGAGTTAGAATGCTCGTTGCCGTTCAAGGTGAAAATGTGAGCCAGCAATGAGAAACTGTTGGTCAAAATACCAAATCATGTGAGGCGATCGCCGAACCGTTGGATCGGCGAAGCTTTCGGGATTGCGAAAAAATACCTTCGTACAAAAACTACTGAAAATACCACGAGACCTTTGGTGGCACGAGAATACCGTTATGGGGTTCACACACGTTCGATTTCCTCAACTCTGTATATATTTTATATACAACTCACACGACGACTCCAACTTTCACAGATTTTTGCAGGTCGCCGCAAGTGGAATTCCAAAAATCCGTCGCGCGAGCCTGCAATACCGAACGCTTTTGGTCTGATCTTTGTCCCGGCCGGTAGGAAGTTTGCTAAATTAATGGTCTTGGTTCGATCGCACAATAACGGTATTTTCCACTTCTCCAAAGCTCCACCTCGTTCAGGAAAGCGTTTGCATCGCATGCCTCCATCACCATCTCTTGTCCAACGTGCCTGGTATGTTGTCTGCAAAGACACAATGCCGAGCCACTCAAAGTTTTCTGATGCATTCAAATCTATGGAGCGGACCACAAACTGCGAGCTCTCAATCATGAGACAAAGCAATCGCAATCGAAGCCTTTCTTTTTACCATGATAGATGATAGAGGCCACAGGCTTTGTTGCCGATTTCTACAAAATGACCCACGAATCATCGCACCAACGAACCCAAATTTCGCATCATCACGAATGGGAGTTTCTCAAGGATTCGAGCAAAATCATGACCTACGAGTCCAGGAGAGAAAGGCGACGATGCCACCTATGTATTCATCCTATCCAAGTTTGCCGACCAATATGTTGGCCTTCACGTTCTTCCACAGGCCAAATATGGTCAAGAGGTACTAGTGTTCGACTATAGTACTAGAAGAATAGCTTGATGGAGGTGGTCTCACCGTTCCAGTCGATTGCACCCAGCCAGATCAAATTTAAAGTACATTTGACGTCATTATGGATCGTCACGGCAAAAGGATGGAAAGTTGGACTGTTTCTAGATTGACAGAAACTGGATTGTCGATGCTTGGCTGTTTGTCTCGGCGTGGTACTCACGGTCGTGTCTTGTTTCACTGCTCGGTACCACACATTTGTTTCGACTCCATTATTATCATACTTTCATCCTATCAGGTTTACCAACACCCCCTTGACCAAAAACAATGCCAATCTTCTCACGGCGATCATTCAATCCTCATGAATAAATCGGTATTTCCAAAATATGAACTTGGTCATCCGCATTATTACACCACAAGACTTTCATCGAGCTGGCATCAATGTCAACTCGTTGCACGACTTTTACATCGCTCAAGTTTTGTTACTCTCCAGTAACACCAACCTGATGCAAGAGCCAGAGTCGTGGTGGGCATAATTGATAAATCCCCACACAAGTCAAGTTATAACTAGTAGGCTGCCAGCGGAGTGATCGTTGGATTGTTATTGACCAAATTGGTTCAAATCAAACTGCGGCCGGACACAGTAGTTTCCAAAGTCAATAACTTCTGCCCTGGCTTATTGATATTGAATCGCACACAGTGTCGAGCAGCAGAATCAGTGGGTTACACCTGAAAAACGTTTGGGGAACGCTGAGAATGCGGGAGTCAGTTGGGGTTAGGGGGTACCAAAACTACTGTGTCTTATTTTAAAATTCTAATGCATAGTATGATATTATTGCATGATTACAAGAAAGGTTATCTGATAATTAGACTCTCACCAAGACGCACTATGACTTGCTTTTTGCGCGGCTGGGTCGTCGAATGTTCCTAAATGTGTGCGCAATCTTCCTACAAGCCTCAATGTGACTGGCCTCTTCCCACTCTTTCGTATCGTCATTCTGCTTCAAGAACCTTCCGCCCTTTTTCGTGATGTCATCTATTATCGTCTCCGTGAGCTGCATCTTATCCCTATTCGTAGAGTCGTTGTATTCGGCAAGTACCTTGAGAGCAAGATTTCTCATCAGAACATTGCCTTCGTTCTTCCTACTTCCGGGTCCAAACAAAACATCCATCGGTCGAGGAACGATGGCACCGCCTGCTCTTGACGCGAGCAATTGCATGTCGGTATCACTGTCGCTCACATACGTCAGTTCCAGCTCTTGTCTGCGACGATACCATTGCATATGAGCGATCATATTAGGTTCGTCGGATTCATTGAGAACGGCTTCTTTGGGAATGCCAAACGATGCCAACTTGTAGAGACAATCAGCACAAGAACCGTAGTGTACTCTCATGCGTGGTCTTATTGCGAACGGTAGGCGAAGAATTGCAACGCTAATGAAAAGATAGGCTGCCAGGCTGTTGAAACAGCAATGAACGCCTACCAATCGAAACGGTAGATCCCAAAGAAGGCCAGAGTTGGATTCGCGCTGAGTAGGCTGTGACAAAGCACCAAAGTAAACCATTACTATTCCATTCCTTTGATTCTCCTCAGATTCCAGCATATTCATGACCATGTAGTATCGCGCTCTGAGAGAGGTTTGGAGTTGGTATTCGGTCCCATTGCTTCGAAGAGACGGAAACATGAGAAAAACACCTCTCCCAGCTCTATCCTGTTTCGACGATATTTGTAGAGTCCCCGATTGGAGTTTGGCTTTGTCGTCCTCATCCAAATCAGCCAATGTTATCTTCTTTGCCAGTTTTTCCTGGCCAAACAGTGACCTCTTGAGTTCCAAAAATTTAATTATTTGAATTGCTGCAGCCTGGGAATCATACCGGTTGGCACGGAGGAACATCATCCGAAACTTTCTACTTGTTACATAGACTCGGTCAATAGCTTCAGCAGTCTCATAAACGGTCCCTCTTTTGATATTCTGAAGGTGCATATCAAGAAGTTGCAACCACAGATCAACTGAAGCAGGATTGTTCTCTGGATTTTCACTGTTACGTATTCCATGTAAATCTTCAAGAATAGACTCCCTTTATATATATGATATTCATCAATCAATGAAATGTATCGTTAGCTTGGTACGCTTCTCCTTCGCAGCAACAACAGCAACAACAACAAAAACAACCCATCAAGAGATAAACAGAAAACAGAATAAATATAGAAGTCTTACCGTTGCCGCACATCCAACTGAGTTATTGAATTCGCCAAGAACGAATCAAGCTGTTGCCGTGTTGCTCCCAAGTCGTTATTATTGTTATCCGCAGAAAGAGGAGATATCGGGGTTGCGCTTGTCCCACCTAGCAGCCTCTGAAGCCAACTGTTATTGTTCATTGTTATGATGATAACTCTCACAGTATTTTAATAGTATAATATATAGCACCGATGGTGAAAGAATAAAATATGTAATTCAAATACTGTATACTATACTGTATATACTAGCTTCGCTGCATGCGATTATGATGATGCCGATCATGCGTGTAGTGGTATTATTTCGCGCTCCTGTGGTGCTTGGTGAAATCGCAATGACACCAAAATGACACAAATATTTCTCCGTGGTGTTAGTTATTCGACACGCACTTCATATTACAGTATATATATACCTATATAAAATATATATTGCCTGCATTCTTCACCGGAAAATCAAAATCCCACTGCTTCAATGATGGAGAAGATGTGTTAGGAAAGAGAAATGACCCTGATTTGATGACTGCTCACTGCTACCAGTATAGTAGACGTACCGGTACTGTACTGTACAGTTAAGAATGCAATTCTAGCTACTTTATAGTACCAAGCATTTACTACTTTTTTGGATCATGACCTTTTGCATAGGTACAAGTACACATTATCATACAATAATCATAATCCTACTATAATATTGTATTTTTTAATTTCAAAAAAATACTATATATCCTCCTGCTAGCCTACTCCTCGCCCAATATTCTCTGCACAAGTTCCGCCTTGTTTCCACCAACTGGCAACTCCATTTCACGAAGCTTGTCTTTGAGCATTGGGATTGTCATTTGTTCCAAATCTTCTTCTTCTGCTTCCATGGTGGTGGATTCTGAAGGAAGAACCACAGCCTCCTCTTGCACGGGCGCCTCTGATGTGCTTTCCTCTACGGAATCTCCTCCTCCTTCCGCTACAACACCCTCGTCTGCTGCTGCAGTAGTAGTAGTAGTAGTAGTAGTAGTAGTAGTAGCCGCGGGCACCTCGCCAAGTCGTTCCCACTCCTTGACTCGATCATCCACCGTGACACCAAATTTCTCTACCAGCATGTCTCGGATGGAATCCGCAGTCTTGTAATCCCGCTGGATCTTGGCAATGACGCGTTTTTCCAGAAGTTTGGTGACAATTCCAGCCGTCTCATCATCGATTGGCGCCGAGTTGGCAGACATGGTATAGTCGGCGGCTGAGATGATAAACCATTCTCTCTTTTTGTCGTCGACCAGGACATTGAATTCATCACGAAGCTGATCTCGAATCTTGTCAGCACTCTTGAATTTGCGATTTTTCTTGTGTTCCGACCGTGCTTCTAGGAGACTTGTGATTCCGGCCAGGGTTTCTTCGGACAATTCTTCCCCACCTTCACGACGATTGAAACCTCGTTGGACTCCTCGCATGGACCACTCTCGTTTCCGATCGTCAATGTAGACACTCATTTCCAGCAATTTCTGGCGAAGGTCATCCGCCGTGACAAAATCGCGATCGGCACGAGCGGCATCCCGATCGTCCAGCATTTGCTGAATCTCGGAATCATGTTCGGTAACCGGACAACCAGGAGCTTTGACAAAGGGAGTGAATCGATCTCGTTTGGTAGGTGCGACGACGACTCCAAACTCACCACCCACACTCCATTCAGCTCGTTTGTCATCAATATGAACGTCAAAGTCATTCAAGAGTGCATCACGAAGTTCGTCTGCTCTTTGATACAAACGTTCCGACTTGGCCTTGGATCGTTCGTCGACCATGGCTTGGATCTGTTCGGCATTGGCAGCCGTATCGACGGCTTGCGAATGTTGCGACTGGCTGTATTTGCGCGAGGCAAATTCTTCAAAGGGAGCCCCGTCCGCCCTCCACAACTTTCTCCTGTCGTTGAGTTGAACACCTGCACTCAATAAGGCTGCTTGAATTCGATCGGCATTCGGGTAATCTCGTTTCAATTTGTATTGAAGACGTTCCGCCAACATTTCATGAATTTCGGCTTCCGACAAGGACGATTGAATGGGTCCAGCATCCGGCGCCATATTGTAATCATGTCCGTTGGGTCCAAAATCCTTGGCCTTTCTTGGACGACGTTGATCATCTCCCCACTTTTTTCCAGAACCACTTCGAGAGCACCCGGTGCGCCAGGTTCCTTCCTTGTCTCGGACCATGACACCATGTTTGTCCAAGAGTTCGTCGCGAATGGCATCGGCTTCGTCAAACCGTCTCGATTTTTTCATGACGAGACGTTCGGCCAGCAAATAATTGACTTCTTCGAGGTCCACATTGGAGTTGTCCGCACTGATATCTCGTTCGTAATCGTGTTGGGTACTAGTCGTAGCAGTAGTAGTAGTACTTGCGGTTGCAGCAGCAGCAGCGTTTTCAAATTCGGAAGGATCAAAATCATTGTACCAGTCGTCATATTCCGACTCGGGAGCATCTTCTGCGGGAGTGGCCTGGAGGATGATGTGCGTGGTGGTTGCTGCTACTCTACCTACCGGTACTAGTAGAACTCCCACATGATTGTGGTTGTTGTTGTTGTTGTTGTTGTTGTTGTTGTTGTTTTTGTTGTTGGTGAAGATGGAATGGGACGATGGCGATGTAAAGGCTGTCGACACGTCAAGTGACAGCAAGAATAGACTGAGAAATAGCTTCATTGTTTGTTGTGATAGATATAGACAGGTCTATATCTGTGTTGATGTATATATTGTCGAGTTGGATGTAAAAAACTATGTGATGTGTCACGTACGCGCGTGTGATGGGTTGTGGTGTCTTTCACCGTCTGCTCATACGACCCACCACCAAAATGTCTGATTAAAAGAATTGACCATTGCGATTGAAGTGTGCTACGACTGACAGACACTACATTGTACAATCCTACGGTAGCTGGTACTTCTACAGTACGTATTTTCAAACAGTCCGTCAATTTGCACAAAATGCATCGCAAGAGGTCCGAATTCGGATTGATCCACATGAAAGATCTCAACTGACATACCGGTAAATACATCAGAACACTGCAGCCAGCAGCCTCTACCGGCGGTACTGTACCGGGTATAGTACGGAAGTTATTGGACCGGTATTCGCAATCATCGCAATCAGAATTATATCATCAAAATATAGAGTATCAATATTATAGGTATTATAATAGAAGCAATCATTATTCAATTCAAATCATATAGCAACATACAGCATACCGGTATATAAACAATGACATCCGAAGCATCACCCTCTGTGGATTGGAATTTAAATCCAGCCCTCTTTCATGCTTTGGACGATGTCCACACTCGCTTTTTGCTCAATCTTCCACCATCGGAATTGGCTTCGGCCGACCGCATCTTTTTTCAATTGGAACAAGCTTGGTGGTTTTACGAAGACATGTTGGTGGACAACAACAACAACAACAATGGCAATGGCAATGATGAATCGGAAGAAACGACGCAACTATTGCCTCGCTTTTCCACCTTGAAACCCTTTGCCAAATTGCTCTTTGATTTCTCACCCCTCTTTCCCAACAAGGAGGATGCCTTTCAGGACATGTGGCATCAATTCAGTTTGTACAAGCGCAAGATTAGTACGTATGGGACTATATTGCTAAACAAGTCGGGGACGCACATCATCATGTGTCAAACTTGGAAGGGAGAGACTTGGACCTTTCCAGCTGGAAAGATCAATCAAGGTGAATCTGGAATTCAAGCGGCGGCCCGTGAAACCTATGAAGAGACGGGCTTTGATCCGCATTGCTTGTTTGGTCTCACCAAAGAATGGCTCGAAACGGATCCCAGCAAGGTAACTTGGAAACATCCATTGCCCGAGGGCAAGTCGGCCTTTTCGTACGAAGAACCATCCACTGGAAAACGACGCACCTGTTACATTTGTCATGGAGTTCCAGATGATTTTGACTTTGCGCCGGTCGCTCGAAAGGAAGTCTCGGACATTCAATGGTTTCCCATCAGTTTGCAAAAGGATGATACGACTGGTTTCCCCAAGAAAACCTTTGCCGTCCTTCCATTCATGGGACGATTGAAATCTTGGATTCGACGCAACGTCAAAGATCGTCCCAAGAGCAGACCCAACAGCCGTCCGAAATCCAATGGCCGTGACAAATCCAGTGGTCGGAGCAAATCCAATATCCGAAAGGCTGGCCAACAACCACGTGCCAATAGCTTTGATGATCCGTTGGTCGCTGCCGGACTGGCACAAGTCGGCGAAGAAAAGAGATGGACGGCCGAAGAAATGTTCAAGGTCAATGCGGCCTTGACGGGCAAGGAGGTCCAGTATGATGGAAATCCTCACGTCTTTTCCGAACAAGGGTTTCAAGGAGTTGATCCCCATGCCTTTCGAGTCGTCGGTGGTTCCTTCATGAATACGAGTGAAGGATTGAGTGACAAACTTGTGGACGAACGACAACAACACTATCAACCATTGGTAAATGTGGACGGGGAGTCGGCACTCAAACCATTTTTTAGTGACGAAGGAGCGACACCATGGGGAGATGTCGTGGAAGAAGCCAAACAAGGAGATGGGACTAACCCTCCACCGTCGTCGTCTTCCAAAAAGGGAAAAAATAAGAACAAAAAGAAAAACAGCAAGCAACAACAACAACAACAACCATCGCAACAAGACTTGGGACAATCATTGTTGTCCAAATTACAAGGTACATCATCATCATCATCAGGCTCTACTTTTATTAATGAACAACAATACCACCAACAAGGAGATCCATTGGACATTTTGACAGATGCCCACATTACCCAACGATCGCAACAGGAAAAACTCAAGCATCAAAAGTACTTGGAAGATCAGGCTTACATCAACAATTGGGTCTCCAATTTGCCACAACCAAAGCATCAACAATATCGGATTCACGTCAATATTGATGACATTCTGGCCAAATTCAGTACGTCCTAAATACTTTGGCGGCTGGCTACAAACAAACAAACAAACAAACAGAGGATTGACAAGATATAATTTAAAAACCATTTTGGAACCTCACATAGTTTGTGGAATCGTAGTCTAGGAAATACAGTATACAGTATACAGTATATGCTAGTCACTAACTACTACAGTATAAAATAGTATCTATATATACTGCAGGAGCATTCCTACCGAAGGTGGTAATAATGACACTACTCCAATCTTATTTTTCACCACCTATTGAATCATACCAGCATCGTCAGCGTTACCACCCACCGCCTCCTTGTGCGATCTACATTAACCCTTTGCAGGATCCAAAACACGCATTTTAGCGCGTTTTTATATGGGTCATTCTAAAACTATTATCCCGAGACTCGAGATTATATATAAAATGTTACCTCATCATCATCAATCTATATATTGAATTCCACACTCATTTGGCATCGTACTACAACTGTTCAAGACTACTGGAAAAAAGCAAGACGAACATCAGTAATAGGCTGTCCAAGCAATCCGTTCCTTATTCCATCTACATACAAACTTTCACTGCGTCCACCGCAGTATTATATTTTAATCGCGGAGCATTCTTCTTATTATTTTGGCATCCATCGCATCCATCGCATCCACAGTCCTCAATATCAAATAGCACAGACAAAAGGCGATAAATACAAGGATGGTTTCCATATCCACTCCTTCCCGCAACCGCAAGCATGATCCTTTGATGAGCGGTCCCACACTGCCATTCTTATATTTCTGTTTGGGTGCCATGTTCATGTCCCTCTTTGGTCGGTTGAGTACCATGATGAATGTCTCTTCTGGAAAGGCCTATTCGAATGAATTGGATCCCAATGCCGTATTGAATGACCTTCCTGGTGGTAATCCTCACAATCGTCTTCAACAACAACAAGTAGGTGAAGTCGAAGGAGGTTTGCCCAATACCAATCCACAGCAACAATATCAATACTTGACGGACGAATTGCAAAAGAAGCAGCATTCGTACTTGGAATTGGAAACCAAATACAAAGAGGCTCAAGCCCAATTGCAATCCCAGCAAGAGAAGATTGCCAAATATGAAAGTGTGGTGGACGAATTGTACAAATCTCGAAGACGGTACGGACAAAGCGAAGAGCAAAAAGAATCCTTGAATTCCACCTTGTTGGAAGTGGAAGAGAAGATTGATAAAGTCCGATCCATTTTGCGAGGGGGGAACAGTCAAGATGGTGGTAGTGCGAGATGATGATGGTGATGATGATGATGATATATAGTGATGGGAGATGATGATGGCCTACCATGGAGAGTCATTATATAGTGTGGTGTACAACAACTACAATAATACTAGGAAGAATCAATCGCATATCTCATCACCACTCAATAATGGAAGCTTATTTCGATCATCTTCATTCCCAGCATTCATCATGTGACATCTATACTATAGACCTAAAATTGTATGTACCCATTTTCCTTCTCATCTCCTTTTGGGTGTCGTAGTACCTATAATATGTCAGAGGTAGGGAGGGATCGTCATCCGGTGTGATGCATTTTATTAATTGTTTCATTTATATATATTTATTTTAATAGTTAGTGTAAGATAGTATATATTAGGATGTAGTTTACATCTATAGACGAATATATTCATTCATTCATTCATCCGTTCGTTCCTCCCTACCGGTAGGAGCATGGTGATCTCATTTCACATTCCAATCCCAAGAGTGCAAAGAGCTGCTGCTTCTGCTGCTGCTGCTGGTGGTTGCTGATGAAAGGGACCAAAGAAGGTAGCATATCCTCCCAACACAATAGCATTTTTGTGATGATAATGCCGACTAAAGACTGTTTGTAGAATATTCCAAAGCCAATTGGAATCCGATGCAAAGAATTCCAACACCCAAACGGCAATGGGTACTAGAATGGCAGCATGATCCATGGAATATCTCAGCCAATGGGAAATGAAATGCTGTGGTTGTCGTTGTTGTCGTTGCGATTGTTTTGGCAACAACGCATTGGTGGTGGACTGCCAATCATGATCATCAGGACCTTTTCCCATTTGATTAGTCGTAGAATCATCTTCATTATTATTATGATGATGATGATGATGATGATATTGTTGAATTCGATATTGGACCACCATGGAACAAAGGACCGATGCCACTTGGAGGGGAAACGAAAAGACGGCGAGCCAAGATGGAATCATGTTGTCGAGTTGTTGGTATTTTCCTTCTTGGCTGCTGGTGGTGGTGGTGCTGCTATTGGAAAGCAGCAGCAGCACCAAACCCCGGACCATCCAATTGCCCAGAACAATCATTCCCGCTTGAATGCCACAAAAGGTAATGCTACGACGAGGACGATTACGGCGGTGGCTACCACGTCTCTTTAGACCTCCTCCTCTTGGTGGCGATTGTTGCTGTTGTTGTTGTTGTTGTTGTTGTTGTTGCTGTTGCTGTTGTTGTGGTTGTTGGGCGTAGTGAAAGGGAAGATGATGCGATGCGATTTGGGTATATTCACCAACAAAATGTTCACCAGCTTGTTCACCAGCTTGTTCGTCCTCCTCCTCCTCCTCCTCTACTTCCATTTCATCATCTTCTTCTTCTTGTGTCATGAAGTATTGTCGATCGGTATATCCAGGATAGTATACATCTTGTTCATTACCTTGCTGCGGCATCATCGTTTGACTTGTTGTTGGATAGTTGTTGTTGTTGCAGTCCTGATGATGATGATGATGATGATGCTCATGGTCATTATAATAATAGGAGGATGCATCTTCGTCATGTTGATGATTCTGATGATGATGATGATGATGATGATAATGATGGGATGACAACCATCCCACAAAGAGGGTTCCCCACAGGAGTGCCAAGGGATCCAATACAAATTCGGTAAAGGGAATGGTAAGGAGGGCACCCATGGTAAACCATGCCATTGTTTTGAGGATGACTCCTAGATTCAGTTTGCGAGTCGAGTCTGGGAAATTGTCATTGTTGTTGTTATTATTGTTGTTGTTGTTGTTGTCATCGTCTTCTCCACCCAAGGAGGTAAAGATAGTTTGACACGAAGTTGTTGATGATGCCATTTCCGTATTCAATTCGTAGAGACCAATTTCATTTTGGTAACAATACATGGTGGTGGTGGTGGTAATGGGAAGTGGAGGAATTTCAAACAAGGTCGTTGCAGACGAAGCAGAAGATTGTTGTTGCAATAAGGTTCGTTCTTTGAGATGAGTCATGAGCGCTTCCTGAAGCCTTCGCTTTCGAATATTGTCTGTTGTTGTTCGGAATTCACCATAGTGTTGTTGTCGTTGTTGTCGTTGTTGTTGAAGCCGAATGGCATAACTGGAAATAGGAGGATGAATGGCTTCCACTACCAAGTGGTGAGTGGATTGGATGGTAATTGCTGACGCCATGAGAAAGAAGGAAAGGCAATTATAATGCCAGCGAAAGGATTCGTTCGGCTGAATCCTCATAAGAAGGCTTGTTGTTCTTATTGTTGTTGTTCTTCTTTGATTGCTTTTGGTTTTGGTTTTGCTTTGTCTGCGAAACGAGGATTCTTCTTTGTCAATCATCGTTTCTCTCGTTGATACTGTAGGTAGAAAACCACACAATGCACACAATGCACACAATGCACACAATGCAAACTGATTTGATGTATATTGAATATGTGCTTCAATCACTCTCGCTCTCATTTCTGTCAATAAAATCAAAAATCAAAAGAATTCGAGGACATCTGCGCGCATCCAATAATGGCGAAGAAAATTCAAATGGGGGGAGTTCTCATATCGGAGACAGTCGAATGAGTCAGTCTTCGACTGTATCATAGTCATGGTTTTACCAATGGAATGCATGCATGGAACCGAATGCAATTTTGGGGTTCGGTCGTTCGCCGCCGCCGTCCACACAATTCAAATTGAGGTCATCGTCACATTATTGTCATATGTACTGTATAGTGTATAGTACCCACTGTGGTCATAGGCTTGTAACAACAATGTACACATGGATTGATTGATTGATTGATTGATTGATTCAAATATATTATGTATTCATTGATTATAATTTTAATGTACACACACAAGTAACAGATAGTTGAACCACAACAAACGACCACGTTGGTCCAAGATACAACACATTGGATGGATGGATGGATTCATTCAATCATTCATTCATTCATGTGTTGAGTGAATGATTTGGGATCAAAGAGATTCCTCTTCTTTCTTTTCTTCTTCCTCCTCTATCAATCGCTGTTGTTGTTGTTGTTGTTGTTGTTGTAGCGTCATGATGGTCAATTTGGTGTAGACACCCTTTAGCAAATTCATGACTTCTCCATTGGAAAACATGGAAAGCATGGCATCAAAGTATTGCTTGGCGTCATTCAATGGGCCTTCATGCTGTGCTGCAATAGCATTGTTGTTATCTTCTTCTTCTTCCTGGGGTGACAAGATTTGATCAATCTCCGCAATGACACGGTTGGCTTGATCGTGATCAAAGGTTTGATTGTTTGTGCAATGCGTGGCGGCTCGTTGTTGACGTTGCAACATGGCATCCCGAATGGAAGCCAAGAGGAGAGTTACCGTCACAAACCCTTCTTGTTGACCATCCAACAAGGAACTTGTCGTCGTTGCTGTCGACGTGGCAGCGTCCATCAATAAGGTTTGCCATTCCGTTTCGGTCCAAGAGTACGAGTACGAGTACGAGTCCGACGATCCTTCATGTTGTGGACGAAGAACTTGGTGCTTCATTGTTCTTGGACGAAGATCGTCCAGGGATGATGTTGATGATAGATGCATTGCGGTAGTGGACGACATGGCGATTAATTTTGTTTGTGAGAGAGTCTTTTTGTGACGATTGGATTTCTATAAAATTTGGTCGACGTATTTTCGTTTTTCAATTTTGCACCACCACGAGATTGATTTTTGCCAACCCACCACGAGTGAGTCGAAATAATGTGATGTGGTGGATTTGGATGACCAACAAACATGATAAAATAGTGAGGAACAGGATCGAAACTGTTCCAAAAATGGCCCCAAAAATGGCTTCGATCTTGTTCTTACGCTTGCGCCGCGAAAAAAGGGATCCTGTGGTAGACTTGTTCGACTAAAGGTAGATGAGAATACCGACCTCTTGCCATCCTACGGTATTTCTCCTCCAACCATTTTCCGACTGATAGACAGCCAGACAGCATTGGTAAACGACCAACATCTGAAATCTGCTGTCCGTCGTCAAAGTTTAAAAATTTCGCGCGACAGTCTGGCATTGGACCTTTCTCCAATTGAGCATCAAAAATAACATTGAAACATATTACATATTACAATACTCTTCCGAATGAATACTATTAGTGCATAGCAAACAAGCAAACAAACAAGCAAACAAAAACAAACAAAGAAACCGAAGAAAGATGTCGTACGATATCAGCAGTTACATCAATACAGGTGTAAACCCGCCTGCCTTTGCAAGCAGCAGCAACAATAGCAGTCCAAACATGATGGACAACAACAACGAAGTTAGCAACAACAACAGCAACAACAGCAATAACAACAACAGCAACAACAGCAACAACAACAACGTTACTACAAACGCCCTGCAATCTGCAAAACAACAGCAACTAAAACAACAAGAACAACTCAGAAGGCTTGTGGTTACGGAAGAAGAACAGCGACAAAAGAGAATCGAAGCACAAACGGCAATGGAACGCTATCGGGCGTATTTGAAAAAACAAGCATCCATGGAACAACAAGTGTATCAAACCTTGGAAGCGCAGCAAGACGATGATAAAGGTCAAGATGGACAGGGTCAAGATGGACTGCAGCAACCGCAAAGCCGAGTGCAGCCTTTGCCTCATCGTCACTACTCTCAACAGAGGCAACAAATAAGGCAACAAAAGCAGCAGCAGGACAACGACAACGACAACAACACCAACAACAATAATAATAATAATAATCCTCCACCTTTGATTGAGGTTGTACGCAACGCAACGAAGCCAATCATAATATCGCAACCGAATGCTTCCAATAATAATAAACAACAACAACAACGGCAACAACAACGAGAAAGTGCAATGTCCACTGTCAGTGCGAGAAACGGAAACGAAAACAACACCGACATCAGCAACAACATCGACATCAACAGTCCCAATTTATCACCCAGTGGCCTTCCAGAATCTCATCAACCCAGCAGGGGAAGTAAGATTGCTCGAGTGGATTTTTCAGGAAGTATTACCAATGGAGACAATGAAGAAGTTATTGATCCGGCAACGATTTGGCAAGCCTTTGCGTCTGCTAGTGATACTGGTTACACTGCTAGTGGCGGTGGAGGTGGAGGTGGAGGTGTTGATTTGGTGAAGGATGATGAGAAAAAGAAAAGGAATGCCTCCGTGATGCAAGCCATGACGACCACAACAACAACAACAACAACAATGCCGTCACTACCAACAGCATTATTCATACCACCAACGAGACCAGCACCTCGAGCGGTACCACCACGTCCGGACAGTAGTAGTGGAGGTGCATCAAGAACTAGTACTGCCCCCCACAACACGACGACCGCTCCCCAAACCATGAGGAATGCACCCAATACAAAAACGACGACGTCCATGACGTCCACATCCTTCAATCCAGACACACTTGTCAGTGTCCATGGCAACAAGAACATTTCTAGTTTTGGAAAGACTCCTACTTTGTCCATGTTTTATCCATCGCCTGCACGATCCACCAATAGCAGTAGTAGTAACAAGGTTGAGACTCGTCCTACTACTACTACAACTACTACCACCATTGAGAAGAATGAGAATACTATTGATGCTCCGACGGTCCAGCATCAATCCACAGCGGCGGCAAATAAGAATACACGAAGTTATCAAATCGATCAGCAACAACAGCAACAGCAACAACAGGAACAGCAACAGCAACAGCAACAGCAACAGCAACAGCAACAAGCTTTATTCCCTCAAGAGCAACAATTCCAGCAACAACAACAGCAGCAGAAGCAGCAGAAGCAGCAGCACTTTCAAGAGCAGTTGCAACAGCAGCAGCAACATCAACAACAACAACAACAACAACAACAACAACAACTATTCCAGTTCCAATCGATACCATCTCCTGCACCCACTCAATTGCCACAACAATTACTTCAAGTACCTTCCACCAAGCGTAGACCAGCAAAGGATCCAGTGCGATTTGCAACGACGGAAGAATCTCCACCTTTGAATTCTTCTTCTGCTGCTGCTGCTGCTACTACTAGTAGTAGTGGTGCTTTTTCTCCGCGACCACCACGACCACCACCTCCACCTCCACCATCATCATCACGACAAGCCGGTAGTGATCCAAAACCTCCTATGACTTCCATATTGAAAAGTACTAATACTCCAAATACTAGTGGTGGTGGTGGTGGTGGTGGTGGTGGTGGATCATCATCATTATCAAACAACAACAACAACAACAACAACACCAACAACAACACCACCAACAACAAAAAGTTTACTGGCGCGGCAAGCATGATTGTCCAAGAGCGCAAAAACGACATGGAACATCGACGTCCGGCACCACCACCACCGCCACCGGATCCACCCAAATTGACGTATTGGGAGACCAAATTGGAGTCGTTGCAAGATTGGTGGAAGAAACCAGCGCAGTATCGACCACTCAAGATCTTGCAACTGATATTTGGATTGTACATTGTGATTATGAGTTTTACCTACACTGGAACCTTGGGCAATGTTGGTGGCTTGGTGGACCCCAAAAGTGGGTGGATCATTGATCCATCCAGTGCCGAAAACACGGACAAGGGTGTCATTTTGGTCAATGGGGACTTTAGAGCAGTGGTGGCCGAATCGACCTTTCAAATGATTGCCTTGGCGATTAGTCGATTGTCAGCATTTACCATGTATCCAGGTACGTAATTATTATTTTGCTTGATTTGCTTGACGGCTTGATTGAAGGCTTCTTTTACACAATGTATCCAAACTAATTTTCTTGACTTCTTTCCTTTTTATTGCATTCAGCGCTTGTTGTGGTATTCTTTTCCAAATTCCGAGGCACCATGAATTTCTTGAGTTTCACCTACATTGGACAGCTTTTCATTGCCAGTGATTTACATGATCTTCACGTCTATTGTGGGCACTACATTTTGATTGATGGTTGTATCCACACCTTTTTCCATACGCTTCGATGGGCAGCTCAAGGGAATCTATATTTGTTGTACAGCAATCCTTCGGGAATATCGGGGCTCATTGTGATTCTGTCGACTCTATTGATTTGCCTTCCAATGATGTACGGAAAGAAAAAGGTGGTCTATGAAATTCGAAAATTGGTCCATTATCTCTTTCTTGTCTTTGCACTGGCCATGTGCTTTCACGTCCCAACTTCTGGGTTTCCAAATGGTGGTTTTGCGCCCTACGTCTTTACGATCCTACTTGTCTGGTGGTTCTTGGACAGCATCTTTGTCCAGTGGTTCATGACCGAAAAGATTCAATCGTCGCGGTTCTACGTTTTGCCATCTGGTGTCCAACTCACCATGGCGGTATCTCAACGATTTCAATCTTGGGGAACTGGTGGCTACTGTTATGTCTGTCTACCATGGGTCAATCCGTACCAGTGGCATGCCTTTTCGTTGTTTGAAAATCCTGCCGATCCATCCGAGCGACAAATCTTTGTGCAAAAGTTGGGGAATTGGACGACCCAAGTCCATAGCATGTTGGGACGAGAGACATCACGACCAGTGTGGGTGGCAGGCCCCTTCACGTCGCCATATGGGCGTGCTGACAATTTCGATAATCAAATCCTTGTGGCGGGTGGTATTGGTATAACACCAGCCTTGTCCGTGATTCGACATCTCAAGGATACCAGACGATGCAACTTGATCTGGTCCACCAGGGACCGTCACATGCTGGAATTTTTCATCAAGCATGCGGATTTGAGTCATCGAGGATGGAATTTGGTCTTTTACACGGGAAAGGAACAATTGTTGGGGATCGAAGACGTGGTGGTGACAGGGAGCGGGGCCACCATTCACATTATTCGAGAACGTCCCAAGCTGCATTACATCATTCCCAACATTATCTATGGTATCGAATCGGCGACTTCCGTGCCGGAGCAGTTTATTCCAGATAACAAAATTGTTGCAATGGAACTCTTGCAGGAGAAATTGACCGAGTTGGAAGCCGAACCAGACTTGGATTCGCACGAAAAGCTGAGTGAATTGGTGAACTATTGTGACGAGCTTGGATACTTGTTCAGTGACTTGATATCAACGCTTCCCAATCACGAAGAGTTGACCAAGGCACCAACTCTGGCATCTGTAGGCAACAAGAGCAATCGATCCGTTCTAGATGCCATTCTGAACTTCAATGGCAATACTAGTGATGCGTCTGGTGGTGGTGTCGATTCGGACGACGATCGACGGAACATGTTTGCCGGCTCCAGGGGTTCCAAGGGACGAGCCAGCAGTCGGAACATGCTAATCAATGCAAGTCGAAGAAAGCTAGGTGGCTCTAGTCTTCGTCGAAGGCGTGTATCCTTTGCATCTTCATCTATTGGAGATGAACGACGATCAAGTGGTGGTGGTGGTGGTGGTGGAAGCAAAGGCAGAGAGTCCATCACTACAAGCACATGGTCTACTCTGGCTGCATCCATTCAGGTTGTCAAGACAATGAAAGGTCTCGGGGGACTCGGAAGTCTAGGGGAAGATAGTGAGGAGCTTGACCCAGAAACGGCCATCATGCCAAGCATGTTTGACCAACTGGATATCCCGTTCAAGCCATGGGATTACAACAAAGAGGCGGAAGAATATGTGAAGAAAATGGGGGACGATGAAGTTAGCACATGGGGTGTACTGTACTGTGGCGGGAAATCACCTTTGTATCGGGCATTGAAGAAAGCTGCCCGAAAAGCAAACGTGGAAATGCACGAAGAATCCTTTGCGTGGTAGCAATTTTTATGTTTCTTTATATATTATTGAATAGTCTATTTTACAAGATAGTGTGATGAATACTTATTTACAAAAGAGTACACCCCGTACTTTCGCTTGGATGCTAATGCTTTATACCGGTAGACATAATAGTATCGAAGCCCAAGGAAGAAGAGGCGTGCGTTTTATATAGCGAGTTCAATAGTACTACATAAAAGTATGGTCCTCGAATACTGTCCTGTCCCTAAAAATATATGTACTCTTAAAAGTTATGTAGAGTGTTTTTCTATTCCTAAACATACAATAGTATTCCGCCGCCCCAAGTCAAAAAACAAAAATCGTGTCTAGGGTTGTGGTTCCTAGAACATCATGAGACTTGGATGAGCAGGCATAGGGAGATCTTCTCGGACTTTCCAGATGAATCCAACCTCATTGAGTTTATTCATTCGCTCCACAGTCATACTGGAAGATTTGTTGCCTGCCCAAAATAGCTTATATTGCCTTCTCTGGCACTTGATCCAGGTGGCTAGTTCTGGATTCGCGGGGTAGTTCGATGGAACGTTGCAGTCCCCATGTTTCTCACGGTATTCTTCGAGCTCCTTGAGACGATTGACCCAGGCAGTTGCATGAGAATCCCATACAAAGCCAATGTCTTCGAGCTTCTTGATACGAACATCGGTCATGGTGGATGGAACTTTTCCAGCGGCCTTGAGCTTGTATTGGTATCTTTGACGTTTCACCCATCGAGACAAGACTTGATTCTCGGGGTATGTGTGGGGGACGAGGCAATGCCCTTCTTGTTCCTTGAACTTGAGGAGCTCTTCGAATTGTTCTTCCCATTGTTTTTCTTGGTACCCACGGAAGCGTGGTTGTTGGTCATTGGAGATGCGCCTCTTCTTGGGCCTTGGGGGACAGGCTGTGATGGGGGGTTCTGCAGCCTTTCTCACATTGATGGGTACATTGGACACATTGGACACATTGGATACATTGGCCATTCTGGGCATTGTGGACATGCTGTTCAAGGCGTCAGGTTCACATACTACACCCAAGGCAAGGTCCAAAACACCCTCCAAGATAGAGGCATCCATGGGCGGAGCAGAAGTTGTTCTGGTATTCCCCCCAATCGGGACTGGCTCAAAGGCATCTGCGGGAAGATCCCCAAACAAATGAGAGATTCCAGTTGTATCACCAGCTAGAGGAGAATGATGGAGACTGGTATTCATATTCATATTCATATTCATATTGTACTGAGACTCAGAGTGAGCCGAATGACCAGAATGAGAAACAAAGGAAGGCGGTGCTTGCATCGGATGATGATCAAAGCCCATTGGGTTATTCGATAGCGAAGCCATCATACTTTGGAGCAACGAAGGTGTTTGTTCAGGAAGAACAACACCGTTCATCTTCTTGGATGAGTTGCCATGAGCATTGCTTGTAGTCGTTTCGGAAGTATCAAAGGTGATATTCATCATGAGAGAGAAAAGGATTCTACAAGTGCAAACCGGAAAACGAATTTGAAACTATGAGAACTTCCTCACTAATGATAGAATTTCGCTGTTTTTGGAGGGGCGTGATAGGTCGTAAAATGTTTGTAAAAAGGCTCCTTTGGCTCAAAAACTGATCTCAAAACAATTAACGTCAAAAAGCGCGAAAGCAGTTTTCATTGGTCATAATCCCTTGGCGTTCTGGCAAAGAATAGTCATTATTGGATCATGTAATGGCGCGGATGGTTTGATTTCTTTGAAACGAACGCGAATCGACAGTGGGAGCGTTATGATTTGTTTTGATACGAACGCAGAACGCGCATAGATAGAAAGATCATGCGAGCTATCGTTTCTGATGAGCGATGCCGGTGCGTTTTTGTTTTAATGTTACGGCTTACGCGTGTTCTTTCGTGTTTAGCGCAAGGCTGACGTGTCTTCTGTCATGCTTGTCTCTTAAAGATCGGGAGCAAAAAATTGGAGGAGAGAACAAAAAGGTGATGTTCCAACTCGTCCTTTTTCACGTGTAGCTGCAAAACACATAACTTCCATAACTGAGAATACTTCGCATACAATTTCTACTCCGACTATGAGCAGACGCAGGCCTATTTACTCAACGAAGACGACTCAAGACATTTGTCGAGATTGTTAGTCACCTTTTTGCGAAAGTTCTAGCTTCTGGCACAGGAGGTACGGTACTCGTATTCTAATCCATTTTTTCAAGACAGACATCGAAGGCGTTTGCGCAATGAAGCTCGTAACTCTGGTTCTGGTACCTTTTAGCGCTCGAGGAACTAGAAGTCAGTGCTTCGCCGTTGTCACTTTTTGGCGCGATTTTGGAATTACAGTGATCACATATATGGTACCTGTACCGGTACCACTCACCAGATACTCGTCTGCTATTTCATTGTCAAGATATTTAAGTCGTTTGCGTTCGTCATTGCTTCGCTTGCTACTTTGATCTCAGTCCCTTTCCAATCAATGTTGAAAACAGGAAGTACTGGTACTGTAGTGCTCCCTCTCCGTGGTTACAATACCACGTACCATGTACTGTTCCGCTGGGCTGCATGCAATTTACTCAACCAAGACTCTTTCATCAGAGCGAGCGAGACAAGTGACTATTCGTCACCGCTTGACGCGAACAGGTGATACAGCACCAGGTTCTCGTAATCCATTCCATCGTGTGATCGCTTGAGGTATTTTATATAATTCGCGCTACCGTAGGACCGTAGGACCGTGTACCTGAAATCTGTTTGTGCTCCCAACCAATGCAATGAGACGATTGGTCACCGCTTGCCGTGGTCACTTTTTGCCACACTTTGCTTGTGGTCCCTTTTGGATATTATAGATCATATATCACATGGTACTCACCAGAAAATCTTCCACTAGTAGTTTCATTGTCAAGATACTTCTCACAGGCGTTTGTGTACCTCATTGCTTCGCTTGCTTCTTTACTCATGCCAGTCGCTTCCAATCAAGGTTTAAAGCTCGTACTAGCAGTGCAACGGAAAGCTCGCAGTACCTAGTGCTTGAACTCTGTTGCAGTGTACCAGTAACTTTGATCGAAATCGACAACATGCCACCACGATGGGCTGTATGTGTAGGCAGCCTGCTTCTCTACCGAATCCTACAGTGAACAACGTCTTCATGCGATAAAAGAAGTATATTCACACGGCTTAATGACGTCTCATATGATCCGCATTACTCGCCCTGCATCAAATAGCCATGCGGTGCAGCCTTGTCTGCTTCAAACAGCAATTAATCAAGAAACAAATCCACTAGACCACCAGGTGTAGCCGAATTGGCTCGTTGAATCTTGTTGTTGGGAACATGGTCCAAAAGTTCCACCTTTGATTCCAATTCAATCGTCCAGTCGAGAAACTTGCGGTAACGGGCACTGCTGACATTATCGTCGTCGTCGTCACATTCATCGCCTTTCTCTTCATTTGACTCCAGAAAAAAGTTGCGAGGAGGTGGAGTTCCCTTGTCCACATAGGTCGATTGAAACTTCTGCAGCCAATGTAACATTTCGTCAATCCATCCATCATCTCGATGAATTCGAATGATAAGAGCCCCCGATGTGGCCGTCTGTCGCACCATGATGGCTGACTGACATTCTGGGCCCATGCAATACATTTCCATCATTAGTTGAGGGACGTAATGAGGCAAAACTCCAGCCCTCTTGTTGTTGGATGATTTGTCATTGCCATTCGGAAGCAAGTTGTTGTGCGGACGAACGACATATCGACTTTGAGAACGATTGTTATTGTTGTTTCTGGTACTAGAGGCAAAGAATGGACAATGGTTCTTCACTTCCAATACTTCTGTTCGTCCGTCCGGATGACATATCAGACCATCGGGTGTTGCCCCTAGAATCAAATTGCTTCCTTCCAGTTGGATTCCTGCCCCACACATGCCGATCTCTTGGAGTTTTACATCCGTTCCAACTTGTTGTACAAAGTAGTTCAGTGCCGTTAACAATGCTGTGGATTCTTGAGTGGACCCCCATATCATGCGAACCGAGTAGTCAAACTCGGATGACGAATGGTGATACCTGTGTCTCATTTCCTGCAACCGCTCCTTTCGTTCATCTTGATTCACTGGTATGCAATACCTTGCGGCGAACTGGGTTTTGCTATTATTGGCACGATTGTTTGGAAGCCATATGGACGAGTCCTCTTGTTGTTGTTGTTGTTGTTGAGAACTGGTGCTGATGCTTCTGCTTTGGCCAATATCATTTCTGTTAGTATTCTTGGACGAGCACAAGACCACATTCATTTCCTCCAAGGTTCTCAACGCCGGTCGTCTCAATCGGTGATAGGCTCCCATGCCACCCCTAAGCCAACTTCTCGGAACTCCCAGTATTTTGCCCGCTTCGGGTTCCAAAAAGCCCAACGCAGCAACTGCCTGAGAAGTCGTACACCGCCCCTCATGAACAGCATCCCATTGCCATGACTCTTGGCGGAACTGACGAATGTCCTCCAATTTTGGTATGCAATCAATGCTTTCTGGCAATGGAAGTGGTACGAAATTCGGATGCTCACGCAAATGGTCCATGGGGACACATCGCCAATAGACATCTGGAAAGTTTCCATGCCGCCGTATTTGTGGACTAGCCGATGATTTGTTGTTGTTGTTGTTGTTGCTGTTGCTATTCATTTTCTTTCCTTTCTTGCTTGCCTTTTTCTTTTTCTTTTTGTTGCTGTTGTTCGTCATTGCGTTTGGTTTATTGGATTCGTCGGGTGACGTTGTCAATGAATCATCATTCAGCTGTTGCGAGGATCTATCATTCACGTTCGTTGCTTGTTCCATACTGCATGATTCTTCCATAGGTATACGAGACTCCTGCAGCTGAGATGGAATCAAAGAGTAAGCAGTTTGTCCTTTTATTTTCTTGTTCTTTGGAACTCGCTGTTTCGATCGAACTGATGACTGCGGTGATGAAAGAGACGACATCATAGCCTGCGAAGGTATCAGGCACAATTCAGTGGTGGCCATTCTTCTGTTGGAAGATGAGGCCTGATGTACCAAACTTGAGCAGCAGATTGTCAGCGATAGGAGAAGCAGATGTAGAAGTAAGCAGTCGAAAGAAAAGGCAGGGAAATAACCACAACTTTTCATTATGGATCATAATGTTGATGTGGAAGTCTCGCTGCATGCGATGCTATAAAATATTGTTCAGAATTGATTTTTTTAAATACGTCTTTGCTTCGTCAGGAAGCGATGAGCACTACCATTTTGATTTTGGTCAAAGCGGAACAAGGTCGTACCGGAGCACCTAAACTACCTACCATACGGTACCTACCAGTACTCTGCTAGGAATCAATCAGCAATTCGTATTTCGGTCCTATGAATCGAATCATACATATTGATCAGCTGCTCGTTCATTTCGAATTTCGTTTCGTTCCAGCTTCAGAGAACCCAGCCCGCGCGAAGCATTTCTCTACATTTAGGGTTCCCGCTTTTAAGGAGTGTTGGCGCAGACTTTTCAAGCAATTCTTGAAGTTTCGCCCTTTCGCCGCGTGACTTTCATAAGTATTTTTTTTTCGTTGTCTCGTGATAACATGTCCCAGTGACAACAGCCTCACTTATCCGAATCTTATCAGAAATGCGTCGAACCTGTTCCAATGCTTGGGTCATGTCGCAACACTTATGTCAACCAACCGAACTTCGGTGACGGATGAGAATTTTTTTATATAGCAACACTACGCGTGAGACTATGGCGAAATCCGGTCGCAACCACCCCAATTCCCACTCACACACTCGATCGAGAAAACTGCCGCTCAAAAATCGTTTGTTTGCAGTTGTTTTGCATCATCACAATAATACCGGTATATCACTGACTTCTACTTTTATCATCAGAAGGGTATACTAGTACGGTAAAAACAGCAGAAGTAACAATGGTATACCAAACGTTTCCATTTCGTCTGTACAGCATCCTTGAAGAGTCTGCCAAAGACGAAGAGGAGTCTAGCATCATATCGTGGACTCCATGTGGCAAGAGCTTTAAGATTCATGACCTCGATTCCTTTCAGGAGCGCATTTTGCCAAAGTACTTGCCCAAGCAAAACAAGTTCAAGTCATTCAAGCGACAGCTGCAGTACTATAGCTTCACAAACTATGGAGCCAATCTCTATGGGCATCCTTCGTTCCTAAGAGATGACAAGTCGCTTCTGTCTCAGATTGAACACAGAGCAATGAAGAAGACGAAGATGACCACTCTGGCTTCTTCCTCTTCTTCCAAGCCATCAAGCACAAACGATTCCAAAGCATCGGCCTGTGCTGATCTCTCGAAAGAAGATTTGAGTACTCCCAGTGCCACTGCTTCCACTACTGCTGCTACTTCAAGCTTGTATTCTGTGCGAGGTAGTAGTGGTAGTAGTGGTAGTAGCAGTGCTAGAAGTGCTACGATGGCTTCTATAATCGATGATACTTTGCGATCATCACAGTTTGCAGCAGCTTCCAGAATCCCCAGAGAAGCTGCTTCTCTTCACGACCAACTTCTGTTGTCGCTTGCGTCTCCCTTATTGCAAGGAGCAGGCCGCAACCTGGCTTCGCTACCGAGGAGCATGCTAATGTCTGGAGGTATTAGTCAACCCTCTAGTACCACAGATGCTTTGCAGTCATCGCAAAGTTCATCCTCCAAGAAAGTAGAGGAGAACCTCCTATCCACCCTTATGGCTCAACAACTGCTACTACCATCCTCCTCCTCGTTGACATCACCTTTGAAATCGCAACAACTGCAGCAGCACCTATTGACACTCGAATTGGGGTATCATGGATATCAACAACAACAGCAACAACAACAACAACAACAACGCATGATGATGAAGCAACAGCAAGATGAACTTCGGCTCATTCTCGCCTTGACGGGCAATCCAAGTGCCGAACAACGAACTTTTGCTCAACAACAACAGCAGCACTTCCAGCAGCAACGAGAGAGTCTCGAGAAGTTGGCCCTCTTGAACGGAGCCCTACATCAATATGGAGCATAGGTATAGCAATAGGTATAGCAATAGGTATAGCAATAGGTATAGCAGTAACAACAGCAGTAACAACAGCAGTAACAACGGCAGTAACAATACCGGTAGCAGTAACGATAGCAATATCATCGATTAAAAACACTACAGTAGATTCACAGGACCCCTATGACATAGTGGTGATGGTAATCATGGAACATGCGAAAACGACTTATTGGTTCATTTCGAGCTCTTCATTTTGCTTTCGCAGAGCGCGTGTTCCGAAACGTCAACATGCATGGTAGTGCTCACCTTGGACACAAATGTAGACCACCACCAGTTTCATTACCAGATATCAGTTGTCCGGCATCGACGTACAGGTGAAAGTATCAGTACACCCCCCTGTGAAAGGTAGGGCATAAGATTGACACCAAACGCCATTTTCGATGGCACAGAGTTGCCTTGCGAAGTTCTCGCATTATAAGTACGCTTCAGGCTGAAATACCCCACTTTCGCCACCGTCTCACACAGATATCGTCTAAATCTTGAACAGTGAGGTCAAAGTACCAGTTTCCATCTCACATTGCTCGCGGTTATATATGTATCTTGCGATATATCATGGCTATTCTGAGATGCTTTTTTGCATTTGCATTATCCTCCCTTGTTCGTAGAATATCTTTACTTGTTCAAACAGTACTAGACCACCGCACTTGTACGGTAGAGTGCGAATCCGAACCTCGCAAACGTGGCGAGAACTACATAGCCAAGTTAAGGAAGGGACATATTGATCATGGTGCGCAGTTTCGTGAGGTTCGTTGTTTGTTGACGCCAAAATGCCAACCAACGAAATTCTTTCTGTTTGGAACAAGAATGAATCCATTTTACTTATGGAGGGATCACGCGCAGACTATCAAAGAATAGTTGCTGCTCAGTGGCTGAATATACAATGCAAGTGCATAGGACACAAAATAACAGTCGTTTCTATTTTCCACAATCCGGATTGCGCACGATCTCACAAAACTACAAAATCAAACAAAAATCAAACAACAAAATGGTCCAGCGCACTTTCCCCTTTCGTCTTCATGCCCTCCTGGATCAAACGTACGACTTGGACATAGATGGCGAGTCTGATATCATTTCCTGGACTCCAAGTGGAAAGACCTTCAAGATTCACAATGTCGAAGCCTTCAAATCGAAGATCCTTCCCAAATATTTTCCGAAACAGAGCCAGTATAAGTCCTTCAAACGACAGCTACAGTACTATGGCTTTTCAAACTTTGGCTGGGAACACTTTGGGCACCCATACTTCTTGAGAAGACAAAGGGAGCTAGTAGCTCACTTGAGACACAAGAAGACTGCTCGCAATCAGGTCATTCTTGCAGAGCCTTCTTGCCCCACGCCGCCCACTCATCCGCTCACGGCGAGTCTAAACGACTCCGAGCGTCAGAAGAAAGCTACAGACTTGCCTTTGAATCGCGAAGCACGTATCCAGCCACCGTCTTTGAGCGTCACGGCTCAACTGGGTGCTGATCCAGTGAAGCTTCAACAAGAACTCAGTACATTGGCATGCAACAGCAACATCTATGCTCTGCTGAATCAGCAAAGACTATTGGATTTGATGTTGACGACCTCAATGCCTCCGAGTCTAGCTTTGAGGTCAGCAGCAGGAGCCCAAAACCTAAATCTCTTTACCAACAACAACAACCACAGGCATCAGCAGATCGATTCACAAGATCTTCTCTGCCGCTCAAACAGACTTGCTGAATGGCAGCTTCGACTTGCGCTCTCCAACAGCGGCCAATTATCAGGCATGTTGTTGTAAATCTACCGAAACTCCCCATTCGTGAGCAAGAACAGCAACAACAACACAGTTGAGAGTGTGACTCCAGGTGGACCAACGCACATCCTGATTAGGTGTGATAATAAATAGACAGCTAACATATTCGTCACATATCGTCTACCACCACGAACTCGTCAACTAAAATCCCGATATGCGCACCCACCATTTTGGTTGGTTGTCATGATGAATTTGGTTCCTGTGGTAATGCGACTATGCAGGAATGAGTTGGTCCCGGTTATCCTTTCCCCCCAATAATAGCTTGCGATAGTTGATACGGTATTCGGCATTATTGATGACATCCAACGTACTACAGTAGTGGTGAATGCTTTTCACTGCGACAAATACGAAACCGCAACCAGCTCGCTAGCCAGATGGTCGTTGTTTGACGTGCTCGCGATCGCTCATATCTTTCAAAGTAGTTGCAGTTAGTAGAGAACTGCAACGCAGTGGGTAGAGAACTGCAACCAAGGTGTTTCCAGCTGGTTTTGATTCGCCACAACAGGCCATTGGGTTGTCATAAAATAAAAGTGGTTACAACCACCAGGGGTGGCGCGTTCCGTTTCGCTGGGTTGACACATACACCTACTGTATTATGCTTCGGACAAAAACGAAAACTGTACTTCAACAGTATGCGCTCCATTTCAGAATAGGTACCATACCAGGGTACTATAGCAGAAAGGGATGCGCCCAGCAATACGATGAGTCTAAACCCACACTTTTTCCTCCTCAAAACTCAGAGCACACACAGTACGATTAATGCAGACATGCGGCCCCGAGAACCTTTCCCTTTCACCTTCACTCAATGATGGAATCAGCTCCTCTTGATCTGGACAGTCCCTACTGCGAGGCCAATACTGTCGCTTGGACTGCTTCGGGAAAGACTTTTCAGATTCACAATCTCGAAGCTTTCAAGGCCGACATTTTGCCAAAGTACTTCCCTAACCCGAAAAAGTACAGGTCCTTCACGCGCCAGCTACAGTACTATAACTTTAAAAACTTTGGTAAGAATGAATTTGGACACCCGATGTTCATGAGGAACCGGAAGAAGCTTCTCCATCGCATCATGCACAAGACTGTCAAGCGCAAGTCACCACGATTACCACGTCCAACACAGCAGGAAGCATTTCCGATGATATCGCACCTTCGAAAAGGGAGAATGCTTGCGGAACATCATCACAAGCTTGTATTCTCTACGCTTGCAACAATGCAAGAGTTTCTTCCAGATGGCAAACAAATGTTCGAGCAACCGTATTATGTGAGTCTTCACAGCCCTTTAAATTCGCTCCACAATGTTCGAGAAGTCTGGTACACGCGCTCAATGCTGAAAGAAATGGTGTTCGCTGGCAATGCTTTAGACATTCCCAGTCCCAATTCGATCAACCAGCAACTCGCAATACCGCAAACGGTAGGAATAGGATCCCTCGAAGGATATGCTTTGAAATGGCTGCAGCTCATCCAGGGCCTAGGTAGCAACGCCAGCAATCCATGGGATTTTCTACTGTGTCTCTAGCACCTTGAAGAGGTGCCCATCACCTTGATACAATACCCACATACATGCTACTAAGTTTCGATTTGCGATGAAATAGCTTCTTCCAGTAAACTAGAGAACCATTTGAATCGACAATGCTGATAGATACTTGCTCCCACCCAAGCCATCTTGCATTCAGCCTGCAGTGAGCTACAGTTCGATTCCAAATCTTCGAAGCCATGACGACTTTGGTTCTCGATGCACATTCAATTCGTGCTTGATAAGTCGATCACTGATTTTCAGCTTGCGAAGCGACCAAATTCCCTTGAGATTACCTCGAACGGCCAACAAGTTCTCCTTCATGAGCTGTTTGCGATTATCGTGGACCGTTTGGTTGACACTTTGAATCTTGGAGCGAAGGTGTTGGATATCTTGGTCAAATTGTGACTCTGAAGAAGAATCATCGGCCAATGTTGCCTGATCGTGAACCTTGATGGTATAGATCTCCGACAAGAGCTCCTGTGCGCCGTGACGAAGCTTTGCATACTGCTGATTCAAAAAGGCCATGTCGGCTCGTTCAGAATTGTATCGATTGTAAATAACTTCAAAGTTTGTCCCTCTTGACTTTCCTTTGAAGAATTCAGCAAACTCATCTTCAATTTTTCCATGATTCAAATCCCAAACCACATAGACATAATCCATTTGATCCATTAGATGTTCATAGAATGTACGATAGGCACAATCGTGATGATATTCATTTTGCCATCCCGGCATGTCCAAAAATACAAAGCCATCAAATTCTGAATTGGTATCGGCCACATCCAAGACATTCGGGAGCCCCTTGCCACAAACCTCGTGAGTGATTTGTTGCATGTGACCCATGAGTTGACAATTCTGTCTCCGTTGAAAATCGTCACTCTGAATGGGACCATTGTAGGGAGAACCCATTGTGAGGCAAATGAATTTGTCCGTGGATGGTGCTGGGGCAATTTGCGAAGTAGAATAGTTGTGGCCCAGCAAGGAATTAATAATGGTTGTCTTGCCAGTGGACCAGGAGCCCGCAAAAGCGATCGTAATGGGGCCACCACAAAAGTTGGAACTCACGGATTGCGTCGTGTCAAGACCTTCCATGACATAGTTGTAGCGACAACAGACATCAGTAGCTTGGTTCTGACGATTGGATCCATTTGCCAATGTCTTTTCCTGAGAGTTCTGGTCGCGGCAATATCCAACTGGGGAGATGAATGGAATTACATGAAGAAACAGGAGCCACCCGTACAGGATGATCAGCAGCACGTGAATCCCATTTCGAAATGGTGGCTGTTCCCATTGATTTGAGGAATTTTTGTGCATAGGTCTCACTATAAAGAAACGCATCAGAGAGCCTTGAAACGGTCGCAGAGACGCAATCGAATTTAATTCAGTCTTGACCTTATCATAATTGTTCTTCCAAGTTGATACGTGATAGAATCCCAAGAGAAGCCAGCATTGCACAAAGAAGATTTCATACTGTTCAAGCAATAGGACCCGAGAGTAATGCAAATAAAAGATCCCTGACATGGCAATCACAATAGAAAATGTGTGAAATTTAGATTCCCAATTCGTTGACACGACCCAATGGATCAGGAACAAGCTATAAGACAGAATTCCTAGAAAGAAAATCAAGGCTCCATGGTCCCTGATGGCTTCAATGAAGGGTAATTTCACTAGCTGTCTCTCTAGAAGTTCTGTCACTGGCCCTGTCATGAATGATATCTTGTGATGAGAATTATTATTATAATACACCTTTCGCAATTTTGCGGACCAGATTATTGGCAGGCGGGCGCGCGGGTGTGATTGATTGATTGATTGATTCATTCGATCAAATCTAAAAATGCTACAGGTACCTTACTCTTGCCTGTGCTGTACATGTTAGAAGTTGATAGTATTCTCGATGACCCTAGTTTGTGCTCAGAAAGAACCTCGCCACCAGGAACCTACTCGACGCGGGTACATCTGTCCACAAGTGCCTTTCCAGAAATAGAAACAACTCCACGGTTCGCTCAAACTTCGACACTTCGACTCGAAACGTCTATCGTCAGCAACATGATACCATCAAAATGTCTCAAGTGTTTATTGATGAAAAACGTGGCACGAGATACGCTCTAGTTATATTTTGACAGCGGATTTACTAAACGATGTCAAGGGGGTTCCCCTCCTGACAAGTACCATGCGCACGTTCCGTAGCACAATATTCGTCTCACAATCTCCTCAAGCTCCAAAAAGTATCCAAAGCAAAACACTGAATCATGGCATATCCTCGTACCTTTCCATTCCGCCTCCATGCCATCCTGGAACACATCTGTGACACACAGGATGTTGATGCTGAGGGCAGCATCGTCTCTTGGACTCCTACTGGGAAAAGTTTCAGGATTCACAACCTCGGCGCCTTCAAGAAATGCGTTTTGCCGAAGTACTTCCCAAAGCAGAGCAAGTACAAGTCTTTTCTCCGACAGCTGCAATATTATGGTTTTATCAACTATGGCTTCGGCCACTTTGGTCATCCCTTCTTCCTTCGACAGAACAAGGCGCTTTTGTCCCAGATCAAGCACAATAAGGCAAGCACCTCTGTTTCTGCTGCTGCGGCCGAAAAACGTAAAGATTATTTGCTACTACCAGAATCACCAACGCAAGGGGGCGCCAGAGAATCGTTGGACCGGTTCATCATCGAGGAAGTTACTGCTCGAGATGATGATGCCCAACACACGGTAAAATTCAATTCGAATGCCCTCACAATGTTGGCTTTGCCTCGGTTGCGGCATGCGGAAGTGTTGGCGCAGGTGAAACTCGGACTGGCGTCACTACAAAACGCTTCCCGGTCATCACATTTGAGCTTGGTCGACATTCAAGCTCTCAATCATTGGACAGTGAGATGCGGGCGACAAGAACTTGCCAGACAAGTCCTCCTATCGTCATTGACATCAAGTCCGTTGAGCCTGAACAACATGCTTGCAAGACGACAGGTTGACCTTGCGCTACTCAAACTAGGAACTGCCACCACCTTCCATCGACAGGACTAATAGACCAATAGCACGTTTTAGAAAGGAATACAACAAAGTTATAATAGTGCAAATTTACCAGGGAAACCACTTCTGTTTCTCAGCCTGAAAAACTTGATCCCGATGACGAATGCATCTGGGGTATACCATCCCTGTACATACAATATTCTCTGGTGGTACTTGTACACGTACCAGGCAAAGTGCTGAATGGAATGCTTGGTTCCAATAACTTGGGTACTGCCTCTATTATTACGCACTAAAACATGTATTGAAAGCGATTTATGGGGAGGAACGAGTGAGTGAGTGTTGTGTGTGAGTGAGTGTGGTGTATTTTATTATTAAAATAAATTTATCGTTTTTTTTATGTAGACAACACGCAGAATGAGCGAAACACCGGTCACAAAAGTGGAGAAGTATGCTTCGAAGATGACACTCGTTCTTCATGCCGTTAAGAAGTTTCTCTCAACTCGTCTAGTAGAACATTTTCATTTATAGATTTGGTTTAACTTCAACTTGTGAGAAGTAAATGTAATAAAAAACGTCCATCTCATCTAATCTCACAATCAGAGATATCAATATCAGTATGACACAACACCTCTTCCCTGTTAGGCTGCATGCCCTACTGGATAAAGTCATGCAACTCCTACCTCAATGACGAAGCAAGGATCATTTCCTGGACTCGAGACGGGCAACAGATTCGTAATCCATGATTTAGGGGCCTTCAAGACTCCTCGTATCTTGCCAAAGTATACTTTCCGAAGCAAAGCAAGTACAAGTCATACCGGCGTTAGCTCCAGTACTATGACTTCTCCAGCTATGGATCGAGTCGCTTTGGGCATCCGTTCTTTTTGAGAAAGAATACGGTTCTCTTGGCCCAAGTCAACCCAGAAGAACGGATACACAAAGCCAACTCTGCGCAATGAGCAGGTTCTAGCTTTACAAGAACGGCTGTCCCAAGAGATAGCGAGAGAATCGGTTGACATGATGACCGCAGTCCTTTCCTGAAAGATGAGAAACGAACAACACGAAGCTGTAACTGAAATCAAGCAGACGCGTTAGGAACAACGCCAGTATCTCATTGGAACCAACACAAACTTTCAGGTCACTCCGCTGTCTGCATTATTGCAAGGTTCTCTCACTCCTTTTCGTCATTGCATCCTCAATGCCATTGAGCAAGAAATTTCGGCTTTGAGCAGCAGGCGCTCACTTCTGTCGAATCAGCTATGCGACAGAGCAGATGGATCTCACACTTTTCCAGCTTGCTCGCAATCAGAGCGTTGTACCCTCTTTCGATCTGCCGAGTATCTCGAGAGTTGAAGCAATCATGGGAGTACTGCATTCAACCTTTATGATAGGGCTTGTTGCTGCACTATCCATTCTTTAAAACTTTCGCCTTAGCTATACTTTCATCTTGTTTTGTGGTTCCAAGAACGATATCCTCTCAATACAATCAATTGAAGAAGCTATAGCTTTCATCTCAACACCGGGCATTTAAAATAGCATGCTCGACAAGCCAGCAGTACTAGTACTATCATTCTTGGCCAGGATAAGGCTTGATACCGGGCTGAAGAAGGACCCACCTGGATTCCCAGGAATAGCAGATGCACCGGACGGTATCTGGCAATGAAGCATATGCCGCAGGCTAAGGAGTTTGCGTAGACCAGCAATATTATGAATTAGCGTCTTTGTGTACTGGTAGGGTCCCGAGGACGGGACTCTACGCACTGCTAGAAATTTCACACAATTCTAACTGCATTTCGCTACTCAGTTTCAGCATCAGAGGTTTTACCGCTTACTAGTAATACCATCGATTGAAGTAGAAAATACCCATCATTCTATAGGTATTTAAATGCGATACCGCGATACCGCGCGGTACAGGTGATAGGTTCATTACCAGCTATTTAACCTGACTGAGAGAGTATGATTCACGAATGTCTCTAGCGTACAAGTAATAGTAAGACCTGATGATCCATTTTATATCTGTCAACGCGCTCACTATTATTCATCTTTGTATTATCGCTTGTTTTCTCTTGAGAGAACTCTTTTCGTTGATACAATGGACATGGCAGTTTCACCCATGACTTGGCTGTCCTCTACTACTACTGAGCTTGTTAGAATCATCTCTCACCCGAAAGCTTCATTGTCTCTCCTACAAACTAGCCCCGAACTAGCCTCCGCATCTACGGCAGCGGCTGAATTGGAACCAGAAGTCGCAACTAAGGTAACAGTACCCACTGTATTAGGCCAAGTTCGGTTGCTTCCACCGGCAGCTAAGAGGTTCAATAAGTTCGATTGCCTCCACGTCAGCCACGTACGTGGGTGATGAAAATGTCTGTTTCTTACAAGTGACAGGTATAGTATCGCGTTTATTCATGAATAGTACCGGTAATGTGGTATACGGTACGTGAGTGTATTTGCGAGATCCCGCCCAATGCACATTTGCTTCGAAACGCTAATATAGAGGTTGTTCTACATTTTATACATGCGTTCGGCACCGCGCCGCAAGAAGACGAATGAATCACATTCCACGACACATTTCGCAACGAATCAAAAAAATATCTTGTTTATTTTAATTATATGATAATATATATATATGTGCATGGGTCACGTGTAGGATTTTTGCTCCGCGGTTCTAACTATTTGAAGCATATTTTCCAATTATTGATTTTACAGGTGAGAAGAGAGAAAACGCCCCATCATCCATCCATCCATCTCACAATAATCAGAGGTATAGTATCAATATTAGTATGGTACAGCACATCTTCCCTGTAAGGCTTCATGCTCTACTGGATCAATCATGCGACTCCTATCTCCATGATGAAGCAAGGATCATTTCCTGGACTCCAGACGGCAAAAGATTCATAATCCATGATCTAGGGGTCTTCAAGACTCGTATCCTGCCAAAGTACTTTCCGAAGCAAAGCAAGTACAAGTCATTCCGACGTCAGCTCCAGTACTATGGGTTTTCCAGCTATGGATCGAGTCGCTTTGGGCATCCGTTCTTTTTGAGAAAGAACAAGGAGCTCTTGGCCCAAGTCAAGCACAAAGTGACCGTGAAGAAACAGACCAAGAAGAGCGGGCCCACAAAGCCAACTCTGCGCAATGAGCACAATAATCTGAGTCTACAAGCGTTACAAGAACAGCTGTCCCAAGAGATAGCCAGAGAATCGATCGGCATGATGAATCAAGCTAGATTCTCCTTGGATACGAGAAACCGTTTCGAACAACACAAAGCTGTAACTGAAATCATGCAGCCGCGTCATGTCGTACTCCATCAGTCTCTCATCGGAACCAACACAAACTTTCAGGTCACTCCGCTGTCTGCTTTGCAAGGTTCTCTCACTCCTTTTCGTCATTGCATCCTCAATGCTATTGAGCAAGAAATTTCGGCTTTGAGCAGCAGGAGCTCACTTCTGTCGAACCAGCTATATGCGACACAGCAGGTGGATCGTTCACTGTTCCAGCTTGCTCGCAATCAAAGTGTTGGTCCCTCTATCGATATGTCAAGCGTCTTGAAAGCTGAGGATCCAAGAATGTCAACGTGGCGCAGCTGAAGGGATTGAACTGGATGCATTCATCCTTAGGGTTAGAGGTTATTCTAATTTCATTGGCATCTCTTACATCGATTTTTTAAAAGTAAAGTAGGTATATAGCTATCATTTCAAGTCTCAACGGCATCCAACATCATGATTGACCAGCCATCTAGCTATTATGTGGCTTGTATTAGCCCTCTGGTGCAACTCAACTAAGACTATGCACTGGAGTGAGTCTATCCTATTGCTCGAGAGCACCATGAAACTCGGAGCCGAAACGCCGGGATGTCACGATACCTTGTAACGCATGTGCCGTCACGAGAGGTACCGACTTTTTGTGAAGGGGTCCCAGCTGGGGTCGCAGAATATAACGGGACCCTTCACCGCTGGTGCCATTAGCCACCGGTACACGTACGTACGAGTACTTTAGTTGTTGTATAGTATCAGATGTTTTACCACGTAATTCGTCGGAAAAAAAATGCTTTCTGCAGGATAATGGATTCAAAAACAATTATGAAACACGCGGTAGACCTGTGAAATGCACACTACGACGTTCGCTCTGGTTCGCTTCGCCTAGCAGCAGAGTGGTACTAAGGTAGGCGATACCGGACGTATTGAAATTGACATTATTATTGATTGATTGATTCATTCACGAATGCTGCAACACGTGGAATTTCAATTTTTCATCTCCTGATCGTCACAACAACAATGTCATCATTTACTCATTTGGTTTATGTTTTTTTGCGTGGTTCTCTTCTCAACAACAACAACAACAACAACAACAACAACAGCAACAACAACAACAACAACCACAACCAACATTCAAGTTGAAAAATGAAGAGATTACAAGAATTTGTCGTTGCTACAATCGTGATGACAGCCTCACCGTCGGTGTGTCTAGGCTTTCAATCGTCTACACAATCATCGTTGATGACGAGGAAACTGACTAGGAAACCAACGACAATAACTGCCGAGATTGCGTTATTTCATCATTCACCTTTATCTACTCTCCGAAAACAGTCTTTAGCTCCCCTCTTTGCCACAACGACTATTGACGAAATCACTGCAACACCAAAAGTCAGCAGTGTCAGTGTTTGTACTGCCGAATTGTGCAACTGTCAAGAAGAAGGCTTGTTCTCAGGCGATGACATTTTGGAAACCTTGAAGTCCAAGAATTTGCCGTATCCAGTAGAAGAAGCTCCCTGCCTCGGTGCTTGTGGTAAGTCTTTCCCTCTAGACTGCAGATTGAATTTGATCTGATTTACGTCATGCTATGTCATGATTTATCTATTGGCCATAAAGAAGAGTTGCTGATGAACCTGATGCATGTTCGTTGGACCAAAATTCTCATCACATTCTGCGTCTTTTTTTTTCTCCTTTTGTCGATGATTTCATGAATTATGCTCCTTCTATCCGGATGCTGCCATACTAATGTTTTTACATATACTACTCAGGTGGCGGTGCAATGGTAGCCATTGATTTTGAAGACGGAAGTGCCGCACTTGTGAGTGGAATTGATGAAACCTTGATGGAATTGGGACTGACGACAGCAGCACAAGACCATCATGGGGACATTGCGGCCATTGCTTCGGAAGCGGTCGAAACATCTTCCAACATTGCTGTTGACATATCTGAGGCGGAACCATCTGCCACAGGTGCCGACGCGGCTAATCCAGTTAGCACTTCGTCTGCCATTTCCTCAACAACATTGCCATCTTTTTCCTCATCTCCTTCCGAATCTGATGCGGTTGCTTCCACCACCAACATTCCTACGCCAGGTGTGCTTTCCAAAATAGCAGTAACCAAAACATCATCACCATCATCACCACCACCATCCTACCAAGATGCCCGTGATCGAATGCGAGCCCAGAAACAAGAACAAGCTGAATCAGCCAGCAATCCATGGTGGACTGCCGCTACCTACTTGGCCCAAAAGGCGAAGGAATCCATTATCAAGGAATCAAAATGAGAATGCAGATGAACCAGTATGATGGATCTTTTTGGGGCAAGCGCTAGATGCGCGACATGTGATGAGGATGCGGCCTTATTCTTTTTTTCTCTCCAAGCAATTGACAGGAGCCATATGATCCCATCATCATCAATCATGACCCCATGCGTATTCCAGAAGGCTGGCTGCATGCCTCTCCAGCAGTAGACTCTATATAGGACAGCATGCCATGCTGCCCTTGCCACCGTATGCGTGGCTGGTGGAGTGGTCGTGACGAGTCAATAAGAATTCAGCAGTTGGAACAAGAAGAAGCAACGAGAAGCAACAAAAGGCATTCTTGAATATGCACGATACTTGACAAGCATGATTCAGTCTCGCTAGCTATCGTCGAAATAGAAGCAACAAATGTACAATAGATGAAACATTGATATAGTTTCCGTGCATGGCCGCCACGACTTACAGTAGTCTTATTCCTACCCATCTTCTTTATCGGTTATTATTGCAGTTGATCTTGAAACGTGCAAGCTTCCACGAAGGTCTGTCTGGTACCCGTCGATAAGAACACTTTCGAAATTCTGCCTCAAATCGGTGATGACTGATGACACCGCACCTCACTTTCAACTTCCTGTCACAATCGATCATCCGAAGCCGTGTTTGGATATACACAGACATACCACACAGGCACAGCACACAGGCACAGCACACAGGCATAACACAAACCATGGCCCTCTCTAACAATGCTCATACTCCAACAACGCTTCAAGCCGTAAAGATTCCCTGTTGCTTATGCGGCACCATGATTTTGCCGAACAACGCCAATCAATGTGGAACGTGTTTGGCGCAAGACTTTGATTTGAAATCGGAATTGGAACGAGGACCTTCTGGTGCGCTTCATCCCACGATTTATCAATGTCGCAAGTGTCGTCGCTATCAAAAGACGCCTACTTACTACGAGGCCTGTGAACCAGAATCACCGGAACTCTTGGCCATTTGTCTGAAACACATTCCTGCTTTGCACGGCAGCAACTCCAGCAAGTACAAAGTTAAGGAAGCTTCCTGGATTTGGACGGAGCCTCATTCCATGCGCTTCAAGGTTAAATTGACGGTCCAAGCATTGGTCCAAAATGTATTAGTCCAGCAACGGGTCGCCGTCGAACTTCATTGTGGATGGCAACAATGTCCCGATTGCAATCGTGAATTCACCAATCGTACTTGGACGGCTCAAGTGCAATTGCGACAACGTCGTCAAGATCATGGACACAAGGGACTCATGACATTGGAACAAGCCTTGAGAAACAATGCTAGCATTCGCAAACACGTTCTGAGCATTGATGCAAGCCGAGAAGGTTTGGATTTTTATTTTTTGAATTTGCCTCAGGCCCAAATGTTTTCCAATTATTTGCGCAAGATTGCTCCCATGAAAGTGAGCAGTAGCCTCAAATTGGTCTCTACGGATTCGCACTCCAACACGGCCCATCGCAAACACACGATTACCTGTGAATTGGTCCCATTGTGCGTCCAAGATTTGGTGGTCATTTCCAAAAGTTGCAAAAACAACAAATTGGCCGGACGATTGGCACTCATATTAAAAGTCAAGAGTGTGGTCCATGCCATTTCCGCCTCGCCAGTACGACAAAATTTAGAACAAAGCATGGTGGAAGTGTCCCCCGATGCCTATTACAAGTACGAAAAGTCGTATCGAGTCTTGCAAGCCAGTAATCGATTGACTAGGTTCACGGTCATGGATGTGGAACTCTGTGACGAAGAATATGGTGGTGGTGGTGGCGGCGGTGACGAACAGCAACAGCAGCAGCAACAGCAACAACAACACCAGCTGTACAAGGGTCCCAATAGTGGCATTGAAAAGTATGCACTGGCCGACGTCCAAGTCGTTCGTGAATCGGAATATGGCGACATGAATGCCGAAGTCTTGTGTTGCGTCACCCATTTGGGTCATTTGCTCCAACCTGGTGATGTCGTCTTGGGATACGATTTGGCCACCTTTGTGGGAGATGGTGATTGGGATGCGGAATTGAACAACAGCTTTGTCGTTCCCGATGTGGTGTTGGTCAAGAAGGTGACACCCAAAAAGGGTGAATTGGATGCCATTGCAACTGGCACTACTAGTGGCAGTGTTAGCAACAAGGAGACTTTGGAACCCAAACATAAATTGTCCAAAAAGAAGCAACGTCGTCGTCGTCGCAAGGAAAATCGCAAAATGAAGGAATTGGAAGAACGGGTCGAACGCATGGGATTCTTGGACGATGAAAATGTGGGCGGCGAAGAAAATGGAGACGAAGAAGAAGAAGAATTTGATCAAGACTTGGAAGAAGATCCCGAAATGGCAGCTGAATTGCAAGCTCTGGAACAAGACTTTGCCAATCTGGAAGCGCAGCAAGGGCAAGGAGGAGATGATAATGGTAATGATGGAAATGGTAATGGTAATGATGATGGTAAAGGCGTACAAGCACAGCATGAGGTGGTGGAAGAGGCTAGATGATATCAATAGCATCCTATTCAATTAAAATACTACTGTAGCATGCTGCTGTGCCTACAATGCTAGACTATAGTAGAAATTACGTTGCTCCTAACAGAGGCAGAATACTACTGTGAGTCATGATACTGTACATAAGCGTTGCCATCAAGCCATTTCGTGTCGAGCACCTATTTTTTGATGCTGGATTCGCTGATGTTTTATACGTGTAACTTCACATGCGTTTTTTGTCATCCTGTATAATATTCCTTCCATAAACTATCAATATTCATATAATAGTGGTGGATTCTTGTTCTGCTGTTATACTAACTCCTCCTGCTTTAAAAAAAAGCCATGCCATTCTATTCCTCATTTCCGACAAACAACTACATACTATACTGCAATGCACAAGACCATCGTCATTCTCACAATCGTCAATCAAATCATTCACAATTCTAAAACAGGCGGAGTCAGTTTCACTATTTCGAAAAATCTGGGTATTTCCAAATTCTATCCCATTACACCATCGCAACTATAATGTGAGTGCAAATTCAAATGGTTTGACACATCACAGGCACATGATGTGTAATTTTTGGACGGCACACACATACACTGTAGAAACCTAGCTAGCACGGACTGTGAAGAAATGTGCTGCCGCCGATCATGCATGGAGTATCCTTGTAAAAACGAGGCGTACTGGTACATAGCTTCGTCTATCCCAGTAGTATGCTTGTTTACCGTTATACGAATGCCAAGTTCTAGCTAGTGACAGGTGAAAGGACCGTTCAAGGTTTCTGACCAAGCCTGCTGATGTTGGTTGCATGTGACTAGACCGTTCAAATTGAAGGGCATAAGTCTTTCAATTAACGATTATGGATGGTTGGAAACTCCCACCATTCCCCCCCTTTTTTCCAAGCAAGCCAATCCTGTTCATCCGTTGACTCGTACGCCAAATCTCCGAAACGAGTCATCGCTTAGAAGCGATCGGATATTGAAATTTTAATTAGGACTCAACGGTCCGGTAGGCGAGGATTCAATTAAGGCCACACGGACTATGTGGCATGGTAGCTTTCCTACTCAAGTCTACACGCCGTCATTTTTCAAAATTCCGGCCAGCTCGTCACACCTGCTTTCCCCAAACGACCAAATCTATTGGTTACAAGAAGTTGCAAAGGAAAGAATAATACCGGTAGCAGAAAGTATCACATCACATACTCCTGGTTACTCGCTCTCATACTTATTATTATTGCTATTATAATATAATATTATTGTACCGTATACAATAACCCAAACAGATAAAGTATGATTTCTCTTCGTTCCTTGGCACCTCTTGTGCTGACATTGCTTTCCATCACGTTCACCACGGTGCAAGCCGGTGTGGACTTGTGTGGAGCACCTGGACGATTGCCACCCATGGATCGATTCGATTGTTTGATCCACCAAAACCCCAATTTGAGCTGCGGGCAACTCTTCTTTCAAGTAGCGGCCATGAACCCCAATGCTTACACCAACCAAATGTTGGGTTTGTTCGGAAACATGTGCTGTAACGCCAATGTTGCCAAGCAATGCATTGGACATCCAGGAGGAAACCAAGGAGGTTCTGACACTAACAACAACAACAACTCCAACAACAATGTCAACACGGTAGGAAGACCCTCTGGCTATGGCGGAAGAGGTCCCAATGGAACCTGTAACATTTGCCAGAACGGTGGTACTTTGGACGATACGTACAACGCTCGTGGACAAAAGCTTCATTACAATCTTCGTTACATTGGCCGGGCCAACGCTGGTTTCTCGTGTCAACAATTCGATTGGTTGGGCAAGAATGGTTACATTCCCAACTTTATGTGCGGGCCTGTCATTAGCATCCTTCCACGATACTGTCCCGTCTGTTCTGGAGGTGGAGGTGCATCGCAGCAACAACAACAACAAGTAGCCGCACCCCAGCAAACCCAATCCTTTGGGGGAAGCGGTGAAAGTGGTTGTGGTCGATACCGCAACAACAAGAATGGATGCAAATCCGCTGGTTGCAAGTACAATAAAAAGTTTGGAACTTGTATTGCCAAGTAATTGTTCATAATAATTACCACCAAGAAGCAAGGGGCTAAATAAGCAAAGCAAAGCAAACAAGATATGCCAAGAGGCAGCAGCAGCTGGGATCTACAGATGACCTTCTTTACAATAAAGTAAGGGGAGCGCGCGAGAACAGTATTGTACATTATCTATTTAATGCATTATAGGTTTAACAACCATCATTATCATCTTGCTCTTTCTAGGTTTTGACTTTTGTACTCTCCTCTATTTTCGTTCAGTTACTGTAGTAGCGACATCTATCTATCGCCTCTCTCTCGCGTCCAAGGGCCAGCAACTCTTGCGTCACTCTTTCTTCGCCAGTAGCTTTTCTCGCTCATCGCCAGTTCGTGAAAAAGAATTTTCTGGGCTTTTTTGGTCCGTTACAGGCACGTGCGTAAATAATGGTACATGGTACTACCGGCGGAAGTATCAGTAGAGAACAGTACTGTAGGGTCCAATATTGGTATTTTGATTTATTTATTTATTGGTGCCGTACCTGGTACACGTGTACCACGCGTGGACAAAATGCCGTTCTGGATCCTCGCGCGTGATGGAAAGACGCCGCGGGAGGACGAGAGTGTGACGGTGGTGCGTGTGATGGTGTTATGTCAAATGATGGATTGATTCCCCTTATTGTGTGTGTGGAAGGTTCCCCCTTTCACAGAACGATCAAATCAAGAGGAGGGGATATAAGAAGGGGATGTGAAACTGGCAAAGGACGAACGAAGAATCAGAAACGAAAAGAAACGAAACGAAAAAAAAGGAATGATGTACAGCAGTACAAGTATTAATACGTGTACCGGTTTTAAAAAAGTAATAGGGTGGTTGCATTAGAAAGGGAGTCTATTACTATTAGAAGCACAACATCACGGCCCTCATGTACATTCATTTATTCATTCAGGCAATATCATAGAATAGCACAGATACCACCAGCCATTTAGAGGAAATAATAAAAAACGATGTATCACAGGAAACATACAGCATGTGAAATAATCTACAACAACAACAACAACAACAACAGGCAGGAGTCCCGTTGCTCGACAGCCAGGCAGGCCAGACCAAGCAATACCGATAAGTTCGTCAGCAAGAAAAATCAAGGACTGACCTGTTCCACCTGCCTGGCAGCTGTATCATAGCTACAAATAAAAGTTTTTCAGACCTACAGTACAAGCAAGAGCCCTTTGTGAAGGACGCGTCAATAGTCAATGCTAACTCAGAGTAGCGGGAGCATATTGGGAACATGAACATGAAGTGTACGTTCGCCAAGAATTTGTCGCTTCTCCAGAGAGGCATTGTTGTGTTGAAGACATCTTCGCTGATGGCACTTGGGTCTGCTATAGAACTGCAACGAACATTAGCGCTGGCAGTGGGGTGTGTGTAATTCGCCGCTAAGGCTCCGGATGAGAAATGAGGGTACATGGAAGAAAAAAAGTGTGAAATTAAGTTTGCGTTCTCTCTCGCAAAAACTAAACTCAAATACACATATGAATCCAATCGCAACCAACCATAAATTTAGGGCTTTATGTAAGCAGGACCTGGGAACGGAGGCGCCGGCACAAGTAACTGGTATTGGAGCCCGGTACAGCTCACAATCACATGGACCTTATTTGTTGGGACCTTCGATGCTGTAAGATTTTTCGTTCGCTTTCCTAAATGTTCTGAACCCACGTTTGTGATCCTACATGAACACAATCGGCATTTACTTATTGTTCAAAGTTTGCGCTCTTGCGAAAAATGACTCCGGACTTTTCGTTTTTCCTGACGATCACGCGCAATTGGAAGCCCTCCGAACACTCTCAAAGTACAATTACGCCCTCGGAACATCCAGGAATACAAAAAGCGAATAATCTCTAAGTGAACCTAATTTTTCCCTTCCTTATGTAAGCGAGTTTGCGACCGGTTTTCAGCTGGTGGCAAGAACACAAAAGAACAAATACATGTGCAACACGTCGAGATATTGTTGGCAGTGACTGAACGCCTTATCTATTGTGACGAGAGAATGATTGAAATTATGATCATGGGGAAGTCTTCATACCAGCTGCAAGGGCCGAAAGTTACCATATAAAGACTCTGGTAGCAACGATCCGCATTGTGTGAAAGGGTTTCAAAACCATTTATTCATTCATTCAACCCGTAAAGACGGCACTCAGTAAGATAAGCACGCAAGAACGAAAGCATGCCAAACTTTCCCTACAAACTCCACAAACTGTTGGAGCGAGTGGAGGAAGATGAGGAGCTCAAATCAATAATATCATGGTTGCCAGATGGCAAAACCTTCAGGATTCACTCGCAAGAAGCCTTTGAGAAGCGATTGCTGAGAGAATACTTTCCTCGACAGACTCAAGTAAAGTCGTTCATGAGGCAACTGCAGTACTACGACTTTGAAAACTTTGGTGAAGGCATCTTCCGGCATCGTTGCTTTGTTCGCGGACAACGGAACCTCTGTGGACAAATCATGCATCAATTACCAACCAAGAATCAAAAGAAGTCTGGAAAATCAACCAGACCGCTCAAGACACGAGGACGTAAAAAGAAGACCACGACGTTGGCAGCCAGCGATCCTGGCAGTGCTGGTAGTACTACATCACAGCCAGCAGAGGCTTCTAATGGAGTTGCTTCAGTTTCTGCTCATCGAACCTCGTCTCCTCAGCCTTCATTGGGAGGTGGATCGAACTCCAATACCTCTGTTTCATCTGACTCTTCCGAATCCACTCACAGCGAAACCAACATCACTCATGAACAGGTAGAGGAACATCAGAAGAAGAAAGCCAGGCCTCATGTTGAACCTGCTTCAGCAAAGCCACCACACGTTTCATTGCCAACCGCCTGTTTGCAAGGAGTCCAACTAGCATCAGGTCATGTACAAAACGATGCAGGGCGGGGATTTCCTCTTCATAATCCAATGTCGACGATCCCATCTTCTCAACAAAGTTTTGCACAACAGCTATTGGGGCAACACAGTTTGTTTGCAGCTCAAAATGTAATGTCAAACTACCGTTCCGGTCTACAAGCAGAGGAGCTACTGCTCAGTTCCATGTTGCACAATCAGCGCTATCTTGCCACCATGCTGCAAGCACAACAACAGCAGCAGCAGCAACAACAACAACAACAGCTATCACAGCAACCAACACAGCAAATGCCTCATCCTCCTTCGATTCAAGGAGGAATGATCCCACCACAAGGAGTACAACTTCCCTTGCCAAACACCAACAATCGCTTTTTGGATTCCCGTCTTCCCCAACCCTTTACTTCCAGTCATTTAGAACGATTACGAGCCAATGCTATTTCCAATCATTTGAGGAACATGTCCTCCCTGACTACTTCGCCCTCATCACGACACCGAAAGAAGGAAGAGTTCTCCTCTTCTTCTCCGAACAAGAAGCGAGGATTTAGTAGTGGTGGTGATGATGATGATGATGATGATTTTGACAGCAGGAACAAGAAAGGATCCGCTTCCTCGCATCATCAGCAGCAGCGTCATTAAAACAACAAAAGCAACAAAGGATGACGGGAGCATGCCTATTTGCAGACTCTCTCGATTTTGAAATCATATTATGATGATTATTATTATTATATAGAAACTATAACTCCAATCATCTTCCAGCAGGATAATGATTGGAAACCGCCACCACGCACCACGCATACCAATTTGCTAAAAGACTACTAGCACATTTTTTCACCTATATAATGTTTTCATACGCGACAGATGATTCTTCCATTCATTCATTTAGGAACTCTACTATTGTTTCATTCCCTTCTGCAGATTACTACGTAGATACCTTGAAATGAAAGCTACTAGTAGGCCGAAGAAGAAGCAGGGCCAATTTGTTTTTGAAGTGCTACAACACCAAGAACTTTAAAAAACTTGTTCGTCACCAGCACACCTTTCGAAAACTGCTAGTGTCTTCCCATTCTCATCTGAAGATTCCACTGTTGAGGTGTTGATGGGGGTACAAGGTAGTAAGTAGTATAGGTATGGTTGCCACGAGATTACATTGCGATGAGAGTTATTACAGTAGGTGCGGTGCCCGTGTACCGTACGAGAGAGCGGCGTTGAAGAATTGCGCGTTGGCGGGGCCGTTCCCGATCTTATTTTAAAAACCGCTATAGTAGTACCTCACGGAGGTCGGTGTACCGCGGTATCGTAGGACCTCTGCTAGTGTCGTAATATCTCGCAATGACCAATTGAGCGAACTGATGCAAACGATCCATAATATAAAATATAATTCTGTACATGTATTTTTTAAAGTAAATTGTATTATAAAGACTGCGCAAGCTTGAGTTGCAGCAGATTGATTGATAGGGTCCGCTTCGCTTTCTGTGATTGAATGTGTCATGGCGCTTTACAGCAGATCATCACCATCACCATCGTCCTCGTCACTGGAATCTACCGTAGACACCGCCTTGACATAGACTGCTGGCTTCTTGACAGGCTCGTCTTGGTGTTGCGCCCGAATGGAATTGCCCAAGAGTAACATGGATCCAGCCCCTGCCAATGCAGATGTTGGTGTTTTCTTGGATTGCTGCTGATGTTGTTGTTGTTGCTTTACTTCCTGGGCCACAAAACTGTAATCCTCATCATTATTATCATCGTCATCAAACAATCCACTATTTTTCTTCTTCTCCTTCTTCTCATCCTTCTCGTCGTCATCCCACAATTGAATTTCTTCTTCCTCTTCCTCGTGGTAGTAAGCATCGTAATGATCAATATCGTCCAACAAGGATTCGTGTTCCGGATTGGCCGCCCGTTCCATGGAAAGTTGGTAGTGCAGGCGATTTTCTTCGGCCACGCATTCCTTTTGGACGTGCTTTTCATTCAAGGCAAAACTGGCCACGTAACTAATCCCTAACGGCAGGGCCGTCCCTGTCAAGGCCGTGGTAATGGCACCGACGTAGACCGGCCACATGCTACTCAGCGTAATCTTGGCACCACGTTTGCGACTGTACTGTTCGAGTGGTTTTTGAAGACCTTGATTCAATTCGACTTGACGATCAAGACCATGCCGATCTGCATATTGGACAATGCATTGGACCATGGATTGGCAAAGTAACTGTGGGACTTTGGATTCGGCGGGCCATTCTTCTCCGGCTAGCACAAGTAAGGCCACAAATTGTTGATAGGAGACTGTCATTTGGGCCGTGTATTGTCCTGGTGGAGGACGTTCGTACAAATAGGGTTCCATGAAATGCTGGGGTTGCTGAGGGTCAGTCTTACGGTGGGCATCAGCATCAGCAGCAGCATCCGCAAATTCTTGTTGGGATTGTTGAATGTGTTCGCACACGGCAGACGCTGGGAAAATGGTAGGCTCCAACACCATGCTGTAAAGAATGGACAGCTCGATGCGTGTCCAATAGCCTTGTGGTGGATATTTGAACAACTTGGAATTGCGTTCCAAATGTTGTTCAATCATGGCTTCAGTACCAATGGGGCCACCACCACCACCACCACCACCACCCCGTGCACGGCCTACTCCAGAGCTTTTGTTGTTCGTAGCATCATTGCTGTTGCCAATATCAATAACATGATTCGTAGCAGAAGTATTTTCAGCATTACAGTAGGCCTCTTCTTCATGATTCTGATTGTCTTTTTCAATCGTAACGTGTTCCCCTGGTCGATTGCCAAAATGATTCTCCTTGTCCTTTTCACTTGTCCGTGCTCTCATGTTTCTCCAGCCACCTCGAATGTGATTACTAGCATTATTGTTCGCTGAGGACGATGATGCTGAAGACTTCTTATTATTATTGCCTGAATAATTCCAGCCATTTCGTATCCTAGCGGGAAGACTACTCCCATAATATGTCGATTTGGCGTTTGGACGATCCTTTTTTAGAAAGATTGACATTTGTTGTGCTGTTGATTTTTCTTATATTGCAAAGGAAGCACGCAAGTGGCTTATTTGTGTTGCTGTCAGATATGATGTAAACAGATACACGTGTACACTGAAATATATCTTCTTCAGATTTTTAGTTTTAGCAGTTTTATATTTCTGGCAAAGGGCGGCGGGAAAATGCTGCGGCCAACTGCCATTCTGCCCGGCCTGTGCAAAATACCCGCCGGCGATTTATCGACTGGTTCGACCGCCAAGCAATTCAGTGAGGTGCGCCGATTGCCGATTGCGATTCTCAGATTTTCGACACGTATGTGAGGAGGCAAATCCTCCAACCAGAAATCCTCATCTTGCAGTTTCAGATTATTCTCACTCGAGATCTCGTCTTGTCAAGAAGGATTGAGAAAGAGATAGAAAACAAGATAAGAACACAGTCAAACCAATACAATGAGAATAACAGCCGCGCAACTGGCATCTTGCTTGCTGGTCCTCACATTGAGCATCTCAAGTTCGAATGCTTGGCAATCATCGACGACTCCCAATAATAGTAATTTCAGACGATCGATTCACTTATTTTTCACGTCATCCTCAAATAGATACGCCCAGCCTCGCGCAACGCGGCTACAGCAAACCCCGAAGCAACAAGAGGATCAGAAATGGTCCGAACGATATGAGCATGAGACTCATTATGACAAAACAGGAGGAGCTTGTTCCTCTCTGATGAAGAATTCTCGACGTCACTTTGTGAATTCGGCCATGGCCACTTTTTCCACAATGGTGGTGGCAGGAGCAACAGCATCACCTGCCTTTGCAGATGGTGCACCAGCACCGGCTCCTGCAGCCCCCAAACCGCCAGCACCGGCTGCTCCTGCGCCAGCTGCTCCTGCTGCACCCAAACCACCTGCACCGGCTCCAGCTGCACCAGCTGCAGCTGCCGCCCCCAAACCACCGGCTCCTGCACCGGCTCCAGCACCGGCTCCAGCGGCAGCTGCTGCACCCAAACCACCACCACCACCACCACCGGCTGCTCCAAAACCAGTTCCCAAACCGAGCATGTTTGCTGGAAGTTACACCGATCCCAACCATCCGGGTGGTAAGGTGGCCATCAAACCGACCGGTCAATCCGTCGGCGACTATTGTTTGGCCGAAGTCGTGGGCGGTGGTGGCCAAAACGAACCTGCCTCGTATACCTTGCCCGCCGTCATCATGGGAGAACGGACCATATTCATTGATTTCACTAGCAAAGGTGGTCCTCGCAACTTCGTGGGCTTTCTCAACAAGGACGGAGACGTCGATTTTCTCAAGGATGGGAATCGATGGTCTCGGGTGCCAAAGTAATTATTGAAAGAAGAAAAATCCACTTTGTGAGTGACGACTGAACACACATACAACAAGGTATTGGAAATTTTGGAAGGAGGAAGGACTTGCACGCACACACAAACGCACACACACTATTAGGATTGGAATGATGAGGGGATGTCAGGCACTGAACAAGTCTCTGATTTCAACTTCAGAATCATGCTATATGACAGGCTAAATATAACAAAGGATCCACGCAATCGTTCCTTCAACATGGTACATCCGCACGCATACTAACTATAGACGCATAACACAAACAAGGACACTAATAATAACACGGATCATGATAATATTCGGACGCTGTACACTTTCGTTGCACCATTTTGTAACAGCTTATCATTCGAGGCGTATCCTATCTCGTGCTCGTGCTCGGCAAAATCATCATCATTGAAAGCCCACCGTCCCCAACATGAGCCGCAAAATATTAGGATGCTTGTCAAAGTTTTTGGTTCCAGCTCCAATTCCAACTTGTTTCAATACAAAATCATCCGGAGGTCGCCCCTTTAACTTCAATGCTCGTTCCAACGTCAAGGCTCGCAACAGGGCCGCCCCCGTTGGAGTTACCAACTCACCCGTGACACCGGGAGGACCCCGACAAGTGGGCATGCCAATCAATAATCGAAGGGTGGCGGGGGCAGGAATGGGCAACAAGCCGTGATCGGTCCATACCATTCCCTCTCCCAAAGGCAATTTGGAAATGGAAACACTCTTGACGCCCAAGGCGTGAAGTGCAATCAGCGTCCCGACCGTATCACTGTGGGAACAGTGAATCAATTAGTTGATTGATTGATTGGTACATTAGAAAATTCCTAGACCAAATCCACAAAAACGGTAGCAAAGCAACAACAACAACAACAACAACAACAACAAGTCGCGTGCAGCAGCAGTAGATATTACTTACACAATCGAATCGACGGCTCCCACTTCATGAAAGTGAACAGCATCGATACTAGACGCTCCATGTGTATGGGCTTCTGCTTCGGCAAGTTCGGTAAATGCAGCAATGGCATTGGTCTTGACCCATGGAGCAATGCAGGATGCGGGAGCCGATTCCAACATTTGCTTGATTTCGGGCAAATTGCGAAGCTTACTGTTATTATTATTGGATAATGACGAGGTTCCATGGTGGTCATGACTGTGGTTGTGTCCTCCTCCAGATGATCCATGATCATGTGAATGACCATGAAAAGAATTACCAATATCTTCGTTGTCATCGTTATCATCATCCTGAGACTGTTGTGTTGTGATGACAGCATTTGTTTTCGTGGGCGAGGCATTGGAAACAATAGTTGGCTCTGGAAGGGAAGCAGACATGCCCTTGGAAATAATCATTACTCCAAAACCGGCCTTTATGATAAAACCGCCTACATCGTGGGTGGAATACTGCTGCGGATCATGTTCAATCGTAACAAGCTGTCCTTCTAGATTGAAGTCTATGGAAACGACTGCTTCTCCTACTTCACTTTTTATCACATTTTGGATACTCTCAATATCCTTTTCGGTATAGGGACTTGCGGTTTTGAAGACTGAAGTCATGATACTGCTGGTAGGCTGGCTGTGAGAATTGCCATGGTTGTCGTCGTCGTCGTCGACTGACTGTTGCGTTACGATACCACCACCAGGTGTCACATCGTGAGTTAGATTCTGATTCATGTCCGTGGTAGCAGGAAGAGAAGCGGACATGCCCATGGAAACAACTGTCGCTTCAAATCCAACATCCGCAAAGAATCCTTGGAGAAAGTTGGTGGACAATTGGTGTGGATTGTGTTCAATCGTAATTTCTTGATCCTTCAGGTTGAAACTTGACGAAATGAGAGCGCCTCCTCCAAATCCACTCTTTAGGAGACCATCAATGATTTCGATATCCTTTTCCCAATATCGTTCCACCGTCCGAAATCGAGATGTCATAATATCATTATTGCCACCCATTTCGGCTCGGCTGTGAGAATGATCGTGCGAATGATCATGATTAGTCTGTGTGTGCTCATCGTGACTGTGATCCTGTTGACAATCCTGCTGTGAAGCATTATTCTCACTTCGACTTCTATTGGATGGTACTGGTGCTGCTTCATGGTTGTATTTACTGGTCACATTGACATGAAGTGCCGCAATGGATCCAATTCCCTTCCATACCTTTTTGATTTCAATTCCAAACTCTCCCTTGAGCTCGGGCATGCCTTCTTCCAGACATGTCACGACATGAGCCAATAGCTGTTCCCTGACTTCTTCCGTTTCACAAGAATCTAAACAAGATGCCAGAAGCTGAAACGCAACGCAGATTGATCGTCAGTAAGGAATATCATCAATGCGCCAATGATAATAACAATAATAGTAATAGATGTTATGTAGTATTCAGCTGAAGATGACTCTCCTGAAATTGCACACATCCATTTCATGGTACGCACCATGTCGCCAGCCGCTCCAGAAAAACAATCAAAGTGAGCATGATAATCCCCGGTGGGGATTTTCCATGAGGACATGGTATGACTGGATTCCTGGTAAGTCGTCAATATGCAAGATGGCAAGAATGCAAGAATGCAAGAATGCAAAAAAACATATGCGATATGGTGCGATGAATTTTTGAATTGGAGAAACTGATGATGACACAATACGGATGACATGTGCGTACGTCAGTCAGTCGACGGAAATGTGGTACTTATATAGCTGGAAATACTTTCTTTCTAGAGGTAGCTGCAAGTCCCACTGCGTACCTCCTGCCATATCTACCTACCGTACCCAAATACGAATGATATCTACTTCCTATGTATGTGTATTTCATTTAAATTTCATTGCACTCATGGCAAATGCCCTATTCGTTTTGATAGCGGCAGCTACTTTTGGATCTCTCGTTCGCTTCTTGTCCCGAAACAAGTGACCGACTTTGGCACGAGCCACATCTTCCTCCACCTCGGACCAACAACCACCAACATCCTTTAGGAACCTTCCGCCTCTGCCCTTTACCATACCAATGACTTGAAGGACCAAATTCTTCTTTTCATACTTTTGCGCTACTTCATAACTTGTCTGATGCTTTCGAATCCATTCCCGCAGCTCCATGTTCCCAGGATGTTCTTGAAAGGGCTTGCCCTTACCGACCAGAATATCAAAGGAACAAGGAATCATGACTGTTCGTGTTGTTCGGAGCTCTTGTCGTTCCTGAATTCGTCGCTTTTTCATTTGTGCCACATGGTACTCGTTGCTTGTGACGGTACCTTCACTATTGATGGGAATCAAATTCGCAGGAATTCCAAAGGATTGCAAGGCAGTCGTACAGTCCAAGTGTGTACCATAGTGTGCCCGGAACCGAACACCCGTGAAGAAACCACATCCCATCTGAATGGTAGAGAGAACTGGCCGAAGGAGCATATTGTCATAACAAAAGTGAAACGCTACAACCTTGAGTGGCAATGACTTTTGGACTTCGGCTACTTTCCAAAAGGTGCTAGCGCTGAGTCTCCTCGTCGTTGTATTTTTGCCACCGATTCCCCACACTACTACAACTACGCCTTTCTTTTGTGTTTCCACGCTTTCCGCGTTGATCATGGCGTTGTAGTAGACTCGTTTCATCTGCAGTCATATGTCATATGTGAGGGGGTGTTTGTTTGAGATATTTCAAGGATTCAGGTAGGAACAATTTGAGCTATACATAATGCGGATGCTGCACGCCATGATAGCACCATCAAAAATAGCAAAACTTACCACGCTCACATCCGAATTTGCGGTAAAAGTGGGCGCAAGCTTCATCATGTACAAGGAAACATGACGTCCCGATTTATCTCGCAACGGCAAATTCTGAAATCTGCCACTGTACAGGTATTCCATAGTATCTTCGTCCAAATCATCTTGCACAATATCCTTTGTTAGTTTCTCCTCCCCAAACAGCTGTAGCTTCATTTTAAAGTGCCTTGCAAACCGTTGGACCGCAGCCTTGATATCAAACGACTCTGCACGCAAAAACTGAAGGCGAAATGCTTGATTCTGAACATATGCATGATCTTTTGCTATTGCCATTCTCAGTGCAGCATTCAAGTATTGCAGTTGGTTCAGCTCTGCTTCAAAGCTAGCAAGACTTTGTGCAATCATTTCCTGAGTCTCGTTTATATCATCCGATACCCCATGAACATCTTCCAAAATCCTCGCCCTTTCTTCTTGCGACATGACGGCCATGGTTCGAGCGAGTTGTTCATTGCTGTCTTGTTCCGACGCAAAATCGCCCTTTAAGACAGGGCCCTGGTGTTGTTGTTGTTGTTGCCTTTGTTGTTGTTGTTCTAAGTTTCTCACCTCACTCATCATGGGTTGTTGCTTCGTTCGTGTGACGTTAGGAAAGGCTATTATAATAACGATGAAGTAGTAGAAGAGGGCAAGATGAGGTACCGGTATACTGGTACAGCTGTCAGTTTTTTGTGCAGTGCGAAGGGCATGTTTGCGGAAAGTCTTCGCCACAGAAAATCGGGGCTCATATATATTATATATGTCCATATATATATAACATATGTGTATACAAAGAAAGCGCTACCATTGACAATTGTAGTCGGTAGATCTATTTGCCGTTTGGTCTGCCGCAGGACCAGTTTCGTTAAATGCCTTCTCATTCAGTCACATGTGACGACGGGTGTACATATCGATTGCACATGGCCATATTGTTGAGCCAAAGAAGTCTTCAGAATGAATCTCAAACTGTTTTATTTATTTCGCAATAGAAGAACTCACATTCTTGAGCTGGAACATTGCATGCTAACATTGTATGCTAACAAACAGTAACATCATGCTAACATTGCATACAAACCCCAGAACCTTAACCCAGAGTACAAAGGAAACATGCTGGTGAAATTTTAATGCAGCATTTCTACTGCACAATTGAGAAAGGTGAGCCACAGTATTCCCGCTACTACTACTACTAGGAGGATGAGTGAGCACGGAGCGCTCCTCACGTAGGAAGCATCAAGAAGGTTGCTGGGGGCTACAGTACTACTATTATCATGGCCGATGGATCGAAGCTCCTGCATCCAAGGTGTAATTGATCGATGCTGCACGTTTTCACACCTCTGTATAGTAGTATGCCGAAGAGGAGACGAAATCTGGACATGGTGGTGGACGAGGAGTGAGGAGGACGGGGATGACGAGGATCTCGTTCTTGGCTTCCACCCACATCGTTGGGCAGCTCAACTTGGTCACCCCATGGAATTGTCGAATTGTCTTATCTTCTGATTGAGGATGAAGCAATAAGTACCGTATGTACGAGGCTGAGGACTTGACGGTTTCTGCTCTACTCGCCCTGTGAGTTTTGGTCCTGCTCACCCCACCGTTCCTGATCCGTACATGTACTGGTTTAGTCTTTTTACCGACCACCTACCTACCAATGGCAGACGAGGAAGGGTTGAATGCAAGACGATTTCAGGTTGCTGTGTAGAGAGTGCCACGCGGATGTTCAACTTCAAAGAAGTAAGATTTCTTCCGCGAGGAGAAATCGAACGAAAAACATCAGACACAAACATCCTTCAGCGTTTGCAGTACCATACGAACATCAGATTGTTCCGTTCCCTATTATTCATTCCTCAACTGCAATCTAATACGCTTTAGAAATTTGAACCTCCACTTTGACCTAGTTCTCGGAAATTTTGACATCTAAGAAGAATCAATCAATCAGTCAATCAATCAGTTAACATCAGAGCAATCCACCATCAATCCACACAGAATCTTCAGGCACCATGAAACTTGTAAACGCCACCTTCAGTCTCAGTATCTTGTCCGTTGCCTTGGGGTTTCAAACAAGATCACCGCTACAAGCTTCACCGAAGTCTACTTCTACTCTATCAGTCTTGCCTGTCGAGCACTTGAATGATGTACATTCGGCATTGACCGATTCCTCTGCCTTTTCATTTTTGGCCGATGCTTCCGCGGCTGCTACTGATGTCAAGAATAATAAGGGACTATGGGAATCTTATATCAATTTATTCAAGATTGCTCTGAATGGGATCCATGACACAATTGATGGGCCATTGAATAAGGCTGGAATCACACAAACTTGGGGTATTTCGATTGCACTCTTTACCGCCAGTGAGTCTTTTTACGTATGATTATGTCGTTATATGTGCAATGGTCGCAGCCAAGAGCTTCGTGATGCCACAATGATATGCATCTATCGCCAATCAATTTATTTCATTTGTCCTATTGGTATACACTCACCACTCTTTTCTCGTTTTGTTCCCTCCTCCTTCTTCTTGTCAAAAACCAAAAATACATAATTTCAGCTTTCCGATCCCTGTTGCTACCACTTTCGTTGCAACAATCAAAGCAGGCCGAATACATGAAAGCCCTCAAGCCTTATCAAAATGAAATCAAGAAAAAGTTCAAGGACAACAAGGATGCCCAAAACCGTGCCATGTCCAAATTGTTTGAAGATGCCGAACAAAATCCATTGGCAGGATGTGCCATTTCTTTGGCCCAATTGCCAGTTCTATTGGGTTTGTACAGAGGTATCCGGAACTTGGCAATTGATGGCAATATTGATGAACCATTCTTGTGGATCCCATCTTTGCAAGGACCTGTCACTGCTGAAACTGACTATCGTGGTATCGAGTGGTTGACCCAAGGATGGGTAGATGGAGCTCCACCACTGGGATGGGAAACTACTCTTGCCTTCTGCATCATGCCAGTCTTGCTGGTCCTAGGTCAATCCATCTCCATGTCTGTTTTGCAGCCACCACTGGATGAAGATGCACCCAAGGCAGAACGAGAGCAAATGGAAAAGACTCAGAAATTTCTCAAGTTCTTGCCCCTGATGATTGGTTTTTTCTCTCTCCAAGTTCCAGCTGGTCTCACCATTTACTGGTTCACAACCAACTTGTTTACTGTGGGGTCTACTTTGGGGGCACGAACCTATTACAAACTGAATCCTCCGGAAATTGAATTGCCGGAATATTGGGACTCGATTGACAAATTGGAGGAGATGAGTACCGAAGACAAACGAAAGGCCGCCAAGGCAGGATTGCAAGTGGGACCATCCTATCAAGATATGCTGGAAGAATCCAAATTTCACGCAGTGGTGGAGCGACAGCCCCTTCGTACCTCGCTTCCTGGTGCCAGTTCTGAAATTCCTCCCGAGTTGGCTTCCTGGGTGGCGGCTGCCGGATCTACCAGTAAGGACTCTATCGCAGACCAACAACGAAATACCACCGTGGTTGCCTCAGCAACGGCATAAAGTCAAGAATAATATATTATAGTAGTAAATTTTTTTCGAAAAAAGCTACAGTATAGTTACGGTAGGTCAGTGTGTAGATATGTTTTTCCCAATACTGTAGCAGAAAACTGCATATGGGGGAGAGAGGATCCTCCAAAACTATACAGCTGGAACGGGGGTAGCGTGGAATAAGTATACGAGTAGGTTCCAACACATCACACATCACACGTCAATAACACTGCTTCTATGCATGTCATCACCGTCATCAGCATAACATCCAAGATCTTTCAACATCAGCCAAGCCATGAAGATTCAAGCCTATACATGGATACTGCTATTCTTCATCGTTGGTTCAAATACAGTACAAGGCTTACTACCACCATCTCCCTCCAACAAGATTGCTGTCCATCATCATCAACAACTCTCGTCACATCATCGTCTAGCAGCCAATGAACCGATAAAAACCCACAGGACAGTCGAAACTTCTGATGCTTCACCAAACCAGATTCCTCAGTCAAGAAATCGCGCTTCATCATGGTTTGCAGCAGCCTATTTCTTTGCTGCATGTACCTTTGCCTGGTGTGAACCCATGGCTGTCTTGGCTGAAATTACAACAACAACAACAACAACAACAACAACAACAACGGATGCTGCTGCTTCCACTTCATCCTGGACTCAAAAGGTGGCGTCGTCCTTAAAGGCACCTACCGAAGACTCACCACGGATCGAATTGCCAATCATATCGGGAGCAAGCCAACAAGGCAGTAGTACTCCGCCACCATTGTTTCCCAAACCAGGATCATCCAGCAATAACAACAACAAACAACCATCCAAGAACCCACCCCCGTGGCGGGTCCAAGGTTTAGTGTCGTTGGAAAATCCACGGATCGAACGTCCCTATGGCACTGACTTCATGATTGTCCAAGTTTTGAAAGAGGCTCCTCCAAAAGAACCATATGCTGTTACCGATGATACCAAAAAGACTGTACTGGGAGGAGCCAAGATCCAAGTTGGAAAATTTAGGTTTCCAAGCTCGATAACCTTGGGATTGGAGAATGCCAAGGTACAAGACAATTGGAAAAAAGTGGCGTCGACTAAAGACTTGTGGCTGGAGGTTACCATTTGCAAGGAAGATTCGGCCAAGTTTCCATGTGCTCCAGAGGAACAACGCTACCGTGCTGTGGCTTTTTCAAAACTCTTCAATTCGCCTCAAATCAGCGAGAGCAGCGAAGATGCCGCTGCTATTCGGTTACCAGCCACAATGATACTGGAAAGAATAAACAATGCAGATGATGATTGATAGATGCTAACAGTCCGAGAGGGTACAAATGGAATCATCCCCTTTATGCGCTCTTACTAGAGCTCCTTCTATTATTTTTATTAATTCTGTGCAGTAGTATGATAGCAGTTTAAGGCGAGATGACTTCTTGTCTCTCAAAGTCACCCACTGACGCGGCGTCGTTCTCTTCTTCGGTATTGCCTTCGGCCGATTTTGAACTGTCATCGAGTCCATGTGATTCCGCAAGGACCTTCTCCCAGCTTTGCATGAGCGACAAAAAGCCAATCGCAATGACAAAGTATACCACCAAATGCATCACCCCATAAGTCAATGCGATTCCAGCTTCATTCAAGGCCGAAAAGACCAATGGAGGAAGCCAGGCGATGATACGTGAAGAGAAGTTAAAGATTCCTGCCATTTCGGTAGCCTGTTCTTGTGGAACTAGCACGGCAAAGAAACCACTTTGTGTCGCATAAAACCATCCCAAAGCAATGCCCCAGAAAATAGCTAAAATGTAGGCCTTGAACTTGTCGCTTTCATCCTTCATAATCCATACACCCACCACCGTAGTGACGGAAAAGTACGCCATATTGAGTCGCCAACAAGTGTTGTAGTTGGTCCTTGTGACAACAAACTCGGATAGCTTGGCACCGGGAACGACAAAGACAAGGACAATAAAAAAGACGATACCACTTTCAGTGCCAGACATTTTGAGAACTTGGTTCATGAAGGTGATTGAGCACACTGCGAATGCCGAAGCTCCTGCTTCCGCAAAGCATAGCGCAACAAAGAACCACCGAATGCTTCGTTTGTAGTGAGTGTTGATATGCCTGGCGGTATGAAATAGTTGTGTGAATCCAGCCGTCCAAAGCGACCGTCCCTCTGGAAGCACACGCTTGGCCTCCACTTTTGGGAGAAACTTGAGCCAACCATAACCAAAGGACACTATCACAAAAATAACATTGATTCCTTGTGATATTTGAGCAGTCAAGACATCGTCAGCTGATACTCCCAAGCTAATGACAATGACTGTCACCATTAGTAGTCCTTGGGTTCCAAATTGAACCATGGTGAGTTTGGGTGATATGTTTTGGACAGCCTTCTCGCCAACTTCGAATGCTATTTCTGGCAAGTATGCAAAGGTAATGGTGATGACAATCTGATACAAGAATGCGGCAAAAGCTTGCAAAATTGCCATCGGAAACCAAGTGGAGCTGACAGTATATATTTGGATGACTTGGATGGCGACTATAGCAATGCAAGAGTAGAGTCCAACCGAGTGGCGGTAATCTGTATGGTCCACCACTGCTCCAATGATTGGATTCGCTATTGCTGCCAGAATACCAGAGATGACGGCAATGTTGGTAATCAAAGATGATGGCTGAAAACCATAGACCTTGTTATCACAATCAATCGCCATATCATTCTCATCGATGCATCCCGCTTCTTCACTTGCCAAGTATAGCAACGAAGTTGAAATGAAAATGTTGGCACCCAACAGAGAGCCTCGTGCAGCACCAATCTATAAAAAGCGAGAAGGCAAAGGAATTTAAGCTCCAGCTTGTCACAATGGACAGAATGTTATGTACTTACTGTCGCTAGACCTCTTGCTCGTTGATTTTGTTGAAAACCAGAACACTTGCAACATATTCTTTGTTTCTCATTTTCATGGGGCGCTTCAGGAGCTTCCGATGTCTCCTCCTCCTCTTGGTCTACGGTGTCACTATATAATTCCATACCTATTTTTCTTGTTGTGGGCTTGTCAATGATGGGCTTGTGTTTGGAGGTTTGCGTCTTGCCCAAGGTTGATCAGAAAATTGATGATACCGTCACGATTGGTTGATTCGGATATTATCTGCAAATATGGAGGTGAACAGTGTACATAGAAGTGATGAATACGCGTTTCTAAGAATATTCGGGAGGAGTGTCAAAGAGGTTCGTTGAACTCCGAGCCAATCAAAATGACGAACAAAAAAACCTCGTAGCATAGTACCGCGACCAGAGTATTGATCCACTATCAAGCGGTAGACAATGATTCAAGTTAGAGACGACGTCTCCTCATCAAAGATCTGTCATGGCTTGCTGCCTGCAGTACACAATCTAATCGTGATTTCTATCTATCGTTTTCATAAGCAACTGCTTGCCACTATGTTACAATTCTACAAGAAACGATTTGTCTATCAACAAGCACATGAGCCTTTTTACGGTGGTGGAGATCTCCTCTTGAGAGCGTATATGAAATATGTTCAATTCTACATCCACCATGACGTGTTAACCATGATGTGTTATCCATGCTGTATCAAATAATCTACAGACTGCACTTTTTTTACATCGAGATATCTTCTTGTCTCTCAACGTCACCCAAAGAGGCGGCGTCGTGCTCTCCTTGGGTATTGCCTTCGGCCGATTTTGAACTAGCCTCTAGTCCATGCGATTCGGAAAGGACCTTCTCCCAGCTTGGCATGAGCGACAAAAAGCCAATCGCAATGACAAAGTATCCAACCAAATGCATCACCCCATAAGTCAATGCGATTCCAGCTTCATTCAAGGCCGAAAAGACCAATGGAGGAAGCCAGGCGATGATGAGTGAAGAAAAGTTGAAGATTCCTGCCATTTCGGTAGCCTGTTCTTGTGGCACCAGGACGGCAAAGAAACCATTCTGTGTTGCATAAAACCATCCCAAAGCAATACCCCAGAAAACACCCAAAACGTAGGCCTTGAACTTGTCGTTTTCATCCTTCATAATCCATACACCCACCACCGTAGTGACGGAAAAGTACACCATATTGAGTCGCCAACAAGTGTTGTAGTTGGTCCTTGTGACAACAAACTCGGATAGCTTGGCACCGGGAACGACAAAGATAAGAACATTCAAAAATACGACACCCGTTTCGGTGCCAGACATTTTGAGAGCCTCGTTTAAGAAGGTGATGGCGCAAACTGCAAATGCCGAAGCTCCTGCTTCCGCAAAACACAGAGCAACAAAGAACCACCGAATGCTTCGTTTGTAGTGAGTGTTGATATGCCTGGCGGTATGAAATAGTTGTGTGAATCCAGCCGTCCAAAGCGACCGTCCCTCTGGTAGCACACGCTTGGCCTCCACTTTTGGGAGAAACTTGAGCCAACCATAACCAAAGGAAAGTATCAGAAAGATAGCATTGATTCCTTGTGATATTTGAGCAGTCAAGACATCGTCAGCTGATGCCCCCAAGCTAATGGCAATAACTACAACAATGAAGAGTCCTTGGGTTCCAAATTGAACCATGGTGAGTTTGGGTGATATGTTTTGGACAGCCTTCTCGCCAACTTCGAATGCTATTTCTGGCAAGTATGCAAACGTAGTGGTGATGACAATCTGATACAAGAATGCGGCAAAAGCTTGCAAGATTGCCATCGGAAACCAAGTGGAGCTGACAGTATATATTTGGATGACTTGGATGGCGACTATAGCAATGCAAGAGTAGAGTCCAACCGAGTGGCGGTAATCTGTATGGTCCACCACTGCTCCAATGATTGGATTCGCTATTGCTGCCAGAATACCAGATATGACGGCAATGTTGGTAATCAAAGATGATGGCTGAAAACCATAGACCTTGTTATCACAACCAACTGTCATGTCATTCTCGTCGATGCATCCCGCTTCTTCACTTGCCAAGTATAGCAACGAAGTTGAAATGAAAATGTTGGCACCCAAGAGAGAGCCTCGTGCAGCACCAATCTATAAAAAGCGAGAAGGTAAAGAATTTAAGCTCCAGCTTGTCACAATGGACGGATCGTAATACAAGGTCATGTACTTACTGTCGCTAGACCTCTTGCTCGTTGATTTTGTTGAAAACCAGAACACTTGCAACATATTCTTTGTTTCTCATTTTCATGGGGCGCTTCAGGAGCTTCCGTTGCCATATCCTGGTTTACCGTTTTGCTGAATGACTTCATGACGGTTTGCGTTGTGGTGAGTTTGGCAATGATGGGACTATGTGTGAAGGTTTCCGTCTCGCCCACAGCTGAACATGAATGTTGTGATATGGTCACTTGATTATATATTGATGGGTATGCATAAATGTGCGTTTCTGAGAAAAAATCACTTCAGGAACAATATGATGTCAAAGCGGTTCGTTGTGAAAGGAGAAGAAACTCCGAACCAATCAAAATGGCGAACAAAAACCACGAGTAGTGAACCATATATGACCATCAGTGCCTCATCGATCCAGGACTGCTTTATTCTTACAGCACCAGTACCTGGTACGAATACCTGATACCCTATCATCCGGTAGATGATGATTCCAGTTATAAAAACCAATCCTCAAAGATCCGTCGCTTGCTGCCTGCAGTACAATCTAATTGCCAGATATATCTATGGTTTTCATTATAAACAACTGCTTGCCATTACTTTACAATTCTACCAAGACATGATTGTTCTATAGTCAAGATGGGCTGCTTCATCTTCTTGATGGAACTCTCCTCCTGAGAGCGTAATATGTTCAACTGTACATCCATCATGATGATCCGTCCATGCTGTGCCAAGATACTCTAGACTTTGTACATTTTCTAAATCGACATCTTCTTTATCATCCTTGAAATGTCATCCTTCTCGTCCTCGTCATAATGGTGATGGAACCGCCATCATTAAATTCAGTCGAATCCATGGTTTTCCACACTAGCCCGAATGGGAAATTCCAATGGACCAACGTTTCTAACAATGACTGATGCTCCGTTTCCTGGAACGGCAACAATACCTTCCCATGGACTCCCATCGTCAGATCGCAATTCGATGACTTGACGAACATCGCCAGGTCCTTGCAAGACTTCAATGTTACATTCCATGGGCAAGCCATCGGTTTCAAGATTGACACGAACGAATTCGGTATTGGGGTCTTGAGCGTAGGTTCGAATGGCATTGTTTCCCTGAATGTTCTTCCATGACATCTCTCCCTGAAAGGAGTTGCCATAGGTGCCAAAGTCGCTGGACTGCGAAATGGTGGCCGAAATGGGAAAGGACATGTCGGCCGTATTAATGACATCAATGGTTTGAGAAATGGCCCGATTGACGCCACGCGGCCGACCAAAGTAGGCTTGGAGTGGTCGCAAGTACCCATCTTCACTGTAGACCTTCATGGATTGGGGTGTACTGCTGGGACCATTGCGAAAGTGGACATTCGCATAGAGTGGGCCACCGGGGCGCTCGGCTTGGACCCACACTGCCGAGGTTTGGGCAGTAGGATCATCTGATCGCCAAGTCCGACGAGAACCGCCGTGAATGACTGCCTTGGTGGGTTGTTCGGTCAATAGACCATTGGCCCTGGCAACTTGAGTGAAGGGTTCTTCCATGGGTGGTGGTGGTTCTGGGAAGAACGCTGGAAAGGGTGGGGGGATGACTGCAAGAGGAGGAGCCATGTCTACCGGGCGTGGGAAGTCTTGCGTGGGAAGAGGGACTGTCTGGGGGTTGTTAGTGGTGGTACGAGTACCAGTTTCAACAGTGTTGGTGTTGGTTGGTGGAGCATAGCCTGCTGGAACATAAGGACTGTACCCTTGATTGACTTGATTGTTGGGTGGCGTCAAATTAACAGGTTGTAGATTAACAGGAGCTGCGTAGGACACTTGCTTGATTCCTCCGCGAGGATCTTCAAACCATGGCTGAGAGTTTTCGCTGTAGCTGACGCTACCAACCTTTTCAGGCAACTCGGATCCATCCGGTGCAACTGGAAGTAGTTGGTCAGGCATGGACGACGTAGTACTCTGATGGTTACTGAAACCAACCGGGTGGTACTGTGACTGTGACTGTTGCTGATACTGTGGTTGTGGTTGTGGTTGCGGCAATTGCTGAAACTGCTGTTGTTGAAACTGCTGAAACTGCTGCTGCTGCTGCTCATACTGTGCTTGTTGATACTGTTGATATTTTTCAGGAGGCCCATTATCCCCAACCTTGGTACCTGAATACGCTGATCTGCTCCGAGACTTGTGAGCTGAGAAAAGAACAGTGCGAGGAAAAGGCAAGGATGCCTCCTCTGTTAATGTAATCTTAAGCGTTGATGTTATGGAAGTGACAGGAAACGAAAGAACGCTCGCAAACCCGACAGCACAGGTCAAAATCTGAAGCGATCTTGTCATTGTTTGCCTTTCTGAAAACAGCGTCCTTACGAACTGTTAGTAAGTGGCCGAAATGCGTTGCAAATGGTTTTGCAATTGGACTATGGAAGAAGTCGGAAGCAAGAGTTTGCTGAAGTGAAGTGGAATGAGAAAAGAAATCGTCTGAACATCTGTTTTTCTGATTTCCCACCAATCCCGTGGCCACGTCAGCATATAAATAAAACCTCACGAATCGAGAGATTTGCCAGCAGGCAGAGACGTCACGAAGACGTCATGATTGAAAGAATACTGTAGGTCCAGGGTTCATTACCGTACTGTTGCTTGTGATGAGCACCGATTATGATACATCGTTTGCTTGTTCAGTTTGAAAAATCATGCAGTATGATTAGGAGAAGTCATTATCAGTGCCCGCAACGCAGGTATTGCTGGAGAGCGATGTTTTAAAAACACTGATATAGTACTGCTGTAGCCTGTTTACTGATGCTGTTTTTCCCCCCTCAAAGGTGTTAGTTATAATACCGTCAGTCTTTATTACCGGTACATGATATCCAGTTTGGAATACATTCATTCATTCTTCCATGCTTCTTGGTGGTTTTTACTCTTGTTGTTACTGTTATTATGATTATGAATAATGCTACCACCATGCCTATGATTCTGTAATTACCATTGCCACTTGCAACATATCTCTCACTTCTTCAAAGCTGAGTTCCCCGTCCTTGTTCTTGTCCAATCGTGCTTCGGCAATCCGTATTAGTTTTTGCTTGGAAGGCATGGCATTCATTTTGTGTTTGTAAGTTTCCTTGGTTTTGTAAAAGAGGTCCAAGAAGTTTTCAAATTCATCGCGTTGTAAGACCCCGTCTCCATTGATATCGTAAAAGGCAAATATGGTCCGTAGAAAGAACTCGTAGCTCCCTTTTTGACTTAGAACATAGTTCTTGTAGAAGGCCTTGAATTCCGCTTCTGACAATTCGTAGCTGTTCACTTCTATATTGCTACTACTCTTTCGGTGTTTCTTGATGAGCGTCGAAGAGGGCTCTTCGTCACCAGCCTTGGCCAATGAAAATGCTACTTCGGTCGCAATCCGAATGCAGGTTTCTCGTTTCAAGTTAAGCTTGGTACCTAAAACCGCCCACAATTCTTCGTTGGATTCAATGAATTTTCGGAGTTCGTCCTTGGAAAGGGCCTGATCCCCATTCAAGTCCAATTTCTTGAATTCCTTCTTGGCCGAAAGTTTCTTTTCACCACCCACGTCCCCGTTCCAGCCACTGGCCGCCTTGGATTTGTACCCCTTGCCATATTCATCTTCCATGACTTCTTCAAAGATTAAAAAGGGGTCACGGAATTTGCGCCGCAAAGTGCCTGCAGACAATTGACGACGCGGTCGAGGATCTCCATCGGGACCTGGTCGGGGGGATAGAGTACCAGTACTGGCCCGATGGTTCTTCAAGGTACCCGTGGAATTGTGTTTGCGAGGAGCACCACCACCAGCTGCAGCAGCCCCACCTGTACCAACGGGGCGTGGACGAGGTCGTCCCTGAGGTCGAATGCTTCCTGGAGATTGAGGTGCCACGGTGCTGTGCCGGAGTCGCGCCGCAGCCAAACCTCCCGGAGACGGAGGTGCCACCATGGATTGGGTCCGCAAACGTCCCGGAGACTGGGGCGCATTCGCAGCCGCACGAGGGCGGAGCCTCCCTGGCGAGGGTCCCGTCATGCTGCCACTTCGACGATGTGGACCACCGACCGAAGTACCTGGGGATAGATCTCTGGGTTTGCTGGGGGATCCAGCCCGGGTCGCTTTCGGCCTGGATCGAAACAATCCAGGGGAACTGGGAGGTGGTGGGGAGTTTGTAGAACGTTGACGAGGTGGAGTTGTATTCGGATTTCTGGCAGAGGGCCTTCTACGCCCTCCCATTTGAGATTTGACGCTCCCCTGTTTCAACATGTCCCAATCGTGTCGTTTGCTTGGATCTGAGACGACTTCATACGCAGCGCTGATTCTGGCAAAGGCATCAGTCGCTTTCTCTTTGTCTTCTTCTGTATGTTGCTTATCCGGGTGATACTGCATGGCTAATCTTCGATAAGCCTTCTTGATGTCCTTCTCATCAGCGCCCGGTGTGATGTTAAGGATCTCGTATGGATCATCTGAAGAGTTCATGGTGATGCTTTACTGATTTCTGTGATGTCTGATAGCGGTGTTTCCTGATAGAATACTTCGTGTCGTGTTTGATCTCGATGACTGATGAATAAACCGTGATGCAAAGCTACTGTAGCTATTTGCCTGATGTTTCCTGAATCTGCTCCTGAGGCTGATCGATCGTGTTTAGTGATGTGGGGAGAGTCTGCTGCTTTTATCCAAAAGCTTATCTCAGAGCGGTGTGTTGTGTTGTGTTGTGTCTCAACTCTTTTGTTCTCGGTGAGACTTGTCACAGTGGTAAAAGTAGTAGTACTAGTAGACCTGAACTTATTGTAACCTATTGTGCTCCTGTCGCGGCAGGTTTCGCAGACTGTTTATTAGAAAATTTCACCTGTCGTGGCAAGATAGGCACACCTTGCAGTTCGTCATGCCTGATCTTACTAGTCGAAATGACTTGCGAAACCCACAACGGAAATCTGCCGCCAATAATTCTTGCCAATATTGATGTCCGACCAAGACCAAGTTACTTAATAACCACCGAACGCCAAGACCACACTACTTAGGGGATGTAAATTCAACATCCTTCTTTGGGGCTTGATGAACATAACCTGCTGGTTCGGGAATTGTCGGATGCACATTTTGATGGATGGATTTTCATACGACTGCGCTGACAATGAGAAATGTACGAATATTCCCAAAAAGCTGACATCTGAACTGCAGAAACGACCATGAAATGCACGGACAAACGGATAGCTTAGAAGGATTGATTTTAACTACTCTTCGTTCGGTATCATCAGCGCATGCTCATTCCGAGCTAGCACCATTATTGTCAAGAAAGAGTGAGTCTTTGAACGATAACCTCATTATGGAGTGTTTGCTAGTCCTCGTGTCAAGATCTTGACTCCAGCTGCAGATATCTTGGACTTGTTTACGGATCCTCTCCCATTTACAATTTCCGAATGCAGTGCTACCATGTTGGCCTCAATAGTATCCGAAAATACAAACTTCTTCATGACCATCTCGCTCGTTTGGCCCAACCGATCAATTCTTCCCATGGCTTGGGTTTCGGCAGCCGAATCTAAGCAAGGTTCCATCAGAAAGAGATGAGAAGCTTGTGTCAGTGTCATTCCAACGGAACCAGCCCCAAGTGTGACTACCATACAGGCCGGAAATTTCTTGGGACCTTGAAAGGCCCGAATGGCAAAATCTCGATTCGTCGTCGAGGTCGACCCGGTGATTTCGTAGACGACTGGAATCCCAAACAAGGCTTTGAGGGCCTGGACGACTAACGCGTGGGTATTGGTATATTGCGTAAAAATCACGGCCCGAATATTGCTGTTGCTGGACCAGAGTTGCTTGATTTCATTGTAGAGCGCACAGATTTTGGTCGAGTCCTTCCAACCAATCGTCACCGAAGAAGACGATGACAACAACTTGTCGGATGACAAAGGATGTATCAGACCTTGTTCGAGGCCCCATTTGGATGCTCCATCCCGCTCATACTTTCGAATTTGGTTCCAATTGAGATTTTGAAGATTCCTTTGATATTGGCTCTTTTCATCAGGAGACGTGTGCAAGAAAACTACCTTGCCAACTTTGTTTGGGAGCTCCACGGCTTGTCTACCATCGACCATTTGTGACTTTTCATGCCTCGTCACATACTTGGCAAACATGTTAACAAAGGCATCGATCGATTCGTTGTTGATGGTAGCGTTGGAAAAGGCACGGCCAAACGGACTGTTGTCTTGAATTCCCAAAAAGGTCATTTGCTGTTTCAAATCCGAAATACCGGCCGTCAAGGGAGTGGCAGTGACACACCAACGACAATCCGCCTGTATGCGAGTCGCATACCCAATGTTGGCATTCGTAGTATTGGACAACAAATGAGCCTCGTCCATTACCACCCGATGAAATTTCACCTTGTTCACAACATGCGACGGCCATTCAAAGGTGGCTGTCGAAATGATGATATCAGTGGTGGTTAATAAAAGACGATCGTCCCAATTGTGCAAATCAATGGGATGTTTGGATCTTGACGAGGAGGAATGGAAGCGTCGAACTGTCAAATTCGGAGCATGCTTCTTCACTTCATCTTCCCATTGCCCCATCAACGATGCCGAAGTAAGGACCACGGTGGTTTTGGGTCGACTCCAGTCGTCCTTCGCAACATGACTGGTATCGGATGCCACCAATGCCAAGATAATGGCCGTTTTCTGTATCCAATGAATAAATAATGGGAAATGAAGAAAAAAAAGGTGGGGCCAGAATTGAGTACAATTGATATGTTCTCCACTATTCATATATATATATATATATATATATATATACATAGAGCAAACGCAAACATATATAACTTACTCCCATTCCAACCTCGGATGCTAACCAACCTCCTTTGGTGCTACTGCTGCTGCTACTGCTGCTGCTTCCAAAGTCATTTCTTGTCGTCAATGATGATGGTGACGATGATGACGATGCTTGTTCCTCCACAGATTGCATAAAGGCGAGGCTCTGCCTTTGATAGGGATATAGTGTACTCTGGAATCGTTGCTGCTTGGGTGGCATTAGGACTGCTCCCAAGTAATTCTTGGACACTTGCCGCAGTATGGAATCTACGGAGGTTGGGTCTGCTGAAGAAGCAGCAGCAGCAGCAGCAGGGCGAATCACTTGTTCCGTGGTGGCTACTTGCATTGGTTCTTTATACGGTGTTGGCGGTGGTGGGTCTCGTCGCCGTTTGGATCGTTTTGTTGGTCGTTGCACTGCCGGTGATCGTCTTCGTTGTTGCGCGGATCCTTGCGCTGCCGACGATGGCGACACTCGCGCTGGTGTGGAAGCCAGTCGCATTTGTTCTGAAAACGGAAGACCAAACAAATCCAAAACAGCGAGAGCCGCGTCTGGATCGCTGTCTTGTGTTGTTGTCGCTGCTGCTGCTGCTATTGTTGTTGTTGTTGTTTTCGCTTGCGTTCTCTTGCGGCGTTCCTGTCTTCGCATGCTCTCCCAAAGAAAAACACTATTGGCATGGCAAAGATGACGACGAGGATGAGAATGAGGATAAGCATGAGACACACATCATGCATGACTGCTGCAACAATATTATATTATATACTTACCCTTTTCTGGCTTGACAATGACTCTGCCATGCTTGACATTCCGAAGCCTTGATATCACAGACATAGCAATAACACTTGTGGCAGTAGTCGTAAGCACTAGAATGTTGGGCGACACAATCTTGACGCGAATGTGGAAAGTCCATCAAGGCATTTGGATGACTGGCTCCGACGATTTGGAGATCGTCTGATACTAATAATCCGGCAATAGCCTGGTCAGCGGTATTCTGTTCTTCCGTAGGCAAAGAAGTGGAAGGAGGGTCATCCAAAATGATGCAAAAATCATCGTCCTCATAGTCCTCTAGCTCAAGGATCTCTTCTGGCTGATGTGCTTTTCGTTTCTCATTGCTATTGTTTGCAACGGCTTCTTCTATTCTTTCGTCTTCTCCTTTATTGTCTGCCTTTTGAAACCACTGAAGGATGGATTGCTGTGACATTGTGTTGCGTTGCTGGTATTCCTATTATAAACGTACACGTACACGTATGTAGTACTTTATTCTTGTTGCACCGTTTCTTATTATTGTGTGGCATGCATACTCTGGACGCAATGTTCACAATGTATAATATTAATATAGCACGATAGACAAGAGCGGAGAACGATTGATGATGATGATGATGATTATGATGATACGCGCGGTTGGATTTTATTGATTTTGGATTTCATTCACGAAATAAAAAGGCGCGCGCATCATGCGGACTTAATCCATTTTTTTGAAAGGATTTTTGGCGCCATGACGAGTAGTGGGTATAGTAGATGAGACTTGCCTGGTATCACCACTTTAGACCGCAAAATACTAAAATACTAAAATCTGAATGTACATTTATTTACTTTATATAATACTAAAAGCAACAGATCGTAGTCCTATAAGCTTCTTTCAGAATCAATCAATCAACCATCGCAATTTCAAATTATTTTGCATCGGACGACTCGCCCAACTCTTCGTCAGTAATTGCTATTCTTGAGGCCAATGGGTCTTCCGCCTGTATCCGTTCTTGACCTCCAGCAGAGGTGTCATCATCATTATTATCCTCCTCCTTGTCCTTGTTCTTTGCTGCTTGAAGATCGACAATCTCAATCTGACCAAACTCTTCATCCTCTTCTTGTTTTTCGTTCGTCGCCAGTGCCGCCGCCACATCGCTATTACTGTTATTATTTTTAATATCGACTGGTATGGTCACATCCTTGCTATCTTCATCAAACCGCTGTACAGCTTGCTCCGCGGCCAGTTCCGTCTCGATTCGTTCAATCTCTTTGGTCGTATCCAAGACCACCTGACATTCTTCCAAATGCCAGTGGAGCTCCAATTTGCGCTTTTCCATATTAGCAATCTTCTTTTCCAATTCTTTGATATTATCCCGCATGGTCTTGTGGACTTGTTGAACCTTGTCCAAGGCTTGTTTGTGTTCGTCTTGCTTGGCACTACTCATTCGAGTAGGAGGAGTAGTAGTAGTAGGAGTAGGAGGAGCATTAGCATTATTGGTATTCAGATTCGTATTAGCAGTATGATCCTCCTCATTATCATTGATGATCCCTTCAGATGGTGACGCTGGCTGCTCATTACTGCTACTGTTTTCGTCATCGTCGTCATCATCTGAGATTTGCCCCTGCTCAGTCGTGCCCAGAGGTGGATAGGCATCTTCGCTGCCGTTCGCAATCTGCTTCAATTTGGTTTGGTAGGCTTTCAGGCGAGTCGCAATGAACTCTTCCTTTTCTTGCAAGTCGTGCAGCCTCACGGTAGCATCGTAGAGTTCTTCTTCCAAATCTTCTAGCTCTTGCTTTTCTCCTGGAACCACTTGGAGGTACTCTTGCAAATGCTGTCGTGTTTGGGAATCCAATTGTTCGGTTTGCTTGGCAATTCCACGAAAGTTGCGTTCCTTGATCTTTTTGAGCAAGCTTTGAAGGACCATTCTGTTATTTGCTACAGGCGTAATGGAAAAATTGGGTGAATGAGGTGTGCTACTGTATTGGTGAGCGAGGGACTGAGCCTGGTATTTATGCGTGCAGAAAGATAATATAGTATATACCGGGGAGGATGATGAGACTTCATAGGACTGACTGCATGCGACGACGACTGACTCGTGTAAGATATTGTGAAAAATGTCCGAATACAAGTTTTCGAAAATGTCCGACACCGGTCCCAACAGCTCAAATTTGAAATTGAAAAGAACAGAAATTGAAAATGTCAGCTTCTTCGCATTCTCCATTGTCGAAAACGGGGCCTGTTAAATGGACCAAGATCTAATTCTACCGTATTCTACCGTATTAAACTAAAAACTTGAGCCAACACATACCGAAAAGGTAGTTTACCAACTATGCGACGTGCATTTGACTCCCTTCGTTTCCTCTATTCAATATATATGGTGGTCACGTGGTCGAAAAGATCTGCCGAATGGATCATCTGGCTCCCATTGACCGCTGGAAAAGATTAAGTGTGCTCTAAATGGCCTCACTTCGGATCAGACCACACAGAGAATTGGACAGATTGTTTGATTCAACAAGAATAGTCAGACAGACATATATCTGGTACCAGGTACCATTTAGTCCAAATCACCCTCTGCTTCTCTCTCTTATCATCGAAAGATTCCAGTCATATCCTATCTGACACATACGAGATGATGACAAAGAGCAACGGAAATGGCTTAATAAGGTTACTCGTATCCATCATGCTCCTGAAGTTTCTCATTTCCAGTGCTACTGCCGATAATAATGCCGAATCCTCCTCAGCGTCAATATCAGAAGCCATTATGCTTGCATCTGATTCTTCATCAGCATCAGCATCAGCATCAGCATCGTCACCTTCAGCTCTAAGAAAAAGGAAACAAAGGCTACAGCAAGCATCTGCTTTGGGAATGACATCGGCTGGTGGTCATGCTCAATCTAATGAGGCATCCTCCTCCTCTTCCTCTGATGCACATCCTCTGCTGAATCATTCAAGATCGCTCCAAATCATTGAAGGGGGAGAAATAATATCTCCCCAGTGCAACTTTGCCATACCTTTTGATTTGGATCGACACAAGAAACGTGAATATGTCGTCGGCGTTCTAGCCATTCGAGGCTTTGAAGCCGCCCGGGCGGATTACACCAAGATCTTTGCGGACTATTTGACGGCATCGGCGGGACAACGATTCGATCCGCCCATTACCTTCAAAATGGAACCCCTCAACTTTGTAACTCTCTTTTCTTCTGTGGAAGAACGAACAGTGGATTTCATCTATGCCAATCCATCGGCCTATTCGTGCATCGAAAGTGAGTATGAGGCCCATTCGTTGGCCTCCCAAGTCAGTTTAAGAAAGGTGGATGGGAATACCTATACTCTCAAGAAATTTGGGGGTGTCATTGCCACCTTGCACAATAGGACCGACATTAATTCCATTGATGATTTGGTGGATAAGAAGATTGCGGCCGCTTCCATTTCGGGGTTGGGAAGCGGGCAGATGCAATTCAAGGCCATGGTAGACAGTGGCATGAATTATTTGCAAGATCCAAAGCAACTTATCTTCACCAGTAATCAGGGCAAGGTGGTCCAAGGTGTGTTGTCGGGGGAATTCGATGTCGGCTTTATTCGAACGGACCAGTTGGAACGCAGCAGAGATACCAATGGCAACTTGGTGAATCGGTCCTTATTCAAAGTGATTGATCCAGTTCCCAACTTGGCCATTGATGGCGAAGCCTTTCCTTTTGAATCGTCCACAGAATTGTATGCCGAATGGAACATTGCTAGTCTGACTCATGTTTCCCCAGATGTGGCACGAGAAGTCCAACGTGCCATGTTGTCCGTTGGATCCTACGGGCAACTGGGGGATGATATTTTGGAATGTTACGAGACCTTCAATCAAACGTATTGCGACAGTCAACCACTCACGTTTTATGGCCAACCAGTCCAATGCAACAGCAGTCGTGCCAAGGCACTATTGGCCACCGAAGCATTGACGATTGGAAAATTTGCTGGTTGGTCCACCACTTTGAGCTATATGCCATTGCGATCCATGCAAGAAGCCACTGGATTCATTTCCATGGAACCGGAAACCAAGATTTGGAGGTGCATCCGATCGGCAGAGCTATATGACGCCATTTCTTGTCCCGCTGGTTTCGAAATCAGAAGTAAGGAAGAAGTTGATAGGGGATGCACCGATGTTGGATTGAGTTGCGGGGAAGGCTACCAGTGTGTCTGTCGGCCTTGTGTGGCGCCCTTTGAACTTGTTTGTGTCGATTCGGTCAAGATTGGGGACAATTGCGTCAGCTTGGCCATCTTTTTGCCGGTTGTCATCATTTCGTTGATTACCCTCCTTGGATGCATTTCTACAGCATATTTGCGATTCAAGAAGAGACAAATGGATTCCTTCTGGCTTATCGACACTGTTGATCTGACATTTGATGATCCTCCCACCTGCGTTGGCGAAGGAAAGTTTGGACTTATCTTGTTGGCAGATTATCGTGGTACCCAAGTGGCTGTGAAACGAGTGCTTCCACCAAGACGAGCGAAACGAAACAGGAGAAGAAGAAAGAAGCAATACCCCTACAAGGATACTGCAATCACTGACAGTGTCGCATCCAACGGTAGCTACGATGCTAAGTATTTCGATGTTGAAAATCCGGGACTACAGCAACATAGACGGGGCGAAAGCATGGTGGCAAAAGATGGTGTCTTTCTCTGGTGGGGTAAAAACAACAACAATACCACTTCCAGTGTCAAACGAGATGCTGAAATAGAGTATGAAAAAGTCAAAAAGGAATTTATTCATGAAATTCGCTACTTGGCAAAAATGCGACATCCGAATATTTGCACCGTCATGGGCGCGGCGTTGCCGTCGAATCAGTCCGAGCCAATGCTCGTCATGGAATATATGACGGAAGGCTCCTTGGCACAAGTACTCAACAACAAGGCGGTATCTTTGGAACCAGAACAACTTCTTAGCATGCTACAAGACGTTGCCCAAGGTCTACGCTTCCTTCACACTGCCAAGCCGAAAATTATTCACACCGATTTGAAAGCAAAAAATGTTTTGGTCGACTCGAACTTCAAAGCAAAGCTCTCCAATATTAGTCTTCCATCCATTTCCAAATCTGAGGCAGTTGGTACACCTTTCTGGATGGCTCCCGAGCTTCTCAGCGGAACCAGTGGGAACACGACGAAATCTGACATTTACAGTTATGGAATTCTTATCTATGAGGTATACAGTGGGAGACAACCATATCAAGGCGAAAATTATGAAACCGTGGTCCGAGATATCTGCGACCCTGTGATTCAGAAACGACCAACGGCTCCAGTGGACTGCCCTGACAAGGTCGCCTTGCTCATGCAAGAATGTCTGCAGCACCAACCTTTCAAAAGACCGGACGCGGAACAGCTCGATCTTCACCTTCGCGTGGAACTTAAGGTCACAGAAAGAACAAGCCGGTTGGAAAAGCTGAATGAAGAATTGAAGGTGGCTAGCGAGCATATTGCTTCGGCATCAGCCATGCAACTGCAGCACTTTGCTGCAATGAGTCACGAGATTCGTACCCCATTAAATTGTATCATTGGCATTTCGAGTTTGCTGGAAGAATCGGACCTTGACCCATCGCAAAAAGACAGTGTTGATATGATTGTCAACAGTGGACGGTTGCTGAGAAGCATTATTGATGACGTTTTGGATTGTAAGTTTGATCGATACTTGGTGGTTTTTGCTTGGATCAAATTTTTTGATGGCACTGTTCTGACTTGATTTTGATACCATTCATTTCCTCGATTGTATACAGATTCGAAATTGGAAAGTGGGAATGCCGAAACTTTGATTGAACGAATTGATTTGCAAGAGACACTCGATGTTGTTATTCACATGATTAAGACCAACGAAGTCACGAAAGACAAGAAACTCAAGATTCAGACCGTCTTTGACCCGTTGATTCCTCGCCATTTGGAAGCAGACAGTCGCCGAACCCAACAGATTCTGTACAACTTGCTGGGAAATGCCATTAAGTTTAGTCGACCTGGGCAGTCCGTTCAATTTGTGGCAGAAGTAGTGGATCGTAGAATTCTGCGTTATACCATTAAGGATTTTGGAAAGGGGATTGCTGAGAGTGATTACAACAACATCTTTATACCCTTTCGTCAGACTGCCACGGGTCTTACAAACGTTGAAGGTGGCACCGGATTGGGACTTGCGATTACCAAGAAACTAGTGGAAGCACTGCATGGTCGCATATCGGTAAAGAGTGTGTTGGGCCAATGGACTGAATTCACTGTGGACTTTCCGTTTAGCGATCGAGTGGTCAGTATGGATGAGATTACTTCCAAGTTGAATGGGACTCAAGTTTTGATCGTGGCGAAAAAGGATAATTTGGATGCAAGAGAGGCACGTGACATCTTTACACAGTACGGAATCAAGTTCAAATTCCTTCCATCCATGCACGAAATGGGGAATTTGATATTCGACGAGCAAGACGGGGAGAAGTCGTTTGTGTGCTTGTGCCAAGAAGACTTGTTCGAGCCCGACAAGAACAACATTTTCGAGCCATCGACCAAGTACAGTCTCATTACCTTTGGTCCCAAGTTTTTGATAAAGAAGACTCCAAAACACGTCCGATGCATTCTTGAGACGTTTCCATCCGTCCTTGCCATGAACATCATTGAGAGCATTGAATCACCGAGTGGGGAGGTGAACAGCATCGATGCCTCAGCTCGATCGTTGATGAGTGCTAGCGCACCGTGGGCGTCCCTTCGAGTTTTGGTGGCAGAAGACAATCTAATCAATCAAAAGGTCATGCGACGAATGCTGGAGCGATTGGAAGTTGAGGATATCACCATTGTCGATAATGGGGAAAAGGCTGTCAAGATCGAAGCGGAACAGCAGTTTGATTTGGTTTTGATGGACATGCAAATGCCTGTGATGGATGGCGTGGAAGCCTGCAAACAAATCTGCAAGCGCGAGGGGGGCCACCGCCATGCCAAGATCATCTTTGTTACGGCTCACGCGGCGGATTCCTTCAAGAAAAAATGCATCGAAAATGGAGCGATTGGGTACATTACCAAGCCCTGCACCAAACATGATGTCGAAGAAGTCTTGCGACAGGTCGTATGGGCTTCTTCATAGCATTGATCGACCGACGATAGGTTAAAATTGTACATCAATATTTTGTATCATTATAGTCCTAGAATGAATAAGAGTCTCATGGGTATACTATTATGGTAGGTATTGTCCGTATTACGATAGCCTCCAACACAGCATGTGCTTTGGGGGATGTACCTACAAAAAGTTTCACAATTTTGTGGACAACAAAGAACATTCTTTGGGTCATTCGTCATTCCTTGAGACTTGCAATGAGACATTTTGCTGGCGCCGCACGATAATTTCAAGCGAAACCCATTGAATTATTTTACTGGCGATCAGATCATCTTCAATAATCTGTTGACATTCAACAGCACTCAGATATTGTCCTCAAGACACGCTTGCTGCCACCCAACATAAGAGCAATAAGAACAATAGCGCAACAACATAAGACCAACAGCAATAGCACAACAACAGCAAAATGCAAGAAGGTGACAATCCTTACGAGATCCTTGGGGTCGAATTATGGTGCTCAGATGAAAAGGAGATTAAGAAAAATTACCGCAAGTTGGCCATGAAGTATCACCCTGATAAGCAAACTACTGAGGAAGACCTAGCCATCGCTAATACAATGTTTGCCAAGATTGCGGAAGCGTACGAACTATTGACTGATCCAGTAAAGAGATATGATTGGAGACAAGCCAACGAAGACCGGTTGAAGCGAGGTTCGGCGCCTGCGGTTTCAGCAGTCCAAACCACCTATCGACCGCAAAGTGGAGGTGCCGTGCAAAGGCCCATGCGAACCGCAACTGCCCCTTCTCGTGCTTCCGGTGGATCGGTTCCAACTTCTCGAGCAATGGCAACACGCGTGCAACAACCTCCACCACCCAAAAAACCTGCACCTAAGGTTCGAGCTGGTCTCCAAACGACAGCCGCTACCTCCTCAGGTCGAGGAGGTCGGGGTCCTCCTCCACCAGGTCGGGGGTATCCACATCCCAATAATCCGTCGGCGTCTACCTATCAACAGAGGGCTCCCGAACCCCATCGTCAGGCCCGTGGCGCCAAGAATTTCCGAGATCCGTTCCTAATCTTTGAAGAAGTGATGACGGAGGAATTTGGAAAGGATTACAAATCCCAGGTGCACAAGGAATGGAGTGCGGAAGATGGTAAAAAGCAGCAATCGAAAAAGTCGTTGTTTGGTGGTGGCAAATCGGACGACAAAAAGGATGTGCCTTCTTATAAAGATGCCTTCAAGGACATTGATCTTAATGGAGACAAGGTGTTGTCGAGGACCGAACTGCGTAGTTTTATCGAGGCCAACGAAACACTGCACGCCGTTCTTGGAAAGTCTTTGAATTTGCATCCCCAACAAAGTATAGACATTGCTACCGACGTGGCATTTTCACTGGCCAAATGGGACGGAAAAGATGAAGATGCGGCCATGGCTTCTTACTTTTTGACGCAGAAGAAACGAAAGGATGGAAAGAATATGGACATGACCAAGGACGAATTCAAACAATTCTACAAGAATTACGTCCAAAGTAGAAAAGGAAGCTACGATTTCTTTTTACGCACCATGTTTGCTGCCTACGATCTCAATGGGGATGGCAAATTGCAACGGAAAGAGTTTGAGAATTTCCTGGAAATCTTTTATCATGCCAACTACCAAGGTAAAGTGGCCATGCCCAGCAAGCCAGAATTGGTACGGTTGGCCCAACTTCGACTGGACAAGAACAAGGATGGGCACATGAGCTTTTCCGAGGTCCGAGATTTGTTGCAAGTGGCGGCGGTCTTGACCGACAAGTCGAAAAAGCCAACCAATTGATTTGCTGGTGGTTGTTATGAATGAATAGAGTATCGGTACACTCGAACCTACCGGTACAATATATTATGTGTGATGAGTAGTTATTAATACTTATAGTGAATAGAGAACTGTTTGGGAACGATGCTACGACATAAAATACTGTACACACCACGGTATTAGATCTCATTTTTTAATTTGATTTTTTTATAAAAACATCAACGACTCGTTCGAGCTGTTTTTTGGACGGTCAGACATCTTATGGTTGATCGTGTCTAAAAACACCCGGTGAAAGTCGTACTTTGAATCGCTCAGATAGAAACAGCTTTATCTTTGACAGAAACCGTTCCATCGTGGAGACATGAAGGGCCGTTGAGCGAGTCAGTCGTCTCTAGAAATACAAGAAAGTAGACCTTCAAAGTCCTTGCTTCCCGTCGGACATGGAAACGCTTTCGTTTGATCGTTGTGGTGTGTCTAAAAACTAGTTCCTACTGTACTGTACCATTCTGGTGCCTACACTGATGTCAGGTTATGTCTTCCTACTGACAGACATGTAGCGCGTGTCTATAAAAACAGCAAAGTAGACCGTCAAATAAGTCCTCGCTCGGACATGGAAACTCTTTTGTTTGACCGTTGTGTTTCTATTAATAATAACCAAACTGCAGAGTATACTAATCCGCCACGATCCTGGCTCCCACGGCGTGGTACCACGGCGTGGTAGTCTGTCAGGTTATCTTCCAGCTGACTGCTGGTGCGAGTAGCTGTAATCGCAAGGAAGAGTTCAGCCAAGAGCAACGATACTACCATCTGATCGAGGTTGTACAAGTTAGTAGACAAGCATTCAGGTATTAGAACATTGTAACTAGAGAAAGAATTTATCATATATTATTGTCTGTGTGTGTGTGCTAGTTTATTATGTTTTATATCTCTCAAAATTGTGGCAAGGTGTAGTGATAATGCATATAGTTAGCGTGTCAATAGAATCCTCAAGTATTGTTGCATTGCTTGATTGTGCAAGTCTTGTTGTTGGAGTTGGTTTTGCTTGAGTTGGTCCAAGTAATTGGTCATGAAAAATGAGTCTTGTTGTTGTTGTTGTTGTTGTTGCTGTTGAGAAGCAGCAAACATTTGCAAGACACGATTGCTATTGGATCCCTTGTTGTTCGTGGGAATGCTTGCTTGTGCTGACAAGGTAAAAGCCTGTGGATTCAGCATGGGAAGGTTGTTGGAGAGCACTGGCATAGAAAACGCCTTCATTGCCATGGCAGAAGGCGATAAAGGAGACGCTGATCGGCTGTCACTGCCGGTACAGCTAGCAGCCTTCTTGGCAGCCATAGCTGACTTGGTACCAATGTTCTTCATGGGCAACTTGTGGATAATCTTGCCACAGAGACTGCGCTTTCCACGCACAAAGGAGGGGTGAGAGTAGCTGCCTCTTCCGAGGTTGTCAAAGCCATAGTATTGCACTTGGCGTTTGAAGGACTTGAGCTTGCTCTGTCGTGGAAAGTACTTTGTGAGGAGAAAGGTTTCAAAGACCACGGGCTTATGGATGCGGAATCCAACGCCGCTAGGAAGCCATGAGATGATGCTGGAAAGCTCTTCATTGTCTTCAATGTCGGTGAGCAGTTGATGCAACTTGTATGGAAAGCTTGACATTGTTATTGATGAGAGATGAAATTGTTTGTGCAAACGAAAGAAAATAGAAATTATGAAACAAACAAGCGATGATTTTCTGAACTTTTCGCAAGTTTTGGTCGTTCTGGTTTGAGGCCGGTGAAGTCCGCTCCCTATTTCTACATTATATACATGTGACTTTATATGTGACTGACGACAATCCGGTGTTCGCAGCCCTTCCAAATGAAACGATTTCTGAACGATGACTTCTGACCATAAGTATTGGAAATTGATTTGGCCCCGCCAAGGCCAATTTGCATGTCGTATGATGGAAATGAAATGCCGCTATGGACGCAGTAGCGAAATGTTCTCACCATGGACCATTAAGTGGCATGAATCGTAAAGCGGCGCTAAATACACCGAACAAATTCAAGCGCTTGCAGAAAGTACGGAGGGCTACGGCAAAACGTCCAATTCTGACCTTTCCTTGCGGGACATTTGATCAATTACTCGTTTCGATTGTTACATATATAACTTCGCGGCGAAAATTCAAACAAACCAAAAGTGACCGTCAAAAATCAATTGTGACGAAATTATCGATGACTGCATGGCAGAAATTGAAAATACTGTAGGTTCTGTTTTCGGTACCGCAGTACGGTACCGGTAGGTATTAAATAGTCCAGAATATTCTCGAAGTCACGCCAACAACAAAAAAAGGGTACCAGATAATGGTACCAAGTAACTGGCATATCAGAATGAATCACACACTCCTTTTGCAGAGGTACCGTACGATCAAAAAGGTTTCTAATCCTCATCCTCTTGCGATCTTGAATGGGATGACGCGTGACGCTCCAACATGAAGGCGAACTTGAATACTACTGCTCTAGAGTACCGTGGAACTGTTACCCAGCCGCGACATGCTAACCCTTCACCACGATTCTCCTGCCTGATACCACACCTTTATGACCGGGACATGCGGGGACATGAACATGAATGATAGTAATGGCGTATACTTCTAATAGAGAAGAGTTGCTTGCTGCTGACACTACTGCTACAGTAGTAGTACTGCCTGGTACACCAGGCAGTCGCAACCCTACACATTCAGCACGCGGGGACACACTAATGATACCAACCCCGCAGAATACTGAAATGGAGAGTTATAACGTGTTTACTAGTAGTAGTAGACGATCATCTTTTGCTTCAAGGATGCTTCCTTAACGGGAACTGCTCCTGGCACTACTTGAGTTGGTACTGGTGCTGGTGCATGGCACTACTTGAGTTGGTACTAGTACATGCTGTATTAGTAACTGGTATGCTAAGAATAAGAAGTCGCCTTGTTCACGGCCATTACTACGGATACTGCAAGCCACAGCATACATCATGAAAGGGAACCGGGAAATGGATGGTGGTGAGGTACGGTATACTACTGTAGCAGTGAACAATCGTGAGACACTAGTAGTTGTACCATGCACAACATACTATAGTGGCTAATTTTGGCAGCACTACTAATACAAACCGCCGCGTCCTCAGCCAAAGAGATGTAAAGAATAATTCAATACTCGCCGCATCAGAAAAGTATCCGCAGCCTGCAGATAGTGTCGTTGTATTCGAAACTGCTGGGCGTGGTGAAGCAAGCTATTTTCAGCATACTAACTTGTTCCTTGTTGCCTCCAGGGAGCTAGCAGCAGCTCCACCACCACCGCTTTTGTAGATTACAACACTATTGGCGGCCGAACCAAAGATTTCTACTAGTCTAAATGTTCAGTATTAAAATATAATATACCGTAGGAAAATGTGCAGGACGAACATGAAATCATCAGGTCGTCGTGCAACGCGGAGGTTCAAGTCCTTGGCCGTGCATATAAAATTAATCCATTGCTATTATCAACACTTAAGATACTGTAGTGCCACAGTAGATGAAAGAGAAGGGAGTGTTATTATTGGTGTCTGTAGTTGTATCTCCTTTGGTGAGAGCCATAGTAATTCAAATATCCGTGACTCCGATGAATCTTGTTTTATCAAATCATGACTCTTAATAAAATAAGTAATGCGAAAGAATTGTACCCCATGTTCTGAATCCTTCTTGCCATATGTAAATGTTAGCGTGCGACAACAAGTTCGATGTAGAACAATTTTCCTCAGACATAATTTCAAGCAAAAAAAACGGGTTTGGCTACCGACTGCGCTTGGGAAGTTTTTCCTTGCTCATGTTCTTTCAAAATCTTCTAGGAAACGCATTCATGTGTAAACGGGTGTCCGTCCAACTTCTTTTTCGCCATTTTTCCGCAAGATCACACAAGAACATCGATCGTAGCTCGAATCGGCAATGAATTTCTTATCGAAAATTTAGGAAGGCATAGGTAACTCGTTCACTATGTGAAAAATTACCGATCGTTATATGCATTGACCATTGCGGCTACATAACAAAAAAGCGAATAAAAAATTGGTCCTGTAGAAACTTTACGCCCCTCACGTTCGTACCCCATGGCCAAGTTTTTTTGCAAAACTAATACGCAGTAATAAATTCGGAAATACCTGACCATGCCAGCCTTTCCTTACAAACTGCACACCCTCTTGGAGGATGTCACTGCTGATGAAGAACTCAGTACAATCATCTCATGGTTGCCCGATGGAAAATCCTTTCGAATTCACTCACAAGAAGAGTTTGAAAGACGTGTTCTGAAGGATTACTTTCCGCGTCAAAAACAGGTCAAGTCATTCATGAGACAACTGCAGTATTACGACTTTGAGAACTTTGGTGATGGTTTGTTCTGTCATCGATGCTTCCGACGAGGTCAACGGAACTTGTGTGGTCAAATTTTGCACCAGTTGCCAACCAAGTCTCAAAAGGTCGGTGGAGGGTCCACTCGTCCATTGAAGCAGCGTGGCCGCAAAAAGAAGGGCCGATCGTCTCAGTCGTTTGAGACGTCGCCAGAGCTTGACATGGCGCCATATATCGTGGCATCCTCCTCACCAGAGCCGTCCCTGCCAGATGATGCAACTTCTACACGTGTAGTGTGCTCCTCGTCGTCTGTTTCGGCTGACGAACAGCAGCAGTCCCAAGAGCACCAAGGGCGTGAGCTACAACTGAACTCTCTTTCACCCACTTGTGTGAATGAAGTTCCCAGTCCTCTCAAGAGAAGCGGTAGTAATGTTGTTAAGGGGAACGCGCAAACCGAACAACTATTCAACACGGTTCTGCCAAATGTGTTTCCCCAACAAACAACTTCCTCCTACCTAACAACACGTCGTGGGGCCTTTGCTCAATACGGGATGCAAGCCATGACTGCTGCACGAAGTAACTACATGTCGTGTCTACAGCAAGAGATTATGATTGGATCCATCTTGTCCATTCAGAGACGTCTGTCAATGGAACAGTACGAGACTACTAACTCTGGCGCAATCAACAACTCCAGCGCCAGCACACGCACACAACCGTAAGATCAATCAACCCGTCTCATGTATATCTCTCAACACACTTTTAGTCCCAGCACACTTTTAGTCCTATCCTTCGGAAGGATAGTATAATACCGGTAGAAGTACAATTTATACTCAAACACTAGTGAACGAACATAAGCCGCGTGAACTAACATCTCTTTAGTACTACTACAGTAGATATTTAGTACTATACTATAGATCCAGACGACGTGTAAAATAGGAGAAACCATCGCTGTAACCCATGAATCATTATCAGTTCTATCTTGGGTCTGTTGTTGCTTTTGGTTTTGCTTCTGCCGATCAATTCGGAAACCGCAGAAACGAACTGCTGTTGCTGCTGGTGCTATAAAAGGGTAATTACCAGTACCGGTAGTGGTTCGCTCCCTCCCTTTCTCATCTCATCCGTCGTTGGCGGCCAAAAAGGAACCGTGTCTAAAGTTTTGTTCGACTGTTCGCGCCGTGGAGGGAAGGAGAACAAGTAATCGAACTATAACTTTCAGGAACGATGACGATCAATGGATGTTTATAAATGTGACCGCAAATACTTAGTGGTCCCCAGTTGACATTTTGGTTTCTGAACTAGAACAGTCTGGAAACACTGAGAATTAGGGATGGAAGTGACTCAGAAGAAACGGTTTCTAAGGAGAGCTAACAAACATTCGCAATAAGAGCCATCGATATCAAGGATTTATGAATGACGGAAAGTGGCGGGGGCACAATCACACAGGAAGAGTGAGTCGTCAGTCTCATTCTGCCAGCATATAAAATATTGAATCCGCGATTCTTCCAAACAGAATAATCACTGAGAATCGTACTATCGCTCTTGACCTTCACAACATTTGATTGATTCATCCCCGAAGCATACAATACATCATCATGCCTGCCTTTCCATACAAGCTTCACGAACTCCTCGATGACGTGAATGACGATGCTGAACTCAGTGCCATCATATCGTGGCTGCCAGAGGGCACATCATTCCGAATCCACTCGTATGAACAATTTGAGAAGAGACTCTTGAAGCAGTACTTTCCTCGGCAAACACAGATAAAGTCCTTCATGAGGCAGCTCCAGTACTATGACTTTGAGAACTTTGGTGGCGGTTTATTCAGCCACCCTTGCTTCAAGCGGGGCCTGCGAAACAAGTGTGGCCAAATCCTCCATCAGTTGCCAACCAAGAGTCAAAAGGCAAACGGAGGTCGCACTCGTCCACTCAAGAGTCGAGGACGCAAAAAGAGGATCCGCGCTTCTTCTTTTGCCTCCACAGCAGGTACCAGCTCTGGGTCAGTTCTCACGACCACCGCTGGGGATGCCTCGGTGATTTCCCATGACTCCTCTGAATCCTTCAAAGGTGGTGTTACAGCAGCAGACTCGAAACACGATTCGTCACCCACTCTGTCTCCGACAAAAGCGAAACAAGCTGATAGTATCACTCGTGGCCCATTTGCCGCTGAACTTGGCGATACAATGTCCTTGGCAATGCCCCCTGCGGTCCAGTCAATGATTTCCCAGCAACAGCAAATTCTCATGATGCATCAGCAACAGACCTTGGCCCAGTTCCAACAGATGCAAGCAATGCAAATGGCACGGCAAAAGTATCTGTCCTGCCTTCAGCAGGAGATGTTGCTGGAATCGCTATTCCGGAATGGTAGCAACGGACATAGTATTATGTCATCATCCAATCAAGCGATACCACATCAAGTGTTTCAGCCCGATACCACCATTTCCTCCGCGAGTGGTGGTAATAAACGACAGCAGGGTTGAGAGAGCATTCATCATCCTGCCTGTCTATATACACGAACTTTTAGAATAGAAATCCTGCTACTACTAATATCCCTAAAATTAAATGATTTCAACCAAAAGAACGTACAGTATGTTTCATCTCGAATATCGAGAAATGAGGTTTACAACTAGGTAGTGGATATATTTGATGAATATAACCCTACACAGCCGAAGCACCACCACCACCACCACCAAACGAGGTCGAGTCCTTGTCAAATATCTCAAGTGCATTCAAAATGGCCTGGTCCATGTTGAAATACTTGTAGTTGGCGAGTCGGCCAACGAATGATACATTTGGTGTTGCTTCTGCCATGGATTGATACTTTTGGTATAACTTTCTGTTTCGGTCGTTCGGAACCGGCTAAGGTTTTGTAATCATGACATCCATGAGGTGAGACAATGCAGGCCAATGTATAAAGTCATGGAAAGACACTTTTCAATTGAAACTTACATAATATGGTTCACCCCCAGCTTTGGAATGTTCGTAAAAGATCACTGTATGTGGGGATGATTGATTCAAGAAATGCTTGTACTCCACGATTCGTGTAAAGTTTGCACTGCTAGAAGGATGATTCACCACCGGCTGGAAATTGGAACGGAGGAAGGGGCATCAGGTGAGCGAGTGAGCCACATGTGGGACGAGAAATGAAGAAAGACTACACCAATTTGGTATTCACCTTGGATTGAAATTGAGGGACATTCTTGAGTACTTTTCGTTCAAAGTCCAAACTTCGATATTCCAACTTGTCCCAACCCAAATCAGAAAAGTAGACATCTATTGGACCGGTGTAATAGGTTCGATGGTCACAATCAATATCATCTTTGATATCAAAGTAGTTGGTATTCACCTGGACGTCGATCTTTGGATGGTTGAGCATGTTGCGAAACATGGCCGTGTAACCATCAGATGGTAGAGCTTGATGAGGATCTGTAAAGTATCGCTTGTCGTGGTTGTTTCGGACCGGAATCCGAGCCGTTACTTCTGGACCCAACTCACGGGGACTCGTCCCCCACTGCTTCTCCGTGTAGGGCTTGAAGATGAGATCGTACAAGCGCGGTCCGACTCTGGATAAGGCCATTTCTTCCGAGTTGGCAATGGGGTTGTCATACTTGACTTGTTCTTTCGCCAACCATTCGTCCATTTCCTGGGTATTCTGAATCTCGAGTCCAAAAAGTGCATTGACCGTTTCGATATTCACAGGAATGGGAACAATGGTACCATTCAACCCAACACTTCCCACAACTTCATGTTCGTAAGGCGTCCAATTGGTAAATTGCTGAAGGTAGTCCCATACTCGTTCGTAGGAGGTATGGAAGATGTGAGCTCCGTACTTGGACACTCGAATGTCTGTCTCATCATCAATGTAATCATAACAGTTGCCTCCAATGTGATCACGTTGTTCCATTACCAATACTGATGCATTGTGCTGTGATGCATATCGTTCGGCTAATACTGATCCAGATAGCCCCGCCCCTACAATACAAATATCATATCGTTTTCGATTCAAGAACGATGATGGTTGTGACTTCCGATGATGAGACGAACGGTAAGGAGGATTGATCATTCCAACATCGTGATGAAGGTAAAAATGGTGGTGGTGGGAATGGTAGTGGTCATGATGAATGTTAATCATCGAACAAGAGATATAAATAGACAAAGCCACGGTTGCTAGTGCCGAAGGATCGGTCCATCGCCACTTTCGTTTTCGTTTGCTCTTTGTTCGCTTTCTGGGGCTGCTTCTTGACGTTTTTATAGCTGGGTCCTTGTGCTTCTTTTTGCTAGCCTGCGCTGGCGAGTGCGGCGATGGCTGAACACTGAGAGGAGCTTGGCGAGAAGCTCGTCGAGGCGTGGTGAGCTGAGTTTCCACATCCGCGACTGAAGAATCAGCACTTCGTTGTGTGCTGGTCATCTTGTTTCTCTTCTTCTGTAGCAGCAGCTAGGTTTATCTAGGACTGAATGAGGCGATTACCACTTCTCCCGAGATTTTAGACTGTAGTTTGCTTCAGCACTTGAGGGTTGCGAGAAACTACCGAAGAAAGGAGGTATAGTATGATGTTCGTCTGTGATGACTCGGTATGTTATTATTATCGTTGAGAAAAAAGAAACGGTCAAAACAAAATCTAACAATAAAAATAAGCGAAAAAGGAGAGAGAGTTTCGGGGGAGGCTATCTTTTAACCAAAAACTATAACGGTATTCTGCGAGTCGAGTCGTCACCAAAAACACCCACGTGCATTGCCAGCTCGACTCGCCCAACTTTCCACGATCCTCACAAAAAAAGTCGACTTGTACGAGAAGAAGAATCTCCCCCAAATATCGAATCTCCTAGTATTTTCTTTCGCAAGCAAAAACGCACGTGCGGTTGGAACTTCAAGAGAGAGCGTTTCGGCCACGAGGAAAAATCTGGAGCATACAGGATCATATATATGTAAGCCGGATATGTAGACGCACTCATCATCCATCATTCTCAAACATTTTCAACATCTAACCGAACAAACAAGTCGTATCATAACGACTGAATCAAACAGGGCCTTATTGATTACATCCAACAGACATAACAACATTGGCATCATCAGACTCTAATACTGCTGTTGACGAAGAAAGAATTATGAATTCCACTTTCAATAATAACGCTGATGAGAATCCACAATCTTCGGAGGGAACCTACGATGGAGGTTCAGAAGGATACGAATGTGAGATTCGTCAGGAGGATCAACCTTGTCATGATCAGCTCCCTAATGTCGAATCTTACAAGGCCATGATGGGAATTCATCGAACGAAACCTTCCAACAAGAAAGCAGCAGGAATGATCCAAACGAAGATCATTGAAAAATTGGCGAAAAGGATACCAGCCACAGAAATTGACAAGACGGATACCTCACGTAGATCGATGGATCCTCCTGAACAGTATCCTGATGACTGGGGTGGTCTGATGAAAGATCCTTCCGGAGAAACTTTCACAGATGACTACTACGACGAAGAAGACGAGGGCCAGCGTCCGGATCTTGTGAGGAATCATACCGATGACAATGACTTGGAATCGTATTCCAAACCAGATCATCTATCATCTACTCGTATACATCAATTGTGTTGGAGACTTTGCTTGCTGATCACCATCAGTGTCTTATTGGCGGCCCTTGGCTTTGCTGTGATTATGATGACATCGAATATGAACGGATGGTCAGAAGGCGGCAATAGTGATGTACGCACTGGAGGTTTTGTCCAGGGGGAAACCCAGCAATATTTGAAAGTTCGAAACTACCTACTCAATATTGGCAAACTTCCCTACAATCGCACCTACGACAATTATGATCCAGATAGCATTGAGGCTGTGCAAACCACTTCAGAACCACAACCATTGTCAAGGCGAGAATTGCTATTCAATGACACCAGTCCCCAATATTTGGCCGCTCAGTGGTTGGCCCATGGGGATGATTCGTTCATGCCCGTTCCAACGAATAACCAGAAGGGATATAATCAGCGATATGCCATGGCTGTCATCTATTTTGCCCTTGGTGGCAAGGAATGGTTTCGAAACTACAATTTTCTGTCTGCCGGTCACATTTGTACCTGGAAGGAGGAATACAACCTCCAAGCCATTGCAGAGGCGTCGAAAAGTGGAATCAATACCGAACTAGCGACTCTTTTGGGTGTTCACAACAATGATGACTGGAAGTCATCCATTGGCAGCAGTGATCAAACAATCATTCATGGAGTTCATGATTGTGTCAATGATGCGGAAGGCAACTTCTTTCCAAAGGCACTTTATTTGCGTACGTATTTTGGTTTATTCATCGTATCAACTTGTGATGAGACTCGCAGCCACTAACTCTATGTGTACATAATATGTCTATATTAGCACATAACAATCTGAATGGACGGATACCTGATGAAATTGGTATCCTGAACGAGCTCGAGCTTTTGAATGTTGAATTCAACCCACTTGTCAGGGGTAAATTGACCGGTCATTTGCAAGAATTGAAATACCTCCGACACTTGGGCCTTCAGTTTTGCAATCACGAAGGCCACATTCCAATGTGGATTCCAGGTTTGTCACAACTGCAATTCTTGGGGCTGGGAGCCAATCGTTTTGATGGCGATATACCCTATGACATTGGGCTTCTATCGAACCTCAAGGTTTTGGGTTTGGATAATATGAACGTGCACGGGGATCTTGGCATGTTCGCGGCGCTGTCCAACTTGGAAACTTTGTACTTGGAAAATACCTTTATTCACGGAGGCATCAGCTCTGTCTTATTGGAGCTTTGGCCGAAACTGGTAGAGATTGATGTCAGCTCGTGTGATCTTACCGGGACGCTTCCGGCTGACTTGTGGGATGGGGTATTTCCGAGTTTGAAGGTATTGGACCTGCATGGGAACAAAATCGAAGGACCCATACCTTCTCCACCACCTCAAAACTTGATGAGTGGGGAGTCATGGGAATTGGAGTATTTAGCTTTGAACCAAAATCAATTTACAGGAATGGTCCCAGAAAAAATTGCAGCCTTTGGAAAGCTGAAGCACTTGGATATCAGTGAAAACAGTTTGTCCTTCCAACTACCCGAAAAGCTGGGCGAGCTTACCAACTTGGAATACTTGATTGTTGGAAACAACCAGTTTGTAGAGTCGGAAGTTCCAAAGTTTCTGATTGAACTCACAGAATTGCGAGAACTCAGCGTTGGTCAAACAAACTTGGTCGGTACCATTCCAGCCTTTCTTGAATATCTATCGCATTTGGAAATCCTTGATCTCCGTACGTCCAATCCGGCGTCATTGCTTGTTCTTTAATTTTGTCTCTTCTCACAATTCCCAATTATTTGTTCGCTCCATGTAGATAATAACGGTTTGTTTGGTACTTTGCCTACTGAGCTTTCGAGCTTGATAGAGCTAAGGCACTTGATTCTAAAAGGGAATGATCTCTCTGGAGACTTTCCTTCGCAGCAACTTTCGGAACTCAGTCACCTTGAGGTTCTCCTTGTGGAACAAAACCAATTCCATGGAACTGCTGATGCTATCTGCGACTCGGATGGTGGCATTGCAGAATTCGTTGCCGATTGCGGGGCGAATGATCCGAGTGGAAGTACTAGACACAGGATTGGAAGCAACAGCACCATCCCAACACGAGACGGCGCGGTTGGAGACTTGATAGGTGGCAACTTCCCGTCGCCGGACCAAACTGGCATTATCACTTGCCCGTGTTGTTCCATTTGTTGCAACGTCGGCGATACTAGCTGCCATAACTGGGTACGTCAAGAACATATGGACACGATATGGAAGTACGGGTACAAAAAACGACGATACTCGTACTATTTATAAGGTATTCCAGGATTGGGTGGATGGCTCAGATGCCACTGTTTCAAATAGCGCAGCCATTTGTACGATATTTGTACCTGTAGATTATACCATATTCCGAAGCAGTTGTCTGAGTTGGAAAGAGTGCTTTACTTTTAGTTATCGGTGAGGCCAGTGATATTCAAAAATGCTCCCTTTTCATCGCGAACCATGGGGTGAATCTTGGTCAAAATCCCCAAGCTTTCGATCGTTGGGATTCCACCATAGATGTGGGGGCAGATCCATCGGTTCTGCTTGATTTGATCTGGAACACCAGCATCACCTACGGGCAGACCATCTTCGTCCTTTGTAATGATCCCAACGCTGGTCAACGCAGATCGGCTCACTTGCAGACAAATCCATTCCGCTTTGGACGATTGATAAAAGTGGTTGGCAGTATCAATCAGTCTTTGTGGAACCGCAGTAGCATGAGTGAAAAATCCATCTTGCTCAAAAGTGGGAGGAAAGTATGCCTTTTGAGATTTCACGGCTTCTTCCCAACGAGGCTTCTCGCACATGTGATACAAAATATCTGGATCTCGAGTTTGTCCTTCGCCGACGAGGCATCCCATGACTTCCGGCTCCTCCTTTTTCTCGTCGCCATCCATTTTGTGTAGCTTCAAAAGCTTACTGGTAACGTCACTTGGCTCGTCACCTTCTTCTCGGTGACAGCGATCGGGACGAAAGGCTGGAAGGCAGACGGGGACGTACTCGGTGGGTGCCACTGGAAAGACGGGACGAAATCGTTCTCCCTTGGCAACAAAGCAGGTATCGCCAGCATTGACCTCCATAGTTTCTCCGTCTCCATAATGCAAGACCATCTTTCCCTTGCGAACGCAGAGCCATTCATCATAATCCAACGTCAGCCATGGTTCTGCGGTCGGTTCGGAAACGGTCACGTAGGCAATGGAAATGGTATCATCTTGGGTGGCGACATTTCCAGCGAGCTCGTCAATGGTGAGACCATCGATTTGGACTACCACTTGCGATGAACCGATTAGCTTGGGCATGGTGATGTTATTCTATCTGTTTGTGTGTGTATCTGTGAAGCGGTATGTGTGTGTGTGTGTGTGTGTCAATGAACTTATTTAGAATGATTAGGATTGATGTGTCAGAAAATTCTCGAACTACGTTTGTTTTGTGGGAATTTTGGACAATGAGTCAGATCGTGACTGACCTTGAGGGGGACCTAACCCTAACCCAACCCTAACAGTCAGCAAACTGCTAGTATCATTGTCAGGGATAAATTACGTTGTACCCATCTACCGGTACGTGTACGTAGTACTGTATCCATCTGCGTATTACATGCAGAGCCTGTCTACCGGGAGGTACCTTGTAGTCTTTGGCTGATTCTGAATGCTCAAGTACCAACTTGAAACTACACTGTATGTGTTTCGCTACTTCGCGGGAACCGCTTCAGTACCTTGGTACCACTACTACAGGTACACGTGTAGGCAGCAGACAGCAAGCACCGCAGCCAGATACCGTAGACTAGTGTAAGTATGCTTTTTTATGAAGTTTTATTGCAGACAGCCCAAGAATCAATTTGAAGCTCTTTTCGAATGTGGCAGTTCATTCTTGGAGATGGTTATGCATGTTGTACCTGGTAGTATCCATCTACTTTATATTGTACCTACATATTCCATACTGGTATATCCATCTCCTTGTTGTCATTGCATGCTTGATCGTGGAGTTGACTTGCTCGAATTTTCCAACTGGCGTGATTCGCACTGGCCGGAAAGATTCTTAAATCTCTTGGCTGAAACACATCATGTGTGATGTTATCAAGAAATTTCTCGCTGTTATGTAGAGGCTTCTGGTCGTTTTCAAAAAAATATCAAATGCAAATATGCATGGATTGGATCCAAGACTTTTCACCAAAAAACCTCAAACTCGAGGACAAAAATCACAGCCAACATCTTCATATAAAACGAACCCTTCATCATCAATCGTATATATATATTCAAGCAACAAACAATAATGGCCGACCAATTCAATTCATCCATCGCATCCCCTCGTTGGCTACCAAAGACTCCAACCTCGCCAAGATCGACAGGCACTACCAACAGCAAGGATGAATTTGCAGTATCCAACGAAACTGGATTCTCAAAGTTCATGAAGAAGTTTGGTAGGAAAACGCAAGCAAAGAATAATACTGGCAATCTTCAGCAGGAGTGGTCGAGGCAAAACATGATGAATCTGAGTATGGGAGTTTCAACGCCCAACTTGGATATTTCACGATAGAACCTCCAGAATGCCAATCCTTCAGAATGCCAATCCTTCAGAATGCCAACGATTGCATTTTGCATTGCTGCCGGTCAAGATATATATATATAGAGGGAGAGAGACCACATGCTGGCCTCGTATCCCAGTTTTAATCGAACAATAGACATTTAAAAACACTATAATACATAAAACTACACCCCACAGTATAATATAAAACTGTTGACTGGCATGAGATAGTCCTATTGATATCGTTACATCCCGCTAATATCTTTTATATACACAGTCATCTGCTGGTACCGGTAGAGATTTTCTATTGGCAAGTGGAATCAATCAAGCTAGTCCGAGAACCACTTCCCGTATTCAAATCAACCTTCCTTTCTTTCAAGAAGATGCTTGCGTGTTTTAGCACCTATGGTGTGTCCATCCATTTCTCCGGTATCCTTCTCCTTTCCTTTCCTTTCTCCTTGTTCTTGTCATTGCTATATATATTATATATTATGGAATTGCATTCCATCTCACATGATTCGAGGAGCAAGCACATTGCATTGAGCGCAATGTGCCGGAGGGGCGGGTGGTTAAAAAACCCAATCGGTCCACTGCGGATATTTTTCGGGAAAATAGCACGATGACAGAGAGGCTATTTTTTAAAGTTGACAGTGCAATAAAACAGGTACAAAAACACAACAGGCAAAAGTTACAGCAACCCTCATACTGATATCCTTGACAGACTCAAGTATAGATAATGGCCGACGAACTCAACACACACATCGGGGAGATTCCAAAGCCTCATTACTCTCCAGGAACGCCAGCGACTAATTCTCATCACTCTCCAAGAACCAACCACCACAATAAGGACGATATGGCAGAATCCAGTAGTAATAAAAGTGGAATCTCCACGTTCATGAAAAAGTTTGGTCGAAAAACGCATGCAAATAATTCTGTCAATCTCGCAACGGAGTGGACAAGACACAACATGATGAATTTGAGCATGGGAGTGTCAACGCCCAGTTTGGATCAGTCGCGATGAAATGACCATGATTGCAATGCTGTCATCAATCAAAAGCGAGACCGCATATATTTGGTCTCATCTTCTCCGATATGATTGAAGAATCCAAAAGGGCACAAGATTACAGTAATTTTATGCGCTTGTCAAAACGAATTTGACTGGTAGAATTGTAAAGAGTAGTATGCAAACGTTTGATCCTATTGACATGCCGTCCTTTGCGTTTTATACAGGCAAAGGTGCCTTGTCCGCAAGTCGAACCAAGTGACAAAAGGCATCCGTCCCATATCCCTCCATACTCATCAGATCCAAATCCCCACCAAAATACCTCGAGTAGGCCCGACTTAAAGGCAACCCATACCCCAAACCTGCCAAGACGGACCCATTCTCAATAGCACCATTCAGTTGCTTGGTGGCATTGAAAAATTCTTGTTGGACTTTGGGTGACGCAGTGGTGAAGAGATAACTCCAAATCTTGCTCATTTCGGACCGTGGAATACCACCTCCTTGGTCCGACACTTTGATAATCACATCTTCGTTTTCCGTTCCATCGGCAATCACCACTCGTATCGGTGGTTTTTCTTCACTGTCCTTGTGATATTCCATAGTGGCTCGCATGGAATTCTTGATGAGTTCCAATAATATATAATGGAGATGGGTAGGAATGTAGCAAAAGGTCAATTGCATTTTCCCACTCACTTGCACCTTGGGGGCCTGACCAGGACCAAACTGTTGATGACAGAGTAACGTGGCATCTTCAATGGCCCTTTGCACCACACGGCTCGGCGAGGTCTTTCGATTGATCATGCCTACATATTCTTTGGGGATACTCTTACCCAGTGGATCGTTCAAGAGTTGATGCCGGAGAGCTAGATACTGACCCGCCAATACTCGAATGCCCACGCGTGACATGTAAAATCGATCGAGAAAGGCTTCGTCGACCATGGAAAGGCCATGGTCGTGGTCCAGTGGCATCACTGGATATTGCTGCTGTACTTGTTGAAACCTTAGCTCCAAAACACCCCTTGCCATTTGCCGCAACACATTGGAGTGATTCTGATACAAATTTTGCAAGAGTCTGCCAAAGTCTTGTTCGGCCTGAGGAGAGGAAGGTTTTGGTTGGTCCAACAAGTCCAAAAAACTGGAAAGATAGGTGGAACGGACTTGTTGGACACTGGGCATTTCTTGCAATACCGCCAGGGAATCCAGATCTTGTATTCGGTGGGCCAATCGGATGGGAAGTTCTTCTTGGAGCATGGTTGCCATTTGCATCAACATTTGTTCCCGAAGGACACGTTTTTCACGAGCCTGATAATGGTCCGTATCGCTGACACTATTCATCAGCATCATGTCTTTGAGGGATATTGTCGTTTGCTTTTTGGAAGCATATTCGTGGATCAGGTCCGAGATTTCATGATTGTTGTAATTGTTCTGATTGTGCTGAATCAAACTGCTGCTGGATGATCTCGAGGACGACGATGTTCGAGATAGTCGATTATGGTGAACCCCACGCATAGCGATTGCGCTAGGAGACTGACTGTGAAGTCGTCTCAATAACGTGGTTCTCATGGCGAATGTATAATGTTTGATTGTATAATATATGATGGCTGTCAGTAATAAGTTGAATCGTATTGACATCACTTACAAAACGAGAATGCACGGCAATATAGGTGACGTTGCTCGTTGTCAAAAATGACGCGACTACGTCAGTACTGGTGATGGCCGCACGATTGATTGCACTATTTTTTTTATACTCTCAACTCGAGGCACACACCATGCCTAAACCAATTTCAAAGTAGAGAGTTTGTTGTTTTGTTTATAGTCCCATTATGTAACCGATACGCATAGATGCAGTGCCGCAGCTGCAGCGTAATGCAGCCACCAAGCACTTCACGAAAGGATAGTTTACAAATATACAATTCAAATCCATTTCCGTACCCATCCGTTTCTTTGGCAAAGCCGCTGACCAACAACAGACATGATAGTTTAACCCCTAATTCCAAAAACCGCCGACTGAATCTGACTGCGGTAGCGTCCATATATATGCCTGTTTGGTAAGCTTGCTGTACCAGGTAGGACCTAGTTGCCCAATTTGCGTTGCTTTTGTATTGCCCCATTGACGTTTCTCTGTTTTCTTTCTTCGTTCTTCTCTCAAATGTTTTTATTATACACCCCACAGTGATGCCCGTGGCTTCTTTTGTGCCTTGGCAACCACCATTTCATCAAATTGTCCCATTCTGCGTGCAAAAGCGGACAAGAGTTGACTCTTGTCGAGAGATTCTTCCCGCAGTAGCTCCCAAGTTTCTTCCAAAGTCCTACTGTCCTTTAGACCTTTTTGAACGCTCAATACTTTTTTGGAATGTCGCATGCGATGCTTGCTGATGAGCTTCGACAAGTGTCCTTCTAGGCCCCTCAAAAAGGATTCCGATGCTGAATCGGAGGTCGACAGCAAATCCTTCAACAAATCTTTCATTAAGTCTTCATCTTCCAAACAATCGCAACGCATGATATCTTCCAACAACTCGACGTGATTTCGGTTGTACGACTTGCAAAAGCGGATCGCCTCCGTGACACTTTTCTTCATCGTGTCAAACTCGGATCCCTGCCACCACATGTCGGTCCGGTCTTTGATGCATTCGACTTCATGTACCGTTACATTCAGAGCGTCGGGATCATCACTTTTCTCGGACCAGCGAATGCAAGAGGCACGGCGATTCCCTGATGAGGATTCTGCTGCTGCTTCTTTTCCGTCATCGTCAACATCATCATCGTCATCGTCGTTCCGCTCCGTGACTTCATCTTCGAGATCTTCCAAGCCAGATTCCATCACAACATCCAAGCCAAAAATCTTTCGCGCGATGGGTGGTATTTTCAGTATCACTTGCTTCTTCTTTTGTGCTTGCTGCTTTTCTTCTGGCTTTTCTTGTTTTTGTATGGTAGGTGTTGGTTCAGTGACTTGCGCTTCCTGTGATTGTTCAGATGACGCTTCAGGTGGTAGTTCAGATGAAACTTCAAGCGGAGTCTGAGAAGAAGGAGGTGATTCTGATGTCGGGGAAGAATAGATCCCATTGGTATCTAACACTTCCGCTTCTACCGCTTCATCGGTATGTTCGTCTCCCTTCCCCGAGAGTTCAACATCGTCTTCAACGATGAATACAATTTCACCCTCATCAGGCATTTCCTGAGGTTTGGAGTTCAGAGGTTTTCCCAAATTGGACAAACGTTCCCCAATCTGCTTTGTTTTTGGTTCCACCAAAGCCACCATACGACCTTTTTCTTGCTGTACCACTAAGCTTCCAGCCGATGCCAATCTTCGAAACAAGTCCATCAGCGGAAAACATGGTGGACCGTCCGTAGTTGAGGATGTCATCTTCGTGTTGTTGTATACAGCGTAGTGTATTATTGAAGGCATATAACACAACTAATCATCGACTAGAAAGAATTTGAGGCTTGACCCGTTGTGGTTTCTTTGTCTGAAGTCCTGTACTGTGAAGGAGACAGAAAGGAGATGTTCCAGATGACACTTTACGATCAACTGGTGTAACCAGCAGTAGGCAGCAAGCAGGTTATGTCCGAACGAATGTTTCGTGTGTGTCCCAAAATCAACAAGTTGAAGTGATGTAAGTTTTTGATTGCGTATTGGGTCATTATGTAGTGGGCTACGTGAGTACACGTAGAACATGAATTTCCGTAACATGTGAGAAAGTTCGTATTTATGGGCTTCCAGAGTGATTTAAACCCTACGACAAGAGCAGTTAATTAACGAGTGTCGCTCCTCGTCTTTCAAATTCGCCCGAAAGGGGCCTAAAACTACGGCAACATAACACTGGAGCAATGGATCCATCTACGCACTATTGAGCACTGTTGTAGACTATTCAATCGAAATGGGATCTTCCCAAGCAATGAAAGGAGCCCTCGGAACCAGTCATATGCCATTGCATTGTAGCCAGGCTCTGTCTAATCGACCAGTCTGATTGACTCGTCAAGGAGGACTACTCTTACCACGACTCAAGCCGCCATGAAAGTGCAATCAGGTCGTGCTTGGCATTCAAGCAATGATGGGTGGATAGATGCCTATAGCCAGTACCCTAACTATTTTGGAATCCTAGATTGGTCAAGAGCTGATAGCGCTCTGGTGTCAGACGGGAGGATTGCTGGTTGAAGCAATAGAGCTTGTACTGTCGGCGTTGGACCTTGACCCACATGCCGAGAGCAGGATTCTCCCCAAAGCGACTCGGGACGTTACAATCGCCATTCCGACGCACGTATTCCACTAGTTCATTGAAGCGTTCTTGCCAGGCCATCGTCTGAAGGTCCCATACGAAACCTACTTCTTCCAGCTTTTGTTGCCTCACATCCGACAGGCAAGACTTGTTTTGTTCCTGTTTCCTCATGTATTGATACCGCTGACGCTTGGCCCATCGAGCGAGAGTAGGATCGGAATCGTAAGAATGCGGAATATTACAATGCCCATGCGTTTGTTTGAATTTGATCAATTTCTGATATTGTTGCTCCCACTGATCCCTTTGATAGGATCTATATCGGGGCTCGGTCGTATTGCTTGTTGGCGGGTCATTCCGTGCTGTGGCATCAGTAGGAGCAACAGTAGTCACTTGCTTCTTTGGCCTTAATCCCTTCGGTATCGGTTGGGGTGCAAGAGTCGTTTCGATCACGCCAGTGGGTGCTGTTTGATCCAACAACAAAGATGACGAAACATGAGTAGAATCTCGTCCATTGTAGACATCCAGGGATGTGTTCCCTCTGATGATGTGGTCTACTGTCGAAGCATGTATGCTTTCGTCTGCATCTCCTTGTATTTGAGGCTGATTTGCCTGAGGCTGTGACAGAGGCTGGTTTGCTGGATCAATCTGCAGCTGCTGCATATGTTGTTGGTGTTCTTCTTGTTCTTTTGAAATGTCCGACTGATGGCGAGCGGATTTTCCAACTACTATGTATGTGTACATGCCTTCTTGAGGGCGAGAAGAGCGTTCCACCAGGGTTGTCCCATCACAAAATGGTGTGGGTTCCAAGGTTTTCCCATCACGAAATGGTGTTCGATCGGGCAGCATAGCATCCATTTCTTTGTTCATTTTATTTTTGAGTCTTGAGAGCGTAGGTTATTGTGATCGGATGAGGTGTCGGAATGCTGCCGAACACTAAGCGTGGCAAAGAAGGGATGCAAACTTTACGGTAAGCTTGGGAAAGCCTGGGAAGTTCTTTCGAAATCGCTGGTGGAAGCGCTGCAACATGACTAAGGGCTAATATGCATTATGTGATGAATCACAGCTGGCATTCTTGGAAGCAAACAACAGGTGTGCGTTCGCGTTCGCGTTCACGTGTACCTAGTAGTGCTAAATGAAAGATGTCCCAACTAGCGAAAAATTGAGAACATTTTGAGTTTCCGCCATTTCATCACTGTGAATTTTCTTGGAGCCATCGCTGTTGTTTATGACATTCGACTATATTTGGCACCACTTGAAATGAAAGTGCAGGCTCATCGTCATAATATTTTATGCAATTGCGCGGAGTTCGAAACGAGCGTATAGCGATGATGCTCAGTCGTAACGCAACCAGAACCAATCACGCAGTGTAGACAGATAATTTTCGCATCATCGAGTATATCCTCTTTGAAGAATGGAAACAATGCTTGAAAACTCTGAAAGTTTCGTTCACTGTATATTTTTCAGGAATATTGCCTCAACATACATACTAGGTACCTTTATGACATCTTGGATGTATGTCATCCAAGAAAAGCCATGATCATATTTTCACCCATTGTATTGGTGTAATGATACAAGTGGAACTGAGCCAAACAAAACACTAACTCGGATTCGCCCCTTTAACATTTTTGTTGGGGCTACCAACCAGCCTCTGGTGGTAGTAATACTGTGTGAATCCTAGACTGGTCAAGAGCTGGTGGCGTTCGGGTGTCAGGCGTGAAGAGGATGGGTCTAACCCATATAGTTTGAACTGCCGACGCTGGCTCTTAACCCACTGGCCAAGAGCGAGATTCTCTCCAAAGCGATTGGGGACGTTGCAATCGCCATGCTTTCGTTTGTATTCCACCAGCTCATTGAATCGCTCTTGCCAGGCCATCATCTGAAGGTCCCATATGAAGCCAACTTCGTCCAGCTTTTGCTGTCTATCGTCAGATAGGCAAGATTGCTTTTGTTCCAGTTTCATTGTATATTGGTACCGTTGGCGCTTCGCCCAACGAGCGAGGATGGGATTGTGGTCGTAGGTATGGGGAACGTGGCAATGCCCGTGCATTTCTTTGAACTTAAGCAATTCCTGAAATTGTAGATCCCACTGACCCTGTTGATAGGATCTATATCGGAGATTGTTGGGATCTCTCTTCAAGCCATTATTTGGACCGACTATTTGTTGGTCCCGTCTTGCTCGCTTCCGTTTCGATTGGTATGCAAGGGGCGCTTCAGTTTTGCTGGGTGTTGAATTCAACAAAGATGACGATGCATGGGTAGAATCTCTTTCATTAAGGGCATCCAGAAATGAATTTCTAATGAGGATGTGGCCCGCTGTCGCCATACTATCGTGTGAGTACTGTTGGGACTGATTTTGATTTGGCTGTTGATTTGACCAAGTTTGATTCCATGGCGGCACAAGTCCAACAAGTTGTGAAACATCCGACTGGCGAGCAGAGCCAACTACTACTGTGTATAGGCCTTGAAAGTGAGAAGAAGGTGTCAGAGTTGTGCCGTCACGAAATGGTGTCGGCTCGAGCATCACACCATCCGACTCTTTGTTCATTTTACATTTTTTTTGGCTTTGACAGTGTTTGGTATTTTATTGTGAGATCGGCCCAGCATAGGTGGGGGACGGAAACAATAGTACCGATCGAGCGTGCCAGTGAAGAGCTAAAAACGCTACAGCAAGCTTAGGAAAGCTTGGGAAGTTCTTGAGAAGTCGCATGGGCGTATGTGAACAAGACGATTGAAGTGACGAATAACATTGGGCTAACATATATATGCGTTCGCGGCCTACCAATACCGGGATCAACTAATGTGCTTATATAGAAACTAGCGAAATAATGAAGACATTTTGAGAAACCACCAATCGCTGCTGTTTATGATGCCACATCGCGTAGAATTCGAAACGCGATGACGATGATGAGAACTGCATGTGAGCACTGCTGCATGAGAACGCAATGGTCACGCAACCACGGAGTGCTGTCAATGAAGTTATTTTTGATCGAGTAACCAGAACTGAAATGCATCACGAGACATAAGTCGCATTTGGACCTTGTATGGTGGTCTCACGCATATGCTTCAACATCATGCCATCCAAGCGGAGCCAGGTGTTTTCACGGAGCATTGGTGTGGTGTTGTACCTTCTGGTGCATGTGAAAAGGCATCGCGAAGAATCGCGACGACTGGCATTGGAACGATCTCGAGACTGAGGAGGAGACGGGGTCTGACAGAGCACTAACTCGAATTCACCCCTTTTATCTTTTTATTTGGGCTGCCACCAGCCAGCGGCTGGTCCTTTGCGAACCCCAAATTGGTCAAGAGCTGGTAGCGTTCAGGCGTCAGACGTGACGAGGATGGGTCCAAACGATAGAGCTTATACTGTCGACGCTGGCTCTTAACCCACATACCGAGAGTTGGGTTCTCCCCAAAGCGATTGGGGACGTTGCAGTTGCCATTACGACGTACGTATTCCACGAGCTCATTGAAGCGTTCTTGCCAGGCCATTGTCTGAAGATCCCATGTGAAGCCCACTTCGTCGAGTTTCTGCTGTCTATCATTTGAGAGGCTCGATTGCTTTTGTTTCAGTTTCATTTTATATTGGTATCGCTGACGTTTGGCCCATCGAGCGAGGGTAGGGTTATTGTCGTAGGCATGTGGAACATGGCAATGTCCGTGCCTTTCTCGGAACCTCAGCAATTCTTGAAATTGTATATCCCATTGATCTTGTTGATAGGATCTGTATCGGACTTTTTTAGGATCATTTCTCGCGTCATCATTTGGATCATCAATGGCAAATTGATGGTCCTGTCTTGTTCTCTTCAGCTTTGATCGGTCTGCAATAAGGGGAGTTTCGTTCACGACACCACCAGCAAGTGCTGCTGTTGGATCAAGAGTATGGGTTGGATCCAACAAAGATGACGAGACATGAGTAGATTCTCTTTCGTGATGGGAGATATCGAGGGATGTGTTTCTGACGATGCGATCTACTGTCGTCATTTCTCCTAAATGATGTTGCTGTGGCATTTGTTGAGAGGTATTCAACCTACTACTAGGACGAACCGAGGAGTAAACTATATATATCCCCTGAAGATGAGCAGAAGGTTCCAGAGTTGTGCCATCCCGAAATGGTGTCGGCTCGAGCATCATAGGAGTATTATCCACAGCTCCATCGTTCATTCTACTTCCTTGAAAGATGAGTGTTGGATATAATTTTATCAAAGTTAAGTTGAGGTGCCGGAAAAGCTGGCGGACTCTTTTTCCAACGGTGATTGCAAGCTAAAAAAGCTTAACGCGGGAGATCGTAGAATTCTGTTTGTTTGTTAATGAAGTGTCTCAAGGAATGAGACTACGTACTATACATTATGTGGTGGGTTCCAGTTCTCTTTCGTGGAATACTATAGAAACTACCGAAAGACTTAATGACATTTTGGGAGACTACCCATATTCCTTAAACCGCTACAACGTTCAAAACGAAAATGCAATGTAAATTCATATCAGTTCTGATCGGAAATAGAAACAATTCAACATAATAAAGGGAGGACATTGCATGCGATGTGAGTGCCACCACTTGATATGAAAATGCAGATAAAGGTTCGCGTAATGGCTCTCGAAATGGCTCAAAACTTCTGTTCTGAAATAACCAAACTGAAACGATAAATTTGAAAATGAGTCTAAGTCACCATAGCAGGGTATTTTAAATGCGAACGAAGCACAGCACTGGGTTTGTTCCGCTCCTCCAGCTGGTGTAGCTCCTGTACCGGTATACCCGGTACAAGAAGATTGCTAAAAATTCAAAGTGTGACTTTACTAGTACTGAAGAGAATGGGGAACGGCTTCCAGCCAGAGTAGGCCATTGCATGTTTTAAAACATGATATACCGGTAGCTAAGTCAAGAAGGTCCACCACAAGGAAGGATCAAATGAACCGATGACACTTGCCTCGTTTGCTTCGTTTGACCTAAAGGCTTACAGGCTCCATTTCTCATTCAAGAGCGAACGCGCTATTGCAAATTGAAAATCTTGCTCGATTCGAGACCACCATCACCTTTCTCTTTTTCTTTGGATTGCCCAAGAGAAGGGGCTCCTCTGCCTGTGCGAATAATCCCAAGTTTTTCAAGAGCTGAAAGCGCTCTGATGTCAGGCGCGAGGGTTGGTTGGAGCAATAGAGCCTATATTGTCGACGTTGGCACTTGGCCCACATGCCAAGAGGCGGATTCTCAGTATACCGACTGGGAACGTTACAATCGCCATGCTTTTGTTTGTAGTCCACGAGGTCATTGAAGTGCTGCCGCCATGCCGTCATCTGAAGGTCCCATACGAACCCCACGGCATCGAGCTTTCGCTGCCGAGTATTTGACATGCCCGACTTTTTGTGTTCCATTTTCTGTACGTACTGGTACCGCTGACGCTTGGCCCAACGAGCGAGAGAAGGATTAGGATCGTAGGTATGTGGGACAATGCAATGGCCGTGCCGCTCTTGGAACTTGAGCAATTCCTGATATTGCTGATCCCACTGAACCTGTTGATAGGATCTATATCGTGGCTTGAGGTCATCATCGACACTCCTGAAGTCATTCGTTGGAGGAGTATCAATGGCTAAGTTGTGGTCATGCCTTACTCTCTTTCGTCGTGGTCGGTATACAAGTGGGCATTCGCTCCCAGCTTGGACTGTTGGTGAACTCAGCAAAGATGAGGATGAGACTTGATTCTGATCTGTTTCAAAGGAGAAATCGTCAGGGGATATGCTTCTGATGATGCGCTCCACTGCCGTCATCCACGAGGTCTGTACGTATTCGGGGTCTGAATGCTGCTTTGGTGATCGGCATTCGATTGCCGGCACATAGCACTGCTGCTGCTGCTTTTGGCAAGTATGCTGCTGTCGGTCGTCCTCCGAGGCCATGACTTCGTACAAACCCTCCTGGTGAAGGCGAGAAGAAGGTTTCAAGGTTGTGCCATCACGAAATGGTTTCGGCTCCAGAGTTGTAGCATCACAAATTGGTGTTAGCTCGAGCATCCTAAGTTCGTTCAATTCTTTGATCATTTAATTTTGTGAGAACGTTTGCGGATGAGGTGCCAGATTTCGAAGTGGAAGAGCTCTCTTCCTTAATTCTTGAAGTGTCATTTGCAAAATGTCTGTGGTAAGTTACATAACAAACCAAGATCAAAGGGCTCCGAATAGTAACAGGATGAAGAAGAGCTGTGCATCGTTTCAACTATATATCTGTGGTTTCGTATTTAAGATCTGTATTATTTGTCCGATTGGGAACATTTTGAAAGTACGAATAGACCGTGAAAAGCCAATCTTGGCTATTCTTGGAAGCGCAAATCACTCTTCTCATTGACATATATGCCACTAAATACTTATTGTGACGAAAAAATCGATAAGAGCGGAAACCGGTTGGGACCAAAGCGACCTTTCTTAGCGGGAAAAACGAAAATGCATTGATGTTTGTTAATAAAAATACCGGTAGTTCTCTTTGGGCACTCTCTAGCCATTGACCATCTGACATTCAACGTCATGAATTGAAAATCAAGAACACGATCGTCCTGCGATCAACCAGCACCGTCTATCAGTCGGACATAAACTAGTTGAACCCATAATATATATGGTACCGGTATGGCCACGGTTACGTCGTTTGACCTAAAAGGCTTATAAGCATTCAAGAGCGAACGCGCTATTGCAAATTGAAAATCTTGCTCCACCACTCGAGACATGGCGTTTGACCGCCATCACTTTTCTCTTTTTCGTTACATTGCCCAAGAGAAGGGGCTCCTCTGCCTGTGCGAATAATCCCAAGTTTTTCAAGAGCTGAAAGCGCTCTGATGTCAGGCGCGAGGGTTGGTTGGAGCAATAGAGCCTATATTGTCGACGTTGGCACTTGGCCCACATGCCAAGAGGCGGATTCTCAGTATACCGACTGGGAACGTTACAATCGCCATGCTTTTGTTTGTAGTCCACGAGGTCATTGAAGTGCTGCCGCCATGCCGTCATCTGAAGGTCCCATACGAACCCCACGGCATCGAGCTTTCGCTGCCGAGCATTTGACATGCCCGACTTTTTGTGTTCTAGTTTCTGTACGTACTGGTACCGCTGACGCTTGGCCCAACGAGCGAGAGAAGGATTGGGGTCGTAGGTATGTGGGACAATGCAATGGCCGTGCCGCTCTTGGAACTTGAGCAATTCCTGATATTGCTGATCCCACTGAACCTGTTGATAGGATCTATATCGTGGCTTGAGATTATCATCGTCACTCCTGAAGTCATTCGTTGGAGGAGTATCAATGATGGCTAAGTTATGGTCATGCTTTACTCTCTTTCGTCGTGGTGGTCGGTATACAAGTGGACTTTCGCTCCAAGCTTGGACTGTTCTTGGTGAACTCAGCAAAGATGAGGATGAAACTTGATTCTGATCTGTTTCAAAGGAGAAATCGTCAGGGGATATGCTTCTGATGACGCGGTCCACTGTCGCCATCCATGAGGCCTGCTCGTTTTCGTGCTCTGAGTGCTGTTTTGGTGATCGACATTCGATTGCTTGCACATAGTAGTACTGCTGTTGACAAGGAGTATGCTTTTCCCTGTCTGAGAAGCTAACTTCATACATCCCCTCCTGAAGGCGAGAAGAAGAAGGTTCCAGTGTTGTGCCATCACGAAATGGTGTCGGCTCCAGAGTTGTAGCATCACAAAACGGTGATTGCTCGATCATCAGTTCGTTCAATTCTTCTTTCATTTAATTTTGTGAGAGCGTTTGCTTGAGAAACTAAAGCGTGTCGGTGGAATAGATCATTCGAGATGTAAGAGCTCTTTTCATTAATTCTCTGTGGTTAGACATATAAGGTACAAGATCAAACGCTCTTCATTATAGTTACGAAGATGTTTAATGATCCATGATGAAGAAGGGCTTTGAATTGTTGGGAGATTTAATGAAAACAATCAAGGGTTCTGCATTACTTGTCCAGTCGTCTTTCTTGGAACATTCGAAATGTTTCGAAACTAACGAATGTGTTTTAAGAGTGGTCCTGTGAAGCCATTTTGCGCGAAGCGCAAATCAGTGTTGGTACCGGTTGACATATATGGGCCACTAAATGCTTCAAAACGAAAATACAGTGGTTGCGGTTGAAAATTCTGTTCATAGAGGAAAGGTCAGAAAAGAGAACATAACGACTTGCATTGAAGCTGGTTCAATCGGGAGTTATTGGAGTTCGTTCCGGGGCAATTGGGCGCAACCAGGTACGAATATAGCTTCTAGCTTAGACTCCGAGATCTTTTCCAGTATTCATACAGTAAGTCCGCGGGACCGCAGTAGACTGAGAGGCAATTGCCCGTTATAATGCTTCTGCTTCGTCATTTGAGCTCAGTGCTCACATGCTCTTTTTTAAATGTCGTTCCAGCGCGTTTCTGTATTATTTCGAGAGGAGTACCTGGTACTCCTTCAGTACATCCTCCTTCTTGAAACACATTCTGGTATTCGTATAAGTCCGCGGGAACGCTTTACTGGCAACATTTCTTAGAGTTCGCTTATTCCGTGTAATTGCCCATAATGCGGCCTCTGCTGCTTAGCGCTCACAGGCTCCTCCTCGTTCCAGCGTACCAGTAATGGTAGCTATTATACCGTATTACGAAAGATCAAGAATTGTGAGTTGGACACACGATTATCTGACTCCTATCCGGGACTCGGATGTGAAGCACACGCGCGAAATCACGAGTCAGAGTAAATAATCGAAGCATCCGCCGCAAGATCTGCGCGAGCGCCTACAGTCTATGATGCGATGAGAATAACGCTCATCTAGCGATCAACACTTTCAACTTGCTTTTTAAATTGTTGTTATTCTTAAATTATTGTCTCATAATCCGGTACCATAATCTTTCTTGCAATATCTTCCTCTATATTGGTAAGTGACTGTATAGGATGACGGATGAATTATTGTGAAAGAGCGTTTTCTAATCGTCGCAATTGAACCATCAATGAAGATTTTAGTCACTCGCGGAAAAGTATATAAAAATATATACTGTCTGTATGTCTATACGATTGTAGTGGTCTATGCTCCAACCGACACATGGGTGAGACGGAGGATATGGCGCGAATGTCACAAAGTTGTTTGTTTTGTGATTTCCCATCAGATTTCATCATCTCACTACACTAAACGAAACATGAACAGAAGTGGTAGCAGTATCGTGAAGAAGCACCTGAACAGTAGAACAGTCGATAATACGACTGCTATTCTGGGAGATGGTGCCACCAATGCTGAAGACGAGCTTGGACATGACTTCAAGCAAAGACTTCAAAAAACTTTGTCACATGAAAAAACGGACAAGACCAGGAGAGACTACCGCAATCGAATTCTAAGAATGACAAAGTATTTTCAACAGAAGTGCTTCAGATACTTTGAAGTTGGTGTTCGCAAAAACACATCTGCAGAAATGAATGATCCTGCAATGTACTTTTATGATAAGTACGAGTATGATCTTATTTATGCAGGTCTAAACGTAGATTATGTTCTCAAGTTTCTCATGGATCAAGAGAGAACTGCAGCAGGCAATCTGCGCACCAAGGCAGACATGCAAAAGTTTTGAGATGCTATCAAGTGGGGTGCCCAAATCCGTGGCGAAGCACTGTCCCAAGAGTGCTGGGACAAATTGGATCTTTATCTTTTCTCCTACAAGCGACAGGTTGCAGCTGGGAAGGGGAATGGGGATGTCCAAACAAAGGAGGCAGACCCAATCACAAAAGAGCTTTACATATTAATTTGCAAGTGGGCGTCTGAAGATGGCAATACAATGGTAGACTTTTGGACAAAGACCCAGTGGAATTGCATGAGCCGTTGTGGCAACATTGACTACCTTGGATTCAGCAACTTCAGAATTGTTTTGGATGCACATGCTATTACACATGACACTGCAAAAAAGGATAAAGATGGCGATAGATGTTTTGCTAAACACATTTATGCAAATCATGAGTATCACTATTTGTGCCAGTGGACAGCCATGGGTAACTACTGTGCCTTGTACAAAAACAAGCTTGGACAAACTCAGAAACTTTTCATGTGGAATACCAAGGACGGCAGTGCTGCAAAGAAATATCAAGAACAGCTGAAAGCTCTTGTGAATAAAACTGAGGAAAGGAGAAACATTGTTAGTTCTCACTGTCGAAAAGGGCACTTCAATGCTTATGGTTTGCGGAAAGGAGCCGCAAGCTATGCAAGCTCAGGAACCACATGTGCCCCGTCCCTTTCTTCTATTGGTGATTGGTCAATGGGCTCCGTCTTTGACATATACTGGAGATTTTTGCCAGTTGGCGATCATTACTTGGGCCAGATACTATCAGGAATGGACCCAATGAAACCATCATTCAAGACCTTACCTCCACACTGGAAAATGGCAAATCCGATGGGCCACCCACTGATTCGCGAAGTCATGAACGCCAACTTTGGTCCCATCTTAAAAACACATAGTGAAGCGGACTACGATCCTACAGGTTTGTTGTTGCGTTGCCTAGCATGCATGGTATGGCATGCCAAGTCGTTCCAGGAGTACATTGCCCATAACCCAAGCAACGAACTTGTCAAGGTTCCATTCTACAACATGAGAGGATCAGAAATTGACGCATTGCAACAGCTTATCACTGTTGAACCAACTCCCGATGTCATGACCACTGTTACTGGCGTCCCGCCACACATTGAAACAACTTGCCAAATGAAGGCAATTCATGACAACTTAATACAGTTACTTGCACAAACAAGAATCAGTGAGGACAACCAGAAGCAGCGCGACGAGCAATTGAAGGCAGACCTTGTTGCGGCTGTTCACCATGGAATAGAGCAGAATGCAATTTCGAACGGCAACATTACTGCAAAAGGTATCAATGACATCATTCAAAAGCACCAAGACGCAACAAATAAACAACTTACCGAACATTTGCAAGCAATGCTTAGGAGCCTGCCTCCTCAGTTCCAAGGTGGTCAGCCAGCTCAGATTCCGCCACCTGGAAATCAAGTTCAGCAAGGGGGTGGATTGTTGCTTCAAAAGCCTGATCAAGGAAAATACTTTTACACCGAAAGGTTCTGGTCCGTTCCGGAAGACTTTGAGTTCCCTCCAAAGCCAAACCTTCCCCAAGCGCTTCGATGCTGGCTCAAGGGTATAAGGTATGGCAACAATTATGTGAAACCATTTCGCCAGCTACGACCAAAGGACCTCCCAACCACAGCACTCCAGTCACAGATGCGAGTTGAATGGCAGAAATTTTTCAAGTATCTCGAGAACAATGGGTTAGAAATGCCTAGTAACACGAGCGAAGAAGTGACTGAAGCACAATTGGAACGTACTACCGATGAGATGTGGGACCTTTTGGAAAAAAAGGTTTCCTATGCATTCACAAGAAAGAATGCAAAAAGCCACTGTCTTTCTACTTTCGCAAGGAAGGTATCGCCGTCAGAAATTGTTAAGAATGGAAATCCGTCAGATAAAACTTACTTGGAATCGAGGCAGAAGGCAAAACCTGCCGCACGACAGTATAAAAATCGAGTCCGACCGCTGGCTAAAAATCCAAAGTACCTCAGAAGAGGAAAGCAAAAGACAACAGCAAATGCAACGAATCCAGCAAGATTGCAACAGGCAACAATTCATGCAGGAGCGGGTATCTTGCTTGAGCCGATAGACCACTCACCTCGTGTCTTGAATTCGACTCGATATTCAATTGAAGCAAATGCAGAACAGGATCGAATGATGGAAGAGTATGGTGTTGGTCGTGGTCCAACTGGGCCTCCAGCTGTTGCCATCGGACATCACGACCAAACATCACCCACATATCTTCAAGAACTCATTGACAGATTTGGAATCAGGCATCCATATCCGCCAATATCAGTTCCAGGACCACTAGGACCATGTGCTTGTGCCGGTTGCTCCAAAGAGTTGGAACTTGGGCGACACCGATGTGCCCGATGCAACATCGTCATTCACAATAACTGTGCGATGGATCGAAATTGGTACATGCAAAAGAATGGTGAGGAAATGTGTTTTTGTAGTGATCAGTGCAAAAAGAATCTTCCCGGTGGAAGATACTTGTAGGAAATACCTTGAATAAAAGTAAATGCATGTTTCATCGTCGTCGATTGATGGTTCATGATTTTCTGTCTTTTTTGATGAACAACAAATTCGTTGTGATCGGAATTGTGTCAAATTGGTACAAAATCAACGTACGAAATACGTAGAAACACCGCGTGAATTTAGTATATGAAGAAACCCGGAAATAGATATACTTTTCGGAAAGCGTACTCGAGCGATTGTTCCTCGTACAAAATTCCACGTGTGCCTACACAGAAAGCGGAACTCAGCGATCCGGAATATATATGTTTTTTATATACTCATTCATTTTCGAAGGCTCATATTAGTCATATTTATATACTATCATGAAAGTTTTATATAGCAGTATAGGGAGGATTTAGATACATCACGACTATACTTTAACATACATAAATATATATATATACCATCATTCAGCATGGTCTTCACAATGTTATCCAAGGCATCTGCCTACAGGAACAAGTATTTGCCAAAAGCCTTTACGGATAGCAATAAGCCAAAGACGGCCGTGGTGGTAGGATCCACTTCTGGAATTGGACAAGGAATTGCCCATCGTTTGGCCGAACAGGGATGGAACGTCGTGGCAGTGGGACGTTATCGAGAAGGTCGGGCCGAAGAAGTCGTCAAGACATTGAACGAATATACCGAGGCCATTGCCAAAACGAAAGATGGCGAAGTCACGAAACCACAACATTCCTTTGTGGCATGTGATTGCTTCTCTCTCAAAAGTGTCCAAGAAGCTTCCAAGAGTATCCTAGAAAAGCATGATACGATTGATGCCTTGGTCTTGACGCAGGGAATGGCAACGACGCAAGGATTTACACCCACCGTAGATGGAAACGATGAAAAATTGACTTTGCATTACTTTTCCCGCATGGCCTTTGCCTGTCTACTTTTGCCGGCCTTGTCCAAGAGCAATATGTCCAATGGACCTGTCATTTTGAGCGTCTTGTCGGGTGGAGTCCACTCTCCCTACAAGAATTATGAAACGGACTTTGATCTGAAGGAGAACTATTCGGTTTCGAATGCGGCCAATGCCGCGGGATTCTACAATGATCTGGGCTTGGATGCTCTGGCACGCAAACATCCACAAATGAATTTTATGCACGCGGCTCCCGGATTTGTCAATACCAATTGGGGAACGGAATTCAATCCAATTCTAAGGGCCATGGTTCGTTGTATGCAACCACTTGGTAAAAGTCCGGCGGATTGTGCTGAATTCATGGCCGCGCCTACCATCTTGGCGAGTGAATTTGGAGATGACTTGGCGCCCAAATATGAAGATGTGGGCGTCATTTGTTTTGGAGGTTCTTCTGGCAAGGCAGAACCCTCAACAGTTTCCAAAGGACACACAGCAGAAGCAAGAGAATTTGTGTGGAAGCAAACCATTGAAACCCTCAAGAAGGTTGGATTGGATGTCTCGGAATGAGCAGCACCACTTCTTTGTTGTTCTTAGGAGTGTTCTTGGCTGCTTAGTACTGTTAGGCTGTGATATAGGCTGTGATATGCGCAATAAAAGTGGAGAGAGATCAGATTGATTCTAAATTTTCTAAGTAACATTTGTATATGTATTTGATTGAAAGCTGTGTAATAGATGAGACTGTTCCAAGCAGTGGACAATAAGTTGAATGATTGATTCAACTGAATCGCATTATTTAGGCTGTGCGACATGTCTCATTCGGCGAGCGCGACCTCCTCCTCGGAGATTTCATTGGTGCCCAAATTTTCGGAATCCTCCTCTTCAAGACGCAATATAAGAACAAAACAATAAATGAAACGTTACTGTATGGTACGTGGCCCATTACATAGTACGAGTGTTGGCATATCTGACAATGAGGAATGGGAAGAGTCGAGCAATAAGGGATTCCCACATCAGCATAAGGAACGATTCCCGTCAGAACCATAATGATGACCAACATGACGACGGAATATATCTAATGAATGATCAGATCAGTCACAGACAGCAACAATCTCATCCTGCAGCATCAGACGCTCATCATCTTCCAGAGACGAATCATCAGCTGAGAAGAAAAAGTACAAGACGAAAAAGCCATCGTCGAAGATCTAGTCATCGTCGTTCAAGCTCTCATCGACGGAATCATCATCATCATCATCATCATCATTCTGAACGAGACAGTGACAAAACACCTCCTGACGATGTCGCTGCTGCAAAGATGATGAGAATAAGCGGCTCGAGGAAGAGACCATCATCGCCACCACCACCATCATCATCATCATCATCATCGTATTCAGATTCAGATTCCAATGAGCGACAGAGACATTTATCGTCAGAAGATAACCATCACAATGAAAGAAGACGAAGTCGTAGCGGACCGCCAGGACATCGACGAGACAATGATAGACAAAAAGATGAGGAGGAGGAGGATGAACATAATGACAATTATTCCATTTCGGATGAAGTTGATTCCTTTTCGACAAGCTCTCTTCCAACGGTATTTAAAAGAAATGGTGTTGGTGGGAGTATGAGGGATGATTTGAGTGAAATCACCAACATTTTTTCACCCAAAAAAACCATCAGATACGGCGTTGACGATAGCGATACTGATGATGACGATAGCACGATTGACAGCAGCTACAAATGGGAGTTATCCAATCGTTGGTGCACCATTATCATCTTGATTGGTGCAATCATTGCTGTCAGCGTTGGAACCGCTCTACTCATCTTCGTGGGTGCGTCCCAAGAATTGCCCGACTCCTCCCATGTCTGGCAACCAAATCACGAACCACCACCAGGCGGTAATGCCACTACAACCATGTCGGCACCACCTACGTTCCAGCCAACACCGCCCCCCACCAAACCAATGGATGCGACTTTGTTTATTCGTCCCATTATTGAGCCACCTTCCAAGGCCGAATGCAAGAGCATTGCCGCGGGCAAGGAATATTATGAAGCACTGTTCCAAAATGAAAACGTTGACCAACCAATGAAAGCCTATTTTGCAATTGACATGGACGTTATGATCCGAAATCAAATGGCGTATGGAGGAAGGAACTTTGTAAATTTAGTCTTGCCAGAGATTCAAATGGCAATTCAAAAGACTTTGCTTCCCTTGTTGTTGGGATGCAGTGACAATAAGAAAAGACGACAGAGGTCGCTGTTGGTCACGGAATATCCAATATTGAACGCCAAAGTCATCAAGTTGCACAAGAAAAGTGGGCTTTGTGTACAAACGCCAGTATCTTGCTACAAGATTTCCGTGGAGCTCATGCTGTCATTTATCGAAATGGGACCATTGGGTCCCATTGTGGGGCAGATCACAGAACTTTTTACCGAGCAAACGTTAGTGGACCACCTAGGTCTTGAATTCATTATTCAAAATACCGATACCACGGACGTGAGGACGCTGGATTCTCCACCCTCCAATTCACCATCGCTGGCACCATCGGAAAGTCCAAGTACCAAGCCAACCAGTATGCCATCCACGGTCCCGACCCTTGCTCCCATCACCGCTTCTCCCACACAAACACCTACCAAACAACCATCTAAGACTCCTACCATGGCTCCTTCATCAAGTCCAACGAGGTTTCCAACAGAAGCTCCCAGCAGTATGCCTACTCCATCTCCATCCTTGACACCAACTCCCGCTCCATCGTTGACAGCATCTGACCGACCCACAGAGATTCCCTCGGTGGGTCCGTCCATGGTTCCATCAACAGTACCTTCCATCTCGATTGTACCATCCAATGGACCATCGACGATTGACAGCCAAGTTCCTAGTATCAATATGATGATGGTCTCCAATCGTCCCACAATAATTGCAGATTCCTCATCAATGCCGTCTGTAAAGAAGCCATCTTCCGGACCCTCTTTTCAAGCAACCATCATGAGCGAGTCGCCAACTCGTTCGGCAGCGCCATCATCGTTTGATCCTACTATATATAGTAGTGTCAGTTCGTCATCCCCATGATGACCCTGCAATACGACACTGTACCAATGAAAGACACGAAACATCGACCTATACCGGTTGGATGCAATGAATGTAGATAGTATCAATATAAAATATAAAATGTGATATATCATGTACATAGGATATGTATTGTTTTTGTTAAATGTTTTATATATGTAGGTAGGTATGTATTGATTGATTGATATTCTTTGCCAATTGAAATCGCAATTTTGCAGATGTATAGTGTGCTGTGTGTATACCCTGTGCTGTTCTCTCTTTTTTTTATTTTTAACGACAGTCCGAACAACAGGTGCAGGCAACCTCGGATATGCAATCCGCCGACAGGTGCGTCAAGGTATGGTCGGTCGTCAAGGTACAAATATCCGAGGGAACCGATCCCACAAATTGATTGGTCTCGAGACTCAAATAGGTCATGCTGGTGGCCTGTCCGAGACTGACGGGAACATCTCCCGTGAATTGATTGTCTTCCAATCGTACCAAGGTCAAACTGGCCATGCTACCAAAGACGTCCGGAACGGACCCCTTGAATTGATTGGCGTGCAAATGCAATTCTTGGAGTTGCGTCCATTGGGCCATTTGTCCCGAAAGACTTCCCGTCAGCGCATTGTCATTCAAATGGACCAATTGGAGGGAAGTGGCTTGATAGGCCTCGGAGGGAATACTTCCGACCATGACATTGTGGGACAAGTTCAAAACTTGCAACGAGGTAAACTTGCCAATCGTGGTTGGAATGGGAGCAAAGATGTTGTTGTTACTCAAATCCAACTTGGTCAAGGCCGTGAGCATTTGCAATTCGGATGGCAACCTGTGTTTTTTTCATTTATTTAAAAAAGAATAGAATTGTAACAAAAATGAAGAAAAAGGAGAGAGGATGTTGTGTGAGATACCTCCTATTATTGTGAAAGATAAATGTTTGCCGACACTGTATACACCAATGTATCATGATTGTACTTACTGTCCCTTGAGTCCATTGTTGTTCAAATCCACTTCCAAGACTTTGTTATTTTCATCACACACGACACCATGCCACTGACAATGACTGGTATCACTCAACCAATTGGTGTAGGTAACCCATCGGTCTCCACAGGGATTGGATCCACAAGGATTGGTGGCATAAAACAAACATGACAAGGCCAATCGTTGTGGCAATTGTTCGTCGTTCATGGAGAGGGTGGCATTGTCGGATAGGGCAATGAAGCTCAATCCTTTTTTCAGAGAAATGGGCATCGTGTCGTCCTCCCAATCAATCTCGTTTTGCAAATATTGTTCGGCGACGCTCGTCACCGAATCCAACCGGACTTGATCGGCCGACGAAATGGGTGGGAGGGTGGGGGCTTTGGTGGGAGCAGCAGCATTATTATTATTGTCAGTGGTAGGAGTATTCGGAGCCACGGGAGCAATCACTGTAACAATGGGAGCAATGCTTGGTTCGGGTGTGTCATCCAAACCCACTTGTTGACCACCCATGTCGGTAAAGCCAGAAGAAGGAGCACCAGAAGGTGCTTCCGTGGCATTGTTATTGTTACCATCTTCTGTAGCATTGGGTGGAACAAGAGGAATGGGAGCGCGGGTTCCACGATTGGCATTGTTGCCAGTGTTGGAATTACTACTGCTGGGGGTAGCAGCGTCATCACTTCCACCACCACTGGCAACTCCAGCCGCAATGGCAATAACGACAATCAACACCAAGGCGATAATAATACCATATTTCTTGATTTTGGAATTGCGTTGACGTTTGGCAAGAGCCTTTTGTCGATCCAAATCTCGATCGTAGGCATCCATATTGGTGTTGGACACAAAGTAGTCACCCCGTTCCGATTGGTGGGAACGCATGGAAATGTCTTGAAAGTTATGATTGCTTCGACTGGACATGTCGGCAAAGTTGCTGCTAAGGATTGCGGCAGGCTTTGGCTTTTGGGCGGCAGCATCTTCATTGATGAATTGTTCCATTTCGTAATCGTTTTCTCCTTCTTCACCACTATCCGTATTCTCGCTATCTTCTTCTTCGTCATCATCATCATCCGCAGCGAGCAGATTACGGACAAATTCACGAGATTCGTTGCGAGAGGCATCCGCTGTGGAACCCGTAGTAGTAGTAGTATTAGTGGCCACACTGGTGGAGGCATTATTATTCAACAACAATAAGTGATCGTCTCGCGGTTGTTCTTCATCCTCAAAAAATTCCAGTTGGGGTTCCGAATCACTACGTTCTTGGTATTGACTCGTAGTAGTAGTAGTAGTAGGAGCGGCAGCAACAGGAGCAGGTGCCGCCATTGGATCAAATTGATCCATTGCAACAGATGCAGGTGCAAATGCAGGGTTAGAAGCCGATAACAAGGGATCAAACGAGGATGCCGCAGTAGCAGCAGCAGGAGAAGGTGGAATATCTCTGCCTTGCATGGTTTGACCGGGAACACCCACTTCATTTTGCATCATGTCAAACAAGGATTGTTGTTGTGGTTCTTGTTGTGGTTCTGCAACCAATGGTGGAGAAGCAGTATTATCATTATCGTTATTATGAAACGAAGCAGCAGCAGCAGGAGTCACTGGCATGGGTGACATGGGTGGTACGCCCACCGTAGTGTCTCCTGGTTTGCCAATTTCCGATTGCATCATTTGAAACAAGTCTACTGGTTGTTGTGGCTGCTGCTGCTGCTCTGGTTGAGTAGGAGGAGGAGTCGGAGACATGACACTGGGAACCGCAGACGCAGACGAATCCGACATGGTTTCTCCCGGAACTCCCACTGCTGATTGCATCAACTCGAACAGGGATTGCTGCTCATTGGACTGAGGTGCAGCAGCATTGGCAGCATCCTCTTGCCCGTCAAACTGGTTGTTCACTTGATCGTATCCACTCATGATTCGTTCGTTATGTATGTATTATTATTATTGCAATAACAAGTGAAATGTAAGTGTCAATCAAGGAACGAAAGGGTGTCTTGAAGGAAGGTAAAGCGCTAATGTATGGGATCTCGTCCTTTGGATGATCCTTCTTCTTTACGATCGAATAGAGGAGAGGTACGGTACTCTACTGTACAGCACTACCCTATACTATTATACTTGCTTTATAGTATGCTCAGATGAATATTTACCATTGCGTCCAAGGTACCGGTATCCCACATCCGGGGGTCATTCCAGTGGCCAAGGAGTTTCGCCGGAAAGCTAGTGTTTCAGGTGAAATAACGTGGTAAAGTAGGTTCATACTTGACGTAGATGTTACATACAACACGTACCAATCGAAATACCGCAAAACATTCCGTCCAAAATCAGCGGTATCATGGGACGTGACCCTCTGGAGCTGTGCAGGATTTTGATGATCGGATGGGTCGATCTCTATTCGTACTGTATTCAGTATCGCGCGTATCGCAGTACGCGTTATATTCTATAGTGACGACTCCAAAAATTTGGCAACCTGCAAATCACCCATCCAATAAAACATACGAGTATAATCGATCGACAATAATAATACATATCTGCTTCATGATCATCGCCAATCGCATCATTATCTGATACAGTCAAGCATTGCAGCACCTTTACTGTTGCACCAGTATTTTTGCTCAAACCCTGAGAGGACGCGAGGTACATATATATATATATATATATACCGTTGTGAGGCAGAGCTGCTTACATATATACTGTACTGTATTGCCTATCCTGGCTGAAGATTATATTGCATCATTCTTACTATATTACCCTACATGAAACAATATATTATACAATCATGAGAAAATCATCAAGTTATTCACAAAGTAAGAAACATGAACGTCGTCACCGAGAACGTCAAGAGATGAGTCAATTCTTGCAAGATGCAGTCCAAGAATTCGGCTATTCGTCCTATCCTAATAATGATCGCGAGGATACGATGAATGCTAATGATGGAAGGATCATGGGTTTGGACTGGAAGACGAAAGATGGTAATAATAGTCGAGGAGCTTCCAATCGACAGAATCATAATGCTACTATTGTGGATGGCGAGTCACAAACTCTTGATCTGCCAATAATCAAGAATAATTTTATCGAAGTCATCAATCATGATCAAGGTGATGAAGAAGAACAAGAAGAAGCTGCGGCATCCTCCCTTTCGGAATCATCGTCATCATCGTCATCATCGTCATCGTCACCTGATGAGAACAGTGACAGGGCTGCTGCCAATAATAATAACAACAATACTCGCGCAAGCAGCAGCAGCAGCAGCAGTACTATTGTGGATTCCTTTATTCAACGCCAACAGCAAACTCAAAAGGCTTTGGATTCGGCCAAGAACTATCTCTATCAACAAACTGAAATAAGTGAAAGTGAAAAAGATGCTGCCGGCAAAAATAAGAAGAAATCACCGATACTGCCGCTTTTGCTTACCAGCAGCACTGAGAACTATCATCATCATCATGATGATGATGAGTCATCATCATCATCAGTTTCCTACATTGAAAATCCCCAATGGTATCACAAGAAACAAGTCTTGCATCGAATCATTCTGGTCTTGTCGATATTGGCCATTGGGAGTACCTACGAATTTGTCACCACGATTTACAAAGCCATTCGTAGTATATCCTAGAATATATATTTGACTATAGTCCGCCTATAGTCCTATGTATATACATATATTAAAATAACAATAGCAGTTTATCAACAACCACAACCACAATAAGAACAATAACCAAGGCACTGTACTAGGTATACTATTTATACAGCGAGAATGACAATATAAATGCTACTCAAATAAATAAAAAGACATCTAGTACAGTAGTAGGCAGTAGGCGAGTGCCAGAACTATAACTTTGGAAACATATGATCATGATGGTTCTCTCCCAACCAGCAAATTCAAAATATAGTAATCCTGAGAATGAGAGATCATAATAGGACTCGTACTATATTATATATATATATATAATATGTATAGTCATGAATATGGCCGCACAAAAAAGGACTAGTCCTATAGTCTTACAGTTCCAACTTCTAGGCCTATATTATTAATGTTATTATTATTGTTATTATTACAATGTGATGTACCCATTCATAATGGCTTGGCCCAAGGCGAAAGGATCGGTGATATCCAAACGAAACAGGTCCACAATTTCATCATCACTTTGATGCTGTTTGTTCCTACTGGCGGCAGCCGCCGCACCGCCATCATCCGCCGTAATAATAGTGTCACGTCGTTTTACACATTGGAGATTATTCTCACGATTGGTGCCTTTAGGTGGTGGTGGTGGTGGTGGTGTCGTTTGGGGTGGAATTTGGATGGGTGGGCCATGATGCACGACATCAATGGCGTCTCGAGGAGTAGGAGTCTTATTACTGTTGTTCATTCCTCTTATGATGATGATGGTATGCTTTTAGTATATACAGTATATATAGTATATATATTGCTGTTTGGTGGATGCAAACGACGGATCAGGATATACTGCTAGTGTTGTGATTTGTAATCGATGGGTTGATTGATTGTAATATGCGTATCTCTTGTATGTTATTGCGAATCTTGGTTGGATGTTTGGGATTCGGGTTCCATTTTGTCGCGTTCCAATTGAACTATTATAATATTTTTAAAAATAGAAGCGGAACGGTACAGTACCGGTATTATATATAAAATAATTTGTCACATTTGGAATGCGGTGAACTTTCATCCATTTCCAACACCTACCGTATGGTACCTTGGTATACTCTTCAGCAGCACGGAAAAGGCACATTCCAAGCCCCCAGGTACCACTGTCAGACGGATGCGGTTAATCGTTCATCGACGAGGATGTGATCTCCTCTTTTTCTTCCTCGATGAAGTCAATATGCTGCCTACTACTACTACTATACTATTGTACTATTGTACTATCACGCAAAAAGATGTTGATGACATGATCAAAGTGGTCCCAAATTCCGTGGATATGAATATATATATGCATCAGGGGTGTGTACCAGGGCAATATCAATATATATAGTAACCGATACCATGCAGCGTTCGCAAAATTGTTACTGTTCTTGCAACGATGATGGAAATGCATGAGAAATATATATACCTCTAACATACAGTATATCTTCCAATCTATTTTTGGCGCACCCATCGCATTTGGCGCGCGTTGAGAAAAAACAGAAGAATAAAATGGCGAATAGCGTTATTTACACCCTCCTCGTTATCCTGTGAAGCGAGAAAAAGTTCTGCTTTGTTCATAATACTCGCTAAACATCAATCTTCGTTGCGAAACGAAACGGCATACAACGCATCACAAAATATCGCCAAGCATACGAAGAACAACTTTTGGGATCGAACAGGAAAAGATCAAGATAAGTCGACACAAAGATAACGCAATTCTCTCTCACCATGTCCGACGATAGCTCAGTAGAGCGTCGCCAAGAGGAGGCTCGTATGAAGGAGCTTCTGAATTTAGCCATGGAAGAAGACGATTCGAACGACAACGATGATGTTGAAGCGATGCCGGATATTGCAAATGACAAATCGGACTCTAAACTTTCTGCAGTCTCTCCTGGAGGCCCAAAGCCAAAGAAACCGAAGAAACCATCCACAAGACGTAAGCTTCACAAGAAATTGACCGAATCCATCAGCTCGTCTCGAGATTCGAAATTGACTGAAGAAGATGCCGCCAAGCTCTTTGGATCCAAGCAACGTACCAGCTACATGGCAGGAGCAACCGACCTCAGCGATGGCTCCTTTCGATCAGATCAGGATATAAAGCGATCCCAGCGGCGAGTTTCCCAGTACGATCTGACCATGACAGTTTTTGTCATATTTTCGTTTGGGGGGGCACTTGGATTGCTCGTTCTCTTGATTACGCCAACATCTACACAAAAAGCGGTGCAGATCCCAGCAAAAGCAAATGGGGCCCTGGCGATCGGGAGTACTTCTTCTGATTGTGACGATATTATTGCCACCCTCGACGCCAGTCAATTTGTCAATAGTACCGCCTTGGGTGATGAGGATTCCCCTCAACACCAGGCCATGCACTGGATCTGTGAGCATGATCCCGCCAAGTTGGAGGTTGATGATCCGGCATTTCTGACTCGATATGCTCTAGCCGTCTTGTTTTATGGAACTTCTGGTAGATCACCTGAAGAGACAAGTGCCGAGGAAACAGATTGGATCGATCACGAAAATTGGTTAACTGGAGCCGGGTACTGTTCTTGGTTTGGCATTACATGTGTTGACGAAGAAGACAATTTGGAGCTGGATTCTAATGGCGAGATTCTGCAGATTGAATTGTCTCAGAACTTCTTGTCTGGAAGTTTGCCCCCTGAACTGTCTGCAATCTCGGATGCCTTTGGGTTTCATTTTGATTCCAACTTTCTATATGGCAGCATCCCCACTCATTTCGGCCTATTGACCAACCTTCGCGAGTTGTGGCTATCTGACAACAAGTTGAACGGACTCATTCCTATTGAACTTGGAAACATGGTGGAGCTTCGAGAGCTAGCAGTTGCTGCCAACGAATTGACAGGCGAAATACCGGAAACCTTATCCCAAGCGACTCACATGCATTCCTTTGCCTTGGAAGACAATCATTTGAAAGGAACTATCCCTGCTGTGATATTTAGGTCGTTGACTGCTTTGGGTAAGTGAAGAATGCCTGAACTCGGAGTCATTTCCTTTCCAACCCTTTGCTCACCGTTTCCATCTATCCGTAGAGTCATTCCATGCCAGCAACAACGAACTTACAGGAAGCATTCCAGAAGAGCTTTACGGCATGATTACACTCTCAACAGTCCGATTGTCCGAAAATGAGCTTTCTGGTTCCATTTCGGAAAACCTTGGGCAAATGATTAATCTCGGTACGTTTCGGATATATTCGATCATTCCACTCGTCTTTTATTCTAGTAGGACAAACAAAGACTGACTCATCTCGAATGATTACTACAGAGAGCTTGCATCTGACTGGCAATCACTTCACCGGAGAAATTCCCGATGTGTTCTCCAATTTGGATGTATTGATCGAGTGTAAACTAGGCCAGAATGAATTAACTGGGGGTGTTCCTGTTTCCTTGGGCGAGAGCCTGGCATTAGTGGAGTTGGCCTTTGAGGGCAATACCTTGACGGGCGACGTCCCGGATGAAATCTGTGCCTTGTCCGAACTTGGAAGTCTAGAAGCCTTGACGGCTGACTGCTACACCGAGGTGGAAAGTAGCAAAGGAACAATTGACCTGTCGAACATTGAAGGCGCACAACTAATCGAAGCGGGGGAACTCGGGGGTCTGATCAACGAAGAGGAAGATGTAGTTGAACTTGATGGTGTGTTCTGCGATTGCTGTACCGAATGCTTCTAAGAATGTCACAAAAGGTAAAACATACAATTTAAAAGTGCATATTAATTCAAGAATTTTATACTTCTACTGTGTGATCTAGTCGACGAATTATGAGGAAAGCAGCGTTTGATAGTCAAGCTAGTCCGAATCACCGAGATAGATGCATGGTGTTCCATTCTCGGCTCCGCAATGTTGTATTCCTGAATGCTCGGCATATTTCCTTGCGGCGAAGATCTGTTTTCTGTTACGGAACAAACCACCTTGATGAACGTGATGGTAGACATCACTGCTACCACCAATATGGACTCCGTTTACCCAAGCCGATGGTACTGTTCGTTGGCCAGTCATTCGTAACAAAGCCGCTTGGATGTCTTCACCATCGGATCGCCTGTCAAGTTCCACAATGATGGGGGCAATCCCGATGCTTGAAAGATCATCTTTAGCGTTGGCACAGTATGGGCAATAGGTCTTGCTGAACACGACGACGCCGTTCGGGCCAGCACTCTTTAATATATTTTGGATGAATTCAGTCATGTTGGTTTGTTGGGGGGATGTGCACTTGATCAATTTGTTTTTTGTCTTGGTGATCCTTGTTTTCGTTTGTTGATATTATGAGAAAGTGAGATGCATAGTATAGGGACTTCAGTTTATCTGGAGTGATTGATTCATTCGGAACTGTTCGTGATTGATCCAAGTACTCGGGCAGCTTTCGGGAAAACTGCCTTGGTGGCAGACGCGGGATATACATGATGAGTGAAGTCTACTGTATCGTTGCACGAGCGAGAGACCCGCCCGCTCCTACATTACACCGCGCCTGTCCCCCGTCTCTTTCCCTTGGCGCACCCACCTCAATTTTTTAAGAAGCTGGGGTCAAAAACGGTAAACGACACAAATAGCGTTATTCCCCGGCTACTGAAGAATATCATCGGAATGGAGAAATCCAAATTGTCATCATACGCGCTATTTGGCGCCTTCGCGGTTTTCGTGCATTCTTAAAAAAACTTTTTGGTAGTTTATTCTTCAGTCTTGAAAAAGCAAGTCGACGAATATATTCAATAGAAGATACTAATTTCCCCTCACCATGGCTGATGAGAACTGATTAGATCAAAAGGAAGCCCACTTGAAAGCATTCACAACGTGGCCATGTCAGACGATGACAATGAGTTATCGCATGAGGAAGCTCGCATGAAGGAGCTTCCAAAGAGGACCAGTGGGGCAGACGAGGGCGACAAGAAGGATGACGAAGAGTCTCCGTCTGAAATGGCAGGGAAAGCAAAGGAATTTCTGGAGGATCTGAATGAGAACAGCGATGACACCGCTGAAATGGATACTCAAAAGATGCCTGATATGAATGACAAGTCGGACTCTGGAATCGCAGCAGTCTCTATCGGAGGACCAGAACCAAAGATACCGAAACCGCCAGCATCCAACAGAAAAAATCTTCACAACAAGTTTACAGAGTCTGTCAGCTCGTCTCGAGATTCAAGATTGAGCGAGGGAGAGGCTTCTAAGCTCCATGGATCGCCACTCACCCGTTTCAGTGCAGGATTGACTGACCTCAGTGATGGCATCTTTCGCCATGGAGGAGATGATGACGATCGAGAAAAAGTTGCCTCCTACGATAAGATCATGTGGCTCTTCTTTATACTTTCCTTTACTGGGGCATTTATGTTGCTTATTGGCGTCATTGCACCAGCACCTGCACAAAAAGCTGCACAGCTGCCACTGGTTGTCGGAAATACTTCAACCGACTGCGATGAAATTATTGCCACGCTCGACGCCAGCGAATTTGTCGATAGCTCTGCCTTGGAAGATGAGAGCTCGCCTCAGAACAAGGCTATGCAATGGATTTGTGAACATGATCCTGCTAAGCTGGATGCCGGCGATCCGGGATTTCTCACTCGGTATGCACTCGCTGTCTTGTTCTATGGAACTTCTGGTCGATCACCTACCGCGACAAGTGTCGAGAAAACTGATTGGATCAATCACGACAGCTGGTTAACTGGCGCTGGGTACTGTTCCTGGTTTGGCATTACATGTGTGGACGAAGAAGACAATTTGGAACTGGAAGTCAATGGTGAAATTCTAAAAATTGAACTGACTCAAAACTTTTTGAGTGGGAAAATTCCGGCCGAACTTTCCGCAATCTCGGATGCTTATGGCTTTCATTTCGACTCGAACTTTCTGTATGGCAGCATTCCGACTTCTCTTGGCCTTTTGACCAATCTTCGCAAATTGCTCGTATCCGATAACAAATTGAACGGGAGCATTCCTTCCGAACTTGGAACCATGGTGAAACTTCGAGAACTAGGACTAGCGGCAAACAAATTGACAGGAGAGATACCAGAAACGTTGGATCAGGCCACCCACTTGCATTACATTGCCTTGGAGGATAACCATCTGAAAGGAACTATACCTGCTGCCATTTTTAGGTCGTTGACTGCTTTGGGTACGTAACAAAATCTTTGGTCCGCATCGTATCGTTTCCAGTCGACGCTCACCATTTCCCATCTTTGTTTCCCCAGAAACATTTCACGCCAGCAACAATGAGCTCACAGGAAGCATCCCAGAAGAACTATATGATAGCACTTTCCTCTCGACCGTTCGACTATCCGAAAATGAGCTGTCGGGACCACTTTTGAAAAATCTTGGGCAAATGGTCAATCTTGGTGAGTTTCGGATATTCATACAACTATTTCCCCTCCAAAAACACTCTTATCTCACACGTGCTGGGATGTATCATCATCATCATTTTGGATACAGAGATTTTGCATTTGACTGGCAATCATTTCAACGGACCAATTCCCGATGCATTCTCCGAATTGGACCTTTTGATCGAGTGTAAGCTGGGGCAGAACGAATTCACTGGCGATATTCCTGTTTCGTTGGGTGAGAGTCTGGCATTGACTGAATTGACGTTCGAGGGAAATACCTTGATGGGCGATGTTCCGGAAGAAATCTGTGCCTTGACCGAAATTGGAAGTTTGGAATTTTTGACTGCCGATTGTTACACTGAGGGGGAAGATGGGGGTGTACTTGATGGTGTGGTCTGCGAGTGCTGCACTGAATGCTTCTGAAAAAGTAGCAATGCATCGAAAACGAACGGCAACAAAAGGGTCTAAAAAGTTAGCAGATGGAACGACTGAGTTAGGTGTATCGATATTAGTACCGTATTGCCATTCAAAGATGTTGTCAAGCTCGTTTGTTCGACTTGCGCACCAATCTCATTTTTCGCAATTGGCAAAATACCATCATAGAATGAAAAGGAGAATAGCGTTATTCCAGCGTGATTGCAGCATTCCTTGTCTAAAGATCAATTTTCAGTCGTGTGACCATGGCGCTAAATACGGCAGTCTGCGGTAATTCGAACAAAATATCATCTCAACGCATCACAAGATTCATCAGACAGTCGTTCGGGATCAAAAGCGCAATCTTAAAAAAGCCTATCGGTAGTAGTCGCCGATGAAGATCTCAAATTTCCCATCACCATGACCGGCAAAAATTCAAAAGAGTAAAGCAAACAGCAGGATTCCATGAAATAGCTCATGCAGTATAGCCATGGTAAAAAAAGACACTCCACACTCACAAGAAGAATCCACCACAGAGGCAGCAATGACAGTGCAGAAGCAATTAGGTCACCACTTCAATGATGATGAAGAAGAGGACGAATATGAAGCGAGAGCTCGAAACATCCTAAAAAACATCGTTCAACTGCCCATCGTGATCATACTCGTATTCTCTATTAGTGCCTAACTGGAAGGCTTTTGCAGTGGAGTTCCTTGGGTCATCAGAAGGGGCTACAACACAAGAAATGGTACAGCGCCCTGTGAAAACAAGCGGACCGTTGATTGGAAGTGCATCGGCTGGTTGCGACGACATTATTTCGACGCTCGATGCCAGCGAATGCGTCGATAGCACTGCCCTTGATGATGAGAGCTCGCCGCAGCACCACGCCATGTATTGGATCTGTAAACACGATCCCGCCAAGTTGGATCTTGACGATCCGGGATTTCTCACTCGATATGCACTCGCTGTCTTGTTCTATGGAACCTCTGGTCGATTACCTGCAGATACAGGTGTAGAAGAAACTGATTGGATCAATCACGACTATTGGCTGACAGGTGTTGGGTACTGCTCTTGGTTTGGCATTACATGCGTCGACGAAGAAGGCAATTTGGAACTGAATGCCAATGGTGAGATTCTACAGATTGAACTGTCTCAAAACATTTTGAGCGGAAGTTTGCCCCCCGAGTTATCAGCACTTTCGGATGCTTTTGGCTTTCATCTCGACTCGAACTTTCTTCACGGCAGCATCCCCAGTCATTTTGGTCTCTTGACCAATCTTCGCGACCTTTGGTTGTCCGACAACAAATTGAGCGGAAGCATTCCTCGTGAGCTTGGAAATATGGAGGAACTTCGAGAGCTGACACTGGGCAAAAACGAGTAAGGACCTATTTAACAGTCCTATTGACTTTCCAGACCCCCTGACATCTCGATTTTGCATCACAAGCTTGACAGGAAGAATACCGGAAACGATTTCCCAAGCGACTCATCTCCACTACTTTGCCATGGCAGGTAACCATCTGATTGGCACTGTCCCTTCCGCCATCTTTGCAACGCTGACTGCTTTGAGTAAGTTACGAAAAACTGTTCTTAGACTCGCTCTATTTTCAATCTATTTGCTCACTGTCTTCTTCTTTCTTGACTTTAGAAACCTTTCATGCCAGTGATAATGAGCTTACCGGAAGAATTCCAGAAGAATTATACGGTATGACCACACTTTCAGCGCTTCGGTTGTCCGAAAATGAGCTTTCGGGAACGCTTTCGGAAAAACTTGGGCAATTGATCTATCTTGGTACGTTTTGAATACTACTACTATCGCCAAGAACTACTCTCGACAAACATGTTTCTCACAGATGTACCACACTGAACTTGGCTGGTTACAGAAAGATTGCATTTATCTGGCAATAGGTTCAATGGAGAGATCCCAGACACTTTCTTGGGAATGGATCTATTGACCGAATGCAGGCTTGGACACAACGACTTCAATGGGGTTATTCCTGTTTCTTTGGGCGAGAGTCTGGCATTGGTTGAATTGACGCTGGAGGACAATGCATTAACTGGCAATGTTTCAGACGAAGTCTGTACTTTGACCGAAATAGGAAGTCTGGAAGTCTTGACGGCAGACTGCTACTCCGGGGTGAACAGTATCGAGGGGACACTTGATCCATCGAATATCGAAAGCACTCGAGTTGTTGAAGGGCGTGGGGAACTTGGGCGTATGACTAGCAAAGAAAAGCGTGATAATGTGGTCTGTGACTGCTGTACTGAATGCTTCTAAACAAGTCACAAGACATACCGGTAGGAAAGTAACACTGGCAGAAAGGTACAATTGCATAATATTAATAATTCAATCAGTCTTTTTTAAAATAAAATAAACATCTATGCGACCGATTCGGAATCTAGTCCGAATCAATCACCAAGTTTATATATGGTGCTCTATTCTCAACCACTCTGTGCTTGTTTTCTACGTGCTCAGTATACTTTCCCTGCGGCGATATCATTTTTTCTGTCACGGAATAAGCCACCTTGACGAACATGATGGTAGACATCACTACTACCACCGATATGCATACCGTCTACCCAAACCGATGGCACCGTTCGTTGTCCAGTCATTCGCAGCAGAGCCGCTTGGACATCTTCACCGTCGGATCGCATATCAAGTTCCACAACGATGGGGGCAATTCCGATGCTTGAAAGATCATCCTTTGCATTGGCACAGTATGGGCACCACGTCTTGCTGAATACGACGACACCGTCGGGACCAGCACTCCGTAATGTATTTTTAATAAAGTCGGCCATGTTGTTGGTGTTGGGGGAGATTGTGGACTTGATTAGATTGTTTTTGTCTTGGTGATGCTTTTTTGTTGTTGTTGATATTGTGAGAGAAGTTCGAAAGTTGGGATGGATCAGAAGTGATTCCGAACTGTTCGTTATTGATCCAAATACTCGAGCAGTTTTCGCGCCACACCGACCAGAATCCCGCCGATGCAAAACGGATGGTGGCACCTCGTACTGATTCCGGACTCTGTTCGTTATTGATCATCATTTTTATTCTTCAGTCGGACACTTTCATCTTGGAGGCATTCGATTGTAGTCGTTCGGGTCGACTAGCGATACAAATCGCATAGCATATATCGCATATCGTCATATATCGCGCTCGCATGATAGATTTTATATCACATATCTATCGAGCACCTCTGCGAAAAATATTGATACTTCAACTGACAGTATGAGATCCCGGAAAGAAGATAGACCCACCATCGACATCGCCAACAGCACACTCAAGCCAGTTCTGTTAACGTTGTCAACAGACCAATTTGTATTCGAGCGCCATGGCAAAGAAGAAAGAAAAATCAAAGGATGACAGAGATGAGGAGGAACGCATGAAGAGGATTATGATGGCGGCGACAGGATATGAAACCGTTGAAGAAGCTAGACAAAAGCCTTCGGGTGGGGTCACTCGCGATGGAAAAGCTGTCATTTCTGCCAAGGAATTCCTAGAAGATATGGAAGATGAAGTGAACCAAGATGTGGCGAAGTCGGGGGGGCGTGATATCGTTGCTCCAAATGAGAAGGACGACATGAAATTGAATTCTGTCTTGATTGGAGGACCTGCACCCAAGCCTCCCGAACGTCGCAAAGTGCTGCACTCGCAGTTGGCTTCAACATTACACCATTCTCATACCAAGTCGTCGGGAGTAGACCAAAGTATGAATCTGATGGACCCAAGCTTGGCACGAAAGGGCCATCCGGCCGGAAAAGGTAAAACAAGCTTGACGACAAGGCTGTTTGGTGATTCCGGATTTTCCAGCATGCACGATGCGGATCCAAGTGCTGATTCGGAAGAATTTATTCTAGGGAAGCGTCATATGGTCCGATACTACAATTTCATCTGCTTCCTTGTGGTTTGCATTCTTTTTATGGTTGGCGGTACCCTGTTGACGTTGACCATCATGTCAAAGCAAGCCCCAGAGCCGATCGATCAAACAGCCCCGGATGGTTCAAAAGACGTTGCTGACTTTGGTACCCCCATAGCGAGCCCAGTTGCTGCTCCTGTTTCGGCCCCCGTTACCGCTCCTATCGTTGCTCCAACACCAAGCGACACTGCAAGTCTCGGTCGATTTGAAGCAATCATGACCCGATTGGTCGATACTGGTTTTGCAGAAGAGTCAAAGCTTCGAAATGCAGTCACTGCACAGTACAAGGCGTTGGATTGGCTGGTGAGTCACGATCCTGCAGCTTTGGACCCCTCGTCCAAGGCCCTGCTGACACGCTATGTCCTTGCCGTCTTGTTCTACTCGACATCTGGCCGGGAACCAAAATCGACGGACCCCATCAGAACAAATTGGAAGCAACACACATTGTGGCTGACCGGAGACAGCTGCTGTGGATGGTACGGAATCAAATGCGTGGACGCCAACGACTACTTTACGACGGAAGGAAATGGCAAAATCTCGCAAATCAACCTTCCCGAGAATAAACTCAAGGGTACCCTTCCTTCCGAGCTGTCTGCATTGTCGGGTTTGATTTCGTTGAACTTAAAATCAAACTCTTTGAAAGGCGCCATACCTACTGAGTTCAAGTTTCCGGCCATGAAGGACATTCATTTGGATTACAATCATCTGAATGGAACTATCGGTTTGCAACTGGAATTCATGACGGAGCTTCGTACCCTGTCCATGCCTTACAATGAGTTGACGGGAAGCTTACCTGCTACCATTGGATTTGCAAACAAACTACGCTACATCAAGCTTGGAGGGAACCGATTGACCGGCTCGTTTCCCGCTTCCATTGCCAATTTGACAAAGCTTGGTAAGTGTCACAATCGCTCGACTTGTCACATCTTTCATCAGTTCTTCCACCAGGCATATCTCACAGTTTTTTTGTGTAACAATACTTCTACAGAAACCATTCACGTCTCGAGAAACCGTCTATCGGGCAGTATTCCCGACGAGTTCTTTGAAATGAAGCGTTTGGTGAATGTGAGCATGTCACAGAATCTATTCGAAGGCAAGCTCTCGCCGAAGTTATCCCAACTGAGCCATTTGCATGAGCTTCATTTGACCGGAAATGAGTATGTATTGTATACTGCATATGGTTTAGTCAGGTATCGCGTTGGCATTAGACTCCACATCTAATATTGATTCTTCTGCTTCTTCTGCTATTTCTGGATTTACAGCTTCTCTGGAACAGTTCCCGATGCCTTTGACAGCATGATACTTTTGGCAACGTTGCATCTGGGCGAGAACAGACTATCGGGCGAAGTTCCAACTTCGCTGGGTTCTCGTCATCGATTGGAAAAGCTGGATCTGACGGCCAATGATTTTGTTGGTACGTAAACGTGTTTAGTTCCAACAGCAGTAGTAGTGGCCCAGCTTGACTAACCTATAACGGTCTTCCGCAGGTACTATGCCACAAGAAATTTGCGACCTGCAGCAGACCGGAAAACTTTATCATTTGGGTGCTGACTGTGTCACAGGTGATACCACTGCATTGGACGTGTCCTCCTTTAACGACAACCGTAGACATCGCAACCGACGATTGGTCAAGATTTCGCGACCACCCAAGGATGAGCTCTATAATGACGATCCGGATGCTGGGAAACCAAGAGTCCGCGCTGGAACTTCTCGTTTGGGTGGCAGCTTTGTAGAAGAAGATGAAGACTCTGAAGAAGATGCTGACATTGAAGATACCGATGAAGAAGTCATCGCGGCTGGGGATTTTGTATACCTCGAAGAAGACGGGACCGTCGAAGACCAGGATGGAAACGTCATTGAAGGAGTGGATCTAGAAGATGCCGACATTGAAGATGCTGATGAAGAAGTAATCGCGGCAGGAGATTTTGTGTATCTCGAAGAAGACGGGACCGTTGAAGACCAGGATGGAAACGTCATTGAGGGGGTAGATTTGGAAGATGCTGACATTGAAGATGCTGATATCGAAGAAGTCATCGCGGCAGGGGATTTTGTGTACCTCGAAGAAGACGGAACCGTTGAAGACCAGAATGGAAACGTCATTGAAGGAGTCGATCTAGAAGATGCTGACATTGAAGATGCCGATGCTGGCCTCGATGCTGACCTCGACGCTGATGAAGAAGTCATTGGAGAGGGTGACTTTGTTTTTCTGGATGAAGACGGTCACATGGAGGACAAAGACGGAAATGTCATTGAAGGAATCGCCCTTGAAGATGTGGAAGATTTGGATGCTGACGAAGAGGAAGAAATTACATTGAAGAATAATAGAATTGCAACACTTGGCGAGTCCGACGATGACCACGAAGATGGCATCATCCATTTTACGCAACCAATTCTTAATAAAGATGAAAATGCGGACGGGGATGCAAAAGGCTACAAGATTGCCTATGCCAGTCAAGAAGTAATCAAAATGGATCCTCCTGCTGGCATGGAATTCAACGGAATCGAATGTCCGTGTTGCACCTTTTGCCTAGCTGCAGCATCGTCGCCTGAAGAACCAATCGATTTACCAGGAGGCGACGAAAGCAGTTTACCAGAAGATGAAGAGATCTTGTCTGCATCAGCGAGTTTTGCAAATGATGAAGACCCCGGTGGCTCCTCGGAATGCGTGGACGCCATCAATGAAGGCACTGCTAGTAGCGAGTACCCTGGGCTAGTTGGTATGAACGGACAGGAAGCAAAGAAATGCCTGCAAATGAATACAGACAAGACCGTGCTATTGGTCCGACCCGGTGTCCGAAGACATTTCGCCTATCAGAACAGCCGCATCATTATCTATTTGGACCGCAATGGTGATGTGAAAAAGACTCCAATCGTAGGATAAGTTGTTCAACGTTTGTATATTGTGATGAACCAAGTGTTATTTTCAACTATTATTACATTCAGCTAGCTAGCATTGTTCTTTTTTGTTTTGCATGTCATTGGATTGAGAAAAGGAATCTTCTCTAGGTCTGATGATGTTCGTAGTTATTCGAATGCAAACTCATGTAGGTCTGCCAAATAGTCTCCATGAGCATTGTCGTCAGTGGTCGAATAGGAGTCGGGATAAAGGTAAATGCGGCCATGTTGTAAGGAAACCAAAGTTTAAAATCATCGATCGTGACTTTTGGAAGTTCCGCCTTCATATGCGTGAACACTTGAAGAGGCGAGTGATTGCTGCTCGTACTTCTAGCAGGAGCAAGTCCTCGGACCAGCATGCTCAGAGAATTGGCCACGACACCAACGGTAAACACCTCGACGACACTCTTCTGAACCAGTGACACGAAATCCTTGCGCTTCCAGATCTTGTCGATTGCACCATAGGCAGCTGGATAAAGTCCACAGCTCAAGCAGGCTCCCAAGATTCCTGCCGATGAAGATCGCTTCCAATCCACAGATCGAAGAAATTCTCTGTCTATTGTCCGTAGTTGCTGCATGGGACTAACTGTTTCGTCGTCTCGCTTTCGCTTGCCAATCGATTGTGGCTCACTTTGCTCGAGTCTCTGTGCTAGAACATCCGAAGCACAAAAGAGGACACCTCCCACAACGCCATTAACGAGCAGCTCTTGTCGAACTTGGACTTGTTGTCGAATTTGTTGCAAGACAAGCATTGGTTGGATTGCAGCTTCCGTTAATGAAAACAGAAGGAAAACCAAAATGGATATCCTCAACATTGTAATGTTGTGGAAAAGATTATGATGAGGTGCATATGACATCGAGTGGCGGATGAAAATGCACAATTTGATTCATTCCGGTATTTAATCGTAGTAATAATTATTCCGAAGATTTGGTGGCATACCGGTATATTAATACCGGCATATCTATTTACTGCATCTAAAAATGTCAGTTTTTGAAAGTCACATGTGACATGTTGTTGATTGATTCCTAAGATTCAACATGGCCTGTAGTGTACCAGGTACTCGTCGTATGTATGCGGTTAAAACTTTCGCACCGCTATTTTTACAAATTCAATGAATAGGTGCCAAAGATACCACCACAATATCATTCTATGATACTTTTATTTTCAGCATATCATCTATCAGAAGGTTGAGTTAGAAAATCATGGACAAAGGAAAACAGAAACCCATTGAAGAGAGACGCGAGCTTGAGCATATGAACAATATTATGATGGTTGCAGGATATGATACTGTTGAAGAATTTCACGATCATGAAAGGCCAACGATGATGATGATGATGATGACAGTCGTAGAAAAGATTCAGAAAAAGTTCGGACGATCTAGAAATAAAGAATAACCCATATTGGTGATGAGGATGTCATCATTCATTTCAAAAACCCAATTCTCAATCAAAGCAAATTGCCTGTGCCAATCAAGAAATAGTCAACGTGGAGCTTTCTGCTGGTAAAACAAGCCTTTAATGGAATGGAATTGCTTTCCTCCTTATGGCAGTGCACCTTTTGCCTTGCTGCATCATCGTCGTCCACGATACAGCATGCAAAGTCTCCTAGTACTACTAGCTTGTCTGAACGGAATTCGAGAGTGGCGGGGCCGGGAAAATACAAAAGGCAAGATGATGAATAGGAAGTTGAAGGACCGATTGAAAATATAGAGTCAGCCAATCTGAAGAATCTTTGACGATTGAAATATGAATCCAACTAGTTTTCCAGGGCAGTTCAAGCAATCCAGGAAGGTATCACTGATAATTGCTACCCTGTGTTTGTGGGTACGGACGGACAACAACAAGCGTCTCCAAATGAACACAAACAATACTCGGAGTTCCGTATCACAACACCCGTATCAATATATACTGCGACCGGTGAAAAAACCTCCAAAAATAGGTTGACAAGCTACGACAGCAAAACATTTTCTAATAATATTACAGTATGTTAGCATTACTTTGGCCAAGGAGAGAGCTCTGGCGATATATTAGCATTCGGAATCGTCTAAACCAATTTGATACCACCTTGGGTCTGATTTTCGAAGTTATTTGAACGCAAACTCATGTATGTCTGCCAGATGCTATCCATCAACATTGTTGTTAGCGGTCGTACAGGAGTCGGGATAAAGGTAAATGCAGCCATGTTGTAAGGAAACCAAAACTTGAAGTCATCTTTCGTGACTTTTGGAAGTTCCTCAATGATGTGCATCATGACTTGAGCTGGAGAGTAATTATTGCTCCCAGGACGGCTAGTAGGAGCAAGTCCGCGAACCAGCATGCTGAGCGAATTGGCAACGAGCCCAACGGTAAATATTTCCACCACACTTTTCTGAGCCGATGAAATCAAATCCTTGCCCTTCCACATTTTGTCGATTACACCATAGCCGGCTGGATAGAGTCCACAACTCAAACAGGCACCCAGCATTCCTGCCGATGAAGAGCGTTTCCAATCCACAGTCCGATAAAAAGCCCTGTCTGTTGCAAGCAAATGTTTCGCGATCGACTTTTTCTCACAATGCTCCAGTCTCTGTGCTAGAACATCGGAAGCGCAAAAGAGGACACCTCCCACCACTCCGTTTATTATCGGATCTTGTCGAATTTGGACCTGTTGACGAATGTGCTGCAAGACAAGCATTGGTTGTATTGCAGCATCCGTCAATAATAACAGAAAGGTAAAGCAAATGCAAATGGATAGTTTCGGCATGATATTTTGTTTTATGCAAACTCCGAAGGTGTGGAGAGGACGAGGTTTTATTTTGTGATTGCTGAGGTCATCGTGTGATGTCAGTGCGAGTCGTGCTAGTAATGGAGTAGGTCAATATATCAATGCATATAAAGGACACGAGTCGCATGAGACATTATCGAGTCGAACTAATCCATACTGCCAACCCTCCACGCATCAACAATCGATTTACAAAAATAACAATAAGACAATAATGTTCATTTCAAAATGCCGTTCACATACTGCTGTAGAGAATGAACCAATGATTAGATATACTTCATGTTTCTCTCGGGGTCGGATTTTCTTCCTTATGGCGTGCAGCCCATGTTGGACAAATGGATTCGATTCAATAAACTCAATAATAAGACTACGACCAAAGCTGAAGAGGAGACTTGGTAGTCAACACTTGAAAAGCCTTGGCTGGCTACCCTCATCATCATGCTCAAGACCCTCAGTCGTCTTACTATTGTCGGAATCACCTCGGTCTCAGTCCTTTCAAGAGAGGTTATCAGGCGAAGATCTACCAACAGAAGACACATCTGATTCACTCTCCCATTTATTGTCATCTCCCGAGCGGTATGCCTTCAGTCTCAACATGACACAGGAAGAGGTTGAATATCAAAAAGAATTCTATCAGAATGCTTCCCAAGAACTTCAGGAGAGGCTCGAACGACTGGATAAAGACGAAGGCTTGTCACCAGCAACAGTTGGCAAACGCAAGCATGAGCTGATTTGTGCACATCGATTGAAATTTGGTCGTCACCCATTTGTCTGTTCCAAGTGTTGGTCCTACTTGCCTGTCTGTGTCTGTCACCTAGCCACGAGGTCATCTAAGGAGTGGAAATATAAAAACTTATTGCAAGTTTTGGTTTGGACACACCATCGTGAATGGGGTTTGACATCGAATACTGGGTCCATTCTAGGCTTGACACTTGGAAATAATGATGCATCATCTCACGTAGTGGATACCACACATATTGATCCGAGTACTGATGAGAATAATCCATGCCGCTTGCTAATGAAAGGACTGCCAAAACATGACGAAATACTTCAGAACATTTTGGATGATTCTGCACGAAAGAGGGAAGGAGACGATGAAAGCCATGGTGTTGATCATGATGGTTCCACTTTAGTGGTAGTCTTGTGGCCATCGTCGAATCCGGAAAATGCCATCACACTACCGCAACTTCGACGAGAGTTGGAAGCGTCCGATCCGAATAACTGTTTTGACAGTAACCCGCATGAAGAAGTATCGGATGCCATGGTGAGCAGCTCGCAGAAAAAGATTGTTCTATTGGCAGTGGATGGGACTTGGCGGAATGCTCGAAGAATGGTTGCCAAATTACCGTCCCATGTGAAACGATTGGATTTGGATGAGAGTACCATTCGATGGAATGACAGTAAGGCGACTGGTGACGAAAACAGCCCTTCTGAGGACTCATCATCAATGTTATCAATTTTGGCACCTTTGCGTAGGAGAGGACCATCGGGAAAAGAAAACCAAAAGACAGACTTGAAAGTCAATGCTTCTTCACTAGATAATGAAAAGAGACAGGTATGTACTGCAGAAGCAGTGGTGGCAGCCTTGCACGAAGTAGGAGCTATTGATACCGAGCTAGCACAGCAGGTTCTCTACGCCACTCAGACAAAGGTGGATCGAGTGCGGCGATACCGAGGAAAAGTGCAATGAGTGAAATGCAAAACGATATTCAAACATTGATCATTACACCTGCGATGGTTTCTGATGGGCAACGGCTACCTTGTCTGATGGAAACAGTTCCGTCAGGAAACAGAGGCAGAGGTTGGGCTCTTTCCTTTAAACTGGCTCATAATCCCAACCCTTTTTTCTATTGTTTCGCAGTGATATAAGCGATAGAAGAATTGTATACTTGGATCCATTTTAAAACTGTTTTATTGAAAAGGCAGGTGGTGTCTCGTCATCACGCATTCGGCCGACTTTTTAAAAAATCCATCACGTTGGTTCACCATATCGATACATTTTGGTTCAATTGACACAATCTTTGATTTATGTACATGTCGTTTTATTTTTCAAAGGATCATTGACGCATACAGTGAGCTGAAAGCAACGATAGTAGCCACCGAGAAAAGATGTATTCCATTGCCGGAATCAGCCAATTCCTCTTCTTTTTCTTCACCTCGAGGTGAAGTGGAGTTGGGATTCATAGTGGGTGATGGCACTGGGGTGGCATTGACTGAAGTCCCAGTTGGTACACCCTCCATCATGCCATACTCAGATTGACAGGGATCATTTCCCAGACTACTAGAATCCTTTCGCTCGTCCACTCGAATCAACGGTGGTGCACTCTGAGAGTCGTCGGGATTCAAATCCAAAACTGTGACCTTCATGACAGCCTTGAATCCTCTGTTCAACATGCTATTGTCATACCCATTTACACAAGTACTGCAACTTCCGACACGTCGAGCGAGACTGATCATGTCCGTTTTCGAGCCGTCATCCAAACGGTATCCTCGGGTATATGCTGACGTCGATGATGCTTGATTGGGCGACTCGACCAACACTTCAAAAGCGCTGTCAAGACAGATCCCAACATCCACAAGACAGTGAACGGTATGGCGATCGGGCTCTTCAAGAGTTACGAGGCCATTGTCAATCATGTTCACGTTTTGAATACAGAAATAATCCATAATGAATCCTTGAATGCATAGTTGATCGCCAATCTCGAGTGCAACTGCCGCATTACTGCCACTGAGAAGAAGGAGAAGGAGATAGCCAAGAGCGCTGAACTTCATCGATCGTGCATTGCTAAGGAACGACTTTTTAAAGTTGAACATGGTAATGACGTTCCTGGTAAGAATCTCTCTTCGTATGAAAAATGGCAAGATTCATTCCTTGGTTGTTATTGATTTTGGATTTGAGACGCACGTGATGATGATGCCCAGGCAGTTTATATAAAAAGTATGGAAAGTCAAAATGTTTCTTGTGCAGTATTTTTTTTTTTGGCGTCAAAATAATACACTATTGACTTCACGTGGAAGATGGAAAAAAGTTCATTCGGGGGAATTATTCGTCAACATTCACGCACCGGCGAAATTATTCGAACCGTGAATCTGGAAAAACGTAGATATTCCACGATCTTCTAGGGTACTCTGTACCTGGTGTTTTCCGTTCGTATAAAACACCCGACACGTATACTGCGTAGTGTACCGGTATTACCCTTTCAAAACAACTTGAAGGTTCACGTTCGATCATATGCATAGAAATTTTGATTCCAAAAAAACGACACGCGATGAAGCTACTTTCTCTTACTCTCATCACCATCTTCCTAGCTGCAGTCACAGCAAGTAGCGAAACTGAGACTGAGACTGAGAACGAAAACCATGACGTTGATTGGTTGCCTCACATTACCAGCTGGAGTGACAAGCGCATTGAAATTAATGGACAGTGCGATCTTGTGATGTTGCAAAACGCAGCATTCGCTGAGGGGCTTGGAATGAACATTCATATCCGAACCAAGATTGTGGGAGCCTGGTCCTACATCAAGAGCGTTGCGATCAACATTGGAGACGACGTCCTTGAAATTGAAGGATCTCCAAATCCAAAAGATGAAGATGCGCACTACTGGTTCAACGGCGAGTACCAATCAGAAGAACTCGAAACCATCGGCGGATTCCCAGTCGAATGGGAGAAGCCGACGCCCTACAAACAGCAGTACAACATCGATCTGGACTCGAAGTACCCTGGAAAAGTCATCACCATCGATGTAATCAACGAGTTCATTCGTTTCAATTTGAACGGAGACGCGTCTGTGTTTGGAAACTCCGTCGGCTTGCTTGGAGACTACAATACTGGGAAGACCCTTGCTCGCGATGGAGCTACGGAACTGCAGGGCTTTGAAGACCTTGTCGATGAGTGGCAAGTGATTCCCAGTGAACCCAAGCTCTTCCATCAACTTGCCCATCCTCAGTTCCCAGACAAGTGTATCCGGCGAGAGTCTTCATCTGGAGCCAGCAAGAGCCATTTTTCGAAGCCGGCTGTCGATGTTGAACAAGCGGAGGCTATTTGCTCGGGGACATTGGACAACGATGCTACTGTCATCAATGATTGCATCTCGTACATCCTGCTCGGTCGAGACTTGGATGTTATTGCTGAGTTTCTGATGTTGAGGAAAGTCCACCATGAGTTACTGCTCTAATTTGATGGTGGTATTGGCTTGTTGAGTATATTGGATCTATTGAAAAACTAAATAGTCTATGCTATTTGTCAACTCACAGAGAAAAAAATTACACGAACCATGTTTCTCGTTGCTAGTTGTTACAGTAGTACCTATACCGGTAGTACTCGCGTGATTTTTGGCTCGCCTTCTTCGGGTCACCCCAACCAACAGATTTGCAGCCGTCTTGTCCACTAGAGGTATAGGTACACTTCTCAAGGAAATGGAAGATACATACATTATAATATATGTTCATCACAGCTGAGGCACGGTGCCGCGAATTTTACCAAATCATCCCTCATGATCACGTGTGTACATATATACACAAGGTATAGCAAGCAAAGGAGACGAGCCATTTTGCAGATATCTGGCTAAGCACATGTAACGGCAATCATTTGGGCCAATAACCATCCTACTGTTCTGCAAGAACGCTCGAACGCTTACGATTGAAGCTCATTGAATATGGCGAAATCCTGTCTTCGTAAGAAATACGGCTACTATATGCTTAACCAACATGTTCATTTATCCTGTTCCTTCATTTTTGAACCATTTCATGATGGTATACCAAAAAACGTGGCCTATATATACTTTATCACAGGATCGAACGTTCACATCCGAATCAACCATAAGGTTATATGCCGGATCACGCGGTCCTATATTAGTTATTATTGCTCTGAATATTTCACACGATATCCTTGCGAGAGGATTGAAGGATCCCCAAATCCGAAAGATCAGGAGAGGCGCTCAATAAATTCATTCGTTTTGCATGATATATAAACTGAATGGAAACATTTTTAATAAAACATATGGAGGTCCTTCATCTTTGGGACGCACGCTGTCGGCCTGCGCTTGGTGGAATAACTATACGAGACAGGAAAAACCCTTGCTTTTGATGGAACTTTAGCTATACTACAGATGGAACGAGAAAAAGTTCAGTTTGTTCACTGGGTTGGGTTGGAACGAAACACGCAGACAATAAAAGCATTATTATTGTGTTCTGCGGTGACCGCGGTGTTTTTTTTTTCTTCACAACACGCGATGGTACAATGAAGCACCTTCGTAACTCGAATTCAAATTATATATTAGTTACTTTAGCTACTTTGGAATTTTTGGATGTGGGTCCGCATCTCATCGCTCGCAAGTGGGACTTTGTAAATTGCTCTGAATTCCCAAACCGCATTCATGCATTTCTTGTCCTCTGTTGTCGCCTTTATTGCTGATAGTATAATCGCAAGGCAACAATCTGTGCTACTAGAGCGTTTCAAAGAGACTGTGCTTTGCGAGTTTATTTCTCTAGCGCCGATCCGAAAATCCTGTTCTCGTTCGGTTGATTGTTGGCAACAAGAAGTATTATCGTTTCATCGTGTTGCATGGGCGATGGCAAAGCCGAAAGTAGACTAATGCAACCTCTTTTGTCTTCGAGTTTATGTGATTGGATTTATTGAGGTGGATTTCTTTATGGAAGGAGTGGAGATGTTGGTGTTCTGTGTCCAAGGATATTATTAGGAGCTTATATATTCTTGCTTGCATTGTCGTTTGATGTATGTGCGCGTGCCGCGCCGTTACTGATGACGATGTTGAAGCGTTGCAAATAAGGTATTTTAGACGCAATAAACTAGCTTTTTGGTTGGGCCCTTTGAGTCCATAGCAGAATATGGAGAGTCAGTCCTTCGCTCGTTTACGTGCGAAAGACAGACGTGACGGACAAGCCATAGACTATCTAACTACAGCACACAAGAGTATAGCAGCACGCAGACCCGTTCGTTGACAATTGAAAATAACCGTAAAGATAACAAAAAGCGAGAAAGAAATACGACTTGAAGGTTCATGTTCGATCCTAAATTTCGAGCTTACTTTCTATGATATTAACTATCTTCAGAGACCTCAATAGTAAGGCGCGGTGGCGCGGTCGTGGCGTTTGCCTCAATCTCCAACCAAGAAAGAGTTATGACAGAAGAAAGGCCTGAGCCATTGCTTTCGCAAATGGAAGCAACACAAAATTTCCATTGTTCCATCGCCAACCTCATGGAGGCTTGGCTGACTGAATGATGACAATGCGATACTTGTACGGCTCACAGTTTCAGCAAATATTTCTGGACCTATTACAAATACAGAAAAATATATTTTTGTACTATTTAGTCCTATTTTAATACTTCTTTGTGCGACTTCTAATAAAAAGGCTTCTCGAAATAGACTTGAATCTGAGAGTGCCCATAGATGAATGCCGATAGAGTACCTACTTTAGAGTAACGCGTACTGTGTAATTGGTCCCAACATTTTCTTCAGCCACAGTAAACGTGCAGTTCATGTCTACTTACATTACCAGGTACCGGTATATTGATGTAGTAGCTTCATCGTTGGTCCACCGTCCGTTTAAAATCATTTTACGACCACTACATCGCATAATCAGGGGGTGAGAGCTTTTTCAATATATGCGACGTGTACCACTTACGTCATTGACATCATTCCAAGGCGGGTTCATCCAGGATACGTAGGTCATTTGGCTTTTCCTTACCTGGCCTTTCTTTGCCCGGTCTTTCATATCTGGCGTATGTCTCTCGTGTGTATTTGGATCGTGGTCATTTTTCTGTCTAGTAGGGAATGTGCGTTTGATCACGTTACGTACGGACATTTAGTCCATCGCCTGTTCTGAACTGGCCTTTAGTGAAGAGTGAAGAACCCGTTGGAAGATACGGTCAAGTCATTTGTTCAGTTTCTGAACTTCAGTTTCTGCCATATATTTTAGGCTTAGTACCACATGTTCATTAAATCAAATTCTTCTTTGGGACATTGTGACTATTCTGGAAACCGGTATTGTAGCTTTTCAAAGATCCTACACCTTCTCATAAATTTTGAAACAACCTTTTTTTGCAATACTTTCAAACGATTAAAATTACGAAGATGAAGCTACTACTGCAACTTGTTGCATTGATAGCCTTGAACGCTACATATGCAGTAGCGGCCGTTAGCCCTGCAGAAACTCCCGAATGGCTATGGTTAGGCTGTGGCAAAGGAAAAGGAAACTGTGGTGTCTACGAAGACTTCCAGGTGGAAGCATCGGCGACTCACGAGCTCCGCTGTTGTTCATCTGTTGAAGTATCAGGCTGGACGAAGCAGAACGGATGTGATATCTGGGCTCAATCTGATCTCATTGGAGAGGATGGCCGCGTACAATGCTTCCATGATGTGACCTACGCTGAAGCACTAGACATCTGTGCCCTAAACGGCGGATATGTTTGCACCAAAGATCAAGTTGACGCTGGCTGCACTCGGAGTTCTGGATGCGGTCACGATGCAGATCTCATTTGGACTGATGCGGAAGCTCCAGCCCGTATCATGCCAGAACTCCCTTATCAAGAACCTGTTGACCCCGAGGAATGGTTGTATCTAGAATGTGGCAAAGGAGAAGGCCAATGTGGAACTGTGGATACCAGTGCGCAGGCAAAAGATAAGCACGAAGTCCGTTGCTGTTCTGATATTCCCTTGCCTGGCTGGATGCGCTCATCCGGTTGTGAGAACTGGCATGAATCCGAACTCATTGCTCTTGATGGTTCTTCTGGTACCTGTTTCCACGAATCTTCTTACGCTGAGGCGCAAGCAATCTGCAAAAAGAATGATGCATATGTCTGCACCCAAGAACAAGTGAAATCTGGATGCGTTAAAGGTGAGCTATTCTAACGGAGTGATCGAGTTGTTCTTCCCGTCTTTTTGCTCACTCTGTCACTCTTTTCTTCCACAGGATCTGGATGTGGTCACGATTCCGATCTCATTTGGACCTCTACTGGTCCCGCTCCTGCTAGAACACCGTTGCCTGCCCCTGCTGCCGTTGCCAGCGATTCCCATCTTTTCATTGCATGCGGAGCTGGAATCAATGGCTGTGGAGGTGCAAAACACTCCCTTGGCGTTGCAAAAGCCAATGAGCAACACGAAGTGCGATGCTGTTCCCCCTACTCTTTGCCCGGTTGGTTGAAAGGAGGTGGCTGCAACAGCTACGCTCAATCTAAGTTATCAGGTGATCAGTGCTTTCATGCTTCAACATACGCCGAGGCACAAGACATCTGCCACGAAAACTTGGCTTATGTTTGCTCGATGAGCGAAGTCTTGGACGGTTGCACCAAAGGTGAGTGAATCTTGTTTGTTTCAAGCGAAGTCGACTTGTTTCTCACCAATTCCTTTGTCCTCCACCTCAACTTCTTGACAACTGTAGGTACCGGATGTAGCCATGATTCTGACTTTGTTTGGACCAGCACACCCGCTAACGCCGAAGCCGTTGCTGCTTACAAGGTCAAGATGACCCAAGCAGCTGCTATATCTGGCGTCTGCGTCGGAACCAAAGCAAGAGTTTCTGGAGACCCTCATTTCACTACTTTCGACAAGTTGAAATATGACTGCCAAGGTCATGGAGAATTCGTGATTGCCATGTCGAAGGGAAGCGACCCACTTGCAATCCATGGACGCTTTGTTCGTGTGCGAGAATCCAAAGCAAAGCCAACTGTCACCAAATCTGTGGCCATCAAGGTCGTTGAAGAAGTTCCAATTATCCAAGTGACTGCTCCTCCACAAAAGATCGACGGCAAGTGCCCTGTCACCTTTACTGTCGGCAAGGAAGAAACTCCTACCGAGGATATCGTTTCCTTTGTCAATGCGAACTACAATGGAACCGTGAACATCTTTTCCAACGGCAGGAACATCATCTTCACTTATCCCGGTGCCAGTGCTCGTGTCCAAATCACTGCCGGTGGCGGTGGAAACAGATGTGTTTTAAACACCAACCTTTGTCTCACTCCCGAGGCTCATGGTGGAGCCGAGAACATTGTCGGGCTTCTTGGCTCTCCCGATGGCGTGAAAGAAAACGATTGGATGACCCGGGACGGAAGTTTCGTTCCGCTACCAGAGGTCTGCACCATTCCCGACCCAACCAACTCTGAAACCAAAGAATGTAAGAAGGCTAGGAACAAGGGAGGTCATGAATGGTGCGTGGACAACTGGTGCATCGGACATGCGGACAACTCTCTTTGGAGTGAGGAGTCACATGCAGAGTACAACGAGTGTGATAATCGTGAGCCAGATGGATTCTTTGATGATATTGACGATGTCGATCCTGCAATCGTTGAGGCCTGTGAAGGTACTGAGGATCCAGATGGTTGTGTCTTGGATACCGCCATTGCTGTTGAGGAAGGCGAAAATGTGACCGAATTCGTGCAGACGATCTTGGAAGAGGACGAGGATTCAAACTTTGTCGAGAAGCTCGACGAGTTAGATCCATCAGAAGCCCTTGATGATTGGGATGGGCCCGTCCTGAGCGCTGCCAGCGCTGTTGAAATTGAAGTGCCTGATGACCTCCCTGAGACTGCCGACGAAGAAACTCCTTCTGATGCTTCGGACCCAGCTGATTCGCCTACTGATACTGCAGATATTCCGGACCAACCCGTTTCAGAGTCATCTGGCAGTCTCGGAGATCCTCACTGTAAGTTGCTCTGGTATATAATACAGTGTTGCGGAAGTAATACACGAACTCACATTATTTGCTTCTTTGCATCTTGAATTACAGTCAAGACATGGGTGGGAGAGCACTTTGAGTACCATGGACAGTGCGATATGGTTCTGACCAGGGACCACAACTTCGCTGACGGCCTTGGGTTGGAAGTCCAAATCCGAACCAAGCTCGTTCGTTTCTGGAGTTACATCAAGCGTGCTGCTATCCGTATCGGCGATGACATTCTCGAGATTGAAGGTTCTGCTGATCCAGAGGACCACGACTCCCGTTACTGGTTCAACTTCCAATATCAAGCTGGTGCTGCTTTCGTTGGTGGATTCCCTTTGAAGATTTCCAACAATGGCCTCCATAAGAGATTCTACGAAATCGATTTGAGCTCCAAATACCCTGGTCAAAAGATCGTGATCTCTTCCTACCGCGAATTTGTTCGTGTCGACTTCCAACGTACAACAGCTGAAGCATTTGGTAACGTTGTTGGTATGATGGGTGATTTCAAAACTGGAAACCTTCTTGCTCGTGATGGTGTCAAGGAGATCCATGATTTCTTGGAATTTGGAAACGAATGGCAACTCCTCCCTGCGGACGACATGCTATTCCATGACAAGGCTGAACCTCAATTCCCCAAGCGCTGCATTGTCCCTGAAGATCCTCAAGGACAACGCCGTAGACGACTTGACGAATCCACTATTACAATGGAAGAGGCTGAAGCTGCGTGCTCCAAGGTTGTTGGTGATGCCTTGGACATCAAGGACTGTGTTTACGACATCTTGGCCACCCAAGACTTGAACATGGTCGGGGCCTTTTAGAAGCTGAAACGAAACATAGCATTACATATAAAGCAATATTATAAAAATATTGTGATTTTCCGAAGTCGTGTTGCGATAGTGTTTTTTTTCTTTTTTTCCCCAAAACAAAAACACCATACCCCCGTAGTTCATGAGATAGCATCGTTCGTTCTCAATACCGCAGCAAACAAGACAAGAAAGGTGTCGATATAGCTTCGTCTTTATCTGCTTGTTATTCTGATGTATGTAGTTTGTATGGATTTGGTGAAAAAGTCTTCATTTATGCCCCATAAGGGTCCATTTTCATCGTCGTTCCATAGTCATTGATCGATTGACAATGACGGTGCGGTCGATTCGCCTTTCGATGGCATCGCAACGGTGCCAATGTCATCTTTATGATATGAGTGAAGACTTGGCAAAGTGACTTTGTCGTTGTACTCGTGGTTGTGGTGTTGGAGCTGCTTGATGTTTCGGTATTTTCAACGCCGAATCTCACCTATTGTTTCGTTTCTCATGTTGCAGCATGCCAACGTATTCTCTGCCAGGGAGGAGCAAGGGCAATTGGCAACACAACGCCATCAAGAACGTGCTTACATTGAGGAGCAAGCTCATGTTCCAAGACGTTGCGGAGGATATGCAATTTCAGCAAAACTTGTACAACGTACTGCCATCCACAAGGCATTTGAATACTTTCAAGACGAAACCTGGGACTTTGGCTACAAATCGGGCAAACGAATAGACAGTGCAGCTCTCAAACGGAGTTTGAATGAAGTGAGAGATATAACTGGTTATGATGTTCCTTGGCGACAGTTTCGTGATTGGCTGACATACTATCTTCAGTTTGGCCATCTCCCATCTCGAAAGAAAGCTTGGAAGGGAGAGCAAGGCCGATCAAAGCGATTGACGACAAAGATTTGCTCATGATTATGACAGTAATAGCACTGTTCATTTGGCGGCAGCAACACTGATCTTAGCGGTAAGGTGCCAAACTATTGAGTAAAGACATAAATAGCAAAGTTGATTACAACAAACTACAGCTGCTGAAACGGGTTCACCCTTACTTGTTTTTCATCCAAACAAAAAACAGCTTTTAGAGTTTCAATGACATTTTCGTCCATTGTCTTGCTGATTCCTCTGTGTCATTTTCAGACGAAGAAGAGAGCTATGACACCTTTTAGCACTACGTGCTCTTCGTCTTCCAGATGATCTTCGAGACATGCTGCAACATGAGAAACGAAACAATAGGTGAGATTCGGCGTTGAAAATACCGAAACATCAAGCAGCTCCAACACCACAACCACGAGTACAACGACAAAGTCACTTTGCCAAGTCTTCACTCATATCATAAAGATGACATTGGCACCGTTGCGATGCCATCGAAAGGCGAATCGACCGCACCGTCATTGTCAATCGATCAATGACTATGGAACGACGATGAAAATGGACCCTTATGGGGCATAAATGAAGACTTTTTCACCAAATCCATACAAACTACATACATCAGAATAACAAGCAGATAAAGACGAAGCTATCGACACCTTTCTTGTCTTGTTTGCTGCGGTATTGAGAACGAACGATGCTATCTCATGAACTACGGGGGTATGGTGTTTTTGTTTTGGGGAAAAAAAGAAAAAAAACACTATCAACACTATACGACTTCGGAAAATCACAATATATGATACGAATACGAATTGCTTTGTCCTACCTATATTTGCAATGCAATAATTTTGCTTGCTACAAGTAGACATAATATATAGTATCGATATTTTATAAAATGCTTTGATACATACGCTCGTTCGACTTATCTGACTGCGTGTTTGATTGATGATCATACAACGAAATTTCGAACACAAAATATAGCAGTAAAACAAACGATCAAAAGATTGTTTCCGATTGGCAATCACTGGGACAATTCATTGCTGTATTCCTTCTACGGTCGATCACATCAAAGTCAAAACATGGTGAAAGCCTGTCATAGCAGTTCAGCGGCATTGCTTTCGCTTTTCTTCTATTGTGTTCTGTTCCTTCATTTTCATCTATTCCATGAGACCAACAACGAAATGGAAAATCCTCGGCGATATACCTCTAGTCTTTTCTATAAAGACGCAGCTCAAGGTACTATACGTTGTTTTCTTCTTGTTTTCCCTGATGTCTCATCTCACAGACCTTTTCAGCCACACCAATAACGACGGACCCCGACCAACATCTAACTCCAAACGACGACGGGCCAAACTCATCCAGTGATGCTGCCACTTCAGCTATACCTCCAAGTGGTCTAGATGAAGGTTCGTTTGTCATGCACGATTCCATTCAAACCCCTTTCTTTATTGGTGCCGGGCTGGGAACTACCGGCACGACAGCAGTGTACAATGCCATGTGTTTACTTGGCTTTCCATCCGTTCATTTTCGGCGCAGCTGCATCCACCCACCAATGATGTCCAATGGCAGCGGCCATACAATGGCTTTCAACAGAGTCAACGATTCCGTAAATGTTTTTCACTTTGCTAGAGGTCGGTCTGGTAAGAGCATGAACCAACTCCAGATGGAGGCTGCCGAAAAGATGTTATTGGTAGAAGAGGGCCTTTCGGCCCATACACGACTACTCAAATCATGGCGATCTTTGCGAGTATGTGCCAGAAGAAGCCGACAGCAGCGAGAAGATATATTGTCCAATTTTAGCTCGTCGCGACTACGGGGAGGATGTTCTAACTTTACTGGCATTGTAGACAACTTGAATCAGCATGCTTCTCAAGTTGTAGCAAGTGGACTCGCTTTTGTAACGGATACGCCTTATCCATTCTTGATCAACTTTTTGAGCCAAGTCGCTCTCAAACACCGTCCTAATACAGTAATCATCTTGACCGAGCGAGATCCCGAAGCTTGGGTGAAAAGCCGACTACGCCACCACAATGGCGAATCGGATCTCATGTGCTTTGAAACTACTGCAATAGCCGCCGCCTTTGATTTGCAAGAGTGTTTGAAACGAAACGAAAACCTACAGCAGCTATCAACTGAAAGCAGTGATACAACAATGTCAAAGCGACACTATCATGTTCAGAATCTTGCCTTTCAACATTCGGAAATTATTGGTGACAAGAACAACTACTACTCGGCAGCAGAAAAGGACTACTACCGTTCCTTTCTCGCAAAGGCGGTGAAGCAGCACCATGCTCGTATCAAAACCAACAAGAACATGACGGCATTGAATTGGCCAACCATTGTCATCAATCTTTGGGCCGAAGATTTTCCAACGGTACCGGACTTGGCTCAAGCTCTCTGGAAACGAATGAAACCAATATTGCCTCCCGAAATCCTTTTACAATATGAAAATGCAACCCCATTGCAAAGCCTTCGACGCTAAAATGGACAGAGTGAGGGCAAACTCATTTGAGACTGTTGACGGTTCGGGGCAAACCTAATGGTCGGAAAACGTAACCCTAATAATAGTTCACATTTTTATTCACTATCACAAGAGAAAATAGGTCTCCTTAAAATCCATAAAATTCGCATGGCTATACCAAACCGCCCTGCACCAGTACTGTGCAGTTCCAATTAAATCAAATCACAGCGAGTTCTTCATCATGGGCATAGTCATTTCAAACATTAGTGTCGTCGTCGTCATCTTCCTCAATATCCAAATAAGAGTTTCATAACACTGAATTCATCAACTCATGGATTGATTTCAGCAACCCTATTCTGACTCCACTGGCACGAACCGCATGCCGACAGCCTCACAAGCGAAAATGACTCTACGACATGTAAAGTCCAAGAATTGTGATGAGCAGTCCATGAACGAATTGTGACGATGCGAACGACAACATTGATGTTGCTTCCGAGTCAGCAGTACCCTCGTTCGTTCCATCATCACTCGTGACATTGGGATTGTTAAACATGACGGTGCCTTCTGTCAAACCAAAAACTGTTTGACAAGGATCGTTATCCGAGGGATTTGGAAACGCTTGATTGTGCGCCATGATCAAGGGTGGTCCTTCGCCACCGTCGGTCGACAATGCCAAAACAGTAGCGTTCAAGACGGCTCGGAACCCAAATTCTACATCGGAATCGTATCCTTTGACACAGGTCGCGCAACTACCAACCGAGCGAGCCAAGTCGATCACCAATTGTTTGGAAGTCTCCGTCAATCGGTATCCTCGAGTGTATCTGGCATCCGCATCACTTGTGGTGGTCGGATCCGTCAACACTTCAAATTCCGAATTGTAGCAAATGGGAGTATCCACCAGACAATGAACCGAATGTTCAAAGGGTTCTTTCAATGTCTCTCTTCCAGTGTCAATCATGTTCACGGAATCAATGCAAAACTTGTCCATGATGTATCCTTGCACACACAAATTGTCCCCAATTTCTAGGGCCCAATTTCCAGGACTTCTGAATAAGGAGGCCAGAAGTATAAGCATCGTCGACGATCGTGACATCATGGTAGCAAATGCAATAGGGTTGTATAGGGTTGAATGGAAGCTGTGAATTTGAATGCGATGTCTTCAACAATATACGATGACGATGATCGGATGATGTATGATGTATATTATATATGGCGGTACAGTATACGGCCGGTGCAAGTTATATTCTGTGAGAATGAATGCGATGAGATATTTTATAATGACTATATGCATGCCCAAAGCTTGATGGTTCGAGGGGGTCGAAGATATATGACCGGAAAGAAAAATTCAAAATGACCCGCATATACGCGCGCACCACGCACACTGTACACATTTTCACCACAATAAAAGACATAAACGACATATAGAATGCATCCACCATATTAGACATCATCACTACAATCACCATGCAACTGCACTACAGATAGCGTCAAATAGCGTCAAATAGCGTCGTTCCTCTCTATTCAAATCCCACATACAACTGAAGAAATGCATCGCCCATTTCCCAAAGCCGCTATCACCCTTCTCACCATTATACTTGGCCTGAGATTCTCGACACTCTTGTCATATTTTCAATTGGAAGCATCAGGAGCATCATCATATTCAAATGATTGGTACAATCAATACTACACTCCTCTTTCCAATGGATTTGCTAACATACCAACAGTCCTCATGAATGCCGGTGGTGCTGGCCTGATTGGGCCCTCTTTGAAATCGCTTTCGGAACGAGCCGTTGCAAAAAGTCCAAGTAGTAGCAGTAGTAATAGTAGACCCAACAGCAACAGCAACAACAACAAGTCCACAAGAAAACGAAGATTATTGCTGGGAATATCGACCAAAGACTATCTAGACAAGGCAGAGCGTCAACATCGTCGCATCATTCGAGATACTTGGCTACAACAAAACTTTCATGACGACGGCGATCCATCATCATTATCCGAATATTCATCCCACAATAAGGTATGCTCCCTGCACAAATTGCTCCAGTCTACTGTTCAAGAGGACTGTCAATTGGTCTACACCTTTCTATTTCCCAACAAGGACAATCAAAGGATTACCAATGTTGAGGAGCTATTGGACGTTTATAATCACCAGGGCAATCATAATGAGACCCAAGAAAGCAAGCACGATGCCTTTTTTATTTCCGTTGACAATCCCAAGAATCATTATGATGTTTTGTTGCAATGGACCCAATTGGTGGTACAGTTATCATCGCAGAGAAGATCGCTCCTTGGTAGTTTTGATTATGTTGGATTTGCTACCACTCAAGCCATGATGTTTCCACAACGCTTCTGGAAGGAAAATAGTGGCATCTTTCAATCGACTTTGCCTCATGAATCCATGGTGGCTGGGATGCCGCTTATCAAGGAAAAAGAAGGTGATGATGATGACTCAAAGGAGGATTTTGTCACACAATGTGGCAAGTCGTTCTGTCTGGATCCTAATTTCTTGTGCTTTTCCCGAGACGTCATCCAGCATTTCGCCACTGCCAAAGTATTGAGCTTTGATACCACGATGCAAGAGGATGGGGATGCGGCTAGCCTGGCATCTTCGAAATTGTTTCAACATTTTCAAGACTACAAAGCAAGTACTGGATCCGGAATATCGTGGAAGAAACTCGTTGGTGTGCAGCGAGCATTCAAAGCTCCAGAAAGGGTGATTTCGGTTTGGGACGAGTACGTTGCGACTATTACCGACTATCGACGAGTTTCGATTGAGAAGAAGAACCTACTGCGGCCACAAGAAGAAGAAGAAGAAGAAGAATACCAGCATGCTCCTGTAATCGACTATGAAGGAAATCCACGCATGCTGGTAGGAATCTTTACCACCAATCTCAAACCAATTGAACGAAAGCGGCGGAATGCTTTGAGGCAGACTTTCATCAAATCCTATGACCATACTCCCACACCCCATCGCATTTGCAGTTTACAAGAACTGTTGAAAAAGAAGGTTTCGGAAGAAGACTGTCAGTTGGCGTACACCTTTGTGGTCGGAGCTGGAAAGAAGAATCAGGCACCAATGGTCAATGTCAATGCCAACCACGCGGATGAAATGGTCATTCCAAGCAGCCAAATCACAGAACCAGAACCGGACGTCTTATATTTAAATATTCGAGAGAATATGAACGATGGAAAGTCCGAAACGTGGTTCAAGTATGCGACGCTTTTGGCCGAGAATCAGTTTTACTTTGATTACATTACCAAAATGGACACCGACACCCTTCTGCATCCGTATCCATTGTTCGAGAAAATGTCCAAGTGGCCCAAATATCCCAACAATGTTCATGTTTATGGTGGGCATTATGTGGTGAAGCAAGATGCTGCTCAAGGAAAAGTGACAGTATTAGGAACCAGTTACATGGACGGGCCCATGTATTGGCTGTCCCCCGATGTGGCACGGTTCATTTCCGATCCCAACCGATGCAACCATACGGAATTGAGGACGCATGCCGAAGACATGTCGATCGGAAACTATGTGAACTCGTTTCCGTATCCCATTCATCGTCTGACGCTGAGCAATAAATGTTATACGCATCCATTGAAGAGTTTGGAACATTACCGAAAGCGATGGAAACGATACAAGACAAAGTTCAAAGAGTTTCATCCATAATAGATAGAGGAAGGAAAGTTGTTATTTGAAAATGGTCTATGATACTTGATGCATTAAAATACCTATTCTACCTATTCCTACAAGATCGCACATGGATTGGCAACCTTTATGCCAATAGTCGACGTTGGATTGACGCCATCTATGCCATTGGTGGAGGTTCCACAACGCCGCCATCTGGCGTCGAAAATTGGGCTGCAGGTGCTTTGTGGACTCTAATGTATGCAAAGGCGAGAGCAGCCCCAAGCAAGGCACCACAGATGCCCGCAATCAAACCAAAGGCATTTGTTGACTCCGGAGGACTTTCGACGGGACCGTTGTATTCTGGTTGGTTTACAGAGCTTTGTCCTTTATTTCCGGGATGACATTTGGAGGGATCTGAAATGCAATCGGGGTTGTATCCCCCACAACCACAGTGCTCTTCCGCGTATTTTTGCAGTGGTCCACACAAATAAGCAGGGACGAGACCGTGGCGACCGCGATCGTAATAGGCGGCGCAACTAAAAGTGCCAAGATATCGTGTTGAGAATGTATAATGAGGCAAACCTGGGTATTCCTTTGAAATGGATGGAATTGTGGTATGAGAAACTGCCAAAGGAAAGTCGAACTGAACTGCTGGCGGAACGACTAGACTACTTACATCGGTGCCACATAATTTACAGCTAGGCTCGTCTCCCGTCTCCCCCATGTAAACTGGGGCGAGTGTTGGTCCGGTGTAACAAAGGCTTAGATCACCATCGCCGCAGCAAATCTCTTGGTACTTGGCCCGATTCGCATTGCAGGTTTCTAGGTCTTCAGCAATTAAAATACTCTTGTACACATCAAAACATGTCGTTCCAGTTTCATCTAGCATGCAATCCTTGGATGACCCCAACGAGTCTGGGACACCACACAAGAAGCACGGAACCAGTGCTTCGACGTTCGGCGTCAATGATTGAGCTAGCCCAATACTGATTAGAAGATGTAATACATAATTCATGATGGTCGTACGCAATGCAGTCTATCTAGAGTCGCTTTTGTTGGAAATGACTATAATAGGGAACTTCATCGATAGCTGCAAAGGTTTTCTCGTAAACATGGCCGTTGCGTGAGCGATGGTTCAAAAATGTAACACAAAATGTGGGTTGCAGTTGAAAAAACCTCAGAACGGATGACACGCGTAGATTCGGTACTTTTGTAGCGTTTCACATGTATGAAATAAATTGTTTTAGCGAAGCACACGCAATAAACTAAAACTCGTGATGTCAAATCAAAACCCGAAAGTGACAGACAAGTCAAATGAAAACCTGAAGGACCTTCGAGGTGGAAAGTCTCCTCTCTGTGTCGCTGCTCGTTTACATACACGCGTACACGTGTACGTACAATGTGTGCTCACACCATTTTGGAACCGAAACAGGAGTGTACGTGTGCAGTGAGTGTGCAGTGTGCAGTGTACAGCACACTTTGAAACTCCTTTTTATATAGTTAGAGGTTGTGCAATAGTGATACTAGTATGTCGGTAGAGAGGTACTAGGTAGGTTCCACGAAGAGCAAAATAGGTGCTAACGGCCATATTGCAATTGCTGCTCCAATCTCGCAAGACAAGAATATGGATCCGCAGAGAAACCTTCAAACAAGTACCGTAGTCGATTGTCCCTCTTGATCTTGTGATCATAATGAGTCTTATATATGTAATATTGGTATTTAAAATAATATAATGTGTGTATGATGCAGTGTACCGGTATATATTTCGTTTCAAACTATCTCCTCCATCCGCTCCACAGGTCGAGTCAGCACGTCATAAACAGTTAAAGGCATTGCTGTTGTTAAATAAAAGTAGGTCAAATAATTGCTTGCTACTTCCTTGAGGAAATAATAAGATTTTTTATATTTTGTTTGTTGCATGCGCCATCGCGTTGCACATACTGTATATATCCACCTGCATATATGCGTGCTATGTTATCATCATTCATTTTGACTGAGCACAAGACACCAATAGTACCTACTGTATACTAATAAGACAATAGCAAATTAACAATGGACGTTCCGGAAGAAGATGACGTTCAGATCTCCAAGCGTCAGGCCATTCAGGCAATCATGAAAGATACGTCATTGTTACCTCAGGAGAAACAACAAAAGATTCAAGAGTTCATGGCAGGAGGAGCAAAGACAGAAGAATCCGCAAAGGCGGCGGAATGTATACCATTATCTCGACAGGATGATTCCTCGTCGTCAATGGAGACGAAACAAATGAAAGTTGTATCAACCATGTCAGGGTCAAATGTTTCAGATTCAACACCTCAACCGCCATACGCAGCACCACGGGCAACTTCTGAACATGTCGGCTCGGAAGCTAGCGCCGGCGTACCACGCTCAAACTTGGCATCAATTAGTCCACCTAGATCACCTATGCATCCTGGTGGTGATGAGTGTCCATCTCGACAGGAATTGGTTAGAGAGATCATGAACAATATCTCCTTGACAACACAAGAGAAGCAACAAAAAGTCCGCGATATGATGGCTAGTGCTAGTGCTGCAGCACCATCTCACCCGTCAACAGCAAGAATATCCAGAAGATCAATGCAAATGCCATTTGCCCCATTGAGTGCTGGAGCAGGTTCCGTTAGAAGAAGCTTCCAAGTCCCGTCATCTCCACTTGTGGGAGCTTCTTCGGCATCTGGAAGTGCTGCCGATCCGGCGGCTCGCAAAATGGCACGACAATTAGCAGCTGCATCAGCTCGACTGTCTCTTCAGGTTCCCATGCAAAGTCCTACCCGATCAAGAGAGGCCAGCCTTCCTCCAGCTCCTGCTCTTGAGGACGCCGAGAATGAAGATAATAGTGAAGGACTCAAACCGAAATCTCGTCAAGACTTGGTCAGAGCGATAATGCAAGATTCCTCCTTGGCTGCTCAAGAAAAACAACAGAAAGTTCGGGATATCATGTCAAGTGGGACACCATCGACACCAACAGGTCCGTCCGCAAGAAGATCGTTGAATATGCAATCAGCTCCGATGAGTGCACCTTCTGCGAGGCGATCCCTGCAAGTGCCATCTTCTCCATTGGTCGGAGCTGCTGCCGTGTCAACGGGAGCAATCGACCCAGCAGCTCGTAAAATGGCAAGAGCGTCAGCTCGAGGAAGCATTTCTTCACCCCTAGTGTCACCAGAAGGACGAAAGTCAGTTGGACACAGATTGTCGCTTCAGGCTCCCATGCAAGCGCTGCCTGGAGGAGGCGTTCGGAAATCTCTTGAATCAGTCCCTCATGCGCCGCCTCTTGACAATAGTGAAGAACGCGAACCAAAATCTCGCCAAGACTTGGTCAGAGAGGTAATGAAAGACTCTTCCTTGACTGCACAAGAAAAGCAGCAAAAGGTTCGGGATATCATGTCAAGCGGGGCACCATCAACACCAACAGGTCCGTCCACGAGAAGGTCATTGAAAATGGAGTCGGCTCCTACGAGTGCACCGTCTACGAGACGTTCCTTGCATGTGCCATCTTCTCCATTGGTCGGAGCTGCTGCCGTATCCACGGGAGCAATCGACCCAGCAGCTCGCAAAATGGCACGCGAGGCTTCTCGTTCTTCGCCCCTATTGTCGCCAGGACGCAAGAAGTCGGTTCAGTCTTCCATGCAATCACCAGGCTCGGCGACAGCAAGAACGCCGCTTCAGGCTCCCATGCAATCGCCAGGTGCAGCTAGAAGATCATTGATTCCTCCCGCTCCTCCAATTATGGAAGAGGAAGATGGAGAAGAAGATTCACCCAAATTGTCTCGGCAGGACATGGTCAAACAAATAATGTCAGACTCGTCCTTGTCAACCCAAGAGAAGCAAGCAAAGGTTCGAGATGTCATGTCGCAGAAACCATCGGTCGATGCCAATTCAAATGCAACGCTGCACAATTCTAGAAGCTCACTGCAAATTCCGCCAATGTCTCCTCTGCAAGAAGACGTCCAGGCCAAGTTGGGCGATGGAGAAGATATACAGGATGGACTCATTTCCGATGAGGCATCGTCTGGTTCTAAAAGGAATTCGAATGCCCAAGTTGGTGCCGCGTTGGTTGGCGCTGCTGCGGTGGGTGCTGCCTCGGCACCATCGATAGACCCCGCCACTCGAAAACTCCAACGAGAATCCAGTCGAAACCAAACGTCGGGATCTAATCAAAGCCGTCGAAGCTTGAACGTTTCAGGACATGGGTCCGTTGGTTCTTCGAAAAGCTTGCTTCGTAATTCGAATCATGGCCAACGGGCACCAGCTCCGGACGCGATGAGGCAATCGATGATTCAATCAGTGAGGCAAGACCGAGAGCTCACCGAAGAAGAGAAAGAGGAACAAATTCATGAGATAGTTTCTGGAAATGCTGGTATGGGTGTCGTATCAACCGAGTCATATCAGCTCTCAAGTCGTCATCCAACCGCAAATTCCGAACTTGAAGTCGACGATGAGTCAGCAAAGCCAGAGATGGACGAGAACGGGGAAGAACCGGAAGTTGTTATTGATGCTGATGAAGGAGGAGGCGCGACATCACAAGTTCCTGCCGAGGTTGCGGTATGTATTACACATGACCAGTACTATTGTTTATCCACTCTGGCTAACTATATCTTGTTTCCACAGGCATTCGTGGCAAATCAGGATTTCGCCAGAAATGCTGTCATTCCTACCGATGTAGTTACAACAGATGACATTGAGGAGGAGGAGGATCTTCGGAAACGAAGGTTTTTGTGGGCTGGGTGCTGTTGCTTCTGCATGTTGATCATCGCAATCGTTGTGCCATTAGTTGCTCTTGCACCCGAAAAAGATTCTGCCATCGTGTTGGAACAAGAGCCTAGTGCAGCACCGTCCCTGTTCCCAACACAGGCGCCATCGGCCCCACCAACTCCCGGTGCAGTTTTGGAACTTCTTTTGGAGCTTGAAGCTCTCTATCCGAGCTACGATGACTATTTGCAGGCATTCAATAGCAGCGAGACGATTCAGTATAAAGCACTCTATTGGGCAACCAGCGAAGGGAATCAAGGTGGCCTCTCAGGCTTCGATCCTCGTATGGTCAGTCGATTTGCCCTTGCAACTTTCTACTTTGCTACAAACGGTGATGGCTGGGTACGATGCCAACGCGATGGTACGAATTGCGACCCCGGTGCAGAGTGGCTATTAGCTGATGACGAGTGCGGTTGGCTGGCAATTGCCTGTGCTGACGGCACAACTGATGTCACCCAGATTTTTTTCCGTAAGTTGATTTGTTGGATTAATCTTTCGGCGTCTTCTCTTCTAACTTTGACTCTATGATGACGCAGCCCCTACCGGACAAGCTGGTGAAAACAATGTTGCAGGTACCTTACCTTTTGAATTGTCGTTCTTGACAGATTTGACAAGAATCACCATATCACGGAACAATATCGGTGGTTCTATCCCCGCGTGGACTGATTTGACAAAGCTCGAAGCAGTCATTTTGAGCGAGAATCAACTTACGGGAGAATTGCCGTCGTCCTTGATCAACAATAATCAAAATCTGCGCCAGATTAGGCTCCAAGGCAATCAGATCTCGCAGTTACCGCAAGATCCAATTCGGTCTTCAGGCTTGACTCTACTGGATCTTCAGAACAATGCTTTGTCAGGCCCAATACCTGAAGGGATTCAAGGCTTGAGTGCTTTGCGTAAGTCAATCAAATTGTTGATGCAATCAATGACAAGAAGATCTTTTCCAACGCCGTACTTTTGCACCCCACAGAAACACTTGACCTTCGAGGGAATAGTTTGAATAGCACGGTACCTGAAGGGCTATTTCAAATAGACTCTCTGAGGAATCTCTATTTGGCTGACAATGCGCTCTCTGGTAATATCTCGGCATCTTTCGAGTTGCTGACCAGTATTCGTAAGTATCGGTTGTGCCCACTGAATCGTTTACCCGTCTTGGATCTTTGGAATACTAACATTCAACGATTCGATTGTAGGGAGAATGGAATTGGCTGGCAACAACTTGACCGGTGAAATTCCAGCCGGATTATGTGCATTCAAGACAGACCCTGGTGATCTATCCTTTTTGACCGCTGATTGCGACAAAGTAATTTGCGCTTGTTGCGACAATGATTGTTCTGCATAGTCTATCTGGCTTGCTGAAAATACGATCTTGTTGTTATTTTGGAGACCCGTATTTTCTCAAGTATTTCTTCCAGTGCTTTTTGAATGCCCAAATCTCCTTTAGTGGGTGGGCATAGCACTTTCTGCTGAGACGCTCCCGATGTATCGGAAGTGGATGGGAGTTAACGTAGTTTCCAATTGTCATGTCTTCTGCTTTCGTACGAAGCATTTTCCGATCGCACTGAGCTGGATCAGTAATGAAGCGAATGAGATCAGGCGAAAGCCAATACAGAAAACCATTCATGTATGCAGCACCAACGATCTTTTTGGTGTAGGAGTCACTATGTATACCGTCTCTCTTGATGTTGTATTCTCCTCCATATACCCTGACATTGTTTGGGAATCGTGGCCACTTGACCATCTTCTCAAGAAACGGAATCGGAAAGGCGACGGTATCAGTATCCATCTTGGCAACATAATCAAAGTAATGCGTCTGGGTCACCAGCAGCGCATATCGAAGCCACGTTTCGGACTTGCCATCGTTCATGTTTTCCTTAATATTTAGAACAGTCACATCCGATTCGTTATGATGAATGTCATTGTTTTCCAGAATCATGGACTTGATGTCATTGGTCTCCACCAATTCCGTCGGGCCAGTGCTACTGCCCCCAATCACAAACGTATAGGCCAGTTGGCATTCCTCTTCTGGCACCATTCCTTTCAGTATTTCACCGAGTTCACATATCCGATATGGTGTTTTGCTGTTACGAAAGGATGTCAAGAAGGTTTCTCGAACAATTTGACGCCGTTCCCGTTCAATCTTCTTCTTGCTCGTGCTGAATATACCCACCAAGATCCTTGGTAGTCCACGAAAGGTGGTGACATTGGCGGAACTGGATCGAACAATAGCAGCCTCTTGCTCGTCGGAAAATTCAGTAAACGAATAAATATATTGATCCCAATCGTATAGCGCCACCTCGGATTCATCTGATACTGGAGCCACCCCCTTGATGTAAACCAACGAAACATAGCTTTCTCCAAGCTTGCCTTGTCGAATCTTAGACCACAGCTCCGATACCTTTATGCTTGTCGTCCCGCTGAATTCACTCAGCAAGTTGCTCGAGATGCAGATGAACCTCTTGTCTATACACTTTGGCTCGGAACACGTTTCATTGCCACTTGCCGGCAAAACTGCCACGGTGGAAGCTTGAGAACTTGGAAACAGCGGGTTCTCATTCCAAAAGATGCCAGGCAACAAAAATACTTCAGTGTTCAACATGGCTACATAGTCTATCTTCCCAAGTGATCCATTTGATATCAGTTCGGAAGACCACCCCATCCATCTATGCATTGCTTGTGTGGTATCGAGCTGGTTGTCTGCCTTGAGCAAAATGGAATCTGGTTCTTTAGATTTCTTGACTGTGCTTCCCAAACGAGATTCCTGATAGTTTTCAACCTTCGACTCGCTTTCGCCGTCTTGAAATACATAAGTATAGATCATCTGACAATCATCAAGGGCCTGTGCTTCCATTTTGACCGCCTCGTCCATGGAGCATATCCGATTGGTTGTGTTGAATTGTTCATGAAATTGAAGGTATGTCTGTCGAATGACACGGCGTCGCATACGTTCAGAGCGATTTCTAAAACTTGGACTGAAGATCCCAAGCAAGACTCGTGGTTTCGAAGATGCAAGTCTGATGGAAGCCGGAATATCAGCTTTCGCAAGCACATCGTCATTGGTGCCAGGAACTAGGAGCATTTTGGATAAATCCAAACTTTGGTCTGTGAACGCCAGAAAGAGAGACAATGCATTTAGGCTGAGAACTATGGTAATCGCTATAGCTCTGAGAAAGTTGAAAACTTTCATTGAACCTAGTGTCCTTGCATTATGTTTCATATTGTGAAAACGAGGAGTTGTTCATATCCGTTGAGGTATATTGCATGCGATGATATGCGATGCAATTTTTGAATGGCGACGATGCGGCGAGACTATATTATGTGCGATGTGACTGTGAAAATAAGGCTACCTCTGTACTTTCGTCACATTTTTTAACAAGAGATATAATGATCATGGCAAAGGTGCTGCCATTAATGCTATCATATGCTTTCAAAATTGTTGCTATACTAAAATTACAAGTATCTACATTGTGCTGTTTTGGTGGACTTTATGAGGATATCCGTCGTGCTGAGCCTGACAACGTAGCCACATGCTGGTTTCGACAAGAATCAGAGCTTGTGAAACTTCTTGAACTTTCGCTGGTAGCGTCCCCACCGTCTTTTAAAATGAGAAATGTCTTTGAATGGATGGTCATAGGTCTTGGGGCTCATCTTGAATCGATGAATCGTATGTGGGAAGGTGTTGACGTAATTGCCAATCGTCATGTCTTCCGCACTAGTCCTCAAGGCTGTTCGGTTACACCTTTCGGAATCGGTAATGAATCTAGCAATATCAGGCGACATCCAGTAGAATGGACCATTGAAGTAACTTGCTCCGACCAACAAATCTTTCCGGTTGTCTCCATCTCGTTTGACATTATACTCTCCCCCATAGATACGTCTGTTATTGGGATATTTGGGCCAATTCTCCATCTTTCCGAACAGTGGATGAGGGAACAATACCGTATCGGTGTCCATTTTGGCCATGTAGTCAAAATACAGCTGGTGTTCTACAATCAAGGACGCATATCGAAACCAAGTGTCTGTCTTCCCATCGTTCATGTTCTCTTTAATGTTCAAATACAAGACATCTGGTTCTGGTTTCTCCATTTTGTCCCGTGGAATGGCAATCAAGTCCAAATCATCCGTATCAACTTGTTCGGTAGGAGCACTACTGTTGGCCCCGACCACAAAGGTGTAGGCAAACTGACAGTCTTCTGGTTCCACTTTTTTCTTGAGCAAGTCTTGCAAGCTACAGATTCGATGGGGCGTTTTGCTCTTCTTGTAGGCACCCAAGTATGATTTTCGTATCGTGTCTCGTCGTTTGCGTTCAATAGGCTTGAGATTGGTGGTGAAGATTCCCACCAGAATTCGGGCATTTCCATTGTACGTCGTGACATTGGCATGGTGGAAGTCTTCTTTGTCCACAGACGTGTCTTCGCCAGTAGTAGAGTCGGCAATCGATGAGATGTAACTCTCCCACTTGTTAATCATTCGTTCCGGTTCACCATAGATGTTGCGCACTCCTTCTACCTCGAGCCATGAAACCTCGTTGCCACTGGACTCTTCGTACTTTTTCACATTTTGAAGCAGGTTCGGACCCACACCGCCTCCGACAGTTCCAGGGGGTTCCGAGTATGCTAGATATGTGGCAAGGTCCTGAGAAAGGCATGTGAATCTATGATCAAAGCAGAAGGAATCTTGACAGTCTTCCCCGCTTTTCTTGTTGGGCATTCCAGCAAACACAGAAGGTTGATAGTTTTGGAAGATGGTGTTCTGACCCCAAAACTCATGGGGATAGACAATGGTGCTGATGTCGATATACGCCAGATAGTCAAATTGTCCCAGCGACGATTCGCCAATGGCACCTTGAATTGCGGTGGACCATTGAATCCATTTCATAATTCCTTCAAATTCGTCATTTGGCGATTTCAGCTTGAAGAAAACCGCATCTGATTCTTTGCTCTGTGTAGTCGTTTCCCCCGATGTATTTTTCAGAAAGTCTTTTATTGCTGAAGTTTTTGTCATTCTCTTTGAATTTGGGAAAAAGAAAGTGTACACCATCTGACAATCGTCAGGGTTCTGAACCGTTGACAGGAGTTCAGGAAGGGAACATATTCGATGATCTGCCGTACTGTTATGAGTTTGGTGAAATTGGAGGTAGGTCTGTCGAATGACACGCCGTCGTTTGCCTTCAATCTTTCTCTGGCCATTCTTGCTTGAAATACCGAGAAATACCCTCGGTTTCTTAGAAGCATTGGAAGACATTGCTGAATAATGCTCGTATACTGATGAATATAGCTTGTCTATGTTGACTCCTGCTACTACCTCAGTAGTCATGCCTGTCAAGGAAAAGGAGCTCAGACTGCAGACTGCAAGAATCATGGCTATCCTTCTGCATGGTCTCGTTGTTGATGAAGTCGTGTTGTCCATCTTATCTGTACCTATGCTTGGTCAGTGAGAGTTGTGTTTTTGTCGGAATACTGATGCATGGAGGATGATCGATGATGCGATATATGCGATTTGATGTGCGAAAAATATTTTATGAAATGAAAAACTGGACAAATTCGAAAATGACTGATTGGTTGGTCGCAGATGGAGAGATTGAAGACTCGAAGCAATTGGAGTTTATCCAGTTAGGGTCGGCACTAGAATTTTCTTTTAAGATACATGCCAATGAGGAGACGTTTGGTAGTCCTACTATTGCTTCTTAGCAAGTAGAAAGTTTGATTCCAAAATTCAATCATCGTCTGGAGTATATGGTACAGGTTGAACACAGATGCCTCTCAGAATATTTTCTCGACCAACTGGTTATTCGGCCCAAAACGGTTCGTCTTCGCAATTAATTATAGGGTTGCAGCGCGTTGGGTGTGACGCGTTTCGTCATGTTAGTCGACTTAGTCTGCCAAATTGTGGTAGTTTCCTGCCTTCCTGAAAAAAAGCGACCTTATTATTGTCCATCCAAAGCCCTTTTTCCAAGCATCTTCTAATTTAATTCATCAGTTAATTCATCAGCACAGTATAGTACTGTTGAACTTACTTTACCCAATCACCTCCATGTTTCCTTCGCTTTCGGCGTACTTTTCAATGATGATTATACTGGATGAACCTTCGTTGGTAACGAGCAAACCGTTTTCGGAATGCTGGGATCTCCTTGAATGGATGTGCATAGCTTCGTCTCGTCAGTTGGTATCGATTGATCGTATATGGGAACGAGTTGATGTAGTTACCAATCGTCATGTCTTCGGCACTTGTCCGCAGGGCCGTTCGGTTGCATTTTGTGGTAATGAATCGGGCGATGTCGGGTGACATCCAATACAAGGGCCCATTGAAGTAACTTGCCCCAAGCAGGAAATCACTGCGATTCGTTCCATCTTGCTTGACATTGTACTCTCCTCCATAGATGCGCACATTCTCAGGGTGTCTGGGCCACTTTGCCATGTCGTAAACAAAAAAGTAATGTGGAAATAGGATTGTGTCGGTATCCATCTTGGCGACGTAGTCGAAATACAGTTCATGTTCTATTATCAAGGTAGCGTACCGAAACCACGTCTCGGACTTGCCTTCGTTCATGTTCTCCTTGATATTCAAATACAGCACATCCGGCTCTGCCCTTGGGATATTGTGGTGCGAAATGGCAATTGATTGGATATCGTCGGTATCTATCTGTTCCGTTGGTGCGCTACTATTTCCTCCAACTACAAAGGTATAGGCAAATTGACAATTTTCCGCTTCAATCGTTTTCGCCAGTAGATTCTGCAAACTGCAAATTCGGTACTTGGTGTCCGTCTCCGTGTAGGTTGTCAAGTAGGTGTGACGTAGCATTTCTCGCCGCTTCTTTTCCAGTTGATTGAGGTTGGTACAGAAAATACCTACCAGAATGCGAGGATCCCCCTTGTAACTGGTGACAATGGAATGAGGAAAATCTTCGTCCATCCAGGTGTCCGAATCACTTCCGATTGAAGATATGTACTTGTCCCACTTAGGCATTACCTCTTCCGGTGGATTAGCATAGCTGTTCACTCCTTCTATCTCAAGCCACGAGACTTGTGTGCCACTTTCGTTCTGATACACGGCGACACGATTCCAAACATGTGGATGAAAGGAATTCATTGGTTGGGCACGGAATTTTCCAGCACCATCATGGGTAGAGAAGAATCTGGCAAGATCTTGTGATAGGCATAGAAAATGGTAATTCAAACAGAACTTCATTTGACAGTTTCCACTAGTCCCCACATCCTTCATCCCAGCAAAGACAGATGACTGGTACTGGTGGAAGATTTGGTTGTCGTTCCAAAAGGAGATCGGGTAGATGAGGGCTTCGGCACTTGCAAAAGCAACATAGTCGAACCGGTTCCCTAAAGAGCCATCATGTATGTCATCTTGCACTCGGTTGGCAAACTTCATCCATACCATAAAGTGCTCCATAGAATCTGTGATCCGGCTGACTTTGAAGTGCACAACATCCCTTTCGTCGCTGTCATCAGCTGTGGACTTGTTGCCCAATAACATGCTCGTGATATCAGCAGGCTTTGTGGATTCACGTCGATTAGGAAATATAAAGGTATAGACAATTCTGCAATCGTTTGGGTCCTTAGGCGAGGGCGACGATAGGGATGATGCAGCCAGTTCTGGGATGGAACATATTCGATTATTGTTCTGCTGAGTCCTGTTGTTTCCCTTGTTGATATTTCGGTGAAACTGTAAGTAGGATTGTCTCACCATTCGACGCCTCTTTCCCTCTGGTTTGCTATATGGGTAGATACAGTTGATTCCCAACAAGATTCGTGGCTTTCTGCTAATGGCGGTGGAAGTGACCAATGAAGAATACATCATCGAATGCCCATCCTCGAAGATTGCAGTGGTGTGGAACACATGGCCCAGCCGAAAGGTTGAAATTACAGATAAGGAGCTGATGAAAATTGCAGTGAAGAAAATCCCTAGTCTCTCGCTTTGCTCATTCCTCTTGGAGCTTGCCATATTATGCCATTGTTGCAGTCATTATTGATCATATGTATGTCGTCATATAGTCACGATAGTATTATTTTTATATGTATGTACATCGCGGGGAAAATAAAGAGGGAATCCAAGTTGATTCACTTCCCCCAGAAAAATGAAATGTAGAACCACTGTAGATCATTTCTCTGCAGTAGTGGTTCTTCAATTCAATAGTTACAGTCTCATCTATTATGCATCTATCTATTGGTCGTAAACTAGTTGTAAGAGCCCTGTGTTAGCATTGCATCATCCGAGAGGCGGGAATGAACGACCCCCAAGACCCTCGAGTTGCGAAACGCTTTCGTCGTCCGGCCTTAACACGCTCTTGATGTTCCCGTTGTTGCTCCTCGATGGGGACAATGTGCTCTGCGAAACTACTCTTAAACGAAATAACTAGCTCATTGGCATTACGGCATGTCATCGATTGTTTTTGATCTCTTTCCTCCTCTTCCTGTCGCCTTCTCCGCCGACCTCGGAAAATGGAGAACCAGGAACCTTTCTTTCGAGTCGCCGGGCTTCCAGATGCCTTGAAATCTTCCGGCTTGAACTCTTCTGATGGTTCTCTCATCTCCTCATGTTCTCTTGTTGGTTTCGGCATACTGTCTGCATTTGCTTTAACGATCTTGCTGGCATTTGTAATGCGATTGCGTAGCTCACGGCGTTGGGCCAATCGCTCCCGCAGGCTATCAAGTTTTTGCTTCAGTTCTTCTTCGCTCTTGCGAGTATCTTCGAGCTCGCTGGAGATCCTTTCGACATTCGCCATGACAGTTTGCTTGAAATTTTGTTTCTCTTCGTGCTCCGCGTTGGTCTGGCACGCAGAAATTTGGAAGGCACTGTGAGTTCCAGGACAAATCATTAATTATGTGCTCTCCATATGGACAACTTACCAGCTCTTCTTGCAAGCCATCCAAATTCATATCCGCTGATCCCATTGTGGAACAAGTCCGCAAAGAAATTGGTGGTGGGAGAACGTCGCCATCAGAGGAAATGGTATCACGGCTAGAATTTCGCTTCATCAACCGTCGGCGAAGGTTCGAGGAAGAGGATGTCTCGTTCAAGATTTCTCCCATTACCCCTTCGATTTGAATGAGTGATTTTGAAACCATCTCTTGCAAACTATGACGTGAATCGTCGTCTTCTGATTTCACAGAAGTTTCAATTCCAGCCATCATCTCATAGCAACTCATACTACCATCGTCACTGCTCCAGTCATCGATGAAGTCCTGTACCATAGTGGGAGATTCTATGCTCTCTTGCAAGTCTGTCTTGATCATTCGGTCGCTGGGAGGAGGAGATTCCATCCTGGATTCTATGGTTTCTTGGTCATCCAGCACTAGGATTGAGGAATTTATACTGCATTCCTTAGTATCGACTGAGGATGACATTGCTAAATCGGTTGAATGGGATGGTTTTTCTTGCTCTTGTGGTCTTTGTGTGTGCTGCTCTTTTGTTTTGGGGCATTGTATTTTTGACAATTGGGAACTAAAGTGCTTTGGACCTTGCATGTTTGAATCGTTGTATGACTGCATGGCGATGTTTTTGTGGTCTCGGGAAATCTAAACTTTCTGCGGGTCACATTGTAATCACTCGTGGATCATCGCGAAAAATATCGCACATTTCGATTTGTTGTGCAGCTCTATGTGATTGAACCGACAGGTATTTTGCATATATTAATAAAAACTCTATTATTATAAATATATAAAATTCGACGCTGTTAGCTTCCGTGTCAAAATAAAAGTGTTTGGGAGGACACAGCAACAACATTTGTATGGGCAAGTCTCTCCACATCACAGGGGCACAATACTGCGACCGAAATAACTGTGGTGTAAAGCAATGTCATGACCAAAATGAGAAATCTATAGAGTTTTGCAGATGTGTAAAAATCTCGTAGGCTACGACAAATCATTCCATGTTCCAATTGCAAATGTAGTTGATGGCAGGTCGTCATCTCCAACGAATCGCCAATTACTGAGCTGGAGTCTTAGCTTGTGCATTAGCATCGACTGGACGGCAAAACAAGCCGCCCCACAAGAATTCTGAACCTGGAAGCCGCTCGGCAAACAAGAATTCGTTTTGGTAGCCTCCTTTGCTCTGAACCTCGACATGCTTTTGAATCTTTCGTGCATCACCACCATCGATTCCCAAATACAGATTCTCTGCCCACCGCTCAAAGTACGATTTGAGCTGAGTGCGAGGTGGGCCCCTCCAGACATTCTTCTTCCACCTACCAGCCATACAAACAAGTTTGGCGTCAAAACAGTGTGTGGGCCCTAATTTGAATATCTCGTCGCGCTTGGCGTGAACCATTCCAGGCAAACAACAAGGTTTCAAAACAAAAAATCTTACCGACGGGTTATTGTTGAATAGTTCCACGGCCTTGATGCTTAGAATTCCACAGAGATGCACCGCCACCAGAATAATAGGACCATCCTGGAAGTACACTTGTTCCATTTTCCGGAGTCCGCTAGCCGACTTCAAATCTTGTTTGGATGTATTGAGAGGGATCGGCCATGTCTCGTAATAATTTGGAATTGTTTGATCTTCGCACTTTTTGAAGCTGCCATAAATGTGGGTCCAGGAAATATGAGAAGGCTTGGGCTCATTTCCGTGCATGGGCCATTGTTTGTCAACAAGGACAAACTTCTTGACCTTTTCAGGAGGGAGCATTTCGGATAGAATCATCGACAGGTACCCTCTCCCGCATGCCAAATCAATGATGGTGTACTTCTGGTTACCCTCCAAATCACTGTTCTCTACCAACTTTTGGACCGCCTCAATGATAGGAGCTGCTTCAATGAACTCTTTCAATACTCTGTCCTTCTGAAAGATTCGTTTCCAAATAGAGGGATTTCCACGATACCTTTGTCGCCATTTGGATATACATTTTGGTGCTAAATCGAATACAGCTTTATATTCGTTGTATATGGGATCTTTCTTCAGTTCTCCGTGAAGATGTTGTTCAAATTCCTCGTCAGTCCAGCCATATTGTGTCGATGATTGCCCATGATCTCGCTTTACATCACTAGAGTTTCTGGAGTCTTCTTTTTGAAGTGGTTGTTCTTGGGTTCCAGGTTCTTGAAGAACTTCACCTGGGATCTCATTGTCTCCCATGAATAATGTTTCTTTGATCCTTGCTATGATGAGAGAAATGGATGTTTGGTTTTATGCGGTGACATAGGTTCTTGAATTGAGTGGTTGTACGTACCATTAGTACTGATATAGGCTTCTGCAACAGATGATGACGTCACTTGCAGAGGAAAGAGAAAATAACAGTGGAACAGAATGAGATAATCCGCTTTTTAGGATACAAATTAAGGCATGCGACATGCAATATAGTTTCTTTCACTGAATAAAACACACTAGGCGGGAAAACGTTTTGAGAAATAATGTTTCTATGTATTAGTAGTAATATGCAGTATTGTATAGTGTGCTATTGGCTGGCTGGATCCATCACGAGAACTCCTTGAAACTGGGAATATCATTCAATCCAAGCCTTGTGCCGCCATGATCATGTCCGAGTCGTGAGCGGCCACATGTAGGAGACATAGTCCTACATACCAAGAGGTTGGTAAATGGTCAATTCGGGCTCCTGCTGGGGCAAACCACCCCTGAGGCCACGGTATTCTTCGCGGTTATTGATGTTCTGGTTGTCAATGTCATTCTTGTTCATCTCATTATCGTAAGTGGCTGAAACTGCAGCAAAAAGGGTGGCGAGGAGAGCAGGTTTTAGGAGTTGCATGATGTCTGCTGTTAGTTTTGTGGGTTGTAGAAAAGAAAATGTGAGGGGAAAGAGTTTCGAAATATTACATAACGGTAATCGTGGATTTCGAACAGGAATGCGAACGGGTGGTGTCAGCGCGTGTCAATAAAGTGTCAGAAGAAGATAAATGTCAGGGCCAGAGCCCGTGTACCATCTACTCCACTTTCAGCTACCAGTCTATTCCATGCCCTTTACCAACAGGTTCATGAATCAATATCTCCGTTGTAGCTGACATGTAGCTACGCTTGTAATTGTTTCGCTTGTGTCGTCGTTTTACAAACTACTGGAAGTACAAAAAAGGCGTAAATTATAAGTATATTTCTAGGTATCAATGTATAAAATAGAACCACAACGCAGCAAGCCAACGTCAAACTAGAGCAGTAACTCATGGTGGTAATCCTTCAAGACTAGAAAATCAGCAATAACATCCAAGTCTCGGCCGAGCAGGATGTACGAGATGCAATCATTGATGACAGTAGCATCGTCCAATGCCCCCGAGCAAATAGCCTCCGCTTGTTCAACATCGACAGCCGGCTTCGAAAAATGGCTCTTGCTGGCTCCAGATGAAGACTCTCGCCGGATACACTTGTCTGGGAACTGAGGATGGGCAAGTTGATGGAAGAGCTTGGGTTCACTGGGAATCACTTGCCACTCATCGACAAGGTCTTCAAAGCCCTGCAGTTCCGTAGCTCCATCGCGAGCAAGGGTCTTCCCAGTCTTGTAGTCTCCAAGCAAGCCGACGGAGTTTCCAAACACAAACGCGTCTCCGTTCAAATTGAAACGAATGAACTCGTTGATTACATCGATGGTGATGACTTTTCCAGGGTACTTTGAGTCCAAATCGATGTTGTACTGCTGTTTGTAGGGCGTCGGCTTCTCCCATTCGACTGGGAACCCGCCGATGGTTTCGAGTTCTTCTGATTGGTACTCGCCGTTGAACCAGTAGTGCGCATCTTCATCTTTTGGATTTGGAGATCCTTCAATTTCAAGGACGTCGTCTCCAATGTTGATCGCAACGCTCTTGATGTAGGACCAGGCTCCCACAATCTTGGTTCGGATATGAATGTTCATCCCAAGCCCTTCAGCGAATGCTGCGTTTTGCAACATCACAAGATCGCACTGTCCATTAATTTCAATGCGCTTGTCACTCCAGCTGGTAATGTGAGGCAACCAATCAACGTCATGGTTTTCGTTCTCAGTCTCAGTTTCAGTTTCGCTACTTGCTGTGACTGCAGCTAGGAAGATGGTGACGAGAGTAAGAGAAAGTAGCTTCACCATGATTGTAGTACAGTATATGATGTATGGAAATTTGGAATTAGGCGATTGTGAGGATAAGAAGACCCGAAACAAATCTGGTTTTACAGGACCAGTCATTTCGGGCTAAAACATTTATTGTTGGGGCTCATGAGTGTCTTAATTTTCTGTTCTTCAGCAGTAGGCATTGACAACCCGAAATCGCAAAGAGAAGTACCCGGTATTGGTTGGACCTTCTCGCTCGCCAGATAAAACCGTGTTGCAAATTCGTACACTTTCAACTTACTGGACAACACAGGAACGGCCGGGAAATAGAAATTTAGCATACAATTCTTGGAAGTATATATTGATTTTCCCGGCCGTCCCCAGTACGGTAGGAAATCGAAGCTGTGGCAAAAATTCGGTACTGTGACCTTGCACGTAAAACTATTTGGCGGAGCGACCAGAAGGTCGCGAGGCCCATGACAGATGCCCCAAAGTAACCCGGAGGGTGAAATTTTTGATGCGAACCTGGCGAAGCACGTATTTTTTACCACTAAAAAACAGTAGAAATTGAAGAACCATCGTACCCCAGTTAGATGTATCGGACTATCAACCACGGTGGCAAAATAAGATATAATAATGATAACTAATGTCTAGAGATATTTATTGTACATGAAGTTCACTTGAAAGGTCCAAGCTTCCCAAATGCCACAAAATAATTTAATATCCCATAGTTGATATGAACAGCCACGTTTCAGGAACCACGAAATCTTGCAGCGTTGGACAGCACGTTCATTTCCAGATTGTATTATAGCAACACATGCAGAGTGTAAAGTATCTTTTCCAGTGAATTGAGAATCGCCTTTTGAGTATGTTGGTTGCATACAACGTTGGCCCTCCATGCTTGCGTCAAGCGTGTTTCTGAATCCTTCGTCAAATATATTGGCGAATGGTTCGTCCAAAGAAGTATCGGCCTCTGAAAACTTCCGTTGCTCCACCAGTACCTCTGAGTCTTTAATCATTTGCGAATCTGTGATTCTTCCAGTCATGAGAGGCATTTCTCGTATCCACCCGCAAAGTTGATTGCTGACGCCTGCCTTGGCGCAAGTCGTACTATAGTAGTCACTGAAAAGTGCTCGTTGGAGTTCTGCCTTCGATGGGCATGGCAAAGGAATACCGGTCGCATTACAACTCTCTCACCAGTGATTGGATCAAAGTGGTTATCCCACTTTCTGTCACAAAATCTTGCATCTTCCTCAAAAGTAGCATACATTGGCCACTCGTCTTGAGTTCCAAGCTCAAGTGACAAATTTCCCAGCAGGACTTTTTGAAGGGGCTTTTGCAAGGTCCTGTACATCTTCTCATAGTCTTTCCATCTACAGGCAGTTCGACCATACTTGAACTCCTTGAAATGCGTCAACAACGAAAGGAGACAAACAAAGTTCGTAACATCCTCCGCAGGAACTGACATATCGCGAATTATTCTTTCGATCGGTCCCCTTTTGTCCATGTCATCGACAATTGGTCTGATCTTACCATCATGTGCAAATAGTTGTGAATAGTGGAGCGCCGAAGCTGGCAACAAGGGATATTTGACACTACTGATTGCCTTAAAAAATGGGTGACGATGCCATGTTGACAATACGTCTTCATAGTTTGCAGCTGCCGGAAGTTGGACATTTTGATCTCTCAGAAACTTTTGCATGTCGGCTTCTGTCTCCTCGTCAACACCGGCCAACGAATCCAATCTACAAGGCAAACAAACTGGTGGTTTGCAACCCTCCGCACTTATTTCCAATGACGGATCCCACAGGCAAGAGCGGCAGATTAATTTTTGCAACGGTGACATTGGTATTCGCCTTCAGCTTTCAGAAAAATATGAGAACCAGAAGACAAGCATCCTGCACAAAATTCAGATGTTTCTTCATTCGTGCACAAGTCGACGCCTCCATCCTCTTCCCTTGGTAGCATTATATTGTAGTCTTCCAGTTGGGCTGGTGCTTCCCCTGCCAAATAGTCAGAATGTGTTGGCTTATACTTGAGACTATTGGACAGACAGATAAAGTGGTCGCGCTGAAGTCCTGCTTGGGTTTGGATCGAGATGACGCTTTCTCAAAATCCGTCAGTAACTTTTCCTTAGCTGCATCTGCATCCGCCCCGCTGAAATCAATCTTTGATCTGACTGCAGCTGCTTTCCTAGCCCCAAAACCAACAATACCGCCAGGCAATGCATCACAACCAAGGGCGAGCGCAAAAAGTCTCCGAACACGAATGGAGTCCAATCCATCACAGATTGGATATGGCGGCTGCTCGTCAGTCTGAAAGATGGTTTGTTGGACCTTTTCCTGTAGAATGCAATTGATATGGTGGACCCCTTTCCTCTGACCCCATGCGGTTCCATTGCAATGTGATGTGTTTTTCTTGTAATCCAACGAGATGAAGCCACAGTGCTGGCGAGTCTTGTCACCCAAAACCGAGCCATCAAATGATGAAGAAGACAAGATTGGAAATGAAGAAAAAGAAGAAGCATACGTTTCGCCAACAATCGACCGCCGTGGGGGCTGAGACGAACAAGGTGGATACTGCTGGAGTCAGTGTTGCCCGCAAGGGGGATAATAGTGTTTTGCTATCTCTGTGCTCCTCGTTGGCTTCGAAGATCGGCGTGATTGCTATCATCCGCTGTGCAGACTGAAAGAATGAGAGCGTCTGAGATCTCCAGACGACAAAGCGGATGGAAGCAAACTCTTTTTAGCAAATGGAATGAGGTTGTTTTGTCCATCTTCTAGTTGGCTTGCAAATCAGCATGGGCGCTGCCTGTCATCAACTGAGCAGAGTGAAAGAAATCAGAACTGGGGAGCTTTCAGGCGAATTGTGTCAGATACCAAGAATGCACAGCATATGAAGGCACTTGCGACTGTAGCTGATGCAATACAAGGTTTCAGGGGTAGCAGCAGCAATTGCTTGGCGACAATTCTCCAATGATTGATAGCTACAAGCCAGCATGCTTCCTAAAAGTGGCGCTTAAAGATGATACATGGAAGAGTAATGAGGAATGTGACAACCCGCCTGAAAAATCAAAATGACGAAAATCTACAGATCATGGCTGAATGGTTGTGCACTGTTGCTCATCAGGAGTAAGAATGGCGCTGAGCGGGTTTTCCAGTTGTATCTAGGCAACAATTTTCTCCCATAACATCTCACAACTACGTAAAATATAATATATTAACATTCGACCACAAAATTCAATCTAATTCTAAGCCAGTGTAAAGTTTAATTGTCATGGTGTGCGAGGATTGTCTGTTGAGGGACTTGAGGGACAGTCGAGGACACTAGACAATAGAGTTGTAATAGAGATAGGATTGCTATTCTTATTGATGATAGTTCATGAAAGTGAGGATTGCTCTGAACTTGAGCAGAGGATCCAGCAGTAGATACACATAGAGAGTAGTATATAGAATTCGAGAGAAGAACTGGGGTGTCAAATGATCGTGAGAATTACCCAATCAGAGTATGCCACCGGTCCGATCTATTGGACTCGCGGTGCGATTCGTTTGACCTCAACATGGTGGTGAGGTTTTGGTGTTTGACAATCGACGTCTGCACTGCGTTCACCCAAGGGTGTGTTTAACGTGGAAGTACTTTGATAGGTCCAGATCCACGTTAAACACATCACGTTAAACACGGTCATAGCACCGCACCGTTGCCACCACGTCCTGGTAATGAATGGTACCCGGTTAGCCAAGAAACGTCAGGAGCATGGTATACCTTGATGCTTCAAAAGGAAATGATCACATCAACATCATCGCTAACAGGCACAGACACAAGTACTATCAGCTGCATGCGACTCATGTGCTGTCCATATACGTATTATTCTATATTTACAGTGGTATTTTTTCAAGCTACCAAACTACCAAACCAGTTTCTTCTTGGAGGATACATCTAGCTGGGAATTGAGGTTGAGTGATTTTGTGAACGAGTATTGGGCCACCTGGCAAAACTGACCACTCGTCACCAGAATCACCAAAGTCGTTCAGTTCAGCCAGTTACTCCATCCCGAGCAAGAGTCTTTTCACTACTGTAATCTCCAAGCACACCAACTGTGTTTCTAAACACACTTTCTTCTCTCCATTTGTCTAGCAAAGAGGGCGGTGATGAGAGTAAGCAAAACAAACTTCATCGTGTTGTAGAGTCAATATTCGAATATTATTGTGAGAAATACGATTACACTGCATGGTCCAACGTTTTTTTGGACGCTCAAAGCCGCCCCCGAATGCATTCTCATCTTAAATAACGTCTGATATCGCCCGTCAGCTCAACATCGTTGGGACTATTATTTTAAAAAAAAAGAAACATTACAAATTATTGGCTGATAGTGTCTGCATTTTCCTTTCGTTGGAGTGAGTCTCTTTGAGTCAACAATAACATACACTAATTTGAGTCTTTTGCGGCCGGTAGATAAGAAGGTAGAAAGACGGTATCATCACAAAGAGGCAGCTAGTACAGTGAGCAGGCAGGAGCAGGGTTTACCTTCTTGATGGTTCTTCGATTGTGACAGCCACAGCAGACGTATCCATCATTTGATAACATCAATAGCGCTAAGAGGCGCAGATAACATGAGTAATACTAGGTGCTGAAGGCGCAAGCATTTTTCTATTATAGCCCTTTACAATCAGCAAGCCAAAAACTCATAGTGGTCGCAATCCTTCAGGACTAGAAAATGGTCGGTCGAGACTTGGATCTCATTGCTGCTTTCTAGTCCTTATGTACGCGATGCATCCAAGTCTCGACCGAGCAGGATGTACAAGATGCAATCATTGATGACAGTAGCATCGTCCAATGCCCCCAGAGCACATAGCCTCCGCTTGTTCAACGGTGGCTTTAGGCTCCAACAAAGTGCAGCTATGGATTTCAGGGGGATACTAGTACTTTTGCCTGATTATGCAATTGTCGGGGAGTTCTTGAGGATTAGCAAGTTGACTGAAGAGTTTAGGTTCACCAGGAACCACTTGCCAATCCGCGCCATCGCCAGCAAGAGTCTTCCCGGACTTTGATCTCCTGGAGACTGACAGAGCGTCGTCAACTGCATCAAGAAAAATTCTACAAAATAAATAGCTTGAATTTTTGACACCCACACCAAGTCCTGCCCATGAAGGGGTCGACAGCAAACCAGAGCCAGGAATATTATTTCTGCCGCAGCACTGCAAAGCAGCGCCCAAATTTGATACATATAGGTATGTTGATAACTTTTGTCGGGGTCCTACCGTGTCTGCATACCAACACGGCGTCTGGGGTAGCTTCCTGGGCCGTTGTGGATTGCATGTTGGTCAAGTAGGTGCTGTTCAATCACTTCTACCTTGAAATCTCCCATTCCAAGCCACTAGACTTTGTTTGATGTACCCATGGACGACAAATATGTGGTAGAATAAAGAATTTTGAGGAATTTAGGCCAACAATTTGACAATTCCAGAATTTTCAACAAACTTACCTCTTTTCTAACCCCGTTTTGGCCTCATGATTCTTGGTGTAGGCCGAATCCTTACCTCGGTCCCGAAAAATCCAAACCTTGGGCATCCAAGGGAGACCCTGGTGTATTGTTGAACGGATAGCTGTCTAAATGGCGGCAACGGTGACCTTCAGAGCAGCCGAATTCCGACAGCACCCAACAAGGAAATCTCAAAATCTTCGCAAATCAATCAAATAAAGTGAATCAATAATTCTCCGTCCTTGGAATAGATACCAATAAAGCAAAATATAACTTGGAGCTCGCCATCCATCTCCGAGTCCGATTTTTTTCAACACAGTGTTGGAAGGATTGATATCGAAGTAGTTTATGAAAAAAACATCGGACTCGGAGAGGTATTGTGGATGCTAACAAGCCTCTCGAAGGTTGATAATGGAAATGGACGGTTTTTGTTTCTTCCATTTGGTACATAGTTTCTACGAAATCGCCACGGAAGGTTCCAACAAAATAGAAAGGTACTGCTTTAGATTTGATTTATGACATGTCCTACGAGTGAGTGAGTCGCTCACCAGAGAGACTATTGCTAGATGCATTGATGAATCATTGTCTTCCTTTAAATGCGTTATTGTATTCGCTGCGATTTTTGCATTCGACACTTAGTAGAGATGGATATATTAATATTAGGGAATGATTTTATTTCTACTTTTTCATTATCCGTATGGCATTTCGCTCACCAAAGTCAGTTTCAACGATAATGAAATTCACACAGTGTCTTCCTCTATATATCGTCTCGTATTCGGTAAAATCTCATCAACGAGATTGCAGTATGGGTGAAGATATGGATACGAAGCTTTACTGGCAACACAAACTGTTGAATTTGTTGTTTCGTTCCCGAACAAACCTCACCCGAGTTCCTCACTCGGGAGTAGTCGAATGAAACACCTGACTTTTCGATTTCTACGTTTTCTACGCTTTGCGTAAAACAATAAAAGTCATTGTTGAGGCTCATGAGTGTCTTAGTTTTCTGATCTTTCCGTTTCTCTGAGGTTCTGGCCATTCATTTGAAACAAAACGATTTATTGTTAGGGGTCATGAGTGTCTTAATTTTCTGTTCTTCAGCTTCTCTTTGTGATCTTGGGTGTCATGCCTACCATGAAAAAGGCTTTTCGCCCGATAAGAAAGTCATAGGTCTGAAAACCTGTCGCAGGGCGTACCATGTACGTGTTGGTTAACGTTTCCTTTTGATCAAATCAATATCATCGATCATCGCGAAGAGGCACAGACCACACGAGCACTACACCTCGAACTAGCTAGCTGTGTGAGACTGATGTGCTGCGTAAGCATTTTTCTATATTAGCTCTTTATAAATATAATAGTATACACTGCTCACTCAAATGCAAACCGCAAGCCAACGTCAAACTAGAGCAGTAACTCATGGTGGTAATCCTTCAAGACTAGAAAATCAGCAATAACATCCAAGTCTCGGCCGAGCAGGATGTACGAGATGCAATCATTGATGACAGTAGCATCGTCCAATGCCCCCGAGCAAATAGCCTCCGCTTGTTCAACATCGACAGCCGGCTTCGAAAAATGGCTCTTGCTGGCTCCAGATGAAGACTCTCGCCGGATACACTTGTCTGGGAACTGAGGATGGGCAAGTTGATGGAAGAGCTTGGGTTCACTGGGAATCACTTGCCACTCATCGACAAGGTCTTCAAAGCCCTGCAGTTCCGTAGCTCCATCGCGAGCAAGGGTCTTCCCAGTATTGTAGTCTCCAAGCAAGCCGACGGAGTTTCCAAACACAGACGCGTCTCCGTTCAAATTGAAACGAATGAACTCGTTGATTACATCGATGGTGATGACTTTTCCAGGGTACTTCGAGTCCAGATCGATGTTGTACTGCTGTTTGTAGGGCGTCGGCTTCTCCCATTCGACTGGGAATCCGCCGATGGTTTCGAGTTCTTCTGATTGGTACTCGCCGTTGAACCAGTAGTGCGCATCTTCATCTTTTGGATTTGGAGATCCTTCAATTTCAAGGACGTCGTCTCCAATGTTGATCGCAACGCTCTTGATGTAGGACCAGGCTCCCACAATCTTGGTTCGGATATGAATGTTCATCCCAAGCCCTTCAGCGAATGCTGCGTTTTGCAACATCACAAGATCGCACTGTCCATTAATTTCAATGCGCTTGTCACTCCAGCTGGTAATGTGAGGCAACCAATCAACGTCATGGTTTTCGTTCTCAGTCTCAGTTTCAGTTTCGCTACTTGCTGTGACTGCAGCTAGGAAGATGGTGATGAGAGTAAGAGAAAGTAGCTTCATCGCGTGTTGCAATATTGTGAGAACTACGATTCATTCCATCGGAGAAAAATGTCTTCTTGACGCTCAACGGTCGTGCCTGCTCGCCAGCCAAATGTTCCGATCGGCAAGACGCTCCTTTTAGTCTCCATTCCGTTGAGTCAGTCGACCGAGGTGCACCGCTTCGGTCGGTTTACGGACGGCGGAGTGACCGTCGATTTGAATGGTTCTTGTGGGGTCTAAACTAATCCTACGGATTACCAGGCGCCGCCTCCACTTCATGACCCGATGTCTAGCGTGATTGTATACTACGAATTTGTACCAAACGAGATTATGCCAGTACTCCATACGTAAGTAAGAGATGTAGGTTTGGCATCGTACGCTTGGTAACTAGAATTAGGGACCGGATTTGAAAACGGGAATCGAAGATTCGACTCGATGGACTCAAACGTGACACAAATTTGGGACCTGAATAGCACTGAGCATTTTGTGCAGAAGGAATAAATCAGGCCAAGGAATTGTATGGGATCGCTTCCGGAGGAAACGGAAAGAAAGGGCCAATACACTAGCGAGTGCATGGAGGGGGGGTTAGGGAAGAAAAAAAAAAGAATAGACAGAAAAAATGTTGATGGCTGGGGCATCATACAAAAAGGAATGGAAAAAGTTGCGCAGGGTAGCAAGGTAGTTATATATAAGAAATGTAATGGCATCGATAATTGTGATGGCATCATTTTGTTGCATCCACAGATGGGCAACGTCGCGCAGGCATCCCATAAAGGCATCTGATTTCCATCTGAGGAGGAACTTGATCTGGTCAGTGGTTGATGCTCCGGAGGTGTGGAGGAGGACACATGCGCCAACTTGGATAGAGAGGGAAGAATACTGGCTCTTGTCTTGTTTTAGAGCGAACAGGCAACATTGCGCATGACACGGGTGATTTTGGCATCATGAAGGAAAAGGACTCAGGCGCCATCTTGGTATACTGCGAGGGGGACATTGGTTGTGTTGATGCTGATCGATCGGTCAAATCGGGAAAGGATGGAATGCATTCGACGGATGTTGCGAATAAAAAGTTTTTCTTCCCCATGGTTACCATTCTTCTGATGGGAGAAACGCGTTTTCATGCGCCAAACAAGGTCTGGATTCTGAAGGAAGTCGGAAATGGATACTTTACGTTTGAACTTGTCAAAACAGGTAACATCTTCAACTCAAATTGCAATGGAAATGCCGTCAAAGGTGGCTTGGTTGCCAATATTTTTGTCAGCGGAAGTTTGGGCATACTCGAGGAGGCCGATACTGTTCCAGTCTTCACATGTTTTCCAGAGACCGTTGCGGTGGGCTTTGGTGTCAATATTATTGTGTTGTTCAAGGTGTTGTTCCATGTCGAGGGTGTAGGGCTCAAGTTTATTGGGGACTTTTTCATGGCGTTCCACTTCAGCAATAGTGGCATGAATATCAGGAGACATTTTGGTATCGCTCCGGTTGTTGTAGCGGGGATCACAACCGGTAAAGAGGCAGATAAAAGACGCTGCTGCATGGAGGTACTGCTTGGTTGTGGCAGACTTGATGTATTGTCCTTTAAGGGTGCAACCGGTAGCAAGTGCCACTGTGTAGAGCGTTCGTGAGGGGAGTCTGGGCCATTCATTAACCCATCCACGTTTTTGGACTCGGCCTTGATCAGGGCCGACCTCATTTAAAGTTTTTTGCTTGAACGACAAGTTTCCTACGGTGCGCGCGTAGAACCATAAAACTACAATCACTAAAACTTACCTCAAGTGTAATACACACGTATCCAGGAATTCATGAAGATATCAAAGGGTTAAGTAAAGCTGAAAACCTAGAAATAGAGCAAATGAACCCTTCCAAATCTAATGGAAAAATCAGAATTAGTTTATCATTGTTTTTTGCCACCATTTTGCATGCCCAAGCCCAGACACGAGATTTTGCCTAGCAATGATGTTTCACCCCTCTCATTTCGTTTAATAAGTAGTTCCGACAATTTGACAGCATTTTGGTGGGAATCTTCAGAGCAATTCCTGTCTCCCATGGAAGCAGAATGCGTCCATGTCAAAGTGCACCTTGCAAAACAAGTGCAGTCATGGTGTAGATCTGCTTTTCTACTGAGCCAGCCATGCATATTATGTGCCCATCACACCTTAAATAGTCTCTGGATAGTGTGTTGGCAGTATGCCGGTATGGTTGCAACTCTTATTGACGATTCACGGTTGATTTTCTGGACTTGAAAATACTGTTAAGTGGTCGATAATCTCAGATTCAAATGGAGTCGCTTTGGCGACCTCTTTGGTGAAAAAGTTTCGCTAAGCCATGTAAAGTATCATCATTTTCAATTCCCAAGTCCAATTGGAACAAGAAGATCCTGTATGATACCATCGCCTCATCCATGCAAACGTATTTCGCAACTGCAACAATTTGTACTGCAAAGGCAGCAATCTGCATAATATCAACATAGACTCTTGAAAACCTAGTAGCTTCCTTACCATATCAGATATCGGCATGAGAAGGGAGGAAGGTTGGTTGTTGATGTTCCCGGTGTTGATGTGGTGAAGTTGGCTGCAAATTTTCCTTCGTGCAGTCAATTGGATGGAGCCTTTGGTGATCAACACTACCACACATTGAACACATCAGCGAATTCCATGTCCTAGACTTGATAATAGTCGCTGTAACTTTGGGGCTTCCGGGGGTAGAGCCATTGGGTTGATATTCTCCAAGATGTTGGAGGTGGCTCCAAGATGACGAAATCTCAAACTTCCTCCAATACGCAAAAATGCTCGTAAATTGCGTATTGCTTTGACTAGGGACTGAAGTCAAGCAGTCCCATCAGCTTCATCTGTGACAATATACCTTGTATCAAGGCACACAGTTCAATAATACCATCATTCTGTTTTCACAATTCGATAGTAACAATATGACAGAGGGTGCAGATGGGTGCAGATTGCTTCAATAGTGGAGAGTAAGGTATTTGGAATTTGATTTGGTCTGGATGACAAGTTGGTGTCAATTTTTTAGTTTGAAATGGGAAAATGAGCGATCTGGGGGCGTAACTAACCCTTTCAAATACTCTGCATGTTGTAGAATGCATTACCTTGCTAATGGAAGTAATTTCTGCAACTTCGGGACATCAAGAAATGATCTATGGGGTGGGAGTGGGGTCAATCCAATGAATACGGAAATTTCGTCGAAACATGACTCGGTCGAAAAAGAAAATTAAATCGCGTGGCTCAAGAACATCACCTGAGAACCCAATTGTTTGAACCAAGCTTCCACGATATTAAGGTAATAGGTGTGTAAAATTGTATTGTCTAATTCCATCATTAAGCTATTCAACGGATGTGATTTGTGTTCAATTTTGGGGACTCGGATCTGATCAGAACCGTCTGACCCCCGATGGGTTAAGTAGTTGTCGCCCAGGTTCATATCATAGCAAAACTTGAGGAAATGGAGTCGGCGGAGACGAAGTGTCCCAGATTTGCGGGGATTGTCGGTGGTGCCTGCTTTGGATTGGAGAATAGACAGGAGCGCAGGACGGAGCAAACTTGGCTGGAAATATTTGTAGTTTCTCATCCAAGGTAAAGTGCAAAATGTCTGCAAAGGTAATTGATGGTGAGAGAGTTTCATGTTTGGGTGTGAAATAAAATCAGCAGCAAAGTTGTCATCACCAGGGATATGATCAGAAAGAGCAGTCAAAGGGGAGCGTTTGAGTAGCTGACCGTGCAAGTTGACCAAAAGGTGTGCAAAAGGGCTGTCATTCATCCATTTCTCAGTGGGAGTGCTGTCAGTGCGGTTAAGCAGAACTGGGAAGTGGGGAAATCCGTTGGGGAATTTGTGGGTCAGGCCTGGATGGGCATGGGAAGTTCCTTCAAGGCGGACAACCGTGGCAACTTCCTGTAGAAAAGCTACCAAGAACTCAAGGCTGTTGATGTGGACATATTTGGGGTTGCTGGCTTTCAATTTTATACCAGTAACAATATCTGGGCTCCAAACTATGCGTAACCAAAAGAGGAGCGCCTCCTCCAAGAAAGCTAGCATATCCGTACGACGTGAAGTGGGGGTCTTGGGGGATCATCTGGGGAATGTAAATTTCCCAAGTCACTGTTTCGAGGCTGTGCTTGATGGCTCGAAGTTAGCTGAGCACAGGTTCGTCAAGGCGGAATCGCTTGTTGGTATTCCTTAGGAGAGTAGCTGCTTCCTTTCCAATAAGGGAAGCAAGGTGGTAGCGGAGGGATGGAGGTAGTTGGTCGGAGATGATTTGGACTTTGTCGTTGCGTTTCATGTAATGTTTGATGGAGAAATTGACTCAGGACACGTTGCAAGTTGAAGTAGGAACAACGCATCCATCGACAGACTGTGGTTGCAGTGGAAATGTGCCCTAGAAGAATTGCGATATCTCAAAGGGACAGAGACGGATTTGCCAGTGTTTCTGAAATGAGTTTGAGGAGGCGGTCCCGTTTGATGGAAGGTAAACGCACTGTCATTTGTCTTGAGTTGAGTAACCATCCAACGGTTTTGCGTTTGTGGGAGAAAGGGTTTGCGAATTTTTCCCAAGAGATGCAGTTGCGGATCCCATTGGATGGGTTGGGGAATCCTAACAGGATGTACAGGGCAAGGATGCTGGCAGAAATTTTTTGGTGCAAGAATAGGGCCACGTCAGCGTAGACACAATCGTCAACATGGTGGTAAAAGGTTGGGGACTTGCGGGATCTGTCTGCGTTTAAGACCCCTGGATTCTTAGAGTCGGATTTGGCAGGAGTGAAAGCGGCAATGTTGGATGGTGTTGGACGGGGAGCAAGGGATAGCTTTGGGAGGTATTTTGCAACTCGTGGGATGGTGGTGACGGCAGCATACCAAAGGGAATGGGCGAGTTGCTGGCCGACCATGGCGACGACTTCCCACTGGGCTGGCCTGGTGTTATCACCAAATGAGAGACCCGTACAGAAGAAACGGAATCCAAATAGCATGAACATGTGCATGTCAACAACATTAGGGTTCCATTTGACATGGCGGAAGGCGCCAGAGACATCATTGTCGCAAATGTAGATTTCCTCTTTGGGGTAGGTGATGCAAAGGTTGTAGATCCAGATCAAGAAGTTGGGAAATGATCTTGGGAAGCAGGTTTCGGGTCCGGTCGCTTTGGATGTGAAATCGTTAGCTGCTATGGCTGTCAGAGAAGGATGGTGGGTTGCATCAAAGATGATACGGGGTTTTCGATATTCGTGACATGCATCAACCAACCCGAGTGGAGTAGTGTGAGCGTCTTGGATGTATGGAAGGAGGGCTGGGTTGGCTGCCAGAAGGTAGTTGCGAAGAACGTCTTTTACGACTGCGCTTTGTGTTTTGCTAACATCGTCGTAAACCGTCTTGTGATTACCATAAGCAATGAAGGTGCGGAGGTTCTCGTCGGTCGATTCCGCGTTGACATAATTGGGTGCGCCGTTGAGGAAGATGCGTTTGAGCTAGGTGATGAGGAGGGGGTCAACTTTGGCTTTACGGAGGATGGGTTCGAGGGTTGGCCAGTTGCGATGGGCACCGGTGTGTGGATGTTGCCAACAAATCGGACGGCGGTTGGGATGCTGAGGTCATAGTGGAGTAAGCATGCGGTAAACATGCGGCTCCATCGGTGCATGGCAACTTCGGGGGTCAGATGTGGTGGTATTGGTTGTTGGAGGGGGCGGAAGTCCACAAAGCGGTGTTTGTTGATGAGAAGGGAGAGGAGATGGATGGATGGGCACACGTGGAAGAGGGTTGCAAGGTCGGTCTGGTTCAGGTAGCAGCTCTTCAGCAAAAACATCCAGGTATGTTCAAACTTGTGCTCTGTGCTGAACCACCTGTCGACGCTGTCCATACCATGCGGAGAATTGACATCAAGAAAGACCGGGGATGGGAGTTTTGTGGTTGCACAGGCCTCTCAGTCGCGCTTGGTCATAGATGGGGTAGACGAACAACCTTGGACGGAGACATTGAGGAGCTCTCCAAATTTTTCTTGCTCTGCGTCAGTGAATTGGTAGTACTGGGAATCAGGAGGTTGGTTGGATCGGCGGGTTGCTGAAGGCGCTGCGGAAAGTTTGCTTGTTGTAGGAGTGGAGATGGAAGTTTGGGGCAGTTTAGGGTGGGTCAACAGTTGTGGCTGGGTGGGTTGGTAAACTAGGCTGCCGGGGTTGGGGATGATAAATGTAGCGCACTCAGGGACTTGGATGCGTTGTGGAGGGAATGCACAGAAAGGAAATGGAAAGTAAGTCACTGACGGGTTGAATGGTATTTAGGTAATTGAGTTGGTGGAACTAACCATGAGGCTTTGGGGCCGAACGGGTGACCCCAGGGGCTTTTTCAATAATTTTTTCAAACGCTTGTGTGTCAGCAGATCCCATGGTTGCCGCAAACTGTTTGGTGTAGTGGATATTGTGGCATCGAGGGCGGTTGCAGTGGTAATTTAGCAAATGAGAAATGGGAACAGAAGGCTGCCTGTTTCCCAGTGATGGGGTGTTTAAATTTGAAGGGGGCAATTGGAAGTCGGCCTGGGCCGTCATACGTCAAATATCCGGGATGAGATCCTTGAGGTAGGTGTTTTGCGCGTTTGGTTGGGTCGGGCCGTTCACGGGAATTGGGGCTCTCACGTTTGGGAGCGGGGGTTGGTTTACCATTGAGAATAGCATGCAGGTCGGGGCAGGTGCCGTACGGGCCAAGGTTGCCCATGCTGATTGAGAGATTGATGTGGCTGATGGCTTGTGTGACTCGATTGAAGGCGTTCACAAAAGTGTCTGCCATGATCGGTTGGCCATTGCAAAGTTTACTCTGGGTCGATTTGTTTTTTGCGGCTCCCACAACAATCTGTAAGATCTGGTTCATTTCAAGGAGGATACACAATGGTAGGTGTGGGACTGCGGCATTATAACGGATCCAATCTTTGGCAGCAGGTGTATGGAGGGAGTTCATGAAATCCTCCAAGATTGTGACAATTAACGGTGGGTCATCGAAGGTAAAGTCTTTGACACAATATTTGACAAAGGCAAAGAAATTTGCTAACATCTTGATCAGATCTTCGACAGAACCGACGTCGCCATGAACAAAGATATCTGTCTTTTTTGGGGCTTGCTTGGACTTGTCTTCTTCCATGGCTTCCTGGTGGATTATGTCGCGACCTTCCAAGAGGAAAGTGGTGTACCTGACGTCATTTTTGTTCTGAGGGAGCCAAGCGAGGAGGCTTAGAAGTGAGGTTGCTCTGTGGGGGTGCATGGTGAGGGGTCGAACTTTAAAGCCGCATGTTTTGAGGGCAGTGACTGTAGCGTGTTGGAAGAGGGCAATATCGAAGTCGACATTGCGGTCGTAGTTGTTCCGGGTGGTGAGGGTATCAGTGATTTGGGCAAAAGTATCATGGAGGTGGGGCGGAGGGCCTCTTTGATCAAACCAATTTCCAAGAATGTGGCAAAGTTGTCAGTGAGTACGGATGGGTGCAATTCATTGACAGTGGAGCTGTTGAGCTGGATGACTGGTTTGACTCGGCCAAAAATCAAGCTGAAAGAATCTTTGGCGCTGGCCTAAGTGCGGGCGAGATCTTTTTCCTTGGTGCTGGCATTGGCGCCTTTGAGAGCGTTGGCCCTGATCTGGGCAAAAAGTTCTCTATCGAATGGGGCCCTGGCTGGAAGGGCGGCTGCTGGATTTTCGTGGGTAGTGACATGAGTTGTAGATGCTAAAGTAAAGAGGGCCAAGTGCCGTTTGAATTCCTCAAAGAGGGCTTTGTAGGTGGTTACCTCAGCTGCAAATACACTGACGGTGGATGTAGAATATGTCAGATGCGTAGCTAGTTTGCTGTCTGGAAATCGATCGGTAGGGATGGTGTCGGCGCTGAATATGTGAGCGTGGGAATGGATACTCTGGGACTCATTGTGATCGTGAAGGTACTTCATTGCCTCGTACCAGAACGGAATTGGGGGTGGAATGAGTCCAAATTGGCTGGTGGGGCGGTGGATAGCTCAAGGCTGGGTGGGATGTTGGCACCAGGATAGATAGGGAAGAACTTTTTGACTTCGGTGAACACTCCGTCCCCACTGGGCCAGTGCTTCTTTGCCTTATTTTCATTGCCCTGTTGATGCCTCAAATATGAGAAGAGGAGATTGATTCTGTCGGACACTTTTCAAACGAACAACTTCGGGTCGTATTAATAACATCAGAAACGCACATTTAACGTTTTCGTTTGACGGGAATAAAAGAAGATACAAAAAACACCGCAGTATATAGGGAGTGCATCTGTCAGAAGGAGTTTGCACACTCACTCATCATCATCATCAAGAAGAAGAATAGAAGAGACGGACCTTCTTCGGCATAATCGCAAGTAATGGAGGGCAATGAAAAAGACTTGGTCGAGGAACTCCGCGAAAAGTTTCGGGTCCATTTTGAACAACGAAACTACCAAAAGGCAAAGGAAATTGCCGAGAGATTGTTGGAGACGATTCTATTGACGTGGCGGACACACTCAACCAGCTTGGAGGTGTTCTGGCGTGGGACAGAAATCGCGATGAAGCCTTGGAGAAATTCAACAGAGGACTCGCGATTCGTTTGAAGAAACTGGGAAAACATGGTGATACGGCGCAAAGCTACATGAACATTGGTCAAATCTTCCACGAACAACAAAAGGACGAAGAGGCAGAAGAAATGTTCCAGAAAGCTATGGAAATCAAGCGCGAAATTCTTCCACATAATCATCCTGAAGTGATGGGACTTTACGTGCATCTAGTGCACTCGTTGAAAAAGCAATGCAAGTATTCAGAAGCACAGAAAATGCAGAGACTCCAACTTGCGACACTACTAGAATTGCATGGGGAAGACCATTACGACGTTGTGAACGCATATAATGGGATTGCGTCTCTGCTGGTGTGTCAAAATATGTTGGACGACGCTCTTCAAATGGTTGATAGAGGCATCGACATTTGCAATCGATTGGAACGGCTTGGAGACCGCACCATTGATGTGATGGGGGGGACACTCCGCCACAAAGCAGATATACTTTACGAACAGGGAAACATGGAAGCTGCCGCGGACATTCTCAACAAAGTAATAATGATGATGCAAATCGATACAGCGGATGCAATGCACCCAGCAATAGCCGAGATGTGTGAAGATCTGGCACTTAAATATTACAAACATGGCATTGTGGAAGGTGCCATCAACGCTTACGAGAAAGCAATCAAAATTCGACGAAAGGAGTTTGGCAATGATCATCCCCACACGAAAAAGCTTAAGCTTGCCCTTAAGGCGTTAGCGTGCGAATCGGATGTTAGAAAACTGAACGAACTGGGATTGGAAATGAAAGCAAAAGGCGATTCGGAAAGGGCGATACAGCTGTTTCAAGAGGCGCTTGGTATTGACAAGAGTAATATTTACGCAATTGGTGATACGAATGCCTCATTTTTAGTAAGAGCAGCAGTCTACGAGAATATTTCTAGCGTCAAAGTTGACCAGGGATTGCTGGAAGATGCCATTGCCGCAAGTGCAGAAGCACTGAAGATTCGTCGCAGAACGCTTGGGGACGATCATTGTGACACAAAGCGACAAATGGAAACTCATCGATCTTTGCTGAGACGGCTCTTGGAGAATCGGGGCTAAGTGAGGTAGCAGATTGTGGCAATCGTCTCTCTGAATTGTTTGGTCGAATACACGGAACGCTGATTGACTATCGAGCCTGGAGTTGCATTTTGCGCAGGAATTTACTCGGAAGCTGCCATGGGGACATTCGACAAATTGCAAATGATAAAAATAAAAACGTTGGGTGCAACAGTAGAGACCTAGGTATGAACCACTTGCGCTAAAATCCTTCCGACGTGACATGGTGGAAGACGCAATCGAGGTGCACGGGAAAGCTATCAACGCTCGAGAAAAGAGCTTCGCAATGATCATCCAAAGATAAATGATGTCATTAAGTGTTCAAGCGCGTTGCTGCCAGTGCTTCAGTACTCAAGATTCGTCGAAGAACGAAGGGCGACGAAGATGCTGACACGAAACTACGCATGACAAGCAACGCATCGATCTTTGCTGATGCTTCTCGTGGAGAGTCGGAGCTAAATGTGTCAGGTGCTTATCGTAGAGGCGTCTCTATCCAAACAAGACACTGGATTGTGTTGTCGAACGAAAGGGACGGCGAAGCATCGAGTCTAGAATTGCACCGGCACGCAAGGCCGACTGAACGAACAGGGATTGGCAATGGCGATTTGGAAAAGGCGACACAACTTTACCAAGAGGCGCTGGAGTTGTACTTGAGAACCTCTTGTTATCTCTGTACCACTATGGCAGATGTGCTGGATAATAATTGCGGATGCCAGAGTCGACATGGGGTTGTTGGAAGACGCTGTTGTTGTTGGAAGTGCAGAGGCACAAAGGATTCGGTGAAGAATGCACGGTGGCGATGATGCTGATCTTTGCTAAACTTCTCTTGGAGAGTCGGAGCTATAAGTGAGTGTGCCAAATAAGGGAAGACAGTTTTGCAAACGCAATGTTTTGTGCTCAGGAGGAGGACATCTTGTGCTCATGTAAAAAAGTGCGCGAGTGCATGGAGGCGTTGAAACATCGTTTGGGCCAACCTTTGAACTGTGTTGTGACGCCGCTAGGCGTTATTTGTATATAGACAATAGTACTTTTTCCCTCCAAGTTCTGGATTCAATACCGATAAATGATGAGGAATAACCAAAGCATTCTCTTTGTTGTCGATGAAACGGTTCTCATCTTTTGGACACAAGATAGCGAGAGTGCCAACCTACCCGTCCATATGTACAGTATAGCACCAGGGACATGCCGAAAAATTCGGAAAAAGATTTTTTGGGTCAAAAATGGCACTCCTTCCTGCAGGAGATAAACGAGCCACTGTCCTTCCGTCAGTGCGACAAAGTTAGAAAAGGCCTAAAAATCTGTAAATGATCGTGGAACTTCCAAATTCTCTGTAGCTAATCGTGGAGCTTCCAAATTCTCTGTAGAGAATCATCTCCAAAAAATTATGACCGCACGTCGGCCTTCAAACTTCTGTTCAGGAATTTTTGGTACGTGGTACAGTTCACCATATAATCACCGGTCAAAAAACGTTCTCAAAAAATAGATATTCACTCCTTTTCCAGTTTACCATGCTGTACTGTATCGTCAAAGCCAAAAATGAGTACCACTGAGGAGAAAGGCAGCGACAACCAGCGCCGTCGCAAAGACCGAGACCGCCAAGAGGAAGATGCCAAGGCCAAGGAAAGAGGACGCAGAAACAAAAAAAAGGAACCATCTACAGCATCTGGTGGTCAATCTGAAAAAGAAGGAGATGTCGACAAGCCTAGAAGCCGGAGAGGCGAACGTCGCACTCAAGAGGAGCGGGAAGCCAAAACCAAGGCAAGCAGTGGAAGAGTCTCTTCCTCCTCCTCTCGACCAGGGGTTTCGCATGAGAAGAACAACTCTTCCGGTAGGACTCGCAAAAAGACTTCCGAAGCATTGACTTCTTCCTCTGGTAATGGTCAAGCAAGTATTGTTAGTCCACAAACACGCTCATCTCGTCGTAGTGGTCGCGGAAGAGGCAATGACAAGAAAGGGTATCGGAACAAAGGATCTTCTACTCCTGGAGCACAAGCTGAGAGTATTGCTAGTCCACTTTTTAGTAGCAGCAGAAAAGGAGATGGCAAGAAAGGTTATCGCAACCAAGGATCTTCTACTCCTGGAGTACAGGCTGAGCAAAGTGATCATGACCGAGCAAGTCGCAAAGAATCGCGACACAAACGTAACACCCGTGGAGTCGATATGGATGTTACAATTGCACCGAATGATGATGAAGCTTGTGCTGTACATGCCAGTATTGTGGGGGAGGAAGCGGATGTTGTTGTTCAAGGTCAGACAGACGAGGACATCCGCAAAATGGTCGAAGCAGAAGCAAAAAGACTCCGAGAGGAAGAACGTCAACAAGAAGAAAGACTTCGAGACGAAGAACGACGAGAGGAAAAGAAGCGCGAAGAACTGCTACAGGCGGAGAAAAAACGCAAGAAGAAGCGCAATGTGGTGATTCTTGTGGTTGTTATAGTTCTTATTTGCGGTGGGGTAGGAGCGTACTTTGGGACTCAAAGTAGTTCCAGTGGCAAATCCATTGACGGAGGTGACGCTGTTGCTTTGGATGACGGAAACAATCAGAATCCTGCTGATGATACTACATCCGATTCTCCTTCAAGCGATCCAACCATTGCTGCCACCAGCCCTCCATCACAAGCGGTCTTCAAGTATCCTCCACCTGACCTCGAAGATTGTCAACGGCTAATTGACAGGGACCCTCCATTGGATGAGGACGGCACCTTGGAGAATCGTGAGTTCGAGGTAGAGTTTGATCTCGGATTGTCTAGTGCTGAAACCGGCATTTCTACTGTATTAGCAGAAGTCGAACGGAAGATCGCCGATTGGTTGCTCCCATCACTTGTGGGGTGCGATGATCTTCAGCGCAGAAAGCTGGATGGTCAAACACCCGCTTCGAAAGGTATCCGAGGTGATACAGTGCGCCGGTTGCAAACGACTTCCGAGGATCCACTCCGCTACATGATCGCTGATGTGTTGGACATCCGTGCTGTTGACCAAGAAGAGGAGTGTTCTTTTGCGTCTGACATTCCAAACTGCAGCTTTGTGAAAGTCAAGATGAATCTGCTGCTTCGTGGAGATGAACGAAATTTGTATGTGGCGACCCTGCTGTCTGACTTCTTCCCAGAAGGACAAGATCTTAAAGGTGTGATTGGCTTATCCGATGACATTGCCATCTTTGCCACAAGGCGTATCCGTGCGACTGGTCCTACCAAGCCTCCCAGTGCAATGCCTTCTCGGGAGCCAAGTGTTTCTCCATCGGATTTTCCAACAAAGGAGCCAACGATCCCCCCGATACCTGCATCGGCAAATCCAAGTGCATTGGTTCCTGAACCCACCAAGGAACCTTCTGAATCTCCCAGCAAGACGCCTTCTGCAACGCCATCAAGTGCTCCGACTCCAACTCCACCGCCAACCTTCGCCCCAGTTCCGGGAGCAACACCGAGTCCTACACAGACACCCTCTGCAACTCCTTCGTCTATGCCATCAGCTGCTCCTTTCATTGGGAGCACACCGTCGCCATCCAAAGCACCGTCGACGCCGGAGCCTACGTCCCCTCCCATTGTATCGCCATCGACTGATCCATCACTCGAGCCCTCTTTATCACCAAGTGGCGAACCGTCTCGGTTGCCCTCGGCTCAACCTTCCATCCAACCTTCAATGGAGCCATCTTTATCGCCTTCTACACATCAGCCATCTTTGTCACCAACAATACCATGTTTTCAATCCAACACTGAGCTTTCGGATGCTGTTTCAAATTGGTTTCAAAGCAAAGCAACAGTGGAGGCCCAATACGGACTGATGGGAGACTGGTGTTTCACTGCCGGTGTAACAAGCATGCAAAACCTCTTCTTAGAAAAAGGCGCATTCAACGAGGATGTGTCGAATTGGGATGTTTCTTCCGTTACTGACATGAGTCGAATGTTCAACGGAGCAAATGCGTTCAATGGCGACTTGTCATCATGGGATGTTTCTTCCGTTACTGACATGGAGGCAATGTTCGCAAACAATCCATCATTCAACCTAGACGTGTCGTCATGGGACGTTTCTTCTGTTACGAATATGGAGAGCATGTTCCACAATTCGCGATCATTCAATCAAGACTTGTCGTCGTGGGACGTTTCTTCCGTGACCAATATGAGGTTGATGTTCTTTCTGGCATCGTCGTTCAATGGCGACTTGTCGTCATGGGACGTTTCTTCTGCTACGACTATGGAGAGCATGTTCCGCAATTCGCGATCATTCAATCAAGACTTGTCGTCGTGGGACGTTTCTTCCGTGACCAATATGAGGTACATGTTCTTTCAGGCATCATCGTTCAATGGAGACGTGTCGTCCTGGGATGTATCTTCCGTTACTGATATGGCCTTAATGTTCAACGGAGCAAGTGCGTTCAATGGAGACGTGTCATCCTGGGATGTTTCGTCAGTTATTGACATGAACGCATTGTTTGCAAATATTCCATTATTCAACCAAGACTTGTCGTCCTGGGACCTTTCTTCTGCCACCAATTTGCAGAGCATGTTCAGCGGAGCAACATCTTTCAATGGAGACATATCATCATGGGATGTTTCGTCTGTCACTATAATGCAGTCAACGTTCAACGGAGCAAGATCATTCAATGGCGACTTGTCATCATGGGATGTTTCTTCCGTTACTAACATGGATAACATGTTCGCAAACCATCCATCATTCAACCCAGACTTGTCGTCATGGGACGTTTCTTCTGTTACGAATATGAAGGGCATGTTCCAACTTTCGCGATCATTCAATCAAGACTTGTCGTCATGGGACGTTTCTTCTGTTACAAATATGGCACTAATGTTCCGCGAGGCATCATCTTTCAATGGAGACATATCATCATGGGATGTTTCGTCTGTTACTACAATGGCCGGAATGATCAACGGAGCAAATGCGTTCAATGGCGACTTGTCATCATGGGATGTTTCTTCCGTTACTAACATGGAGGCAATGCTCGCAAACCATCCATCATTCAACCCAGACTTGTCGTCATGGGACGTTTCTTCTGTTACGAATATGGAGAGCATGTTCCACAATTCGCGATCATTCAATCAAGACTTGTCGTCGTGGGACGTTTCTTCCGTGACCAATATGAGGTACATGTTCTTTCAGGCATCATCGTTCAATGGAGACGTGTCGTCCTGGGATGTATCTTCCGTTACTGACGCGTATGGAATGTTCCGGGGTGCAACGTCCTTTGATCGAAATCTTTGTTTGTGGGGCTTGCGCCTATCGGCCAATGCTGTGGTTTCTAATGCGTTTTCCACCGCCAGCAGCTGCCAGTCACAATCTGATCCAGATCTCTCTACGAATCCACCAGGCCCATTTTGCTACGCTTGCATACTAAGTTAAAATCGGCTTTATATTTTTATACCATACACAACAACGGCGGAGCTTTCACTTTGCTTTGTTGATTCATTCTTTCAGCGACCAAGATTTCGCAAGAAGAATCTATCCCAGTTGCCGTGTCAGTCGGTATCCAGACAAGGTAGGACCACAGCAATACTATCGATAGTATACCTATATATGTATCGACTTTTGGGTGTTGTTTTGCCATGCTGTAGTACAGTAGAAACACCTGAGGACACGACTGTCATTGTGAGTACTGTTACCAAAATGTTAGTGTGTTGAAGAACTGGTTGTAGTGCAGTGGCCATTGTAAAGCGAAACACGATGACGATGATACTGGTACGGTACCGCTTGCTCCTACCATCTTGATTGTTTCCAAAGTTGTCTCATGGTGGTACCAATGTGCGCTTGAAAATACAAAAATACCCTTTCCCTTATCAAGATGCCACATCATTGTCATAATAAGTCCAACTCGTTAAATGAATCATGAATCATCAAGAATAACCATTAATTCGAACCGGTTTCGGAAAGCGATGGGTTTTCTGTTGGCTTTGGTAGTCCTTGCTTTCAATCAAACAGTGACGCAGTGAGCCTTATTATTCAATGGCCAAACGTAGACCAAAGTGGCGAGACCTGCAACACCGCAAAGAAGTATTGGTGCTCTTCCATGATTTTACTTTCGTCTTTCGTGTTTACGGAGAGCATAACCGGAGCGCGTCCACTGCGAGTGTTGGAGGTGTCCCGGATAGAGGTCAAGTGAAATTGGTGGGTAACCAAGGATTTCTCATTTTTCATTCTTCGTCGGCAATATGGAGAGGGAAGAGTCAGGGAGCAGCCGAGGTCGAGCGACGAAGCAACAGAGGCCATAGCTCGTCACGCGGAACAAGCGCGGTCCGCAGAAGTGTACCTCCTTCCGCTCCCTTCCCCTTCTCTTCTCCTTCCACATCCGCTGTCATCAACCGTGTTTTCCTTCCTCATCGTCTGATAATGCGCATCTTTTCAATGTAATATAATGCGTCGATCCTATTTTATACTATCTGCAAATTTCGTAATCCAGTTGTTGAGACGGATGGCGGACTGACCCACCTCTCATCGTGTCATTGCAGATGATTGCGATGATCATGATTGATTGATTCATGATGTGTCAGGATCGAGTTAGTCGTCTTACGACTTACTAGATCGTCTGTCCATACTCCGTATCCAACACACCCTTCACATCACCATCTAGTCATTCTATGAGTTTATGTTGACATGATGAAGATTCTTCATCTCTTCTTTTGAAAATTCGAATAATATGCCGGTATAATATGCGTGAGGTCCAAATTTTCGTCGTCCCGTTGTTGTAAATATGGGAGGTGTACCGGTAGATGATTGGTATTACGCGACATGCGTCATTCTGAACCCATGAAAAATAAATGCGATACACATATAGCAGCAAGGATATGGCAACGCGTCATCGTCATTTCAAGAAAACGAAAACAGTGGAGGGCGACGAACAATGAGACACGGCTGTCGATCTCAGGGAGATTTTGGAGAGACTATATGTTACTGAGAGGGAGACTTGGTGGTGATCCCATTGTGGCCTTCACACTCATCGCATGGGAAGCGGGTCAAAAATTGGTGTCATCGCATGAAACGGTACCATCACAGTCTGTGTGGGCAGAAACGGACGGACATTGTATGTTGTTTGAGTCACAAATAACGCGTCTCCGAACCCGTATTATGAATGCGATGAACACATAACAGACACGGCAACGCAACATCATCATCGTCGCGTCAATGAAGAAGTAAGAAGAAAATACTCGAGACGCTAATCTTAGAAACGAAAACGATGAAAGGCTGCGAACAAGACTTGCTTGCGGAACTCATGAAAAAGTTCACTGTCTATCATTATCAAAAAAACTTTCAAAAAGCAAGCGAGATTTTGAAGAGAGTTTTGTCAATACCAAGGAAGGACCAAGCTGAAGATGATCTCGATGTGGCCCTGACACTTCACCGGATTGGAGCTGTGCTGATCAGAGAAGGAAAATTCAATGAAGCCTTGGAGGAACTCAACAAAGCACTTTGAACTTGCGATACGTTTGGAGAAACTGGGAGAAAAACATGTTGATACGGCAAATGTGTACATGAGCAAACGCCAACTTCTACCAAATGATCATTCTGACGTGACTGTATTGTATCACCATCTATCGTACTCATTGGAAAGGCAAGGCAAGTTTTCAGAGGCAACCAAGATGCACAAACTCCAACTTGCGCCATTACTAGAAATGCATGGGGAAGATCACCCCGAGGTTGTAAGGGTGTATACTGGAATTGCCGAGCTGCTGAGACTCCAAAATAGGTTGGCCGATTCTCTTCAGATGCTTGATAGAGCCATGGAAATTTGCAATCGATTTGAACGGTTGGGAAACCTCGACAGAGATATATTGCTAGTCACGCTGGGCCATAGATCACTTACACTAAAGGGCCTGGGCAACCTCGAGGCTGCCACGGAGGCGCTCAATAAAAGTGCTAATGATACGGACGGAAACGTTAGGTGAAATGCACCACTCAACATCACAGACCTACGAGAATCTTGCACTATTATACTTCGATCAAGACATGATAGAAGATGCCATTGATGTGCAAACGAGAGCCATCAATATTCAAAGGCAGCTTGGCAATGATCGTTCCCACACAACAAGAGACCTTTTGCTCGCCCTCGAAGTGTTCGAGCGCGAAAAAAAATGCGAGAGCACTGAACCAGCGGGGACTGGCAATGAAAGCTATCAAACTTCAACAAAAAATGGTTACTGCCCACACAAAATAGTTTGTGCACCTCATTGCATTGGTGCGCGATTATAATCTGAGAACACTAGACGAACAGGGACTAGCGATGGAAGCGGAAGGCGATTCGGAGAAGGCAATGCAACTCTTCGAAGAGGCGTTGGATGTCTACAAGGAAACCTCTTCTATCAGTCCCAATGCAGCAGCAGTCTACGAGAATATTTCTGCTCTCAAAGTTGCACAGGGGTTGCGAGGAGAAGAGGCCATTGCTGCCAGTGCTTCAGCACTCAAGATTCGTCGAAGAACGAAGGGCGACGAAGATGCTGACACGAAGCTACGCATGACAACGCATCGATCTTTGCTGAGGCTTCTCTTGGAGAGTCGGAGCTAAATGTGTCAGGTGCTTATCATAGAGTCATCTCTATGCAAACAAGACACCGGATTGTGTTGTCGAACGAAACGGACGGCAAAACATCGAGTCTAGAATTGCACCGGCACGCAAGGCCGACTGAACGAACAGGGATTGGTTTACCAAGAGGCGCTGGAGTTGTACTTGAGAACCTCCTGTTATCTCTGTACCACTATGGCAGATGTGCTGGATAATAATTGCGGATGTGTCTACTTTTATTCGGGAAAGAAGGGTACAGTACCGTCACCACAGCAGCTGTCAAAAATCATCTGCGAAAAATAATGACCACGTCGGCCTTCAAACTTCTGTTCAGGAATTTTTGGGAACTGTGTCAGATTAACAAGCTCCGTAGCTATCAGTGAGTGCCTCAACGCTCAGCTACCTTGGAACTTATCTGAGATCGAATCTCCGTCGGCTATGGTGTGCCTGCAATAGGACAGGTGCTAGCAATCGCCTAGACTTCAACCTGGTGAGTGACAATCTCACTGCTCCTATTAGATCTTAGTCTATACTATTCTTGCCATGAATCTGATCCATAATGAGGATCAATTCCTTCTCTCAAAAGACCAGAATCTCTCGTATAAAAGCCTCTCTAGATTCCACCTGTCGCGTCAGCTTTCACCAGCTGCTCTGTCAGAATACCATACATTGCGTTCTTTTCACAATGAATGGTTGTAAGATCTAGATACCAATGTTCCTTCAACTTGGTCTCTAGGTCCATACGTATTCCGAATGGAGTATACGAACCGTTCAGGAGAATCCGTTAGTACGCGGACCCCAATGTCCGACGTGTTCGACTGTCCGTTTATTCACTAAAACTCAATTGCACCAACACACTCCTGTCGTTTCGACGACGACTCCAGTTGCGACAACGAATCTTTCAATACTTAATATATAACAAATACCATTCGACACATGAACACCAGAAGACCTAGTCTTCTTGATCACCTTGAATCAAGTCCCGAAACTTGCGAAACTTTTCGCCCTGTAACGGCTTGGTCATGTAGTCTCCCCACATATCATCAGTGGGCATGTGCTCGATAGTCAACGTTCCCTTTTCGACTTGGTCAGTGACAAAGAAATAACGAATATTCAGTGCCCGACTTCTCTTGCCAGCACTGGATCTTCAGTTCTTCTCAAGTAGAATAGAACTCATATTATCTTGATACAAGATATTCTTCTCGATTGGGTAGCCCTGTTCTTCCATGAACAATCGCGTCCACAACACCTGTGTGATCGCATCATCGACTCCAATCAGTTCAGCGTGCGTACTGCTTCGACTGTTAAGCTTCTGCTTCTTAGACAAAGCTTGCATTGCACCTCCACCCATCGTCATCACACCTCCAGTATGACTCTTAAAATCAGGATGGACAGCAAAGGATGCATCGACAAACCACTTCATAACATGCAAGTTATCAGCACTCAATGTCAGATGCCACTTTCGCGTAGAATGAAGGTATCGCATCATCCTCACGAGTTTGTGCCAATCGCTTTGATTGGGACTTCGGACTCGAGACGCCAAAATTGCAACGGTCGGACAAATGTCCAGACGCGCTCTCTTTGACAAAAACAAACTCTTGGCAACAAACTTATGAAATTCAGTCTGATATGCCTTGTCCAAATCTTTTCCTTTTCCCACTTCCAGTAAGTTATTACCAGCAGGAGTCTCCTGTGAATCGCTCTCCTTGAACTTCACAGAGAATTCGTCAAGCATCCGTTCGACATAATCGTTCATTCGAATCTTTAGCTTTCCTTTCTTCAAATAGTCCAATACCATTCCAAGATATGTGTGCACTCGTCCCCTTGTACAAGTCACTTCCTTCAGTCCACCGTATCTCTCATTTATCCAAGTGAAGAAATCTTCGAGGACTGCTTGTTCCATGTGGCTCGCAAGCACATCATCAACATGGAATCTGATAGTCAATTGCTTTCCATTGACCATTCGATTTGCAATGCACGGATCGTATTTGTTGAATACGAATCCATACTCTTCCAAAGATGCTCTCAAGTGTCGGTACCATAGCAAAGAAGCTTGCAACATCCCGTAAATGGCACGGAGGATCACAACATAGATCACTCGACGTCCATTCTCATATACTACATAGTCTCGATAAGTTGGGTCCAAATCAATCATGTAATCGACCAATAAACCGGTAATCTTCATTATTACTCGATCTTCGCCTTCTTCCTGCTTGGGCATCAATGTTTGAATAAACGCGTTAGGAATATCCATTGACATGACTGCTCTTCCTTCGTGAGCATCCATTACACCCGTGCAAATGATCGCCTCATGCGATGCAGTAGGACTCGCAGTGTCCTCTCTCGATAACCATTCTCTGGTCTCGTTACCCTTAAATATGCAACGTCCCTTGACTGTTACGCCATCATTCTTTTCGGCCAGTAGCATCATTGCATCCACTGCCTTCTTTTTCTCAGACTCTTTCAGATCTTTGATACTGACTGGTGTCCAGCAACTGCGCTTAACCAATTGATCAAGCTCCTTCATAGCAGCGTCCTTACCGCGCTCTTTGAATACCTTCAGTCCTTTGTTCAAGTAGTATTGTTGTATGAACGAGACCCCGTCTTGTCCTTTGATACCACCATTAACACCATCACGAATCTGTTGAATTACACGCGCGACCACTAAAGCTTCGTCCACGTCATATTCGCCTTTGTTCGCATTTCCGACTTGTTGGAATGCGAGATTGTGCATTCGTTCCTTGATCGACTCAACAAAATTGTCAGTCTTTTGAACTTCACCTTTTCTTTGTGCATCAATACGTTTCTTCACAGCTTGATACAACGAAACTCGAAGACGTTCCATTCGTACCTTTCTTCTCATGGCACGCCTGTTCCGCAAGACGTTTGGCTTGGGCGGTGTCTTCCTCTGTAGGTACGCTTGACCATATCTTGGTTTCTCTCTTCGATATCTGTCCGTGGGTCTCATCTTCACTTCGTTAGAATAGTAGGATTTCCCACTCCTTGGACGAAGTACCCGTTTCGTTGGCACGTCAATACCGTCATCATTGTAGTTTCTCTTTCTTACTTCGTTCATGCTCGGTTCAGACGTTTCCGTCTCTTCAAATCTCACTCCTGGTCGAAAGCTATCGCCAGACTTGGCTTCTCCAACAGTCTGCAAGTTGCTTACGCCTTCAGGTTTATTTTCTTCTTCATTGTCCTCTGGGGGATCGGTGCTATCGGGGGCCAAGGCAGTGTGGGCAGAGTATTGGGCGTTTGTGAAGGTGCGAGGTCATCTCGTGCAATAGAGATGACGCTGCTGCCAATGGCATCTAAAGAAAAAGCAACTGGGGTGGGAGCATCATAGCTATCATTCGCGGATGCCTAGTGTAAGTTTGGACCGACCTGCTTAGCGCAGATTACTTGCCGGAGGGTACCATTGGCACCATCAAAGTAAGCAAATCCATGCGCTTGGGAGAGGAGGACGTTTTTGCACTCACTAGCGACATGGGTGTGAAAGTAGTTGGAGAGGAGGAGGTTTCCCTTGGTAGTATCCAGGGGTAAGTCCTTGACGGTTGTCAAGGCAGAACAACCGGCCTGGAGGATGGCATCAAGGGTGCGTGGGGGAAAGGTTTGCATTGGTTCAATGAAATTGCCAAGACTGGAGATTTGTGAGTGGGCTACGGAAACGAATAGTGACTTTTGTGGGTAATGCTTAAATGAAATTTGTTGGTTGGAACGGTTGGTTCTTAGAGGTAGTATTGCCTAACGGAAGGATGCCCGGTGGAGTATCCAGGTTGGGCCATCATGGTGTTACAAACCGGAAGGCTTGGTGTAGCCGGAGTGCCAAAGTGCGCTGCCATTCTTTGGCAAAGGCGATGGCAAAGGGACTAACACGATTGGGAAACTTGGCGGTACGGGTGCACAGCGGTGGATGGACTGCCACCGGTAGATAAGGGAGCAGGGAAATGGGCGATGCTGCAGGTTGAGTCTCCCAGGGGGGAATAGATGGTCGTTGACGGTCAATGAATGCACAGGCGCATTGAATGGGGTGATAGCATGGGGCTAAACCACCTGACACCGGGTGTCGGTTCAAATATCAGGATTTTGAGGGTGCCACCGGTGGGCAAGTTAAACAGTGGATGGGCGCTGACGCAACGGTGCATTTTGATAGGGCTCCTGGGGAGAGAGTTGGTCGTTGACGGTCAAAGAATGCACAGGCGCATTGAATGGGGTGGTAGCATGGTGCTAAACCACCTGACACCGGGTGTCGGTTCAAATATCAGGAATTTGAGGGTGCCTCCGGTGGGCGAGTTAAACAGCGGATGGGCGCTGACGCAACGGTGCGTTTTGATAGGTCTCCCGAAGGAGCAGTTTTACGTCAAATGCGACGCTCTCGGGTAACCCAAGAGGAAATTGGGATGCCGCAGGTTGATTGGGCTCAAATTGGATTTGAGAATGCAACCTATGGGGCAAATTGGGTTGGACAACTCCGGGAGTCGGGTAATGAGTAGATGAAAGAGAAAAAAAGATATATTCGTTCTGAACTCTTCAGATGATCATGGTTCCTTAGCTCTTCATTGTCTCATCTTGCACTTGGCAAAAATAATGCTTTTGTTCACGCCTTCGTTTGTTATGCCAATCGTCCCCGCATTTTGTCCAATAATTACCGTTACTTCGCTTAAGCGACTGACGACATGACTGTTGGCGTGAAGAAAGATGTCTTCTCTTGCTATAGTCCGTCTACAGCCTTGCCTGATCATTTAGTTAATTTTTAGCCAATACAGTAAGAGTTATTATAGTCGACTCACTAAAGATGAGTCTATTATCAGTGGTATGAGCCAATCACAGCTCTCCATTCCTAATGATAGACTCGATGAACTCTCTTCCGCATCAAATTGTATGGTACTCTCCAAAGACTTCAAATGATGTTACGGTAGGTCCAAGCTCCATAGGGCCATAGCAGTTTCTCTTTGTCTTATCAAACAACTAAACACCTTGTCTTAAGGATCAACCTTAGCCCTCGATCATGAGGGTTGGCAACTGAAATTGACTGGTACTACATGAGGTAGTACATAGATCCAACGATAGAAACTGACTTTTCAATCTTGCAGATAGATTACTACTACGGTTTTTCGAGTATCGTTCAGTCTTCCTCTCTGATGGTAGATTGAAATCAACAGCTGAAACCGGTATAGGCGTAGGTAGGTAGTAGGTAGTAGTCTCTTCACCTTTGGAATCAAGTCATTGTCTCAAACGGGCGCAAAAAGGTTGATCGTATTGCCGTCAGAGTAATAGAGTGTACAATACCCGAATCTGAAAGCATCATATATGACTATACTGTAACAGACTTTCCTATCGCGGCTTGGCCAACAAGGAATAATGGAAGGTTTCTGTCTATCTTTTCGCCTGTGAATCTTACTTAAAACCGGTTGATTATTGCATGCCTTCAATCGTAGAACACGTATTTACTCTCTTTGCGATGAAATCGGGCTTTGTGGTTGCCCTTACTCATCTTGCTTGGTTCCCTAAATATTGAGTCCATTTCAAGAAACTTGTCTGCATCATCTGGATCCAAGGCAACGAACGACCTGATAGCTAGCTCGTCCAATAGCTAGATAGCTCATTCAATCAGCAGCTTGTAAGTCCAAGTTCAGTGTCACATATGATCAGCAACCAAAGCAACACCGAAAGGAGGTGCAACCAAAATGGCCGTGAGTGAGACGTCCATCTCACAGGTCTATCTCACAGAGTGTCGCTGGCCATCCGAGTTCTGACCATGTCTTTCCAATCAGTTGGCAAATGTCAAATGATTGCAGGCACCCTTCTCTACGGAGAACTGGAGGTGGCCACGCCATGGGTTGATTTTAGCATAGTTGAATTTCATATGGTGACGAAGGCCATCAAGAGAAGGGCAGTTTGAGGCTCTAGGTGTTGCCTCTGGGTGTTGCTTCGCTACTCGGCTGTCGTGCAGCTGAAGGATTAAACCTAATCAGGGGGTCGACATGGTCCCAACAGTGTGAAATGATGATATGAGCTTTGGAGGGTGTGAAATTGAAATGTAATGTTCTATTTGTTAATCCCTGCGCGGAGGGACGCGCATGCCTATCTCCGACTGCATCTATCAAGCATTCCGTAGCACCCATAACTTATGTAGAACATGGCTTTGAGCACTACTTCAATAGTTCTACATAATTATCCCTTGACAAGAATGGTGTAGGTGATTCCCTCCAACTCGGGAGTGTCAACACTCCCACTCGACGCCATCCACCCTCCCCCTGACGGAAAGCAAAACCTCAGGACTGCCAAGGAGGCCGATATCCAGCTCCTAAACCCGAGGACACACCCACACCATCAGCTTGTCATTGTATTTTTTTGGCTTCTCGACTCCAAAAGTCGTCCACCAAAGCCCCCTAATATTACAGAAGTGCCTGTTCTATTATGGTTTATGGCTCATGTTTCCTTTTCCAAAGGTTGTTCATGAGCAAGTCTACACGTATGATGGTTTCAATTTTTGCAAGCAAAGGATCGACCCAATCTATACCACCGGTTCTGACGCAAACTAACAGAAATTCGACCACCAGCGTTGGGCGCCGTCTCACCTTCTACACTGTCAATGATGCTCCGTATCTGGTCCTTTATGCTGCCGACAATGCACCTGAGGCACCCCAAAACCACCACCAAAGCGGGTGTTGATCGACAACTTCCAAGGTTGCTCGATTTCCAAGGTTGCTAGGCCGTGAAGTTCCAAGGTTGCCGGCCTTGCAATGTTGCAGGCCGGCACAACATTCGATTTCCAATCAATTTATTTCGAATGAATGAATGAATAAAATTCAAAATGCTCCACAGAGCGTCGGCAAGGTTGTGTTAATCCCTGCGCGGAGGGACGCGCATGCCTATCTCCGACTGCATCTATCGAGCATTCCGTAGCACCCATAACTTATGTAGAACATGGCTTTGAGCACTACTTCAATACTATTGAGATCTGAACGTGTAATATACGAGCTCCAATTCTCGGAAAATGCAGGAATCTGTTTTCGGACGACTTTTTGATTTTCACGTGGAACATGTACCAGTACGCAAACAAGTGACGATCCAAAAAGGATTGACAAAACGTTAGCTGTACCTGGTACTGTAGGAAAAGATTGGAGACCAACAACTACAAGTTGAATTCATTCTGAAATACAATCAATACATTTTTGCTAAGTACTAAGTAGTTAGCTCTGCTGATGCTGGAGGATTGATCATCTCTTTGTCTTTTCTACCAAGCCCATGAAGAATTTCAGTGTAATCTTTTCGGATATCACAATGAATGCCACTCTCTATCTTGTTTCCAACAAAATTATTGCCCGCTACCAATGCAATGACCTTCGATGCTATCCGGCTGCATTGCACAAACCTGATGCAATCTTGTAGCTAGGAAATTTTCTCCAAACTTCCTCTGCCGCATCCAAAAATTTCGTCCTGTTTCAAAACATGAGCCCTCCCTAATCTCCCGCGGCTGCACAATGACGTCTTGACATGCAGGGGAATACCGACAAGTCTAAGCTGTTCATTTGCGGCATTTGTGGAACTTGCGGTTCCTAGTGCCAGCCAAGTTGTTCACATTGCGTCTTGCACCAATTAAAGTCCTCTTCTTCAGCATGCGGCCCTGCATTGTCACCTTGCATAACGGGAATCTGCCCTTCATATTGTCCTCCCGTCGCCACAAGACAATCCAATTTTCGAAAGACGTGACGCTCAAACAACTTCTTCGCTGCAAACTTTGGATCATCAGGTGTCCCTTCCGACGATCCAGTGACATTACAATCAATTCACCAAGTGTACTCCACCTTTTCTCTTATCACTGCCCAGTTCACTTGATGGAACTATCGTCCTGTCCTACTTCCTGCCTTGCTAGCTTCTTTGCAACCTCGTTGGTTTGGGCACAATAGAAGCCAACCTTGAGGCCGTCTCCACCTTTGCTTTCAATAGAAGCTATGAATACAAAAGCAGTCACAGCGATTCCAATGACCTTGGACAAAAGTCAGCTTCCACTTTGACATAATCCGAGCCCTGTAATGTGAAAGGAGCCCTGATATCATCCTCAACAACAATTCCACCCTTGCGTTGTGGGCCTTTGGTGAGGGCGGCATCAGTGTCTGGCATGTTGCGGATCATCTGAATATTTGCAGCACGCATAAGCACTGATCAACCTCATGATCAGCATCGTCTCTGGTTTGCCTCATCTTTTCTTGTCTTGCCATTGCATGGGCTTGCTTTTTTTCTCCCGTTCTTCAGCCAGTGTGATTTTTGTTTGCGCTGGTGCGATTGTTGTTTGTGCTGCTGGTGTTCGGATGGTTGCCAGCCATTACTGATGTAATGGTGGTGGTGGAGGTGGTGGTGGTCCGGTCGTCATCACCTTGTCCTGTAGTAGCAATGCCTATGAGAGTGATACTATAATGTCAGGCGTTTAACAAAGGCTTTATCGCCAATGTACGTTGGGTGTTATGATTGGACTCAGTTCTTCATTGCGATGAAGCCAGAAATCAAATTCTGTTCGTTGTTGGCTGTATTATGCGCCATAATTGGGGATTGGTACTAATGCTACGTGTTCTACGTGACAATGACTGGTCTTCTGACGAAAATCGTCCGAAAACCGATTCCTGCAATTTTCCAGCAATTTACCTCGTATCATTAAAAGATAGAAAGCAAGCCAGCATTTGGTTGGTACTATTATATATATTAGTCAAAGAACGGAAGTATAAATAATACCTTTTTTCAGGATCATTTATTGTTGAGGCTCATGATTGTCTTAATTTTTCCTCTACTACCGGCAGAAAATGTTTGGGCAAAAAGATTTATTGTTGAGGGTCATGAGTGTCTTAATTTTCTGCTCAATGGCCTCCCTTTGCGATCTTGGGTGTCATGCATGCTAAGCCTTTTCGCCCAATAAGAATGTCATAGGTCTGAAAACCTGTCGGGCGTACAATACCAGGTAACGATAATTACGTGTAGGTTAAGGTACTGGTGCCTACCGGAACTGGTGAGTTAACTTCGATACTTCGCGTTTCCTTTTGACCAGATCAATATCATCGATCATCGCGAAGAGGCACAGATCACACGAGCACTACACCTCGAACTAGCTAGCTGTGTGAGACTGATGTGCTGCGTAAGCATTTTTCTATATTAGCTCTTTATAAATATAATAGTATTATATACACTGCTCACTCAAATGCAAACCGCAAGCCAACGTCAAACTAGAGCAGTAACTCATGGTGGTAATCCTTCAAGACTAGAAAATCAGCAATAACATCCAAGTCTCGGCCGAGCAGGATGTACGAGATGCAATCATTGATGACAGTAGCATCGTCCAATGCCCCCGAGCAAATAGCCTCCGCTTGTTCAACATCGACAGCCGGCTTCGAAAAATGGCTCTTGCTGGCTCCAGATGAAGACTCTCGCCGGATACACTTGTCTGGGAACTGAGGATGGGCAAGTTGATGGAAGAGCTTGGGTTCACTGGGAATCACTTGCCACTCATCGACAAGGTCTTCAAAGCCCTGCAGTTCCGTAGCTCCATCGCGAGCAAGGGTCTTCCCAGTATTGTAGTCTCCAAGCAAGCCGACGGAGTTTCCAAACACAGACGCGTCTCCGTTCAAATTGAAACGAATGAACTCGTTGATTACATCGATGGTGATGACTTTTCCAGGGTACTTCGAGTCCAGATCGATGTTGTACTGCTGTTTGTAGGGCGTCGGCTTCTCCCATTCGACTGGGAATCCGCCGATGGTTTCGAGTTCTTCTGATTGGTACTCGCCGTTGAACCAGTAGTGCGCATCTTCATCTTTTGGATTTGGAGATCCTTCAATTTCAAGGACGTCGTCTCCAATGTTGATCGCAACGCTCTTGATGTAGGACCAGGCTCCCACAATCTTGGTTCGGATATGAATGTTCATCCCAAGCCCTTCAGCGAATGCTGCGTTTTGCAACATCACAAGATCGCACTGTCCATTAATTTCAATGCGCTTGTCACTCCAGCTGGTAATGTGAGGCAACCAATCAACGTCATGGTTTTCGTTCTCAGTCTCAGTCTCAGTTTCGCTACTTGCTGTGACTGCAGCTAGGAAGATGGTGATGAGAGTAAGAGAAAGTAGATTCATCGCGAGTTGTTTTTTGCAGGTGTCAGTAATATTGTGAGAACTACGATTCATTCCAGCGGAGAAAAACGGTTGTGCCTGCTCGCCAGCCAAATGTTCCGACCGGCAAGACGCTCCCACTCTGTAGTAATCATTTTTATGGTGCATGAGAGACGCTGTCTGTACTTCGATCCTCAGTAACAGTGTTTTATGCTCATATCTTCGTTCCTCAGTAACAGTGATAGACTCGAGGGAGCGTCGCTTCACTCTGTAGAAATCGTGTCTTGAGACTTTTTTAGTTTTTTTAAAAGTAATATAAAAAATTGTTTTGTCTCAAAACACTCTGGCTGACACCAAATCCAGGGTTTTTTCTGAACCCATCTTCTCTTTCTATCATTTATTGTATATCGTTCCATTGTGCCACTCACTGAGATTTCGACAAAGTGTTTCGGATAACGACCGGAGTTGAAACAGAACGCTGAAGCGGTAGTATGAGTTTCCGTTATTGCGGCGAAGGCGGATTGAAGACCTTTCGAGGATGCAATCTCTTCGCGACAGATCCTTTCCCGTTCGTCCCTTGTTGGCTGAAGGCCTCGTCGTTCTATCTCTTTGCGAAAGATCCTGTCACCTTCTTCTCTTGTTGGCTTAAGACCTCGCATTTCTTTCTCTTCGCGAATGATCCTCTCACGTTCTGTGAGGATTGTCTGTAAACGGACTTGAGGGACAGTCGAGGACACTAGACAATAGAGATGTAATAGAGATAGGATTGCTATTCTTATTGATGATAGTTCATGAAAGTGAGGATTGCTCTGAACTCGAGCAGAGGATCCAGCAGTAGATACATGTAGAGAGTAGTATATAGAATTCGGGAGAAGCACTGAGCTGTCAAATGATCGTGAGAATTACCCAATCAGAGTAAGCCACCGGTCCGATCTATTGGACTCGCGGTGCGATTCGTTTGACCTCAATACTCCCTCTCGATCGAACAGTGAGGTATGTAGGATCCATAATGTCTTCAACTGAATAAAGACCGGCAAAATCCGCATCGACATGACATTCAATGTCAAATGAATCGGTCGGTCGCAAGATTAGGCCTTCATTTACTGATGATTTCAAATATTGCCCAATTCTGATGAGCGCTTTTTCGTGCGAGCGCTTAGTCCCGTGGATGAATCGCGTACATTGAGACACGGCGAATTGCATGTCCGGACGAGAATGTCCGCAGAGATACAAGGCCATTCCGATCACGCTTGCATATGAGAAACTGCCATTTGCAGGATCTCCATTCTCGGCTTTTCCAAGGGGTTCTTTCAACGCAGGAGTGTGCTTCTGAGGTTCGTGGTCAATATTTAGGGCTTCAATGATCCGTTCGGTGAGTCCTTTTTGCGTAAGTTTGATTGTCTTGTTGGATTCGTCGCGTTCGATATGGACTCCAAGAAATCCAGCAACAGAATCTTCGATTTCTACTGCAACACCTTGACTCTCAATTGCTTCGTTTATGTACTCTTCTTTAGGACTGAAGAACAAGGTGACGTCGACGTAAACAAGGCAGATAACTTTATCTGAAATAAAGAGACATGGATCAACTTCTTCTTGAGATTCGAATCCTGCATTTTCCAGCTTCCCTTTGATGAAATTGAAGAAATTAACGGGCGATTGCTTGAGCCCATAGAGGCTTTTATTGAGTTTCAATACCTTTCCTTCTTCGGCGAAGCCTCTGGGCATTTCACAGAAGACTTCCTTGTCTCCTATGGGTGCATGAGTGAAGGCAGCGGTGTAATCAACTTGCTTAGTTTCGAGTCCCAGTACAAGGGAGAGAATTAGGAGGAGGCGGACTGTCTGCCAAGAGAGACAGGTGAGAATATTTCATTAGAATTGTAATCAATCCCATCTTTCTGTCGATCACCTCTCACACAGAACCGTCCTTTCAATTTTCGAACTTTCCCATCTGGATATCTTTTACATTTGAATGCCCATGTTGAGGGAAGGACATTCATTGATTGAAGTCGGGGAACCACTTCCCAGACCTCCATTTGCTGTAGGGTCTCGATCTCCTTGATTGCTGCCATCGGCTAGAGGACCGTTCATAGCTTCTTCCCAACCTGGATTATCTTCGGAATTGGCTTTGGCGGCCAGGATCATTGGATGGAGCCATTCACAGGTCTCTGAATCCTGGTCAAAGTCGGTGGTTAATGCCCACATTTTGGCAAATTCGTTGGAGCAAAGTGTCTCAACAAACTCATTGAACTTTAGAGAAGCGAGAAAACCCTGATTGATGGTGGTGTGTCTCACATTTTGATTTAGAGCACATAGGCCATACTTCCTTGGCCTGAATCGGCGTCTTCCAGTTCGCGAAGGCGCTTGTTCTTGTAGATTTCGTAGAGTTCGATTTAGAGTTTCATCTTCTTCTTGTTTGTCATCTTCTGTAGCTTGTATAGGAATAGGAACATCTGTAGGAACGTTTGGTTCTTCTTCCTGTTGCAAATTCTCATCTTCATCTACTCCCTCTGGAACTGACAAGTCATAATTGACGTCGTCATTGTCACCAGCTTTGATTGCTTCTGAGGGGTCATCGGCGACTTCATTTCGATTATCTTGAACATTCGGAGCTTCCTGAGGCTGGTTGTGAACCGGTTGCACATGAGGGATTGGCGGTTGGAGGTTGCACTGGCACTGGAGGCGCATGACCACCGTGATTACCCCCTGGAAGCGGAGCTTGGTGGCGATGCTGGATGGCTTGTTGGTGGAGGCAGGCACGACGACGATTGTTGATGAGGGTCCGACGTTGGAGTCGAACGGCACGTTCAGTTGGAGTTCGCCATTCGTTTTGTAGTGGCGGGGCAATAGGGCGGTCAAGAGTATCACGAAAGTTCTCGTACCCGGATTCAACCAAATTGAACCAATGATTGGCATCAAGTTGGTGAGGATTGGCCGCACCCCCTGCATCTGAGTTGGGGACAGTACTGAAGTGGTCGTCACACACAAAATGATATTGTGGTGAGACATGTTTGGTTTGAAGGTTCAGGATTCGCGCGACCAAGGAGGAGTGGTCAGGCGAATAGCCGAGATACATTCCACGTCTTGACCGAGGATTCCACTTAGGAAGCTTCTTTCCATCTTGAAGTTTTGGATCGAGGACATAGGTAGGACATCCAAAGACGTGAAGGCGATGTAGAGAATTGTAGTTGGGGAACCTTGATTGGCTGAAGATTTCCAGTGGTGCCAACCGAGTGTCACAATGTGGAAGGTTGTTCCAGATGTATGCTGCATGTTCCATGGCAAAGGGCCATAAGTGGACGTCCGCTTCGTCAGGCCAGTGAATGACCTGGTGGAGAAGCATGGTCCGAGCCCACTTAGTAACCGTTTGAATTGCACGTTCGGCGACTGCATTCTGATGATGAGCCCCAACACCGCTGAAATCAATTGTCTGCTTCTTCAAGGCAAGATCATGTTGCCAAGTTGCAGAGTTGAAGGGCGTGTGGTCTGCTCGATAACTCGTGATATCCGGTACGTTGTTGGCTTTTGCCCATTGCTCGAACTTGTGCTTTGCCATCAGAGTTTCGCCTGCTCGAAGAGAAACTTGATTGACGATGAAGATTGCACCAGAAGCGTGGTCACAAAAGATAGTACCCCCTGAGTACTGATTCTTCTTCTTTTCTTTTCCTTTGGTGTGCGGCAATCTACCAGGTACATAGGAAACGTAGCTATCGATGGAAACTTTGGCACCCGGTGTCAGATCTCCCTCTCGAATAGCCATTTCCCGATCATCGAAGGCATGTTGTGATTCAGGAGTTCGTCGCGCTTGCTTGCCAAGTTCACAAGCGGCACAGAGGATGGTCCGTTGTGAGTTACTTACTCCTTTATGGCGACATGGTAAGATTGCCTCTTGATTCGGATCGTTAGGTTGTGCTAGGAGACGCTGAATCCATTTGAAGTGAGCATGCCCGAGCTTGGCATGATAAAGCAGCATCTCTTTCTCACCAGCGGTAAGATTTTGATTGTTTTCAGCTCCGACTGACAACATTCCTAACACATCTTGGTCTCTACAGAGCATGTTGGCTTCTTCAAAGCCTAGTCCAGCGCAATGGGCACTCGCCTCCAACATCATTGGAATATTGTTTGATTGGAATGGAAACTCAAGTTCCGATTCATCGTCGAGCGTGAGGACAACTTTGCGGTGGTTCAAGAAAAGGGAACCAGCTCCCTTTGTCTCTTGGAAGTAGCATTGTGGCGAGAACAATCGAATCTGTGCAGATGGAACCAGGTATGCCGTAGTTCTGATCCGTCGCACGGATCCATAGACGTCTCTAACAGTCCATTCAACTGTTCCACTTCCCACAACCTCACACGATCCTTGGAGGCCATTGATAGATTTGAGTGGGCTAGGGCGGACTTTAGAGATGAAATCTGAGTCATGAGGTGTAATTGAGACAGATGCTCCGGTATCGATGACCATCGGAGTCTTACAGTTGTCGGAGAGGTAGACTGACTGATGGTGGAGAGTGTCAGGCAACCGCGGAATATGACAATCAATCTGAGAGATAGCGGCGTTGACAGCTCGAGACAAGGTTGCAGCATTCGACTTAGCTGCCTTGAGAGTCGTTTTGACTTCTTTTTCTTCGGACTTGGTGTGCAGCGACCAGAGAGGATTTCACAGGGCTGCTATTTGATGGTATTGCTTGAGAGGATCGACACTTCGAACAAACTGGTCGAGGTCAACTCCATACTTGGCGTCAATCTGGATGAAGCTCAAGTGAAGGAAACGATGCTTGTTCCTTGTGTAGTCTTCGAGGATCTCTTCATCTGAAGGTGAGTTCCAATGATGGGGAACACTTGTTGCTTGCTTTTCGGCTTGCTTATGTTGCCTTTTTCTTTTCTTTTCCTTTGTTCTTGCCGTCTTCCGATAGAACTGTACTCTTTGAGGCTTGACTCGACGACGCAAGGCTTTGAGGATGAGGTGATAATGAGGTGAATTGCGCTTTGGAGACTTGGACTTGCAACAGCGCCAAGGAAAGGCACATCCGAGAAGTTCTAGTGCATTGGAAGGAGGAGTTGGCACTAGCAAAGGCAGATATTTCGATGACGAAGTCGCTCCGCGACTGGAGGAGAGGATGGAGGAGCTATTGAGGGCATTGCTGCATTTAAGATGAGGACGAAACTGGCGAGGACGAGCAGTTTCAAGAGGTATAAAAAGTCAACTAGACTTAAAGAGGAGACCTCATCCATACCCCCTTGCAGCAAGGGCCACCACATGGTGACGGAAGGGTAGGACGGGATGACGGTAGAGAGGAAGACTACAATCATCCGTAGGAGTAAAGTGGCACGGTTCACTTGATCAATAAGTTGGTTCATGCCCGTGGCAATGGCAGAGACCTGCTGACGAATCTGAGGAAGGTTGGTAGCAGAAGTTGCAGCGGTCAAAGCAGAGGCATCGCCAGAGGGAACTTGGTTGACGGGCGGAGCAGGAGCAGCAGGAGCCGCAGCCGCTGGAGGAGCGGGAGCTGGAGCTGCAGGAGCTGGAGTTGGAGCACCAGATAGGAGTGCATGGGGGCGATTATTCGTCTCGGACTGATCATCACAGAGCTTCCAGGATTTAGATTTAAAATGATAGTAGTACCATTTCTTGTGGACTTTCGCTCTTTCTTCCGATTAGATGGCACGGGAAGATGCTCAAATTGAACTCCGGCGCCAAGCCTGGAACGCCCTTTCTTGCCTGGATTCTTTTGGGCCTTCTTTTCGTCAAAGAATTTCCGCTTATTCTGTGAGACGCGCTCTTTATTTATTGGTTCCGTGCAGGCAGTGACGGAATGCTTGCCACCGCAGTTGAAACAGGGTCCCACTGACTTTTGAGCCGAAAATGCAGTTTCGTTGACCTTGTGAAATTGGCCAGTCCCTCCCTCTTTAGAGGCCATGCGATTCTGATAGATGCTCGTCGCGAGATCGAGTATCATATCAGGGGAACCATAAGCAGCATCTCCTTGAGTAAGTGCCTGCTCGTATGCGTTGATTTCTTTGTTATGGAAAACCTCATTGAACTTGGGATCACTCGATGTCTGGAACAACGAGATGAGAGTTTTGCCAATGTCATGAGGAACGTTCGAGGAGACCACTCTCCCATCGATACGTTTTTCAAGTGACTTGAGTCCAGTCAACATCACCTTAATGTGACTAACCAAATCGTCCACGCTTTCTCCTTCATATTGATCAATGTGAAGTGTCCTGAGCTGGCCTTGAATCGTCTTCACGACGAGCTGAGAGTTGACTTGGAGGCGTTTCATTATGAAGAAGACGACCAAGGGGCCGCCCATTCCTTGGGTATCCCGATAAGGAAGAAGGTCTTTGAGAACTTTGCTCCATAATTGTGGAGTCATATGATTGCACAGATAATCATAGGACAGGCGTAAGTTCTCGCGGAACCAAGGACTGGTGGTTGCGTCGGGCCACCTTGTATACCACTTGCAGCTTTCTGCCACCTGGTCAGCGGTAAGTTCGGTGTAGCGATCGAACAGAAACACTGTCTTGGTCACGTTGAAATTATCCGTCTCTAACTGTATCGTTTGTTCACCGATCGCATTCTTGGAAGGAAATACAATAGTGAAAACGTCCAGGACGTCATAGCGCTTGAAGTGCATTTGCATGTTGGCAAGGCCGACGCCAAGATCATAGCTTTCTTGAAGGTCTTGAACACTTTGCA